TCCCTTTAAAAAGGGAGGTTCATAATCATTCATATCTATTTCTAAATCTTCTGAATCTGAAACGAAACCTTCTGACTCTGAATCTTCTACTATAGCTTTATTGTCTATCTAACGAACCAACTTTGAATTGTATTCCAATCTAGTCTTCTCCCATAAATCTGGAGATGCTATTCTCTTGGCTTTCTTTTTACAAGCATCCTATGCTAAATCCAATTTGACTCCTGTTATTGCTCCATATCTATTATTATCCTTACTCTACTCCTATTATTTAATCACTTGATCATATTCATTCATTGCCTTAGCTTTCTTCTCTATCTCTTAACCAGTATTTTAATCCACATCTCTCATTGACAATGATATCTTTTCATTCACAATACTAATCACTTTCACAAACACCTTCTAATTCCTTTTTAAAATATCAAAAGGATTGGTCACTCTTTTCTCTCTTATATTGGAAATGTGGACTAATCCTTCCTTTCTGCCTTTAAAACCTGCTATCTACACAAACACTCCAAAATCCTGCACCTTTGTTACTATACCCTCATATATATGTCCCTTCTCAATATCTCTATGAGTCCTCTATGGGGATGAAGATGGCTCTTTTTTATCCTTCTTCTCCTTATCTTTTTCCCTCTCCCTTTCTTTATCCTTGTCCTTATTTTTGTCCTTCTTCTTTTTCTTATCCTTCTTCTTCTTCTTATTTTTTGATAATGATCTTGATCGTGATTACTCTTCCATATCCTCTAATTACACCACTTCGCGATTTGGCAATGCTAATCCAGGGAATTTCTATTCTTTCACTACCTATTCTATTTATGGGGGCTGTTCTACTTACTTTTTTTCTTGAGGAGACATCTTCTTAATGATATTGAATAAAGAATTTGTAAACTGATCTGTAAAATCAGCTTTTGCTGCATCCAACTTTTATTTAAATTCCTTTTCATCCTTGCTTTGTCTACCTAAATCAATAATATATTCAGCCAACACCTTGTCCTTTATCCCTGTATGATTCTCTAATTCCTACAGCACTCTTGAACACAAAGAAATATACTATAATTGTAGTAACTAATTCATTACTTTTATTAGTTTCTACTTTAATCTTAATATTCATAAATTATATTAAACATAATTCAATTGAACTAACAGTAAGAGCAAAAACATAAGCCAAAAGGTGCACAGGATAACATGTTTTGATATCATATTGTAGAGCATGAGATATATAGATTTTGGATAAAGAATATTGTAAAAAGGTAGATTCCATTCATTACAAAATTACTTTCCTCTCTTATTCTAAGATATTATGATAAAGATTATTCAAGGATTAAAGTGAAATCAAAAGTAAACAGTCATTTACAAAATGATTAAATCTGATCATTTTTGACATATTTATAGACACTAATTAAGAGAATTCAATTTATCTGATATCCTAAAATAATAATCTTAGAAGGTTCTCAAATCCCCAGATTATAATTATATTAATCATGATGGAGATCATAAGAGATTCTGAATTAATATTTTCACATAATAAACAATACAATTAGAAATATTTTACGATATCATCTTTGTATTAGTATCCATGAATAGATAAGAAATATCATTTAAATTCAAATAATATAAGACATTGCTAACAAAAACAACATTTAAGTTTAGATTATGAATTATTAATATAATTATATTATTTACAGATAACAAACTAGAATTAAAACTAATGGCAGAGATTAAAATTAGTAATCAAACGAAAGACAGGACTGCTGCTTGTAAAGCCTATATAGAAAGGAAGTATAAAAGTTTAATTACAAATGAGAGAGAAAAGATGCAAAATTGGTAGTAATTGTAATAAGTATTACAAAATTTAAATTTTACATCTATTGAATAAGAGTTGATTAAGAAGGAGATTCAGCACAAGGAAGCAATGCAATTAAGAAAGAAGTTAATATGAATATGTAATATAATAGGAGACAAAAAATAACAGTGGAAGATTTTGAATCTATTGCCATAATTGGAAGAGGAGCATTTGGTGAAGTGAGGGTTTGCAGATAGAAAGATACGAATGAAATAGTTGCGATCAAGAAAATGAAGAAAAAAGAAATGCTAACCAAAAATCAATTAGGACATGTAAGAGCAGAGAGAGATATATTGGTTACATCAAAATGTTAATGGATAGTAGAACTGAAGTCTTCTTTTTAAGATGATGAAAACCTATATTTAGTAATGGAGTTTCTAAGCGGAGGAGATCTAATGACCTTATTAATAAAAAAGGATATCATTCCAGAAAGAGATGCAAAATTCTATATAGCTGAGTTAGTTTTGGCTATTGAGGAAATCCATAATATGAATTATATTCATCGAGATCTGAAACCAGATAACATATTGATAGATGCACAAGGTCATTTAAAATTATCTGATTTTGGTCTTTGTAAACATTTGGGTTAACATTATGATATGGCAGTTCCCTATACAATGAATAAAGCTGCTGTGGATTAAAAGAAATCGAGGAATGAATAGAGAAGGTAATTAGCATATTCAACAGTTGGGACACCTGATTACATAGCCCCAGAAGTCTTTTCATAATAGGGATACAACCAATTGGTTGATTGGTGGAGTGTGGGAGTGATACTATTTGAAATGGTTATAGGATATCCTCCTTTTTATAGTGATACCCCATAAAAAACGTGTTAGAAGATTTTAAAATGGAAGAATCATTTCAAATTTCCAAGTAACCCAAAAGTATCTCCTTAATGTTATGATCTAATAACCAAATTGATGACCGATGTCAATGATCGATTAGGAGATGCTAGTAAGATCAAAAAGCATCCATTTTTTAGTGGAATTGATTTTAATAATATTAGAAATCAAAGACCACCTTATGTTCCTGATAAAAAGATGTTGACTTCGAATTTTGATAAGTTTGAAGAGAAAGAACCTTGGAAACATGTAATTCATAATAGAGAGGAGTCAGATTAGGAAAAGAACGGATCCAATTTGAATAAGAAGTACTTTCAGGGATACACCTATAAACGTAATTGGGATGCGGAGATGAGTCCTGTGAAACGGGCTTTGGAGGAGTTAGAAAATATAAAACCGTCAGGGATTAAGGCAGATTTTGAAAAGAAATAAAGATCTCAATCTCCTAAACCTATAAATGCTCCTCCAGAATTCAGCAAGTCTCAAAGATCCTAATCTCCAACGATAAAAGAATAACTCAAAAACACTTACATGTAATATATTGGGTAATATTTATCACCTCTTAATAAACAAAAATAGCAATAGAAATTATAAAAATGAATACAATTGATATTTTAATAAAAGAATAATCATTTCTCTGAATTTCTGAGTTAATACTTTCTTTTTTACTTTAATTATCTTTCTTTTAGCAATTGAATCTGTTCTTCAGTCTACTTAATCCTTTTTAATTACTCATCCTCATTGTTGTCTTTCATGACTCTTTTCTCTTTAGAAATGGCAGGTAAAGCGGGTAAAAATGGAGATGGAGATTTTTCCTCTTATTGATGTTTGACACTTAAGATATTGAGATATTATATACTTTTTAATAAGTAGAGGTTTTGGTTCACCTTCTATATCTAGTTTCTTTTAGACCAACTTTTGTTACAGTATCTGAATTTCTGGTTTCATAGGTTTTTTATTTTTCTTAACAGCCTTAACGGGATTACCAGCATAAATCTAGTGAATGAGACTGAGTTTTTCAGTATTTTTAGTAGCCTAAGATGCAATCTCAAGCGAAGGTTTAGGTAAAATGTATGATTCATCAACTTTATTCTATTTTTTACTAAGAACAGATGAAGCATCATATGATTAGATTTAAGAGTCATCCAATCTGCGACCAATCCTTGGTAAATGTTCAATATTGGAATTGATTAAAGGGTCTTCAACATTTTCTTGGCTAGATTTTTGAACAGCCAAAGTTTGGATGAACTGATTTTTGTCGATTCTCATCATTTTAATAGGAGCATAATTTGGTTTTGGTAATCTGTCAGTGAGATAATGCATGACTCTGGGAACTCGAATAGTTTATAATAAGAATTTGGCTCCTTCTTCTTCAATCAGAACCTTATCATCCATTCTATTGATAACTGCTGATAGTTGTAAGATTTTATCACAAGATGGCCTCAAATGAGGTTGGACCTGAAGCAAAGCTCTAATAACATTGCTTAGATCTTAACTATATATAGTTGGTATTTTCGGATAATAGCCTCTCACGACTTTCTTGTACAGACCATTCATGTCTTCAGCTCTAAAGGGAGGTTTCAATGTAGTCATTTCATAAAGGACGCAACCCAAGGACCAGATGTCAGATTTGGAGTCGTAAGGTTGATCCTTCCAGACTTCAGGGGATGCATAATAGGGTGTTCCGGTTTAAGTGTATAATAATATTTTTTTAGCCACTTTGGATACATTCATATCTCCCAATTTGACAGTTCCATCGGCATTCATGAAGACATTGGCTGATTTCAAGTCTCGATGATAGATTTTCATATCGTGCAATGCCTTCAATCCCTTAACTATCTTAAAGTAGATGGATGAATTACTTATGTGAAGTAGTTCCAAATGTCTTTCTCAGCCATTAGCATTCCTTTTTTCTAGCATTCAACAATCTTTTAGAACAAGTCTCCATCGTCTGCATACTCCATTACAATGCTATTTAGATAACAATAGATTATACCATAAGCTCTGAGTAGATTCTTCTAAAAATGCCTCCTTATACTAAATTACATTGGCGTGTCTGACACTTGCTAATATTCTAACTTCATTCAGAGCGTTTTATTTTTCTTTGTCTGATAATGATTGTAGTTTCACTTTCTTTAAAGCGTATTCAAAACCATCAGCTATTCGTCTTACTTTATACACTTTCGAGTATGCTCCCTCACCTAATTTCGTGGTATATTTTACCTAGTTCTTACAAAATCTAAAAGTCTTTCAAGGACATTTCTACTTTTTATTTATATATATAATTATTTATACTATATTAAAATTTATATTTATCATAAATTTTAATCACTCTAATCCATTTCATTAAAATGCTATTTGTTTAAATTCGGAGAGTTAATTCCCTATTCATTCCTAAATTAGATTTCTTCGTCATTCTCTGTGATATCATTCACCTCATCATAATCAATTGCAAAATTCGTCTACAGTTTCAATTGCTACTTTCCCAACAACGTCTGGTCATCCTTGGCTTAATCGATGGTCTAATTAATAGGGTCTACTTCCTAATTCATTATCATCATTCTATACATCATATGATTCATTGCGATTCCTATCATAAACATATGACTCTCCATTTCTAGTATACCTGATCTTCTCTGATCTGATGTACTGTTTCCAATATTCCCCTACTGGTCTCACATCATCAAATGTACTAAGCAATTATAAAAACGGTATTAAATCCAATAATTCAGTGTCACTTGGGTCATCAAAGTAATTTTTTATATGTATAGCATTCTTAGGTTATAGAGAAAAAGAAGTGTGGGTATTATCTATTATTATTATGTTGTTTATTGATCTCTGCAATTTCGATAAATCTTTCACAAAGACTCCATTCAATATTGAACAATTCGGCCTGAACAACCTCAAAGCACAAACTCCCTTCTAATCTATCCTATCTATCACAGGGTTTGCATACTCAAATAAATTTAATAACATACTTCACAAATACTAGCTGTAAATATAAAGATTTCATAAAATTCAGCCATTTTTATGAGGAATTCTTCAGCACCAGGCCTTATTCTAACATAAATTGTATAATTTGCATTCATTACTTTTATCTCTTAATAAACATAATTCAAACCTTCAAAATAAAATCCGGATCTGAAATATAATTGAAAGAACTATGAACCAAAGTTTCATCCAAATCGATCACCAATGTCTTTCTACCCATATGTTAAAGGGATTGTTTTGGAATTGCTATTGGCTTTTAATTATAGGTCATAGGCATAAATCTGTTAAATTAAAATTCCTCTTACTATTTGAAACATTCGCATTTGATAAGGGACTTCAACGTGTTAAAAAACCCAACTAAGGCATTTTGCTTCGGTTCCTCTTATACTATGATGTTGTTTGCTCTCATTATTTATTTATATTTTTAATTTAATATATTATCATCCTATCTTACAAGTAACAATGTCATCATAATTAACACCAACAACCGATGAATTATATGATTCATTGAAACTAACAGACATCGCTAAGTCCAACTAATCAAAAGAACCCTCGCCCAGAAAATATGTTAAAGTAATTTCATGATTAAACAAACATCAGATTGAAGATTATGGGAATACCCCTTTAGATAGTGAAGATTCATTTACTGTAAATTAAAATATCCTTCCTATCCCCTTGAAATAACCTGTATAACCTATGGCAGTTTCAACTCAAGGCCAAAGAATTCTTATAAATCCAAAACTGATTATTGTAATCAAATTATTTCATTTTTATTTAGAAAATGCTGAATCTTTACATCTCACAAGCTATTATTCAAGAGGAGGACAATATTTTTAATTGTACTCAATTACAGAAATGAGAAATCCTTATAATTTTTTGAATTTGAATACTATAGATCAATAATATGAATCTTCACAAACTATTAATTAGATTATTAATGGTATGTATTTCCTTTATTCTTAATTTAGTAATTAATTTGCTTATTTCAATTATTCGCTCTCTTAACTATTCTCTAAAGTCTGATAGGCTCTCATGAAAGAGTCTAAGCCCATTTACTATTCCAAATAATATCTGAGAGCCTCTATCTTATACCCTATAGTATCTCTTTCAGAAGTTCCTGGGACTTGGAACTGTTTTTGTTGATTAAGAAATCTATAAATGTGTAATTGATAAATAATTACTAAGGAACTATTTTAAAGTTGTCAACAATAATGGACTCTTCTTCCTCCTTTGATTATTTTTTATCCAAACATTTCCTCATGTCTTTAATAAGGAATTTATAACCCTATTATTATTCAAAGCTGTCATCTTCCCTTACTAAACTTACAATGGATTCCTTTCTTTTTTGTTCCTGTAGAATTGGACTCTTACTTTAAAGTCTAACAATGTTCGTGTTGTCTTTTAAATAAAACTTGTTTAACAGTTCTAAGTTTTAATATTTAATAGGCTGTTGTTGATTCTCCTTTGAACTAACTACACTAGCAAAAGACTGTGGTTTATCGCTTTTTTCATCAATAAGTTATTGCTATTATTATTAGGAATGAAGTGGTGGTTATTATAGCATAGAATAATTTTGATTTATTGCTTACAAAGGTGAGTTTTGTCTATTGAACAATTATTTTAACTCCACTTTGCTATTGTCCTTTTTGGGCGAAGGTTTCTTACTGGCAACAGTTTAAATAATCTGTCTCGAAGTGATAGGTGAATTATTTTAACTTTAATTTTAAGATATCTTATTCTATTCAAACTATTTTTGTTGTAAGATAAATTATTGTGCTGTCTATTGAGGTTGAATAAATCTAAAAAGTAAGATGAGTATGTTACAGGTTTTCAGTAGGTTTTATTTCAGTCATCTCTTGCAATTCATGTCGATTCAAAGTGGAAACAAGCAGACTTCCTATTCTCTATTTTAAGAAATCTCTCTCTAGAATTCTCTTTATGCTAGGTCTCTTTGATGGATCCTTAATCAACATATCAGCTATTAATGATTGTAATTCTGAAGAGTATTGTGATGGAATAGGAGGGTAAGTTCCTCTTAAGATTTTTAAAACCAACTCTTTCATTGACAATGCATCGAATGCATGATTCAAGGTGGTTAACTCATACAAGATGCAACCTAGAGACCAGATGTCCGATTTCTAATTGTAAGGCTTTTCTTAACAAATTTCTGGACTTAAATAATACGGAGTTCCTATTGCAGTTTTGGCACAATCATACGTGTGTTACAGAACACGTGCAATACCAAAATCTCCAATTTTCACATCGTTTTTGCTTGTGAGGAATATATTTTAAGTTTTCAAATCTCTATGTAAAATTTTCCTCTCGTGTATGTGATTCATTGCCAGTGCCATCTAAACAAACCAATCTAATATTTATTCCTCTGAAAAGAGTATTCCAAGCTCTTTTTGTTTAGCTATTTTGCCATACAAATCACCTCCGTCGGCATAATCCATTACTATACATAGACATCTATCAAAGGTTTCATGATGAAATAATACTTTTTCTCCATAAATGATTCTCTATATGTGATAATGTAAGGATGTCTCATGGCCTTCAGAACGTGGACTTCATTTAATGCCTCCTCCCTTTATTTTCTGTCCATCTTAGATATGTCAATAATCTAATTTAAATCATTTTGATACTTTGATTATATAATTTTTCTTATTCGATAACGCCTAGGCTAGAAGGGCATATCCAAAACTACCTGATTTATTTTATCATAATACCTTTTCCAACTACTCTAATCTTTTTGTATTTATCCATCTCGTTTAAATTTAAAATTTAATTATATTATCAATTATAAAATACTGTTAAGAAACAATAATATTATACAAAATGTGAATCTGCTCCAAAATAAATGTAAACTTAAAATCCAAAAATTAATATCCTTAATACTGAACCCCACTCATCCTTAAGAAACTAAAATTGAACATTGTATATTGGCATCATGTGGATTGCGTTTTAAATTATTTTATAAGAATTCAATTGACATTAAAGATAAAGCTTCCAAGATAGCCAAATTGAGTTTAAATAAAATTGATTCAATATCATTTGTTATTGATAAATATATTATAATTAATAATGGAAAATTATAATTTCTCTGCTTTATCTATATCTATATAAACAGATGCCCAGTCTTCCTAATCAGGTAAACAATTTAGCAGTCCCTTGAAATCTGATAAAACTAACTTTTTAGATTTAGATAATCAAAAACAAAATAATGATTCTGCTCAATTCTCTCAAATTGATGTTTCTATCTAGAAAGATTGCGAAGAAAAGGCAGCATAGACTTCGGAATAAAAATCCAATAGTCTTTGTGAATCGCAATTAAAGTAGACCAAGGCATCTTAGAATAAAAAGAAATTAGTAAAGAGATGCTAAACAACACTTTTGATTGGATAATCCATTCATAAACACAACTCTTAGAAGGCTGAAAAATATTTCATTAAAAAAAACAATCAGATTATAGAGAAATCATTTGAGAAGATTAAAGGGAAGAGGTCCAATTTTTCTAGAATGTTTCTTACAAATATAAGGTAATTGTAGAAACCAATTCAGGTTCGTTATTTTCGATCTACAATTACGAAAGTCCTGGTGATTGATTAAGACATGTTGGCTGCAGAATTTATTGTTTTAGCATTAACATAGTTCCAAAATGACGTCAAATTAGATCAATCTTTGTATGAATTTCCAAATTACAGTTTAGCCTATTAAATTGAAGGGCAGGATGATTAGCAAGATTTGGATGAATTCTAATATAGAAGACAACCCTAAAGATACAAAAGTTTCGGATCTCTTGAGGGCAAGATGAAATCCAGAAGAGAGAGTTTGAATGAAATAGATTATGATTAAAAACCAGTCTCACAGTTTGAAATCTCATTTGCAGAAGATAATGATGACAGAATTATTTAAATTGATTTAGAATCACCTATGCGTTATTATAAATCGGTTGATATTGTACCAATATTAGATTCTAAATAATTAGATATTGATTTGCAAATGGCTAAGATTGTATATTAATAACATCCTAATCATATTCTTATTCTTATTGAGGAACCTATAAGTAAAGGAAGATTTCATATTAAGATACAACCGAATTAGTTGATTGAAGATTTATTTGTAGAATTAAGCATGAAAGCAAATAAGAAATACAGAACCACTGATTACAATTTAATTTTAAAATATCCTTGTATTCACATGAGTACAGAACCCATTAATTTAAAAATACCCATCAGCAAGTTACCAATACATTATTTAATACTCAACTAAAAATTTCAAAATGAAGCCAATCGCTCATTAAGATAATTTGCAGATAGTTATACAATTAATATCAACAAAGATACAATTTTCTCAAGAAGTGTTAATAAGTCTTACAGATTTTTGTAAGAGGAAGGGAAATCCAATGAAACAACAGATAAAGTCAGAAACTTATATTCCTATCAAGAGTTTTAACTATTAAAAATCGATAATTAATTTAGAAATAATGTAGTTTTAGGAATTGATTATTTCGATTTGTATTACTCTTACACTTAAGAGAGACAAAGAAAATTCACCTTAGGAAAATTTTGTAAATCAATTTCATAATATTTAATCGAAGAGCCAATTGTACAAAAAGATTATAGGAGATTACCTTTAAATAAGATATAAAATGTTGAATTGACTAAAGATTTTTAATTGATAATAGTTTATGAGAAGAGTCAAAACTACAAAAAATAGATTCATTTCGGAATAGATTACAATTAAGAGAAATCTAAAATCGATCTTCAACAAAAAACTATCATGAATGCATACAATAAATTAGAATATTTAGTGGATTTATATATAAAATATAAATAACAATTATGAATTTATTCAATGTTGATGGCTCTTTAGCAACCCTTACTCATTTTAATCTAATACAACTAGTATATTTAAAAAAAACGATAAGCTTTTCTAATTAAAAGGAATTTATAAAATTACACTCAAATCAACTTGGATATAAAATATCAAAATAAAGCTAAACTACTACAATTAAGTTTGTGATGGATAAAATTGATAACAATCAAAACGACTAAGAATTCTGAGAAATATAAAATCTTCTTTAGCTAAAATATATCGTAATACAAAATACTTAAATATGAACTAATAACATTTTAATATCAATATAAATAAATGCTTTTTAACATAACATTATTTAATGATTTCTCTATTTCGAGTTTATTTCCTAAATGTGAAAAATTCAATTTAAAATTTAATAATTATTTGGTAACCAAAAAAATACGTATTAATAGTATTGACTAGAATTATGATATACATTTGATCATACATAACGATGGTTAATTAGATTAATGATATTAGATGTTCCTTACTAAAACTAATTATATATATGAATCATCTATCGCAAGGCAACGAGACATAGGAATAAAATCTAATCTAATAAGTGCATACTATTAAAGTAGTATTGATTACCATAGCATTACTTACCCAAAACATATACTTTTTAACTGGATATTATTAACTTAGCAACAGAAAAATATATTGCAAAAGATATTCTCAAGTATTTTTATAGAAGGTAGTAGAAAGACTTTAAATTCATCGATTAGCAATAGCAGAGATAATTGATTAAGTAATTTATTGAGTTATGTTAATATAAATATTATTTTTATAAATATATTTTTCTTCGTATCTATGATAATTAAATCTTAATAAGATTCATAATTATATTTTGAAAACATAGATTTTTTTAATTATTACTTTAATTTGAAATAATTATTTATCTTATTCGTATAACGTTGATTTAGAAATTAATTTATAGTCTCATTAATAAATTAGGATTGCTTAGTAAATTAGAAATTTATTGAATCCAAATTGCTCACATTTTAAACATTTAGTTTTGTGGATATATTTTAATTTATTTTAGGTACAAATTCTAATTATATTAATTATATGTAATAATAATAAGCATAAGTTGGACAAGGACCATTATGGTAAGCTGTGCCTTAAGATTTTGTATTTCCCAAACCAAAGTTTGAAGCCACAGTGACGAAATTGGGAAAGAAATAACACGAAAGACATTTGGTGATAACTGATAAACATATATTATTATTCAAAGTAATCGAAGTTATAATGAAAAGGATAAAAGTAAACATGTTCATAAATTACTCCCTTTGGATTTTACTACAAGATTCGAAATATTTAGGGATGCTCCTGTTTTGAAAGCCAATGCTTCTTAAAAAAAGTCAACTCCTAATACTCCTCACTCTAATAGAGTTGATATTGTCAAGCCTGAAGATGTACAAACTCTAGGTGACATCTTGCATATTCGATTACAAAGTGAGAAAACAGAAAAATATTGGGATTTCACTGGTGATTAAGAAATTTTAAAAACATTTCGAAAATATTTTGGTTAGAAAATCAACTAGATGGGATTTCATCACATGTTCAAAGTGTTCAAAAAGATAGGAAAGGGCAATTTTGCAAGTGTTTATTTAGCAGAAAGAATAGAAGATGGACAATAAATGGCAATCAAGGCATTTTCAAAAAGTGCAGTCTATGCGGAAGAGAATGGAAAGGTATTCAAATATTATGATAAATTTAAAGGAGGGTTTAATTAATGAAATAACAATAATGAGAGAGCTTGATCATCCTAATATAATGAAATTATATGAAGTATATGAAACTCAGAATTCTTTATATATGGGATTAGAATTATTATAAGGAGGATAATTATATGAGATAATGAAGAAGAAAGTAATCTTAACAAACAAACAAATCCAAGCAATTATGAAAGGACTTTTGGAAGGATTGGCACATATGCATTCAAAGAATATAATGCATAGAGATCTAAAATTAGAAAACATTTTATTCAAAGAATAGAAGTATAATTTTATTATTGATTAAACGAAACTAGCGATATCAATTCAGTGGTGATAGCCGATTTTGGTTTAGCTACCTTTGTAAATCTTCCAGTTTATCTCTATTGCAGATGCGGAACTCCTGGATTTGTGGCTCCAGAGGTTATCAATATTACTGATATGTCAACAACATACGATAGTGTTTGTGATATTTATTCTCTTGGATTAGTTTTCCATATCTTGTTAACTGGTAAACCAGGGTTTCCTGGAAGAAGCTATAATACAATAGTCTAATAAAACAAAGAAGCGAAAATCAATTTCAAAAGTCCAGTTTTTGATGTTGTACCACCACCTGCTTTTGAATTGCTTAAACATATGTTGGAAGCATCTCCTAAGAAAAGAATTACAGCTAATGAGGCATTGAAATATGAATTCATTGCATTATGCGAGAAAACTATTAATGCTTCTTAGGATGATGATGGAAATATTGGAGATATCGATGACAAACCAGGTCTTAATGTTAGAATCTAATAAATCAATGAATAGTATTTAAATAATCTACTCTTTTAGAGCAGCCAAATTTGATATGCTTAGAATTAATCAACTAACTAATTCACCTATTAAATCTCCTGTTATGCAAGCGACTAATAGAATGAAGGAAGTGCAAAATAAAGATTAATAGATGATCATGAGAACACCAGTTATTACAGGAAGAACTGTTGCGTGTGAAGGTAATTAAGTATTTTTATAAAAGAATCTCCAAATATGAACTAGTTTGTCTCTCCGAGTGTTCAATTCAAGAAGTTACAACAAAAGTAATGTTATTAATATTGTTCTAGTCAATAAGAAGCACCTACTGGAAATGTCCTTTTGAAATATACTCAAAAGCCATAATAGTAATAACAGACTAATAATGAGGACGAAAAAAAGGATTAAACAAATATTGCTAAATCAGTTAAAGCTGCTTTAAGTAAGCATGTATGAAAATTATAAATAAATATATAATATTAAAATTCTATATTTCAAATATCTTTGATGTACTTAAAATTTGCTGGTTCTTTAAGAGCTCGAAGTAAGTTATACCTGTATTTTAAGTGCCATCCAGTATTTGCTATTCTTGAATTGTAAATGTAAGATACCGATTATTATTTTAAGAAGTATTCACTACAAAATGTCAATTAAAAATATACCTAAAGATTCTAAATGCTTTATTAAATTATTGACTTTTCTCTTCATCAGTTTCAACCCAAAGATCTCTCAGTTGTTTTATGTTAGTCATCTGATTTTTCTTATCTTTTAAAATACTAACAAATTCTTCAAATTGCTCGCAATTCATTATTTTTAGTCCAATATCTTTATTTTATATAATATAGGTAATTATTGCTTTAGAAAAATTTTTTGTAATATTTTTCGTATCATTTACCTTTCCTTTTTTAATTCTATTCTTTAACTTAAAATATGAATTTTTGTGTTCTTTACTCTCTTATTCAACTTATTGAGGTTCAATAGATTCAGAATCCTCATGTTAACCAAAAAACTAAAAATCAGACATTCGAAAATGCTGACTTGATTAAACTTGCTTAGGTTAGACTGAAAATCTATCTTAAGATTATAAGATTGGATTAGTTATTTAGTATTGCATTGCTGCAAATTATTCTTGTGGATAATTAGCATAAAATTAAGGATAAGGTTAATCTAATGATTTTTAAAATTGTTACATGATATGAGAGGAAATTAATTTCTTGGAAAAGACATGAAAGTACTATCATTTGACTCTTAAACTTTGATCTATCTTAAGATTTTGTCATCCTAAAAAATGATCTTGAATTTTAGAATGAATAATACATATAGTTGATTATTTTGACCTGGCAAAACAATTATATTTGCTTTCTTCTTAAAGTTTTAGTGTCTAATGAGATTGTTTAGACACTTTATAAATTTATGTTAGATTATTTGGAGCTAATTAATCTACATTATTATTATTCATTACCTTTATTCTCTAATCATTTCCGTCAAAACTATGATAAACATTTTAGAAAGAAAATGGCTATTGCATCATAGACATTTGAACACTATCCTGACTTCTAAGATTACTTATCATTGAGACTTTTTTAATGTAAAATTAAATATTAAAATATCGTAAATGCACTCGTAATAACTGGACATTTTTATAGATTAAATATCAAGTTTTGATATAAATGATTAATAATAAACACACAAGATATTTAATATTTATTAAACTAAATCTTATATTTTTACCTATAATTTTTCATCATTCTTACCCTTCTTCTTCCTTCTGTTTCTCTTGTGACTCCTCACTTTCTGATTATGAACTTTCGTGCTCCTATTAAACTTATTATTCCTTCAACTTTTAATATTGCGATTCAGTGAAATTAGTATATGCCCTCAACAATTTTTCCTTTAAATCCTTTTCCATTTCCTAATTTGCTTCTAATGAATATTTTACATTAAACTTTTCAGTACTATATTCTTTAAGAGGATTCATACCCTCATTGGTCTTGGCTGGCTACCATAAAATATGAGGATATGTTCTAAAATGGTCATCAAATCAAATAACTTACTTGGTAATAAAAAAGTCTCTCATTATTTTAATTTATAGTTCAAGTAATAGAACCTGGAATATATTTTAATCTAATACCTATCTTTTATATTCATCAGCAGCTAAATCTCGCTCTAATTACTTCCTCTCATTAACTAACTAACTCTTCTTTTTCTGAAAATCAATCAAACTAAAAACATACATTTTAATCTTCCTTGAGAGTCTGCAAATCCTATTTGTCTTTATCATCTAATCTTTTATTTATTTCTATTTATTTATCCAACTATTTAATTTGGTTAGAAAAGAGATACCTTCTATTTCTCACCCATCAAGTCTTGTTTTGCCCTTTAGAGATGATTCCCTAATAAGGATTTTGCTAAACGTCTATCCTTCTCCTTCAGGGTAGTGGGTACTTGTTCATCAAGCTACTTTTACTTTTCTGCACGTTCTTCCTTTGCACCCACAAGATTTATTTGAAATACTTTCTATACAATCAAAACAAGAATAACTACCTATTCTTTTCCATCATTTAATTTTATCCTTTTGTGATCTAATTTTCTAATTAATATTGATAACTAATACTAGAATGAGAAGTTCTTAATCTCTTTAATAATGGTCTTCCTTTTTGTAAGACTCTCCGCTTGCTTTTTGTGTAATTCATTCAATTCATTTCTTATATCTTCCACATTCATTGGAGATATATTTTTATATTATTATTATTAATAAAATAAAGTCATTCATTTAGTGGAAGTACTTAACTTTTATTCCATTAATATTTCAATGTCCCATTGGATAAAATCAAATTCAAACTCTGATAATCCACCTAGATTCCATGATCTACTTTATTTCCTATTTGTCTATCCTAAACAAACCAATAATACTAAAGACAATAAGTTAGAAATAAATACATTGGTAATCAAATCCAAAAAATTTAAAGAAAATGCTACAATTAATCCTAGTACTATCAAAAAAGCAATCACAATCCCCATTAATAAATCAATATGCAATCTCAATTCCTCTTTGATAAAAATAGACATTATAACGAGTGCAATTGTTATCAAAGCTAGAATTGTCAAAACAAATGATAGAAATAAAAGCTTTTCGTGTTTAATAGGATCCTTAAATGATGAAAGTAAGTTAGTCTCTCTATATATTTTTATCTTAAAAACAAATTTACAAATTTCACATCTGATAGGTTTGATAAATCTTCTTTGCTTCTCATCCATAAAATTATTCTCAATATCTTTTTGGACACATTATTAATGTACATGTTACATGGATCCTTTGCAGAGACAAGGACGTATAAAATTATTGGGTAAATCAGTTTATCCACAATATTTACATTCTTTTTCATCTATTTTTTTTAGAACAATTATTGATGAATTTAATTTGCTTGTTGTTATATTAACATTCTCAGTAGTTAAATTTAATTGTTTGCTCTTTAGAATTTCATTACTCTTTAAAATAAATTCTCTATTTAATTTTGATTACTTTTTAGGAGTATTATAGATATTAGAATCACTAGGATATAGGTTTAATTATTCAAGATTTGCATCTGATTATTGGCGACTTTGATAGTGTGCCAAATTTTGGGTCAAAATAGTGTTATTTTATGATTCTTATACGTACCTTTCTGTTATTTAAGTAGAAGTAGCATCCTCTTTCTTTTTAGTACTTTAATAACTTGAATAATTGTTTATAGTGACTATCATGTGTACTTTTTAATTTAAATTACAAATTTCTTTTCGATTAATTAATTCCCTTTATTCAATTACATGCTCCAATTTCAGTCTGATTTTAGTAACAAATTGAATAAAATAGCATTAACATTAATTAAAATTAAAAAAATAATAAAATAAAAGCTAAAACTATTTTAAGTAATTAATGTATAAATAGAATTGACACAAAATAAGTGATAGCATGTTAGTAGAACTTTAGTAAACCTAAAATATTAAGATACATTCCTTCTATTTAATAGATTTGATATTTTTTTATTATAGTTTAAAAAGTAGCAATTTTTAATATAGTATAATATGTTAAGATTGAAATTCAACAAATGAAGATGAGGATTCTAGACTAAATATGCAAAGTTGGGAATTATGAGTAAAAATTTAATTAGCAATTCTAATTATATTTAAAAAAAAAAAAAAATAAAATAAAAATAATGTCGAAATCATACCATTATCAGGTTTAGTATGTTGCTAAAGATCAATAGGAATAAAAAAGAGATACTTAACAATATCGAAAAGTAAAAAATCAATATTTAACAATAGTAACACAATAACAATTATGATGGATATTAAAGAAACAAAAAATTTTACAACAATCGATAGCATTATTAAAATGATAATAAGAGAGTGGAGTATGAATGTATAGCTGATATTACTATTATTATTAGAGAAATAATAAATATGTTAGCCTTAACATAATGTTTATGATGCAAAATTATTACTTTCAGCTTATCGAGAATATTTATAACCCCCTGAACCGATTGTCTAGCTGATCAAAAAAATACCATAATTATTTGCAACCAAACCATTCAAGCCTATTTCTTAGAATTCACATTGCAATCATAGTGATGAAGAAGAACCTCAATGGATGCAAGACTCATAATTCAATGCCCCATTTTAACTAAACGATATAGAAAATGAAATTCAATTAAAAAGAGAGCAATATCAGAAGGACCATGGCACATTTGAAAAAAAATAGGAAGAGAAGAGATAAAAAATAGAAGAATCTTAAATTATGCAAGAATTTGTAGATATTATTGAAATTGAAAAATAGAAGTACAGAGAAAAAAGAGAATAAGAATTAAAATAATCATAAGCTGCTATCGAAACTAAATTAAAACTTATTGAGCTCTTCTCTTCAAATAATGAACCATCTTTAAATCCTGTCTAGATCAATCATTAAATATTAACAGTAGAGGAAATAGAAAAGAGGCAATTATCCAATTAAACTCCAACTCATAATAAGAAACAAGAAGAAGTTTCGTAAGTTAAAGAAACATGTATTAGTGATGATGAATTAAATCAACTTTTGGGTCTTAATAACAATAATGAAAATTCACATTTTAAAACTGTAGATTAGCTGCCTACTGTTCTTTTTAAGAGTGAATAAATTAAAACTTCACCATTTTCTATTCAAGCTCAATTACACAACAAGGACATTAATGAATCATTATGGTTTTATATTGATAAATCAAACAAAGTAATTTGGATTTTTTATTTAGACTTAAGGAGGGTTTCCAACCAAAAATATGGATGTTTGGTATTCATAAAATTATTTTAAACCCAGTCTCATGATTTCATGGGGTTCTCCTGGAAAATGGATATACTTTGAATAATTCTAAGCCAATTTACAATCGATTTTATAAGGAACTTTGGATAAGTTAAAAGCCATGGATCCTTCAGTAGTTGATTAATCCAAAGCTTACAAGCCTCTTTAATCTAATCAATAATCATCCTGGAATAATCAATAGCATTACGTCTAAAATAACAACAACAACAGATATTAATATAACAATTATAATAATTAATATGGATAATAAAGAAATAGAAACCCCTAAAATAGAACTATCTTTTAGATCGGATAAAGGGATTCATAACAAATGCATTATAATTAATATTATTATTCAAATGGAAATTAAATTGAATAATCAGGTGAAGGATATATTCTTGATCCAAAGAGTTTTCCAACACCTGATGAAAAATGAGATTAATAAAATTACAAAAAATATTATTTATATTTTTCAAAATTTTCTATTGCTATAATTTAATGATCTCTAAAAAGATATTTCTATGAATGATTTTTTAGAACTGGCACTATACTATAAATAATATTTCTTAAATCTTACTTTCTGTCCAGAATAATCAAGATACGATTTTGAATAATTGAGAGGGCTTTGAGATATTCGACTAGCCGATGAATACCTCTAATATTTATCTGTAAAAAGACCAGAACTACTTACTTTTATATCATTTTTCAACTAAATTAATAATAATTATTGTTTTAACTCTTCATTTTTTATTTATTAATCTAGCCATAATTTCTCTCTTAATAAATAATCGCTATCGAATGAAGGGGATTCAATAAATTTTCCTGGGTGACTCACTCTTGAATAGTATTATATTTCTCTATTTTATTACTCATAAAAATATCCTACATAAGACCTATGAATTGATTATGGTACTATCCCTAATAGTAATTCTAATGAATAAATTTTTTTCTTTAAATAATAAATTTCAAACTCGATGTCATCATCTGAGTAATTATATAAATGTTAATTATCCATATTATTATGATTTAATACTTAAGATTAGACAACTTGTTGATTATTTTGTACACTATCCTTCCCATCTTAATCATCCTTTGCATTATTTTATTAGGCTTATTCTAATTTTTGTTCCTGTTAGATTTACTCTACATCTTCTTATTATTTTTCTTAATTATCATTTTCTACTTCTATTTCTTCTTCATTATCATTATCATTTTCTTCTTCTTCTTACTCATCATTATAATCTTAATCCTCTTCGTTCTCTGTGTAAATTTAATCCAATAGAATTTTTAGCTTTTATGGCTATCCTTATATAATATCAACAAAATTCTATAGAACTTCTTCACTAATGTTTTTTTCCAACTATTATAACCATTCCTACAAAGAATCTACTGTAATTTAATTATTATTATCACAAATATTCAATTAGTTCAATTCAATTTTTTCTTGTATTTCCTAATATAGCCTAAGATTTAATTCTATCATTTACAAATAATTTTCTTTTAACTAATTCATGAATTATGATAATAATGTTTCAATTTCTTTTGGTAATAGCATATCAACAGGAAGATCATAGCCTTTATGATTTTAGGCTTATTCTCTCAATTAAGCATTCCTTTTAGGCAATATAGCACTCTTAAAGCTAATTATTTCGGTGAAAAGTATACTCCCGGTAGGTTATTATTTTATCAGAATCTTCATCTAAAACTCTGAATATGTAATCAAGTTGATCTTGTGTTACTTCAATATCATTATCACATAAAAATTCAAAAATATTCTCAGGTTTTAATCCTGAAATTCTAGGTTAATCTAATCGATTGTAAGCTAATGTTAAGTTAATTATTACTTGTGTGTGATTCAAAACTATCTATGCTTGCTAGCGACATCCTAATCTCTTCTAGTTTTGCCTCTGCTTCTACTGCCAATAAAATAAAGGAATAGAAATTCATTATATTATAAATTAAACTAAAATAAATTTTATTTAGTTTTAACAAATAATTCAAAAATAACATTCTAATGAATTGACAAGGTAATAATAAAATAAAATTTGAATATTTTGAAATCATACAAAGGGATATTTTTATCAAAATACAGAGACTGACTTAATTTATGTAAGTTTCATCTTGACTTAGGAAGAAGTTAAGAATGTTTAATATTAAGTCTGCTCTTTTTAAAAACACCATAATAATATAATTTAATATCTTTCCTCTTTTTCATATTGATTTTAAATACAAAGATTGCAAAATATATTACTAAATTTTTAATAACTAATAGTTCTAAGTTATAGATTCTTATTTGGGTTCAAATATGATGTCTATCTTATTATTTGGTAATTTTATTAAATTACATGCAACTTTATCATTTTATTCGTAACATTCAATTAATTATAAATATTTTCTTAAATTTGATCACTTTCAAAAACAATTGCTGATCATAATCTTTTTCTGATATTATAGTATATATTTGTCAGCTATAAATTCTCTTTAAATTTGTTCCTATTTTTTCTTCTAAACCCTTAACTTTCCAAATCCGATTTTTTGGATATGCTTTTCTATTTTTAAATAACTAAAGTCTATTCGGCCATTCCTAACTATACTAGCTTCTTTCTGTGAAATATTAATAATGTTTCTTTAATGACCCTTTTATATTTTTTGAACATTATCAAAGCTATATTAGATAACTAATAAGTTTGAGGACAAGGTTTGAATGCCTGAAGAAGTTTATGATGGGAAGTAAATTCACAAAAAATACGTTTTAGTTAATCATTAATATTATCTGTAAATTATTAATTCATTATAAAATTCATTACTATTATTATCTCTATTATTCACGAAGTTTTTCAATTTGCTTTCTCTAAAATTCAAGGTCTTATCTCTCCTACATTTTTTGTGGTTAATAGTATAACACAATCAAATATCTAAAAAAGAATTAATATAAAAATAATAAAAATACCTTCCAGCAACATTAAAACCAGATAAGTTATCAAAAGCATTTTTGGCATCATAAATATCCTCATAAACAACAAAAGCTGTTCCTTTTTTATCGCCATGAGTTCCTCTAAATAATCTATTCAAAATGATTTACTTTCTAATTTATCTGATAGCTCCAAATTTTCCAAAGATGTCATACATTTCTTCAGAAGTAATTTTATAAGGTAAATTTCTTACATAAAGTATTCTATTTACTTCAGCTGGCAATCTAATAACTTATCTAGACATAAAAATTATGATTATTTAAATAAATATATATTTTTAAGTAATAATAGTGTATTTTTTTATCTATTGTTATGTACAAGTAATCCCTATTTTTCAAGGTAGAGTTTCTTGTGTCTTAATACCTCGATTTCTTGGTTTATTGTAATTAAACTAATTACAAAAGATTCATCACGTATCTTACTAATTAAGGTTAATCCAACAAAAATAAAAATTAGAAATTAGCAAGCAATTATTCACTCATATTGTATGTTGATATTAGATTTAAATAATATTTATATATAATAAATTATAATGATTAACACGAAATTAAAAAATCCAAAATCGATGACTACCCTAGTAAATTTATATTTAAAAAACATTCATAACCCATAGGAGCTAAAAGATTTAATTAATTAATTATTGAGTGATGCTACTTTTTTGCCAATATATGGACTGAGTGATTAATAGAAACTAGAGCATAAAACCATCTTTACTAATATTCAACTCGGGAATAACTAGAACTTAGGGTAACTTATGAACCTAATTTAGCACTATACTTGGAATGACAGTTTTAGGAGTCATTGGATTCTTGGCACTTGGATTTACTTTTTTAGGTGCAATAGGTGGAGGGGCTATAGGGATTATTTTGGGTCGGTATTTGGGAAGAAAAATCTCAAAAAAAATAGCTACAAAAGGGATAAATTTAACCGAATTTGATATATTTATTATCAGAGTATAATGCTTAATAAAATGGGTAAATTTTAGATTTAAAACTTAGGGGAAATTGATTATGATCAAATATACAAACAATATAAATTTACAAAGGTTTTGCATTCAAAGAATTTTAACTGAAATCAAACCTCTATTGCATTATAAGTATTTTGATGAGAAATTTCAAAAAGAGTCTTTGAATTTATTAGCTAAAATCAGGGAATGGCTGGCTAAAGAATAATCTATATATGCTTTGTGTCTTAGTTATAAATTAACCAAGGAATATATTTAGATAATTGAATAAAAAATCATTTATTCAAAATTTAGTAATCATGAAGTAAATACTTATAATCATAGTTTATTTTTTAGATTTCATATGTTTTAAATGAAACCGTTTCTGATGTTTTAATCCCTTTTTTAACATTATTTTAACATTCAAAACAATTTGAAAAAAATGAAGTAATCCAATTGTTGATCAAAAAAATCAAAAAATTATAAGTAAATAAAATAGTACTCAAATGCTAACAAAGTTATTTTGATTAATAACTTTCAATTGAATTTATCAAAATGTTTGCTGCCAAACTCAATTAAAAAGTTAAGATTGAAGATTTGGAAAAGTTCTTATAAATACAAAATTATAGATAATAATAATAAAATAGAGAGTAAAATTCACCAACGAAAAGTCAATAAAGAAGGAAAAGTTAAGGAGATATGGTATCCATAAATGAAGAAGTAGATGAAGAATTTCAAGCTCAGGTGCCGTTAATCATGAAAAATTAAGTGAGAGCAAGGGCAAAATCATACGATGATAAAAATGATCAGCAGTAATCTTAATTAGTAATACAATAAAATTAATAATAATAGTAATAGTAATAATAAATTATATAATCATCTGATTAAATTGTTTTTGAAAATACAGAAAAAAGAGGATCTTAATGTATTCCAGAAAACTTGATTTAATAAAGCCAATTGCAATAGATTTTACACTTGCAGATGGAACATTCTTAACAACACTCATAAATTCATAGAATTTCATAATTAGCCTAAGATAATTAAATCAATTCAGACAGAAACTATTAACTCTCAGCTGAGTTGGAAGAAAAGTTTAAACTATTAGTTGATCTTATAGAAGAACCTATAGACGGATGGGAAATCATATTAAAAAAAGAAAATTTAATCATTTACAAAACTTTCAAACCTGGAAATCCAGCTGTTTTTGTTAAAGGTCACAGTGATTTAATAGGAATTTCAATAGATGTCTTATTGAAGGCTATACATAACGAAAAGTACAGACAAAAATGGGATAAAATTTTATTGAGTTTTTAAGTGTTAGAAAGAGAATCTGCTATTGTAGATATCATTTATTACTATGTTAAAAGTCCACCTTGTGTGGATAATAGAGAGTTTTGTTAGAAAAGAATTTTGAAATACGATTTTCCAAAACCAGGACAAACATGTCTATTATATTTTAGCGTTGAACATTGTAAGGCCCCTAAATTCAAAGGGCATATAAGGGCTGAAACATTAATTTCTGGCTACATTTTAGAAACTATACCTGGTGGAAGCCGACTATATTTTTGTTCTAACAATGACGTTAAAGGAGATATTCCAAAGGTAACTTATATTTCTCTAAGAATAGAGCTTAGTTAACTATGTTGCTTCTAGAGCTCCTATAAGTTGGATTAATTCACTAAGAAAAGGATGTGAAGATTACAATAAGATTATGTAACAAATTTAATAATGAATAATTGAGAGTAGCAATTGATTTATATATCATATAACTATACTTGATAATAAAAAATAGATCAATAACAAAATAACAGTGCCTCCGATAAAAAATTCTTTGACAGTTATTGAACTTTCTTCTTCCACAATTATATTAGCACCAACATTATTATGATTATCATTAAATTAATTGTTTTAGTAATTGTCATTCAATTTTAACTTATCGAAATGCTTTTTAAAGATCTTAGTAAATTGTTAATTTTATAAATTAAATTTTTTGGAATTTTAAGCCTATCTCTATTTTTCTAAAGCACTACAAATAATTCCCCCAGTTGTATGTTCGTTGGTATACATGAATGAAATAATTGAAATCATCATAGATTCAATTGTTTAAGCAGAACTCCAGCTTTCTGGATGAAAATTAGTAAATGATCTTAGAATTAGTTATAACATTACAAACATACAGGTTTTCCAACTTCAAATCTCCCTGATGGAGTTATGAATTTTAAGGTAGGAGGTTTGAGTGGATAGTCAGGGGGCATCTATAAAATTCCATGATAATATCCTCCTTCAAAGGCATCAGTCAAATTATGAATCACAAAATGCCATTCGAAAATATTTGTGGGATTCGGTTCACAAATGAATTAATTATTATTCAACTTTTACAATTTTTCATATTCTCTGAGTAATCTTTAAATCGATAATTGTTGGGCCATAATAAATAATAAATTAAATTATTTTATCTAAGAATAATATTAAATTTCTAATATTTTTATTAAGCTAAGAATTAGAACAATTTTGATAATGAGGAATTATGATAAAGTTAATAGTATTATATAGATTCTTATATTAATAAATGAAAATTATGAAGTTTTTTGTTATGCAAAATCGTTAAAATCTGAAATAAAAACTTTTTGTGAAATAGAATTAAAGTAAATCTAAATGATAATTAATTACAATATAATGGACGAGAAATCTAAGGATTAAAAGAGATGAATATATATCTAAATTATTTAATATTAATGGAAAGTAAATTTAAAATGAAGAATAGACAACTAAAAATTCTAAGAAATATTGAAGAAAGTAGATATTATTGGAGTAAACTATGCTTGGGAATGAAAATTTGATGAATATTTAGAATTATAAATTGCGCAATTGTTTTTAATGATTAATATTTTTATATATTAATTGTAAATTATAGTTATAATAATATAAATATAATATATAAAAGTAAACATTTTGTTGAAGGAAAACAATTGTGATAAATTAATTCTTTTTTAATTCAAATGAAATTCTTAACGGATTATTTATGTTATTCACTAATAATCCAAGCATTATTAATAAACTTTCGACTTTTAATTAGACTAATTGAATATACGAATATTTATCACAATTAATAAAATGCTTAGACCTTTATGAATGAAAGAAGTTTATGGCCAGGATAGGATGTACCATTTTTATTGTAAAATCTTATCTTAGTAACAAGTTGATCAGGAAATCTAACCTCCTTTACAGATTAAGCAAAACCATTATAAATTTAGGTCTCAGTGTTTCTATCAGCTCCAATAAGAAAAATTTGTAAATCAGCTATTCTGTTGTCCACATCCCATATTCTAAACCGTACTAAATTGATTTCATATGGTTAAGTGAGCTCAATAATTAAAGATAAATATAAATCAAAATAGACATGGCCTACCTACATGCCAAATTCAATATAAAAGTATAAACTATCCCTTAAGGGACTTGCAAGAGAGCCAGGATAGTAAAAATTGATGATCCTAGCTGTTGTGATGATTGCTCCATTTTTTTCAGAAGCTACATCCTAATAGTTTCCTCGAATTTTTGACTTAGTTTGCTAAATAAATTAAGTATTTTCAATACAAGTAGCTAAAGCGAATCTATTTTGAACATATTAGCACCAAATTAGAATAATAACATAAGTTTTCATTTATTTGAATATTTCTAATATTTTATATATAATTGAAATCAAAAGTGATATAATTCTTAAAAGTAAATTCTATATCTGAACCCTAAAATACTCTACTGTTAGTGATTTGAATAACTTTTTTTGTACATAAAATTAATATTTGTAACAATCATGAAATATTTAAAAATATAGTTACATTATTCTCTTCTCTAATGCCGTTATTGTATTACAATTTAGTCAATTATCAAATATAGAGTTTGTTCATGAGCTAAATCTATTGCATTTTTGGTAAAATATTTATTCAAAATATTTCTAAATTTTATAATTTAAAAAGAGTTAAAGAATTCAATCCAATTATTTGGACATTTAAAGTTTTTTTAAATTAATCTATGTCTGTTTGAATTAAAATAAAATCACAGACATTGAATTTTTATAATTTTTGCATTCATATGAAAAACTTAATAAGTATTTAGTAAAAATGAAAATAGGTAAAATCATCAACTATTTTCGTACTGTTTTCAGAATAAATTAACTTTACTCTTCTTAATTTCTCATTTTTATAATAATTTATGATTATTAATATTCTTAGAACTAGATTGCAATTAAATTCTAAATATATAATAAATTAATTAATGTCATCTAATAATTAATTATTTGCTAAAGAGTATGAAGTTATTCTCTGGAATTGTGATGAAGATCCGCCAAAATAAATAAAATCTAAATTTGAAATTACATGCTCTAACAGTGAAGAAATAATATACAGTTCTGAAGGAGCTATTCTAAGAGTGTAAGAAAAATATGTATTCTCAAATTAGAGATAAAATTTATGCAGGATTTAAGGAGCCAGAAGTGTTGACCAATTTGGAGTAAATAAAAAATCTACAATGGATAGGATAACATGACTAAAATAACTTAAAGATTGGCACCTGGAAAGTCTTGTGGAAAGATGAATAATTATAAAATGTAGGAGGAGAATACTCAAAGTTTGGAAATAAATAAGGATAATGGAAAGAGATTATATAGAATTATTGGAGGTATTTTTGATATAATGCTTAATTAGTAAAGCATAAGTTTATGAAGCAGGCGAATATATCAACAATTAAAGATAAGGATTTTGGAAATATATTTATGAAGATAAAGACTTGTATAAAAAATATATATATTTAGGGGTGGTGGTGAATATAATGAACAAGGCAAAAGAAATGGAAAGTGGATCGATTTGAGTGATGGATTTTGGGCCTACTCTTAAGTTGTTTATAAAGGCGAATATGTAGATGGCCAGAAGATTGGTAGATGGGATATCTTATACTAACAGAGAAAAGGAAAAAATTTTGAATTGATGTAAATTTAAATGAAAAATTTATAGTGGAGGTGGAAATTATGATGAAGGTGGTAATGGTAAAAAGATTGGAGAATGGATTGAGTTGAATGAAGGATTTTGGGATTACTCTTAAGTCATTTATAAAGGAGAATATTCAAATAATAATAAAATAGGAAAATGGGATATTTTATCTAGGAAAAAGGGTGAATAATTATTTCTATCAATGTAAAATCAATTAACTAAACTATTTAGAGGTGGCGGGTTTTATTGTTAAAGTGGCTCACTTTAGATTAGAAGATGGGTAGAGCCTAGGGATGGGTTTGGGTATTAATAAAAAATTGTTTATGATGGTCAATATCAAAACGGCAAAAGAGTTGGATGGTGGGATATAATTAATTTTGGGATTTATAATAAATTTGAAAAAATGTAGAATAATCATACCTAATTTAAGTGGTGGAGGATTATATGATTCAGCTAGAAAGGTAGGAAAATGGATTGAACTAAGTGATTAATTTAAATACAACTCTTAAGTAATATATGAAGGTGAGTACAGATATGAATAGAAAATTGGAATATGGAATATATTCTATAGAGAAAAGGAGTAATAATAGTTTCGATAAATGTAAATATTAAGTATAAACCTTATGAAGTGGTGGCGGAACTTATGATTAAACAGGTTAAGGTATTAAAATTGGGTTTTGGGTTGAATTGAGTGATAAGTTTATAAATAATTCTTAAGTTTCATATTAAGGAGAATATTAAAATAATAAGAAAGTAGGCAGGTGGAATATTTATTCTAGAAATACAGATTGTCAATCTGAAAAAATGTACAAAAATCAGATAAATATATTTAGCGGCGATATTTTTTATAATTTTGATGGCAAGCCTTTGGTTGGAATGTGTATGCAATTAAATCAATTCTTAAATTTATCATACATAGCATCCGTAGGCAAATTTGTAGATGGCAAAAAGGTTGGAAAGTGGGATATTATTTATAGAAGTTTGCATTATGAACCATTTCAAAAGATGTAAATAAAATTATTATAATATAAAAGTGGAGGTGGAGAATATCATACCACAAATTCTGGGATTAAGATTGGAAAATGGATTGAATTGAGTGGTTATTTTAGCTAAAACATTTAAGTAACTTATGATGGAGAATATCAAAATGGGAAAAAAGTAGGTTTATGGAAAGTGTATAATCAAAAGAAATTAAGGTAAGCTGCTATTTAATTAATTAGTGGTTGTTTAAATTATGATCTAGAAGGAAGAGTTATATATAAAAGCGGACAGTATAATTACAATTATTAAAACTATTAGCCCCTCCAATATAATTAATATTGGAGAAATAGCACAAGGTTAAAAGGTAGGAAGGTGGGATATCTTATCGAGGTGTTCCTCAGATTAAAAATATCTATTGATGTACATGTTTGCAATTCAATATTTAGTGGGGGAGGACAATATGAGGAGGGAAATTATGGTATGAAAATTGGAGAATGGATAGAGTTGGGTGAAATGTTTACAAAATATACTTAAGTCACTTATCATGGTGAATATCTAAATGGAAAGAAAGTTGGTAAATGGCAAATATTTTTTCAATTTAAGGGCATTAAAATTAAAAAATTAATGTACGTATTTGCAATTTAAAAATTTAGTGGAGGTGGGTAATATGAAGTAGAAAATTGTGGGTTAAAAATTGGGAATTGGATAGAGATAAGCGATACATTTAATCAGTACTCAAAATTGACCTATAATGGCCAATATGTTAATGGTTTAAAAGTTGGATTATGGAAAGAATATAATGGAAAGAAATTAAGGTAAGCTTCTATTGTATTCAATAATTAGAGGTTGTTTAAATTATGATCTAGGAGGAAACGTTATTTATAAAAGTGGATAGTATAATTAATTCATAAAACTGTTAGCCCATCAAATGTAATGGAGATTGGAGAATTTATAAATGGTAAAAAGGTAGGAAGATGGGATATTCTAAGAAGAAATTCCAATAAAAAACCATATCAATTGATGTAAGTTCTAAAAATACAGCTTTAGTGGTGGAGGATCATATGATGAAGCTAACTAAGGCAATAAAATAGGAATGTGGATTTAAATTACTGAGCAAGTTAATGATAATATCATAGCCATATAAAAAGGAGAATACAATAATGATAAGAAAGTTGGTTAATGGATCACCACCAATTAGTATAGCGGATTTTGGTATTATAATTTACCTGATAATTTAGTGAATGCATTAACTATGATTCTTTAGACACCCATTATATCATAAGTGAAAAGTACAAATTTGTGTTTTATTATTAGAAATAATAATTTCATCTATAATGGAGTGTTTAACAATGGTAAAAAGGTTGGTAGATGGAATTAATTTTATTGGAATTATTCAGAACTTAAATTAATGTATGATATTAACTTAATAAAATTAAAGTGGAGGTGGATCTTATCAAATGTGTGGTGATGAGATCAAAATAGGAATGTGGATTGAGTTTAGAGTGTTGTCCTCTGGAGAGTTTGTTACTGATTAAGGTCAATATGAATATGGGAAAAAAGTTGGTTTGTGGTAAATTTTATACAAAGATGAGTAGATGTAACAATAATAATTAACCAATTTAGTGGGGGCGGATAATATGATGAAAGAGGCATAGAAAAAATTGGAAATTGGATTGAGGTGAATGAAGGATATTATCAATATTTCCAAGTTGTTGATATTGGTGAATATTAAAGTGGTAAAAAGGTAGGTAAGTGGGAAATTTATTTAAGGAAAGTTTAGAATTAAAAATTTTAATTGATGTAATTATTAACAATATAAATAGTGGGGGTGGAGTTTATGATTTTGATTCATCAATGAAAACTGGCTAATGGATTGAGGTAGACGAAAATTTTAAGATCGATAGTCAATTCATATAAAAAGGCTAATATCAAAATAATTAAAAAATTGGGAGATGGGACATTTTATTTAGAAATAAAGATGATATTTATTTTGAAAAATTGTAAATCTCATTTATATAATTAGTGGAGGAGGAATGTTAGATGAATGTGGTGATGGATCCAAGTAAGGAAAATGGATTGAGATAGATTTGTAATTTGGGAATGATATATTCTATTTTCTTGGTGAATACAAAAATAGTGTTAAAGTAGGATTGTGGAATACTTATTGTTATGATAAGGAGAAAAAGCAAAATAGAATAATGTAAAATATTCGTTTATCGTATTATTAGTACTTTAGGAGTTTATGATTATAATTAGAGTGGGATAAAGATAGGGAAATGGATTGAGTTAAAAAAGGATATATTTGGCTATAGTTAATCCCTCAGTGGTGAATACAAAAACGACAAAAAAGTGGGCATTTGGGAGGTAAAGGGGTTTAATAATCCAGAAATAAGGTTTGAAATTTCTTTTGATATTTGAATAATACAATAAATTAATTTAGTATATTAAAATATATCAGAATAATTGATTTCAAAAATAACCTGACATCCATTCATAAAATCAAATGAAAGGAAAATTCGATAAATATTATGATTGCTTTATTCTAGAAGGTTTATGAAGAAAATATCAATGAAGAAATAATATAAGAGAAATTGTATTTTAAATTTCTTATTTAATGCTTGCAGAATTATCCATAAAAAATGCTTAATAATCTATGAAATGAATAGAAATTGCCATTTTTGAATCAATAATTTTGTTTCTAAAATCATAATATACAATTAGAAGGTCTAGAATGTTAAAATATTAAAATTTAATATTTCTGATATTTGACTGATTTCTATTTATCACTGAGATATAAATACATTTTTGGCATTAAATATTTCAATAAAAAATATATTAAATAAAACAATACTAATTTTAGTAAAATTTATATATGAATAAGAAATATTAGTTAATTTTTCCAGGAGAAGTTCTCTAAAAAGTATCATCTAACGTAAACCTTGAAATGTAATAACATTATGTCTTGGCTTTTATTAAAAAGTTGACCAGACAAAAACTCCTCTCTTTCTTCTTATTAAGTATTATTTCTGCTCAAATTATATCAAATCTACTTCTAGTATACTATTTTTATATTTAGTTAACCTACTCTTAAGAATAAATTAATTATCAAAGACCTACCTTAAATTGTCTTTTTTGGTCATTTATTTTTCTCTTTTATTTGAAAATGGCTTTTAATAATATTATTTTTAACTAATGAAATGCCCATTTCCTAACCACAGATCACAAGTTGAAAGATTTTGTATAAATCTAACCTGTTGTGAAATGTCGCGCTTATCTTGCAATGAATGCTATCAATAAAGCTTCCATTGTGGTCATCAAAAAGATTAAGATTTAATTACTAATTTACCTGGTTTCATAGAAAATATATCAAATTAATGTGAAAAGGATGTAATTAAGATACTTGGGGATCTAGGAGATAAAATAGCATTACTTTTTTTTTCAATAAAAGATAAAATTAGGCTCTAATTTTAAATATCATCATCAAGATTATAGAACCTAAATAGCAATTAAATAAACTAAATGCTAAGCTAACTAATGGAATTAAACAATGTTAAAACAGAACTGACAGAAATAGAAGTTATAGCACAAAATCTATTAGATGTGTTAAACCAAAAATTAAAAAACCTTGGGTCTAAGGAAAATGGTTATTAGCAACCGTCTTGCTAATAATCTGCTGAAGCAATAAACTATTTCATTGAAGGTAAATCTTTTCTATAAATTAGGTTTGAATTTATTTTCAAAGGGAGATTACCTGCAAGCCTTAACATCTTTTAATACTTCATTAAAGTTCAACCCAAATGATATAGATGTAATGTTATGGAAAGGTAAAAATTACAATTAATTAGGTGATTGTTTATTTTTTAATAACTAATTTAATGACTCTCTTATGTAGTTTAGATAAGTTTGGAAATTAGATTCGACTAACAGTAAATCCTTGCAAGGAATAGGTATGCTTTTATATCATAGAAAATAGGAGATTCCCTATATAGGTTACAATAATACAAAGAATCGATCGATTGGCTTGATTAGGCGTTAAATTATAATCCTTAAAATGTGTAGGCATTATCAAAGAAAGGTATTGAATTTAGTAATTTTATTTAGGAGACTGTTTAAAGTAATTGAAAAAATATTAAGAAGCTGTTACTTTCTATGAAAAAGCCTTAGGTGAGAAACCAGATGATTTTTGGATATTATAATCAAAAGGTTTATAATTGGAAATATCTTAGGGTCATGTTTAATAATGAAAAAATTATAAGAGTATATAATCTCTTCAATAATTTTCAGAAGCCATAGCTTGTTATGAGAAAGCCTTAATTTTAAACTAAAATAATCAAATAGTACAATAATGGAAGGAGCAATGTGAGATGAGTTTGAAAAAATGACTCATAATAAAAAGAAATGTGAAAAGTTAAAAATTGATACAATATTATCTTATCACATTTTGATTACTATTATCGTCTTATATTTGTTTTTAAGGTCACTTAGTTTTTCATATAGTCGGCAAGCCAACTATTCTTTTTAAAAATAGGTCCTACTAATATGGATTTTCACATTCATATCACATTATTTGAGTTTAGCATCATAAAGTTAGTTAATATATTCAATAAACTCTTTAAAAGCCTCGAGTTATAACAATATGAATCAAGTGCAATCAAAGTTTATCCTTAAAAAATGAAAAATGTAAAATGTATAATTATTTTCAACTTCAATAAAATATAATTAAAAATAAATTTGTTTATACAATTTTAGTTATAAATTTGACTTCAAATGGGACTTTAGTGTATTATTCTTGCAATATTTTCATTATTTAAAAATGAGAGCCATTTCTTATATGCATTAAAAGGGATAAAGAAAAATTACTAGAGCCTAATTGTAAAAATAACATCAAATAAAATTTAATTTTTAATATTTTGATAGTTAAACCATTTATTGCAAAATTTTATTTTTGATTTAGGCTCAGTATCAATTGTCATTCTATTTTACTGAATCTGAATTTTGAGTAATAAGATAATAGACTAGATAAATTAATTACTAAGAAAATTACAGACTATAGGTTTTGTTGTTGTAAAAAAGAATAATCCTTTTGAAATCATCTTTCAAGTCTAAATAAAAAAGAAAAATGAATATCAAGTACTTAGATATTGTTGATCTTTTTCAACTTATTATATTTACCTTACAATATTAAAAATTGTTTATTTTAATTAAGCGAATTCATTTGATCTAAATAAACCATTTTTAATANCTCTTCAATAATTTTCAGAAGCCATAGCTTGTTATGAGAAAGCCTTAATTTTAAACTAAAATAATCAAATAGTACAATAATGGAAGGAGCAATGTGAGATGAGTTTGAAAAAATGACTCATAATAAAAAGAAATGTGAAAAGTTAAAAATTGATACAATATTATCTTATCACATTTTGATTACTATTATCGTCTTATATTTGTTTTTAAGGTCACTTAGTTTTTCATATAGTCGGCAAGCCAACTATTCTTTTTAAAAATAGGTCCTACTAATATGGATTTTCACATTCATATCACATTATTTGAGTTTAGCATCATAAAGTTAGTTAATATATTCAATAAACTCTTTAAAAGCCTCGAGTTATAACAATATGAATCAAGTGCAATCAAAGTTTATCCTTAAAAAATGAAAAATGTAAAATGTATAATTATTTTCAACTTCAATAAAATATAATTAAAAATAAATTTGTTTATACAATTTTAGTTATAAATTTGACTTCAAATGGGACTTTAGTGTATTATTCTTGCAATATTTTCATTATTTAAAAATGAGAGCCATTTCTTATATGCATTAAAAGGGATAAAGAAAAATTACTAGAGCCTAATTGTAAAAATAACATCAAATAAAATTTAATTTTTAATATTTTGATAGTTAAACCATTTATTGCAAAATTTTATTTTTGATTTAGGCTCAGTATCAATTGTCATTCTATTTTACTGAATCTGAATTTTGAGTAATAAGATAATAGACTAGATAAATTAATTACTAAGAAAATTACAGACTATAGGTTTTGTTGTTGTAAAAAAGAATAATCCTTTTGAAATCATCTTTCAAGTCTAAATAAAAAAGAAAAATGAATATCAAGTACTTAGATATTGTTGATCTTTTTCAACTTATTATATTTACCTTACAATATTAAAAATTGTTTATTTTAATTAAGCGAATTCATTTGATCTAAATAAACCATTTTTAATATATATAATTTATACTTTTTGCACTTATGCATTATAATTGATATTTCAAATAGGGTTCTTGAATTAGACGATTAAAAAAACGATAGGATAATAAAAATAATTTAATAAACAATGATTAAGGTAGACGTAAAATTTTCAAAAATATTAAGAAGTTTGAAGATTAAAAATTAAAATATTTAATGCATTACTATAAAATAAATAACTCATCTTCTTTATTAAGGTTGCTTTTAAGGATATGATTTTCCTCTTGGTTTTTAATTTTACGCTTTTCTTTATTATTTTTATTCATTTATCTTTTATTATTTTTACTATTATTGCTACTCATCTACTTTAGATTCAAAAATTACATATCTCAGCTTCCTCTTAAGCTTTTTTCTCAGCATCAGGATTCTTAAATATCAATATTACTATTCATACCAATCTAAAATACTTAATTGAATTTCCCTTAATGAGTAATTCTTTGATTCCATGAAATGAATTCCCATCCTGATAAAGATAATAAGAGTATTATTTACTTTTGAAGTATGCTTAACATTTGTCAATTTAACATTCATAAACTTATCTAATAATTCTAAATTACCATCATATGTATCTCCAGCTTTAACTTCAATTACCTATACTTATCAATCTTTTAAATATACCACTTCTGATCCTTTAGCTGTTAACAATAAACTCAAAGGGAACTAGAATAATGATGAAAGTTTTTACAATATTTATCATTAAATAAAAGTGTGTATAATTATATTAAATAATACTATATTAAGTCAGACCTCTGTTTCACTTTCTTTCTCTAATTTATAAAGTCTGAACTTCTCATTCGAGTTATAATGTTTTATTAATTCAGTTTCTTTTTATAAAACATTTTATCCTTCAATTTACAAATTACAAAGGTCTTCCCCTATTGTTTAGACTGTTTTATGGAGAGGCAATTTAAAGATATTTATTTAACTTAAACTGCTGTTTCTTCTAAATCCACTTTTGGAAACAGAAGTAGACTATTGTTAATTTCTTATTATTTCAATTGGTTTGTTCGAGGAATCAACATAATAAGTATTTTAATTGAATGGATCTTGATATGCACTTCTTTTTTTCTCTCTCTCCTCCTAAGATAATTATCTAGATTGCCCTAAATTATCCCTTAATGTCATATACCATTCAGAAGCCCTTGCAGTACCTTCTAATTGTTTTAAGGCTTAAAAATGTTCAATTTATTCAACTTTTTCACGAAATACTATAATAAACTCAGATTCATTACAAGTTGATTTTCTAATGACAGAATCATACTCATATTTTTTTGATTTTCTTGCTGCTTCTTCAACTTGTTATTCCCAAATTTATTGTTATTATTAGAATTTTGTTAAAGCTTTTGTTTGTCTAAGTTGATTATTTTTATCATTTAGCCTTTTTAAATCTTCCTCGATTTCATTATTCATTTTTATTCTATCCTATTATGGTTATTTGTTATACTTCTGTCTTTTTAACAAAATCTAATAAAAACTGCTGAGACACTATTTAATAATCCTTTTATTTTTTTAATTTTTATTCCTGATTTTATTCGGAACTGATAAATAGAGATTTCTGAGAAGAATTCCTAAGAGTTATTCTCTTAGCAAACATTTTTGTAGAATTCGACGAATTGTATTATGAATTTTGTTGCTTTTATATTGTTTCAAATTATTCTCTTTATTTCAAAAATTATTCGAGCTTGCCAACAATTTATCTTTATTGCAAATTTTATTACTAACCTACTGAGAATTTAATGAATATATTAAAATACCATGAAGAAATCTAAGTTGGTCTCCTTAATATTAATATAAAAGTTACCATTAAAAATATTTTAAGTTTATTCTCTTTCTTTAAGTGGAGAAACGCTGTCAAATTTCTTTAAAACATACATTTTCTTTTTCTTATCCAGGGATATTTCCGTCATCAAAATCAAATTATTGTTTTAAAATAAAAAATTATTATGTTTCAATTGAAATTTATTTGAAAATCTTGCTTCTATAACAAAATTGTTTATTGATATGCTTAAAATAATAAATAAGTAATGATTGATGTTGTATTTTATTATTGCATAATTAAAAACATTCATAAAATTTTATTTCTTATGTCTTCAAGTTTCTTTATTATGTCGGCTGGAGTCCTATCAAATTCTTCTGCAACAGTTCTCTATTTGTTATATTACATATTTCCAAATTATTCACACAAATCTCCATCTATTATAGACTAAAGAGTTCATAAATGAGATATATTTACTTTGCAAGGTCCATAGGCAGATCTAAATTACATATGATCCCTTCCAGATAGAGGTTGATGCTCAACTCTAAGATACATTTCAAGATGGAGGAAGAAATCAATATCCTCTTTATTATCGAATGGATAAAGTGCTGCAATTGATCCCATGGAAGTTCCATAGACAACTACTTCGGAACTGGTGGATACTAATGCTATTTTTTGGAGACTGGTGATGACTTCACCTACGTAAAAATTGCAAATTTAATCCATTTTGAATGGAGCTCCATTCATACAACCTTGATCCATTTTCATTTTATATTCATAAGGATGCTCCTCTTATTCTTCATCAATATCTAAAGGTACTCTGCTAACAAAAATGTTCTCAAATTTATCTCCAGCAATAACAGTATGATAATCTAGTACAGTACTTGCAGTTACATATCTAGGTAGTATATCATCTGCCAATTCCATAAATGTCTGGTCTCTAATATTATATCTAAGAAGATGAATAGAATCAGCAACTTCAGCCACGTAAATTCTATCCTCTTTGACCATGATTGAAGTAATAAATGAATTCAGATTTTTGATTTCTGCCTTCTTCAAAATTCTTTGATTTCCCATCTCATAAACTCTTAAATTGCAACCAGCTCCAACTAGTAATCTCCCTCTCCATGCAGCCAAAGCATACGGGATTTCATCAATTTGTGTTGAGTGCTTTAACTTTAAAGTCTTATTATCATAGACAAATGTATGTATGAATCCTGCACTGAAATTCCTAGTAGGTTCATTCACTAGATCTTTTACTGTTCCTACACAAACATATTACTCTGGATAACCAGCAAATTAAATATAACAAATAGAACACGCGTGCTAATTCTCATAGAATTGATGAACATTAATAGTTTCCAATTTAGTGGCATCGACTATTCGAATCAATGATGCCCATTTATATTGTTCAGCTTGAATTTAATTCCATTGTTCTGGTATTTCTTAAGTCTAGTAGACTTCTTATACCTTTTATTAAACATTGTTATAAGATCGATTGTCAGATTCAATAATGAATATAGCCTTGCTAGGTTCATGAAAAATCATTTTTCTGGGTGAATATGTCAAATCTAATGACTACTAATTAAATATTTCACCAAATCTCTCTGGCATGATGATTCGTAAAGTACTTTAATTAGTACCAACAATACCTTAAAATTCTTTAGCAAGGAATGCTGAAGCATAATCCAAATAATCATAAGATAATGGTTGCATGAATATTCGACCACTATTATTATAACATAACCATGATCTAGACGACAATGCCAACATCGCCTATTGTTAATTAGCATTAATTCTGAGACATTTCACAGGCTTTGTTCCTAAATATCTTGTCCTAGTGTCAGACAATCCTCCTGACAATTAATCAACTGAAGTTCTCATTAGAAGACCATTATTTAACCCTATAAATAAAAATAACTATTTAGTAAAACTTTATTAACCTTCCTATTCAGAAGCCATCTCCATCATACATAAGCTCTCAGCCTCACTGGGCAATGCTTACATTGCTCCTCTTTCAAAACAAGATTCAGGTTCTAAACTCAATAATCTAATAGTCTAATCACTCAAAGCCACACACAAAAATTTGCACCTCTATCTTCCCTCCTCAATAGGGCCCAATTCTAAGGCTTTAATCTCATTATCCATTTAATCCTTTGTAATTTCTATCAAATTTCCTTAAAAACTTGTAGTATCCAATTCAAAATAATATACATCACCTCCAGCTAAGGCGAATGCTACTTATTTTTCATTTGAAACTCCCTTAATTACCTTACCATCTATAATATAATCAGTAGGGGGCTTATTCTTTCTAATATGTCGATATCCATTTGTTAATATTTGAATTTAGGAATCATCAATCAATGTTCCTACATGAATTGTTTGTTTTGTTCCCTCCAATCCAGTATCATGAACTTGCTCGACTTTTTCTCCAATTTTTAACACTAGAGTTTTATTAATATATGATATCACAATATATTTATGGACTGGGTCTTCATATCTTTCCTTTAAAGTCCAAATTCCTAATGGTTTTGCTTACAAATTAGTATTCGCCAATTGTGTTATTTCTAAACCATGTCTTAAAACTCTTAAAGTTGATCTATTACCAGCAGCACAACAAATATATATTTATGGATTACCTTCCTTTGCTAAATCAGCCACCTTCAAATCACTAATACAACTAAAATTATTGAGTTCCCATAATAGGGACAAATGCTTAAGCTTTTAAGGCTTAAAAAATATTTATTCTTCCAAAGCCATACTGGAATCTGTACAGATAATGTTTGTGTTCGATTCCTCTCTTTAATATTTATAGAAACAATGATTTCCCTTCTCACAAGCTGCAAACAAATGTTTGCTTCTCATCAAACATAAACTATTAGCCACTGGAATAGTATCGAAATAGATCATTCTTATTGAATGGACTTCATCTTTAGTGAATTGTAAAGATAATTCAAATAAATCACCGTACTCTGATTATAACAAATATAAAAAGGAAGACTAAGATATATTGTAATCATAATTACTTTTTATTTATAAAATCCAAATGAACTTATCATTGCCCCTCTATCAGCAGGCATTCCTTGATTTTTTGGATATGGCACTTTCATTTCCTAATTCTTTGGCCCTCGATAATGCAAGAAATCTTCACATAACACTATAACACCTCCTGGTCCATCAGGTGCATTAGGAACCATTAATAAAGAATGAGAAGAAATGTGAATAGGATCTGATCTCTACCTTCTCACGGTATTCAATCCAAAATCCATTTCATATATTGTTAAGAATTTTGTTTATATACCTGTGCAAACTGCACTGTCCTTATCTTGCCAATCTCCATAATCTGATTCTATTGCTGCAAATTAAGCATTATCATAACCAGCATCTAACCCTACAATATCAAACACAATAGTATGAGATTTTGGCGCCTCTAAAGGAGAGGATATTGTTATTTTTTCATTTTCTCGGGTTAATATATATACAAATTTATGTTTTTCTACAGCACTTATCATAAATGCTCTCCCTTTAGGATCACATGCCAAGTATTAACCAGGAACTATCCTTCTGCATCCTGTTTTTCCATAAGTTTCTTAATGCACTTTTACAAACATGTTTTTCAATCCATCAAAACCCAATACTACTACACGACCTGAATCACTACCAATAACCAAATTATCTCTATTGTTCTACAATTTTATTAAAATACTTACTCCAGGAAATCTGAATGAATGAATTGAACGTATTATTCCAAATACTTCTTGTGATGCTATTGTCTCCAATTTACCACTAAACATTATACAACATCATTATACTTGCTTTCATTTATCTTCAGAAGCTCAATATGCTTTACTTTGGATACAACAATCTCTTGTGCTTTTGGTCCTGAGAAATTTCCGTATATTGCCTTTTGTATTCCTGTGCTTTTTTGTAAAGTTAGACTGTATAGTTGCATATCCAATATTTAAATAAAACAAAAAAGAATATATTAAATAAAATCAATAATTAATTTGTAAATTAGGCATTCATTTCTTATTGTTTTTCTGAACTCTGTAAACTTCAGCATTTTCGGCATATACTCAATCCTCAGTCAACTTATATATCTACTCTTCCAAATTACCGATTTATATTGCCATACTACTCTATATTACTTCTGAATCTGATAACAACTCTAATAAAATTAAATTTTTCACTTAAACATTATTCTATTTACATATTTATATTAATTAATTTCTCAAAGGGATTTAGTTCTACATTTACAATTGGTTGTTCTATCTCTTATTTATCAATACGATATTTCTTATTCTTTGTAATGATATTTTAACATTTAGATTTCGTATTTATCTCTATAAAACTATTCTCATCAACATATAATACCCTCTTGGCAATACCTTATTAACTGTAGTACGCTTCCTTAAATCCTTGATTGGTTCCTCTATTTTTGATCTCCATTTTGACATAAAACTATAAAAAATAAATTCCTCAATAATTTCTGAAACATTGATTAACATTTTTTAATCAACATTCCAATATTTTATTTTGGCTGTTTTAATTTTATTCTGATTGAATAAATGTATTATAAATTCTACAATTAACACAAGTAATTTATTAAGATATAGTTTCATGTATTTCTTAATTCTTTCTAAATTAACTTCTTTATGTTTCTACTAATGAATATACATTTTAATTTTGTATTTTACTAATATTTATTTAATTTTCCTAATGCCAATACAGTATATTCCTAATTTAATTATATAATATAAACTTATATTTTTCAAAGTTTATAAAATATAATTATTTATATTTATTTCTAATAGAAATAGAAATGAGAGAAGGAGATGAAGTTAATGTAGAAAATAATACATATATTCTCAAAGAATTACTTGGCCAAGGCTCGTATGGAAAAGTTTTTAAGGCATTCAATAAGCGCACCTAATAGATAACAGCAATAAAAATATAAGATAGCATAAATGAAGATGAATTAAAGGTATTAAATATGATGAGAAAAAAAACACATAAAAACTTAATCAATATTCTTAATTTTGAAAGAGTAAGTCGAAAATATTTTATAGTAATGGAATATTGTAAAGAAAGTTTATATGATCGGATTATTCGCAGAGGTACAATTCAATCAGATGAAGTGAGGTTTATTATGAAAGAAATAGGGAATGGGATAAAAGAAATTCATGAATTAGGTTATGCACATAGAGATCTTAAACCTGAAAATATATTAATTTTCTAGGTTAATGACAACGGTTAAACATAAGATTTATATAAAATTTGCGATTTTGGTACAATAAAATAAATAGATGTGCTTAAAACTTAAAAAGTTGGTACTGCTTATTATCTTGCTCCAGAATAAGTAAATGGTTACGATAGTCAATATTCATAAAAAGTTGATATATGGGCTTTTGGAGCTTTGATTTATGAATTATTGACAGGAACACCATTGTTTAATGGTAATTTATGATTTAAGTTAGGCAAAAGTGAATAAGAAGTCTGGATTAAAATAAAAAATACGACTTAGAAAAGTATTGATGAACAAATTAAGAATAATTTGAAAATAGAAAGGAAATATAGTACTCTTCTCTTAAATATGCTTCAAACAGATATTGGAAAAAGGTATGATATTAATCAGGTTGTTTCTGATTTGAGAGGAACATCATAACCTATTAGAAAGACAGAATTTTAGGGATAAAGTGGCAGGCCTGATGGGAGAGTTTTCGACTATAAAGGATTGCCAAATCCAAAATAGGTTTAATTTAATTATGCTTCTAAAATACCAGGCCAAGAAGAGCAAATATAAAAAGCTGATCCAATTTATTCACGTGGAAGGAATATTGAGCAATCAGAATCCCCTAAAAGACCTGATTATCGTTCCCCTTAGATGATTAAAGCAAGTGATAATACTCCAGCAATTAGGGCTACAAATATTCCTTTGTAATTATCGAAACAATCAGGTCCAATTTAAACAACTTCCTCAAGCTAGGATACAAAATATTCTTAAATGAACAATTTAATTCAGAATACCACATTCAATCAAAATTAGCCAATTACAAAATTGCCAAGCAATCTAAAGATTGAAAATTATCTTTAAAATAATTCCTAAAAGTAAAATAACTCTTAAACCTTTGATTAATATTAAAAAAATCCTTTTCAGTAATAATAATAATAATAATAATAATAATAATAACCTTTTTAAAATTAAATACCTGTTTAGGCTTAGTAAAATCAATTAAAAAGCTCCCTCCCTTATAATAATAATTAACAATTTGATGAACAATAACAAAGTAAAAATACAAATTAAAAATTAGAAGCTCCAATTCAAAGCCAAGCAGTAAAAAGAACTTTCGGAAGTTCATAGCTTGGCAGCAATCTTTAAAATGCTACCTAAAAGTAATAACCTTATGATTAATAGTAATAAAGTAATAATACTATTGAATAACAATCAGGAAAAATTTTAAATTAGCCAGCTCTAGGTGGTTTTTCCAATCAATAGTATAAAAACCCTTTTTAAAATACTAACTAAAAGCAATAAAGTGTTTAATAATAATAAAATAATAATACTATTGAATAACAATCAGGAAAAAATTTTAATTAGCCAGCTCTAGCTGGTTTTCCCAATCAATAGTATAACAACCTTGTTTAAAATACTAACTAAAAGCAATAAAGTGTTTAATAGTAATAAAATAATAATACTATTGAATAACAATCAGGAAAAAATTTTAATTAGCCAGCTCTAGCTGGTTTTCCCAATCAATAGTATAACAACCTTGTTTAAAATACTAACTAAAAGCAATAAAGTGTTTAATAATAATAAAATAATAATACTATTGAATAACAATCAGGAAAAAATTTTAATTAGCCAGCTCTAGCTGGTTTTCCCAATCAATAGTATAACAACCTTGTTTAAAATACTAACTAAAAGCAATAAAGTGTTTAATAATAATAAAATAATAATACTATTGAATAACAATCAGGAAAAAATTTTAATTAGCCAGCTCTAGCTGGTTTTCCCAATCAATAGTATAACAACCTTGTTTAAAATACTAACTAAAAGCAATAAAGTGTTTAATAATAATAAAATAATAATACTATTGAATAACAATCAGGAAAAAATTTTAATTAGCCAGCTCTAGCTGGTTTTCCCAATCAATAGTATAACAACCTTGTTTAAAATACTAACTAAAAGCAATAAAGTGTTTAATAATAATAAAATAATAATACTATTGAATAACAATCAGGAAAAAATTTTAATTAGCCAGCTCTAGCTGGTTTTCCCAATCAATAGTATAACAACCTTGTTTAAAATACTAACTAAAAGCAATAAAGTGTTTAATAATAATAAAATAATAATACTATTGAATAACAATCAGGAAAAAATTTTAATTAGCCAGCTCTAGCTGGTTTTCCCAATCAATAGTATAACAACCTTGTTTAAAATACTAACTAAAAGCAATAAAGTGTTTAATAGTAATAAAATAATAATACTATTGAATAACAATCAGGAAAAATTTTAAATTAGCCAGCTCTAGCTGGTTTTCCCAATCAATAGGATAGCAACCTTCTTTAAAATGCTAACTAAAAGCAATAAAGTAATTCCTCCCATAATTAATAATAATAAAATAAAAACATTTTTCAATAATAATAAGGAACAACTTAAAATAATAGAGCTTCATAGCCTTCCCAAAATTTATAGAATAATTATGGCAACTTTATTTAAAACACTAATTACAAATAATAGAGTGTTCCCCCTTAGAATTATTAATTATAAAACAAAAATAATATAATTTAAAAAGAAGAAACTATTGAGCAAGCAGCAGCAAAAAATCCTTCCTCATAATTTTTAAATTCTTCTTAATTTAATACCTAAAAGCAAGGTCGTCAATAACCAATTAATAGAGATGATTTACCATAACCTTAGAATATAAATAGTTCATAATTTAATAATACCAGCTAATAATAATAAAATATTTCATAAAATAGGATTCCTTAAAACGGCAACTATTTTTAACAAACAAACTCAAATAGTCCACAGTAACCCCAAAGCCGCTTGAGTACTTTTCAAAATCAGAATAATTAACCCTAAAAATAAATTTTTAATCCAGCAGTAGGATAAAGGAATGCTAGCAATTTTAAGTAATCTAATTAAGCCTAAGTAACACCTGGATAATCAGGTTAATATATCTAATCATCATTTGGAAATAATCCATACTAATAGCACCCACAGAGAATTGGATAATTTAATAATTATTAATGAAAATGAAATGATTACCATTCAGATCAAATATTTTTATATTTATTAATTTCTTATTCTGCTATATTTACAAAAAAAATATGATTCTGATATACGAAAATAGTTTTTAAGGAAAATTCATTATATTAATTTATAGAATTTAATAGAAGTATTGTTAATAGAAATGCAAAATGATTGGAAGGTGCAAGTATAGTAAGAAGACAAAGTCGTAAAATATAAAAATATAGAATACCACATCGGATAAATAGTTGGATCTGGAGCTAGTGCTAAAGTCTATAGATCATAAAAGTTTATTGATTAAATATAACAATAAGAGGATGTAGCTCTTCGAATCTAAAATCGGTATTTTAAGCCAAATTATGATCTTTTGAATTAACTTAAAGATTTTAAGTGGAAAAATACAACATATCCAATTGAGAATATACCTGGCGGCTTTTTATATACAGAGTACGAACTTTTCGAAGGCAATCTCACATAGCTTTCCATAGAATTAATTAAGGAAAATATATTTAAAATTGCTTAAACTATAGCTGAGGCTTTAATCGAAATTCATAAATCGAATTACATTCATTTTGATGTAAAGCCAGACAATATTGTTTTCAAAATGGATTTTTCGTAAAAATTAAAGTTTGCTCTCTGTGATTTCTCTTCAATCCAATCTCTTGATAATGCAGCAAATAAAGAATTATTCATTGAGGCTACACCACAATTCGCACCACCAGAAATAGAAATTTAAGGATATTCTAAAAATATAGATCAAACCTGTGATATCTGGTCATTAGGCATGAGCTTATATAGTCTATACTCAGAAAAACTTATGTTCACATAAGGTATTTTCAATAAGATTAGTTTTAGATAATCTAAATTTGAAAAAAGAATAAGATTTTATAGATGATACTGTGGATTAAGATATTGATAACGATAAACTGAAATCTTTAATTAAATCGTCACTTAAAGTCCAGAAGGAAGATAGAATATCTTTGAAAGACATGATTGAATACATTGAAAATCCTGAAATGAAGAAGCCATAACCTTGTGCGAAATAATGTAGTTCAAATTCAAGTCACTCCTAAAAATAAATAGGAGATATAAAATAGGAGAAGGTTAAATAACCGAATTTGATAAAATTTCCAATATTACAAGACATAATTGAGGAGGCTTTAAAGAAATATTAAATGAATTTAAACAAAATAGACAATAATTATGGTGCTACACAAAAAAGATAAAAACAATCATGCTTATTAGAAATGCCAAATATAAATTTTTGATGAAATGGTTTCATTTATTATCATTTAAATGTATTTCAAACTTTTTTAATTGTTCAATAAAGCCATCATTTGGCCAAACAATGGTTCTTTTTGTTTTGACAAATTAGAAGGCATCCCTAAAAGATAACTTTTTTGTTTTCATAATATAGGCTATCACAATTGAGGCAGATCTAGAGACTCCAGCCATGCAGTGAACTAAAACATTGCCCTTTTATAAATTTTCATCTATAAATTTAAGACACTAATCAAAAAATTATACTAAATTTTAGGATTAATGTTTTACATAAATCTTGATTTTAAATATCTTCCACATCCAATTTCATATGTTTAATGTTTGGATTTTCATAAACAATTTTGGATTCTTTAGTTACAGTCAGAACAGCATTAATTTTTTTAGGTCCTAGATTGTAGGGTTAAGCTGATTTGATGTTGCCTAAAAAGAGATATCCTTTGTCTAATTCATCATTTTCAGGCTCTAATATTGTTGTGCTGTCTTTGTAGAAGGGCTCTAAAATGTCCATAAATTATAAATTTTGTTATTAATTGATTAATATATTTTCTATATATTATAGAGGATAGAAAAGAGGTTTATCTAATACATATAGGTTTTATGAATTTCTAAAATAATTAATATTATAAATATAAATGAGTTAAACAAAGGAAATAAAAGTAGTTTTATTAGGTGTTTCAGGAGTGGGAAAAAGTAGTCTTTTGTATAGATTTGTTGAGAATGATTTTCAAGAAAAGGGCCAACCTACTTTAGGAGCAGCATTTTAGAGCAAAACAATATTAATAGATGGAAAAGCATTGAAATTTTAAATTTGGGATACTGCAGGTTAAGAGAAATATAAAGCAATATTACCTTTATATTATAGAGGTATTTGATTAGTGTATTTTGAGATGCAAAAGTAGCTCTTTTAGTTTATGATGTTAATGATTTATAAAGTTTTGAAGGAGTAAAGGAATGGTTTCAATAATTGCAGGATTAAGGACCTATAGATTAAAGTAATAATGATGTAATTGTGAAGTTAGAGTGATAATAGGAAATAAATGTGATTTAGAGTAGAATGTATCAGATAACATGGCTGAAGAATTGGCCAGATAATACAACGCTAACTTTTTTAAAACTAGTTGCAAAGAAAACTTAGGAGTGCAAGTATTGAATAGAATATATTAGGAAACATTCATTTAAATAGGAGAACGGGTTTTTAAAGAGCAGTTGATAGAAGAGAATCGTAAATCAAACACTGAAAATGTAAACTCCACTTTGAAGATTGGACCGTAGAATCTTAATAATAAACAATAATAAAATAAGTCCGTTTGTTGCTGAATATTATGCAAATTATCACATATTATTATCTACGAAATATTAAATACTTATATATTTAAAATACATTAGTAATTTAATTTTGGAAGATATGAATGGGAAGCTGTTATTTAAAAATGATATACTGTTATATATACTCATTAACCTAAATCAGTATCACCAGCAGCAACTCTCATGGCGATGTATTCTTTCAAGTCTCTCATGTTGGTGTTCAAATGACCAATCAAGTCAGAAACAGTTTGTCTGTCTCCATCTCTGGCGGATCTTCTTTATTAGTATTCATAAGCAGCTTATTAGCATTCAGCTCTTCTGTCATCTCTTTATTAGGTCTTGGCTTCATGTCTGGCGGTGTTGTCATCTTATGAGCTGTGGGTGGCAGCGAGTTAGTCAGCCAATGATTAGATTTCAGCTTCTAAGTTAGCAATAGCTGAGTTGAGCTTGTTCATATCTCTGTTTAAGAGGGTGTTGTAAGCTTCAAAGGCTTATCTTCTTGAATCTTCAGTCTTTCTGGCCAAATCGAAAGCTTATTATAATTAGTTTTATAAATCGTCGATCAATTGGATGATTCTTCCTGTTAATTCTTAGTTGGCATATTATTAAGCCTTGACAGCCAATTAAGCCATAAGTTTGATGGCTTTTCCGAAGGTTCTGATGTGTTTCATTTATCCGGCCTTGTGAGCAGCGGCGTTCAAGTGTGAAGCAACTTAAGCAAAGACTTATGGGGTATAGTGGACGGCTTCGCTAGCTCCCTTTTATAAGAAAGCTGGGGCTTATAAGTTGTCTGTGAAGAGTCTTCTTGCTTCAGCGAGGACGCCTGAAACGAAGGTGAATTCTTCTCTTTAAGCTTCGAAGTCATCGTTTTCTTCTTATCTCTTGGCTGTGGTTTCATCGATAACCTTTTAGAGGAGGGCCTTTTCAGCTAACTTGGCAACTCTTTATCCGACCTTTTAGTCATGGACTGGTTGGAGTTAATCAAGTGTGGCTTATAATTCTGTGTCTCTTTATTCAAGGTTGGCGAGCTCTTAGTTGAGTCCAGCGAGGTCAGCGTCACAGACACCTTAGAAGGCCTTGTTTTCAGCATCATCTTCTCTTTAATCGTTTTAATATCTGTCTTCCAAGTCATAAAGGGTTTAGAAGATTCTTTCAAGTGGTTCACCTGTTTGCATTTGGATGGCAATTGTGTTCAACAATGTCTTTCCGAGTTTGCTCTTTTCGAGTTTCTCGAATGCTGCTAAGTTTGTAGCAAAGGCTGTGGCAACCAAAACCAAAATGATGATTGATTTCATTTTAATAATGAAAGAGAATAGAAAATTGTCTTCGTTTTATAGCAAAAAACTTTGTAAAAACGGATTATTTTCTCGTAATATTTAATTATTAAAGAATCTAATTATTCATATTAAAACTAAATATCTCTTATTCATTCTCATTCTGCATAAAAATAAGAATAGTTTGATTCTTAAGAATCACAATTGCATTTAAGTGATGTACAGTTCGACTATAAAAGTTAATCTCTTTAAAATTTAATAACTATCAATTAGCATGGGAGCAACGATTTCAACATTAACCATCCAAACCAATAAAATCGATTAACAGATTAATCTAAGAAGTTTGAAGTAGAGTCAATTTAAGTTACTCAACTACTTATTTATAAAATTATATCATGAAACCCTTAATTTTAACAATTGTGCCAAACAAGAGACAATGCATATATAGAATTATACTTAAAAAGGAAAATTTGTTATTTTTTAAACAATCAATTTTGTTTATCATATTTCACACGTGTTCTTGATAATGAATAATTTCTCAATGTAAAATTTGTGTATAATAGATAATAGCATAAATTAATGCAAATTTATCAAAAGTCTTTTCCTTTTATATTAAATAACTTATTTGTAAAAAATTGAACTTATATAATTATTATATATAGTATATTATTCCTTTATAAAGTATATATTTTATATTATTTCAACCTTTTGGAAAATCATTGTAATGATCCAGCCTAATTTGTCCAAAATTAAATAAATCAAAATTCGTCTCTTGTTTACATAGTTTACATATGAAATATTTCATCAGAATAGTTCAATTGTTCGATGAATTAAACGATTTCTTTCGAAAGTACGTCAAAGTAGTTCTATTGAGGATCTAATCTTCATCAATTTTTGAATATTCTTATAAAAATAATATACCATATTTAACTTTACTTTCTACAACTCTGTGATGAAGAATTAAGAAAGTACTTCAATTCATCAAAGGAATTATCAATTTCAATAATTGTTTCTTAGGAAATTTTGCTCAAATGGAAGAACTATGTAATAATGGTTTTCATAGAGTATTTTTTATTTATTATTGTTTAGTGTAGGTAATTTACACAAATAGATATTATCATTGTTACTCAATCATCATATTCAAAACTATTTTTCCTTGGCTCGTTATTTTCATTTTCTAAAGCAAAGAATTAATTTGTATCTATAATATTTTACTCGTCTGACTACTTCTTATGTTCTTTTATGATTCTTCTGATTACTCCCATTTTACAATTCATAAATTAATTAATATCAACTACTCTCTAAGTTAAATTGCTTACTTATTTTCTCAGCTTTTTTCAGGCAATAATAATAGTCTTCTAAAGTTTTTCTTGAAACTCCTACTATTTCTGCAGCTTGGTCGAGAGTGTACTTGATCATTTTTCCATCTTGAAAGTGTCTCTATTCAAATATCAATCTAGTGGATAAAGATTACTATTACCTCCATTAATCGACTAAGAATTTGGCCTCATATACAAATCTTTCCTTTATTCTCTTTTACATTTAGTGCTATTAGTGGTTTTCAATATTCATTTATTTAGGTAATTAATATAATAAATGATAAAGGAAAATGATAGATATGGCGAAGATAGCAGATACTCTATTTAAAACTAAACAGATTCAACAGAATACGAAAGGATGATAATAGAATTACAGAATCAGATTGAAACCCTTAATGACAAGTTATTAGAAAATAGTTTTAAAAATTTGGAGCTAAAATAAGCAATTAAAAAACTTGAAATGCTTGAGCAAGAAAAGGAAGGAAAGATAAAGTAATTAAATGCTAAAATGTAAAATGATTATGCTATATAGAGAATTAATAAATAAAGCACAAAAGGATAAAAGAAATAGACACTTGAAAGAGATTTATAGTCTAAAAAAGTTTACTTATCAAATTCTGTAGAAATATGTTAGTCATCAAATCTATGATGAGAATGACGAAAACTTTTACGATTATGAATCAAATATTGAGAATATTATAGAAGAGATTATTCTATCATAAAAATGTAATTTTGATTAAATCAAAAAATCATTTGAGCCAATTCTACAGCAACAACAAATTGTTATTTAAAATAATGATTACCGTGATTTGGATTAATATTTTAAAGATGCAGTGATCTAAATTAAAAATAAATTTTAAAGTTCTTAAGAGTAAATTTTTATTGTAATTTAGTATTCATTAAACTAGTTACAATCAATCTTATATGTATGAGGAGTTGAAACGTCTACGATTAGCACTAAATTTATTTATAAATGATTCTGTTGTGATGATTAAAGATTAATTAAACTAAAAGCGTTCATTTTGTAAAGTACAAAAATCAATAAGTATATTTTATAGAATATTGAGGATAATAAAAATTATTGCGCAGAAATATAAGTTATACTAAATAGTGTAACACAAAATTAGGATCAGTTCGAGATAAGTTTGTAGTAGTTATCTATGGCATTTAAGAAAATTATCTAATTGGTTATTTGAATGATGATTTTTTATATTTATAATTATAAAGAAAAAGGTATCCTTCGTTCTGTCAAATGATTTTTATATCTAATCAAATTTAATACTATTTGTTCATTTATTTTAATAATTTAGTAATTGAATAATACTTATGAGACATTATCGAAACAATTCTCCAATATGGTTATGGAATTTTCATAAATATTTTAATCATTGAATTTCTAAACTCATTATAGAGGATACTTTGGATAAATTTACTAGTTTGATAAATTTTATTAGATTAGAAATAATTTAATGTTGATAATAACTCAAATTTTAGGTATATTAATAATAAATCATAATTTAAGATAAGTAGAGTAGAGTAGGAGTTTATTCAGAATTATTTTAAATTGGCTTGAGGCAGCAAATTTTCTGATAATTTGAATAATCACATTAGATATATAAGATATGTTTTGATATATTAGAAATTTCTTATCTAGTACAAAAATAGTTAATCAATAACAATTGGTCAGGATATTAATTAATATCTATTAATACATCCTGATTCAAAGAGTAAAGTTATCGATCATTGATATTAATAGTAAATTTAAAGGTCTTCCTTTATAAAGAGAATTTTATCGATATATAATTACAATTCATATTTATGACCTAATTTTCACATTTAAATGAGTCTAATCATCAACTTTCTGATTTCTTTTAAAATGAGTGAGAGTTGCTAGAGATTAAAAATCAAGAACCTCAATAGAACATAAATGCACTTAAGTAAACTTCGCTTTATAAATATAATAAATAGTTAAAAAAAAATAAATAGTTTAAAATCGTATAAGTCCAGAATTTCAAAAGGTAAGGTTAGCATAATCCTATAGATATTTTTGTAAAACTCCTTGTTGTATAAGAGAATAAGGGCTGAAAGTGAAAATTCTTATATTTAAACAAATACTAATTTACTCACAAAAATTCTCAAATTATAATGTTAAAATTAATACAATAAAGAAAAATGTTCTGTAAAAACTTTTAAAAGAGATAACAAATAAATGTAGAATTATATGGATTAATATTAATTAGATTATAGTCATTAATTAAGTACAAGCTATTATGAGATCGAAAGTTAAAAAGCTATTAACTAATATTTGCTAATTGAATGTTATATTAAATTCTCAGGGACGAATTAGAAAATGTTGAAAAGATAATACATGACACAATGTCAAATGGTTACTCTGATTTAACCACAAGCAAATGACTTGTTTGATTTAATATGTTTTTTTGATATTTTTTATATTAAATAAATGAGTTATCCTAATATATAAGTATTTTTAGAGGATTTCGATAAAGAAAATGAATTATTAGGGAAAGGTACTTATGGGGCAGTTTATAAAATGAAAACCAAAAGGATTATCAACCCTGAATTAGAAAGAGAGTAGGATTAAGTGCCGTTTGTGAGTCAATATTTGGCAGTAAAAATGATGGATGCTAAAACTGAAAAATCCTTTAATACAATTCAGAAAGAATTCTTGATATTAAAGAGTTTACCCAAATAGCATCCAAACATTATAAAATTATACAAAGTAATCCTTAATTATGAAAAATTGTAGAGTTATGCTTGGGCAAATTAAATAACCAAAACATATACTCTTGTGTTAGTAATGGAATTAGCTGATAAAAATCTAATGACAGAAATAAAGGAGAGGATTATTTCATAAAAGTATTTCCCTGATGATTAATTGCATCACATATTTTTATAGTGCATATAAACACTTAATGATATTAAAATACACTCTAATATTTATCATAGGTAAATAATGTTCAAAATTTTAGAGATATAAAACCGGAGAATATCCTCATTAAATCTAGTGGTTTGTAAATACTTTTATCAGATTTTGGTGTATCTAAAAAACTAATGAAAGAAAAATTACCAACTATTGCAGGGACTTTAGTCGGCACTCCTTTATATTTATCTCCTATTCTTTGGAATGCATTTGAATCTTTGAAATTTTAAGTAGCAAACATTAATAAGATTGTTCACAATGTTGAAAAGTCTGATGTTTATTCTTTGGGTGTAACTTTATTATAAACAACTCTTTTACTAAATTCTGAAATCTAGAAGTTAAACGCAGTATTATACTTAAGTAATTTAGGGAGAGTAAGGATAAATTAGAACAAATAATTTACTAAAAGGCGTTTAAAATCCGAGAATTTAAAATATATTAACAAGAATGCTCGAACATGATGAAAAATAAAGAGCTTCTTTTTAAGAACTATTATAACTTTTGAGTGAACCAATACCAAAATAAATGGTTTAAAACAAAAAGCCAATATTTTCATATGTTGAACCGAAAATAGGCATTAAAGAATAATTTAGTTTGTAAGCGAAGATTAATTATCAAAACAATAAAAATGAACCTGATCAAGCATTTGTTAATTAAAAATCAGATCAAAAAGATGAAAAAATAGAATAAACTAATAATTCAGAGACCGCTCAAGAATCTAAATTAATTTAAGATCCTATACTTTATGACAATAAGGAAAAGTGAAATTCATAAATTAATTCTTTAGATATTAACATTAAATAAAAGAAAATGAAAAAGACATCAATTTTGTCTTCTACTCTATTTAATTTTTACTGTTTCTTCAGCATCAGAGGTTTGAAGCATTGTAATCAATAATTTAGTATGATCCTCAAACTCAGTGTCCTCTTTTTGATTATCAGCTTTAGGTTTAATTAAGAGGACATTTTTTTCAAGTTGACTTAAACTAACAGATATTTTATTGATTACTTTCGCTTTCTAAGTTTTTTATTAAAGAGATTATCACTCATTTCTTATAAATGTGAATAGATTCTATTTCTTTATAATATTTCCTATTTGCTGATTTACATAGATGTTTATTATAAGAGAGTCTAACATAATCAATAAAGGTTATACATTTTAATATTGTTTTAATTAGTTTTTTTCATCAACTTATCTGTATTTTTCTGTAATCTCTTACATTCTGTATTCATTCTATCTTTTCTATCTCTCTAATATATCTTGTTTGTCTTATTCTTTGAGCTTCCTCAATTCTTACTTCAATAATATTTTGTAATCTTATTCTTCCTAAATTGATTCAATTTATTACTTTTTTTATTTTATTAAATTATTCAATCTTCGAAAACTTTTCATTAATTTACTTTAATTTCTCACTAAAAACTTAGAATCTATAATTACTCTCTATCCTTAAAAATATCTCCTTAATTAGATTTAATCTTCTTTTATTTTTATCTGATCTCTATTTTTTTCTCTTATTCTATATTCTAAATAGACTTTTAGTTTATTTAAAAGTCTTTTTCTTTTTATACCATTTTTTCTAAAAGTAAATTTATATGATCTTGTGATATCTTGTCTTTAAGTTATTTTTATTGTTTCATGATTTATTGCTCTTTAAGATTTTATTCTTTTATTTTTTCTATTTTACTTTAGATTAATTCTCTTTGCATTTTCTCACTATTCTCTAATTTTTATTGTATCTTAGCCATTTACATTTGACAATCCATATCAATTTATTTTTCAAATTCTTCCTTTCTCAATAAGACTTGTTCCCTTTTCTTCTTCTCCTTCTAATCATCCACTTTCAATAACATTTTACTTCTGATTTCATTATTTTTAATATTAACTTACTCTTACGATAATTATTATATATTTTTTTGTGCCTCATTCTCTCTTGGTTAAGACTGAGATTCCATTTCTTAAGTATCTATTCTTCTATTTTCTATTTTCCTAGATGTACTGTATTTCTCCTTCATTTCTTATTATTTTTTGGTCATGACATGAACAATTCTTTAATCTCTTTCCTGTATTTTTTCTAATAATTCAACTCTTTTTTTGTCCTCCTCCAATTTAATTTAGGCTTCTCTCTAGGATAATTTATTTAAGTACTATTTTCTAAATTTTATGTTTATTATATCTAGATAATTCTTTGTTTAGCCCTCCTTCAAACTATGCAACATCCTAATATTCTCCTATAGTTTTTGGAACATACCCATCAACTACTTTCTATTCTTACAAATATTATAAAGTCTTGTTGTAAGCACAATCCATTTATTTTTTCAGTCTAATCACATATATAAAAAGTATTAACATACTCTGATTAATCAATGGTAGAACCTTACTTAAGAGAAACCGATCTTTCAAGAGAATCGATTGAAGCACATTATAGTTAGCGTTATCTATTCTTTCTTATGATTTCTTTTCTTGCCTAAAATATTTCATTCAATAGTTCTAAAATATTATGTTGATCTTTACAATTAGTTTTATTAATGTAATGCTCATATCGCAATTAAAGAATTTCATCACTATAACAATCATTAGTGCGAAAATTGTCAATATCTCTACAAGTATAAAACATCTTTTACTTTATTTAGAAAATGCCCAGATCTATTCCTAGCTTCTGACATGCTTACACTGTTCTTGGGGAATTAGATTTTAAGGTTATTCCATTAAATACGACTTGATTTTGAGATGAAGTAATAGATGATGAATTAAGATCCAACGAACTAACATTTTCTCTCTGGGATTTTCCTTACATAAATTATATAATATTTTATTTCTTGTTTTAAATATACAAATAAACCATAGGAGTTACTGGAAATACAAATATTAACAGGTAGGATGATAAGTTTATAAGCATTATAAAATACTTTATGGAGGTTTCATATTACAAATTTTAATTCCTGCATATTAGAATTAAACCAAATAGATAGGATGCTTAATTAACAATATGGGGAATGATTAGGACGAGTACGATGGAGAAAAGAGGAGGTAGTAATAGTTGGATACAAAATTTACAATTATTCTTTTTAATACAAATATATAATAATTTATTGTTTAAGTTAAAATTACTCAAGAATTGGAACTTAAAGAATGTAGAGCATTTCAGAACTATGAGTAAGGTTTCTTGTTGGAAGTTTTAGTTTCCTCTCTGAATTTGGGCATTTTGAAATTAGAATTGTTTTCATTTGATGATATGCTGAAATCACTTAAAATAATTTCCTGTAAATCATTTTCTTAAGGCGCATTTTTAATTAAAAACTCAGTGAGTTTCTTTAAGAGGCATTGCTTAAGGAGTTCTAAATTAATGTGTTTTTTAGAGGGAGTCGACTCTTATGTTGAATCGAATTCTTTGACCATTTTTTTGACATGCGGGTTTTGTAAATGCTCTATTGGTTCCCATGTGTTTTATGAGTGTGGATAGCCCTTCCATTTAATCTAATAGAGATAGGCTTTGGTTTGTTCATCGAATTTCCTCTCCACAATAGATTCAACTTCATATTCCTTTTTGTATGTTTTTCTTTTCATTTGGCAATTAATAATTATTTAGTATTAAGATTTAATTATTTATTCAAATAACTCTTTGTTTAGAAAGGTGTTTGTGAGATGAAAAATTAAAGGCTATTGAAGGTTTCTTAAAATTCTATATATTAAATAATACAAATCATATTAATTAATCAAAGTGCTTTGCATTATTATCCAGAATCCGAAGCATTCTATTGAATCTAGATAGAGGAGGGACTGTGGAAGATACAACAAGCGAACAATAATTAGTATACATAAGTTCCCATACGGAATATCGATCAGAATGATATATATGAATCGATAGTGTTTGATAAAAATAATAATAATAATAATATAATGATGTCATTATTAATTATAGGATTTGTCATAGGAACAGTTTATGCTGTCGACCCTGATGCTGATAAGGTAGTTTTTCCAGGGTGGGGAGAATATAATTTTAATTCTTATTCAGGATATCTACCAGTTGGAGCAGGATTAAGGTATGATGAATAATGATGTAGATAATTGCATTATATTTTCCTTGAGAGTCAAAGCAATCCCTCAACAGATCCCGTTGTGTTGTGGTTGAATGGTGGACCTGGATGCTCATCATTATTGGGATTGAATGAAGAAATTGGTCCATTCGTGATGGTTGATGAAGATAGGTAATTCAAGAAGAATCCTTATCCATGGAATGCCAGGGCCAACATGTTATTCTTGGAATCACCTGCAGGAGTAGGATTCTCATTGAATAAAGATGATTCATACGAATACAATGATGAGAATTCTGGCCAAGACAATTATGAAGCCATTCTTGCTTGGTTCAAAGCATTCAAATAATTCCAAAGAAGTAAATTCTTCATTGCAGGAGAATCATATGCAGGTACTCAAATTCAATAATCTTTAGGAATGTACATTCCATATACAGCCAAAGCCATTGTGAATGGAAATAAATCAGCCTCATTGAAAATACCTTTGGAAGGTATCTTGATTGGAAATGGTTTGTTGGTATCAGACGAATAGAAGAGATGGTCAGCTTTACAAGAGTATTTCCTAAGAAGAAATTTCATGCCTCCCACTGCCACAAACACAATTAGATAAATATGCAGTGTGAAACCAGACTCAATCAAATGTCTATTGGCTCAATCTCAATTTGAGGAAGTCTGCTTGGGATCCAACATTAATATTTATAATGTTTATGGTTATTGCAAAGATGATACAACACCAGACTTTTTGAAACCAAAGACAAAATCAGGCAAAAATATCAGATACCCCTATGTATCTTGGTATGAAGGAAACAAATTCTAAAAAGTAGGAAATAGTGGGGCTCCTTGCTCAGATTTCGGACCCATCACAGAATATTATAATAATGCATAAGTCCAAGAAGCTTTGCACATCTTAGAAAGACCCTACTTCTGGTCTGCTTGCAATATGGAAATCAACCAAGCCTATACTATCAGTAAAAGTGGAAGTTATCAAATTCTTCCATTTTTAAGTTAATCAGGAGTCAGAATCTTAATCTACTCTGGTGACTAGGATGCCATCGTCAGTGTTGTAGATACTGAAAGATCCATTAATATGATACCAGGTATCTAAGAATTGGATTCCTGGACTCCATGGGGCAATACTGATTTGGATTTGGCTGGTTGGATCACCCAATATAATTACTTGAAGTTTGTCGTCGTAAGAGGAGCTGGACATGTAAGTTATTGGTATTAATTAAAATTAGATGGTCCCTGAAGATCAGAGATAAAATGGCTTTGAAATGTTTGATAGTTTCATTTATGATAATGAACTCCCAAAATACAATTGATTTGAATAGTATTATTATGTTAGCAATATCAAATCCACCCTTCTATTATTAATGTCTTATACGATTCCTTAATAAGCCTTATATAATAATAAGAAATAAATTATTATTTATGAATACTTGCTCAACAACCGATTGTGATAAAACAGCATAGTTTTTCTTTCCAATCCAATCAAATGCTCCCTTTTCTTCCCAGAAACAATCACAAAAATCTCTCTAAATTATATGCATTGATCCTTATAAAAAAGGATCTAATTGTAATATCAAAATAAAAAGAACAAATAGTTAAATAGAACTCCCTAAATTGTAAATATACACTGAGGCTGAATCTCCTGACAGCCACAAAAAGCTAAGAGGCAATTTCATAAAAGATTAATTGTTTACTCCTAATGCTAGTAGAGCAGACAGATTTCCTTATACCAACATAAATAAATCAAATGAATCTAGTCCTTAAAAAATGTCTAGTTAAATTAGTTTCAATAAATAAAGGCAAGTTTAAAAATCATTTTTAAAGAGCAGACCTCAATAGAAATTGGTAACAAGAATATTTGGGGAATTATGATATTATGTATTTATTAATATTGATTATATCAATAATCACTATTAATCATCCTCCTCATCATCTCCAAATATAAATTCAAATATATTTTGATCTTAAATTCTACTAGGTAACATATCCTCCTTATCTTCAGAGAATTTTATGTTTCTTTTCTCCTATTTACTTACCACCTAAGTTTGAGCTCTTTCCATATTCTCTAATTACAATAATCGTTCTTGTTGATTTCTTTCGTATGAGTGCGATTTGAATGACAATGGCAAGCCTAGAGCAACTGGATCAAATTATGCTTAAGATTAAGTAAATTCTTATGGTTGCATGAAACCGCCAGACTTAAACCTAGGATTAGAAAATAAAGTTACTCTTTTTTATCCATAAACAGGAAGTTCCTATTATTAGTTGCCATATTGGGTTTTTGATGGCTTCTTTCATTAATTTTTTCAATCATTGTTTTCTCATCGTCATTGTAAGGCTAAGGAACTCCCATTCTCTTGCAAAATAGATCTTCAGGAATCCATCTCTTAACAACTCTTTAACTCAAAAAGGGATTTGGTTTTTCTTATTATTCTGCTGGTTTTTATGGCTCTTGTTTTTTTTCAATGACATTCTTTGAAGTTACTTAAAACATTTAATACAGCCTTTCAAAATCAACTTTTTCTTCCTCATCTATTTAAAATTGTTCCTAAGTAACCTTATTCAACTTCAGTCTAACAAAATAAGCATATCTCTATTATTTATCAGGTTGATGAGGAAATAAATTTAAAATATTAATGTCATCTTAATTCTCACTCTTCTCCTATTGATTAGGCTACTACTATGGAACAAGCATTGTTTGATTAGAACCTTTGACAAACTTTTACTTGCTTATATCTCTCTTGATGGAACTAGCTATTAAATTCAATAAACACACTAATTACCAGTTTCTTCCTCTCTAAATATTTCTTCTCTCTTTGAACTTGAAGCAGGCTTTTTAAAATTCGTCTTATTGATAAAAAGAAAAGAATAATCCTTTCCTTGATCCAAAAGTTTCTTAGCCTTATGATATGGATCGTAATCTTCAGGAACATTGATGAGGTAATCTTTAGTGTCTATTCTTAATGGAATCATGTCTTTAGTAAATCTCATTCCAATATCCAAAGCTCCCTTGACTTATTTCCTTTTATTTTAATAGGGTTCATCATCGTCCTCGATTGTATTGTTATCTTAATTTATTATGATGATAATTACATTCTTCCTCCTTATCTTAAGAGGTGAATCCATTCATTTTAATCCTATTATCCTTCTTTCTCTTTTCTTCATCTTCATCAATTATAATGGAAGCATTTTACTTAATGAATGTCCAAAAAGCTTATTCCAAAGGATTCGAAGGACTCCCAAAGGTATCTATGTTTTATTTGTATCCTAGCCCTGTATATTAGTTATTGGTTGAATTTAGGTATTTTAAGTTATGACCTTAAGAAGGCTCTTGTTTTTCTTGTTCAACATTAGTGTTTCTCTTTTTGATCATTTATTTCCTTAATCGCATAAGTACTTAATAACCAACTGACTTATTGTCTCTGTAAATCAATTCCTCTGGTGCTGATCCTAAGAGCCATCTTAACTTAAAGTGCATTCAATATACCCAGATCCTGATCCTAATTATTGCTGTAAAAAGTTGATCTCATTTTAACCAAAGGTATCGTATTCTGGTTGAATCGTAACATTAACTCCTAGCTTTTATCTTCCGATATCATCTTCATCCATGTAATCCTTAATTGTTTAATTATTGTATTTTGCTAACTTAACTTATCTCTAATACCTCTATTTGTTCTCGACGATATAAACTTCTATGGAGCCCATCCTTATTTGGAACCAACAGTATTCTTAAACCCAGCCTCAAATCCCCCCTCAAAGGCTCCATGAAATCTCTTATGTCCCTTTTCGTCTCTAGCCTCCATGTTATAGAAATTATCCTTTTTTGTTATTTCCTCCTCTTCAAACAATGTTCCAATAAGCTTCTTATCAAGGAAATGATTTCTTATCTGCTACGATTATTATTAAGACATTTTTAAATAATATTTATATCCTTTTTTATACATTATAGAAGAATAAGCCTAAAAATATTCGTAACATTATAACTCGAATATTCAAATATTCTACATACTACAACGTATAGGATCAAGTAAAGTCCTCTAAGATATGGTAACTCAAGAAAATCAACATCATTTTTAAAAATATCATTTGTTCCTTTATTACTTGCTATTGGATATGACTTAAGTGATTTTATTACCCCAGAAATAGACACCATCTTCAATAATCAAATTTTTATTTCCTAACCATGTACTTTTATTAATAAAGTACATAAACTAAGGAAACAACTTCATTTACTACTTCATTTTATTGGGAAGATAAGGAATTTATACTTTAGAATCACGAAAGCTTTTTCTTTTTTAATCTAAAAAGATAAAATTTTCTTTTTCAATGGGAACTAGTACTAGTCTTTCATTTATGCTTTTTTTCTCCTAAGATTAAAGATTCTTGGTAAGAATACTAAGAATTTACTTAAAATATCTAATGAGGATGAAAAGTTTAGTGAAATTATTGAATAAGATCAATCGATTTTTAAATTATTTTCATAAAATTTTATTTTCATAATTTTATTACAATTTCTTAGATGGAATTTAAGAGAGATAAGCCTAAACCAAACTCAAACAGATTTAAAAAGATCACTTAAAAACTTGGCATGCAATCATTAAACAAAGAAGAAAAATTTGATGAAGGAATGAAAGACTTTCAAAATTTAGATACATTTTTCACAGTCACAGATTTACTGAAAGATATGAATAAAGACTAACCAACCCCGGAGAGATAAGCCTTATTTGAAAGCTAATAAACATTAATTAAAACCAAACTATAGCTTAAAAAATGGAAATCAGAATACCCTGATTATCTGAAGTTTGATACTAAACCTCCTTAAACTTCGTATCGAAATAAGGTCGCTCTATTATAAAAAGCATAAACTCATCTGAGTTTGGATAAATATGAACCTTAGTTATGTAAAGAGGTTGAGAATTTATCAACTTTATTAAAGGATAAATTTAGAAATGTTGATATGAAGGAATATCCACAACTTTAATTATTCTAGGAAATCAGTCAATTTGAGGATTTAAGGGTAAGAACAGAATTTGATGAAAGCTTGAGAAATAGTTATGGTAAAGATAGGCTTTCTTTGAAATTAGAATAATTTGAATAAAAGCCGACTGTCTCGTATGATACATATTATAAGAATTATCATAATTAAGCTGAATAATTAAGAAATCGACTTCGACAATAGTAAATGAATTTTTTTAATTAAAAATGGGGGAACTCTGTAGTGAAAATGAAAATGAAAGAAGCTTAGGATAGAAGAGGGTTGTTAGAAAAGGCAAAATAAGTCAGAAGACCTGCAGTAACTAAAAAAGTGGCATTGCCTTATCTAGCCCCTATTATCAAAAATATTATAACTGATATCTGCACTGAAGAAGCAGAAATGATGGAATAAAAAAGACTTATAAAAAATGATATTAGAGAATTAGCAAAGATTTGTTCTGACTTTTATGATCCTAAGCCTGAGCCACAAATAATGGGATTAAGAATTATTAATTCTTGATATTCTTCTCTAAATTGTCTATTAAAAAACTCATAAAATTTTATATAACATCAATAATTGATATTTTTAGTTTTAATATGCTACAAATTATTTAATAGTATATAATACCAAGAGATAGAATACTATTTAACAATTAGTAAATATTAAGCTTAGATTAATTGCTCAAATTAAAATAATTAATTATTATAAGAATAAATCAAACAGCTAGAAAATTTTCCATAGATTTCAAAAACTCCATATATTATCTCTACTCTTTGTCAATTGAATATGCCTCTATCAATGCATTCAAAGATTCATTGATGCCATAACTTTCTAGATAAGTGTAAAGTGATTGCTTTAAGCGCTATAAATTTTATGATTATTTTTACTTCATCTAATTTATTAATTTCTGGTCCTGGATAATCGCTTAAAAATTTACGATACCTGGATCTTGTTTTGTACTCTTGGATATCATAGACTGGTTGTACGTAATTAATGAAAGTAGTCTGGTTACCTGTAGTTCAATCCTTTCAAGTAATACTTGTATTGCATTCAAAAGCTATAGCTTCTCCTTTTTCAGTTTAGATTAGGACTGTAAAATCCACAGAGAGTACTCCTAATTCATATTCTTCTCTCGTCTCTTATATATTTGATTGTATTTTGTCTTGGTATTTTGGATTTTATGAAATGGATTTGTCTTCATTAGGAACTTTACTAATAATAAAGTGATTTTTCAAAATTGTTACATTTTGGCTTCCAGAGGTGGGGGTGTTCCTCTAAATAAAATAGATATCTTTGCAGATGAAAATTCTTTATTAAGAATAACCTTATTAGTTTATGGATCATCTATCAATTAAAATCCTAGATGCTTAATTTATTTCATTAAAGTAGGCTCTTATACATATTGATGATATTCTTATTTGTACTCTTTAGATATTATTTTTTGAAGAGTTCCTCTTGCCATGGAAATATTCGAAAACCTATAGAAAGACATTAATCTCAGCATTATTATAATATTTTAATTATTAATATTATGATAGATCGAAGGAGTCAGAGTCCCATGGCTACAAGCTAAAAGATGGGAACTGCAAGAGCTATCTTTGATACAGGCACAGAATAGGAACCAACGAAACGATTAACAAGATCAATTAGAAATACTAGCACAGATCCATAATAAACAGACTACAAATAATATCAAAATTAGCCTTAATTAGGAATTTAAGGTTCTTAGGATATAAATTGTACACTTTAAGTTTATTTGACAAGCATAAAATTCACGTTAAATTACTTAAGAAAATTTTGAGTATCGGAAACCAGAAACGGACACTTTCAATTTTAGAACTGTTCAAACTTACAAACCTTAAGAAGTAAGTGCTTTGCCAACTTCTTAATTTAATTACTAAAGTTTTGAGTACAAAAAACCAGACGCTGGTCGCACAGGATCTTACATTTAGTCAGGTACTTGAACTATTTATCATAGCGTACAATACAACATGTATTTAATATTATTATCACTCAAGTTCAAGAACCAATCGGTAGTTCGCTTAACTTTCAGAATAAAACTCTGTATGAACCACCAAAATAAGATAACACATTCACAAAATACGAGTTGAATTCATTTGATAAATATAAAACTACTTTTGAATAGCCTAAATCTTATGAAAAGTTTGAGTAATACAAATTTGAACCCATGAAGTATGACTTTAATTTACCAGAATAACCAAGGGAATATCAACAATCCTATAAATCCATCCCATAAGTACAACCCAATTAATCAGTTGTGTAATTCTATTAGTTAAACCTAGTCAAACTCAATATACTCCTTACAATCCCGATAGAATTACTTTGGACACTCAACTAAATAGAACTACTTTAAACTATCCACTTCACAATGAATCCTTAAGTGTAGGGCCCAGAAAGACAGAAGAACCAATTCGTCCTTCAGAAATTCAAATCAAAACCCAGAAACCAGTAGATCCAATCATCAATAAAGGATAAAACCCTCCTTCAATCAAGGCAGAATCAATTAAGAATGAGTAATCATATAGGCCAACAACCCCAGTATATACTCAATAATAATATCAATTATCGAACTAAAAGCCTTCTGAGTCATAATACAAGTAAGAGACAATTGATATTATGAACAAGCCAAGTTATAGATGTAATGATAGATTATTAAATTTAGTTGATTTACCTAAGAAATTCATTGAGGAGATTGTTATTGTTGAAAATGAAGCTAATGAACACGAATTTAATGCAGGTTGTCAAATATTTTGATATATTTGAATAAATAATATATATTAATGTAACAAGATAACAATTAAAGAGAATTTAAAATACTAATAGGTTTTACAGGTTCAGTGGCTTCTATTAAGGCTGAACAATTGATTAGTGACATTTAAAAGAAATTCAAAGAGTTCAATTATTCAACCAAGATCAGAATTATTACAACTCATAATGCTTAAAAATTCATGAATCCTTAAATTGATGGAATTGAGCATTTCTCTGATGAGGATGAATTTAAAACATGGAAATAAAGAAATGACCCAGTATTACATATTGAATTGAGAAAATGGGCAGATTGTTTACTGATAGCTCCTCTATCAGCCAATACTATGGCTAAGATAGCTAATGGTTTATGTGATAATTTATTAACAAATGTTGCTAGAGCATGGGATTACAATAAACCAATGATTTTAGCTCCTGCAATGAATACTATGATGTATGAGAATCCAATCACAGAAAAACAAATCAATAAACTAAAAAAGATCGGTGCATTTATAATAGATTCAATCTCTAAGATCTTGATCTGTGGTGATATTGGAAAGGGTGCAATGGAAGAGACAAATAACATATCAACCATAGTCTATCAACGATTAGTCTCTAAGACTTGAATTTAATATTATATTTATATGTAATAATGTTTTATTTAGAATGAATTTGATGCTGAAGATGTGAGTCCTTGGCAAGAATTGAATTTATCCCCTTAGTCTATTCTTTAAAAGTAGTATCAATAATAGAGAAGTTCAACCATTTATTCTGGCAAGGATGATAAGCAGAAAATAATTAATACTAAAACAACTTTTTCTAAATTAACTAAACATACAGCAACCACTACAACAGCAACTGAATTTCCTATTAGATGTCTAAGGAATAGAGTTAAGAGTATAGATTAGACATAGAAATAATTTCTGAAAGCAACTCCCGTAAAATAATATTGTGACTTTAAACTGTCAAAAGAGATGTTGATGTATAGAAATACTGCTGATTTCCCTAAACAAACCTTGCCTCGCAATTTCTTATCATTCTAAAGACTAAAGAAATCTTATAGCAGAAAAAAAACTATTCACTCCTAAGAACTAAATCCACAATTATTATAGCTTTAGATGTAAATGAAAAAAATGGAAGAATAAGTGTAATAATAAAAGAAATCGTCATGGGAAATTGGTGCTCGAAGATTGTCAAATCCCAAATTTTAAACATTTTTAAGTACTTAAGTTTGATATATAATTCTAAATTTTGGACTTTCATTTTATAAATAAAAACTTTTTAGATTAAATTATCTATTTCTTATTTTATAATCTTACAATTTATTAAAATGCAAGCAATTAGATTCTAATATCAATATTACTAATTTTAAACAAAGTTAAATTGGTTTATATTAACTTAAATCTGATTTTGTGTCATATGAATACAAGAGTCCAATCACCTAAAGTAATAATAATGAAAGCATATGGCTTCAAGTCATATATTAGAAAGGATATATGCAGAATACCTAATAAGCAATTGATGATCTTTGTAATTTGCAAAAAGGAGTAAAGCATGGTTCTTGAATTCTTAATAAGGAAATAAGAAATATAGAGAAATATCGTTTATGAGATTTCTAGGAAGCCTTCTATTGCATTCTTATCTCTTATTAACCAATTAAGAATAATAAATAAATAATTAAATTTATTCGTTTTAGAAAAGAGAAGAAACTAAAGCAAAATTATGGATATATGGTCTAAACTGCTATTTATCTGATCAACTATATCTTAATAAAAAACTGATTGGTTTTCTGCTCAATTAAATGCAAGATATTAGAAAAACTAATATATTAATACTATATTTGTTTATATTTTTATAATAATGGGAACTTGTGTTTCATATAGAAATTAACAATAAAATGAAAGCAACACAATTGATTAGATAAGACTCAATGAATTAAGTCAAAATTCAAATCTTGAGTTTGAATTAAGCGGCTAGAACTACGAAGATGTAGGTATATCAAATATGGAGGAAAGTATACAAATGCGTTAATTAGATGTAGGAGAATTTTAAAAGCAATAACCGTTAGAAAACTAAAAAATACATCATTAATTGGTATCAAGTTTACAATATTATTAGTAATTAAACTTAAATGATTCTGAAAATGGTTCGTCAAACTTACAAGTTGATTTAGAGTTGAGATCACTTAATATTAAAGTATTAGATAAGATGTAGTCAAGAAATTCCTCTCTTATTGAACCTGAGAAAAGATCAGAAAGATCCTACACCTAAGGTTTATAGTATAAAGCCAAAAATAATAATCTAATTTAGTAGTCGGAAACAAATAAACATTTGATTGATTTTATGACTAAAGGTGAGAAAGATGCTTNACTGTCAAAAGAGATGTTGATGTATAGAAATACTGCTGATTTCCCTAAACAAACCTTGCCTCGCAATTTCTTATCATTCTAAAGACTAAAGAAATCTTATAGCAGAAAAAAAACTATTCACTCCTAAGAACTAAATCCACAATTATTATAGCTTTAGATGTAAATGAAAAAAATGGAAGAATAAGTGTAATAATAAAAGAAATCGTCATGGGAAATTGGTGCTCGAAGATTGTCAAATCCCAAATTTTAAACATTTTTAAGTACTTAAGTTTGATATATAATTCTAAATTTTGGACTTTCATTTTATAAATAAAAACTTTTTAGATTAAATTATCTATTTCTTATTTTATAATCTTACAATTTATTAAAATGCAAGCAATTAGATTCTAATATCAATATTACTAATTTTAAACAAAGTTAAATTGGTTTATATTAACTTAAATCTGATTTTGTGTCATATGAATACAAGAGTCCAATCACCTAAAGTAATAATAATGAAAGCATATGGCTTCAAGTCATATATTAGAAAGGATATATGCAGAATACCTAATAAGCAATTGATGATCTTTGTAATTTGCAAAAAGGAGTAAAGCATGGTTCTTGAATTCTTAATAAGGAAATAAGAAATATAGAGAAATATCGTTTATGAGATTTCTAGGAAGCCTTCTATTGCATTCTTATCTCTTATTAACCAATTAAGAATAATAAATAAATAATTAAATTTATTCGTTTTAGAAAAGAGAAGAAACTAAAGCAAAATTATGGATATATGGTCTAAACTGCTATTTATCTGATCAACTATATCTTAATAAAAAACTGATTGGTTTTCTGCTCAATTAAATGCAAGATATTAGAAAAACTAATATATTAATACTATATTTGTTTATATTTTTATAATAATGGGAACTTGTGTTTCATATAGAAATTAACAATAAAATGAAAGCAACACAATTGATTAGATAAGACTCAATGAATTAAGTCAAAATTCAAATCTTGAGTTTGAATTAAGCGGCTAGAACTACGAAGATGTAGGTATATCAAATATGGAGGAAAGTATACAAATGCGTTAATTAGATGTAGGAGAATTTTAAAAGCAATAACCGTTAGAAAACTAAAAAATACATCATTAATTGGTATCAAGTTTACAATATTATTAGTAATTAAACTTAAATGATTCTGAAAATGGTTCGTCAAACTTACAAGTTGATTTAGAGTTGAGATCACTTAATATTAAAGTATTAGATAAGATGTAGTCAAGAAATTCCTCTCTTATTGAACCTGAGAAAAGATCAGAAAGATCCTACACCTAAGGTTTATAGTATAAAGCCAAAAATAATAATCTAATTTAGTAGTCGGAAACAAATAAACATTTGATTGATTTTATGACTAAAGGTGAGAAAGATGCTTTATTACATCCTCTGCCTTCTCCACCTAATTTGAATAGAAATAACGAATTAGGAGTGTACGAAGCATTTGATAGCGCTGAGCTGACACCTTAAACACCTTCAAAATAAGAATCTGAATGTGAAGAATTAGAGGTAGAGCCACCAGAATAAGAAGAGGAAATTGCTGAAATCTAGAAAGAGGAAGATAAAACACCAGAACATTAATCAATGAATTCAGATAAATCAAAATAATAGACTGTCCTAGACAATCAACTCTTTGAACAACATTAAGAAGATACAATCTCTTTAGAGGATGACAATCCAGAGGAAGTGTAATAACCAAATCCACCTCCTTAAGAACGATAAATTATTCTTTAATCCTCAAAAGGAGAGTAAATGATTATGTCCTTTGCCCCAAATGTATAATAATTGCTTATCAAATCTCAATAATATTCAATATTTGAAAATTAAGGTGAAAATGCAATTGAAGTAATTAATCACAAACCAAGGTTAGAGAGAGCAGTTCCATCAGATACTGATATCCTTAAAATAGAAAATGAGCATGTAATTGCATTGTCTGCATAATTGGAACCAATCAACATTAATGTTGATATGAACAATTGTGAAATGTTGGGTCCATATATAATTCTTAATACTGGAGATATTTATGTAGGTACATGGCAAATGGGTAAACGACATGGGTTTGGGAAATAAATATTTTCGAATGGAGCATATTATGAAGGATAATGGCTAAACGATTTTTTATAGGGATATGGTAGATACATATTTTAAAATGGGGATTACTACTCAGGAGAGTTTGTTTGTGGGGAAAGAGAAGGTGTTGGAGTATTGGTCTATTAAGATGGATCATCATATGAAGGGAAATGGGTAAAGAATTAAAAAGTATAGATATTCTATTTATATTTATAGGAAGGTGAGGGAAGAGAATAACTAGCTGATGGTAATGTCTATATTGGAGCATTCAAGGCCAATAAAAAAGAGGGCAAAGGTAGATTGGAATATATAGATGGATGTGTTTTTGAAGGAATGTTCAAAGAAGGTTATGTTTGTGGAAAAGGAACTTAAACTTGGGCTGATGGAAAAAGATATGAAGGAGAATGGAAGGATGGTAAAATGCATGGCTAAGGAGAATTCTAATGGGGAGAAGCAAAATTTTATAAGGGAGAGTATGTCAATAATGTAAGGTAAGGATATGGAGAATACAGTTGGCCTGATGGAAGAACTTACAAAGGGGGATGGAAGAATGGGGTTATGCATGGAAAAGGGCTGATGATTTGGCCTGATTAGAGATTACAGAAAGGAATTTGGATAAATGGGTAGAGGCAATTTACTAAGGAAGAATAGGCAGTACTATAAAAGGCTAAGAAACTTAATACTGCAGATACTACTATAAATAAGACCAAAGATTTTGGAGTTGAACAAAAAGAACAATAACCGAAGTAATCAGAGCCTAAAAAGAGAACCAAATCTAAATCAAAAGAAAGGAAAATCAAAACAGAATCTAAAAATTGATTAATATTTAATTTAACTAAATTTAAAGTATTTATTTTTAAATGGAAAACTAATTGCCAATAAGAAAGAAGACCTATCATTCAGAGTCATAGCAAGATGATAAGAACAAGCCTGGAGTCAACAAAAGCTAAACTGATAAGCTCTTAGAAAGCTTATAAAAAATTACCTTGCTGGATATTTTAGATGAATTTGCTAAAGAATCAGAAAATAAGAGCATTACTGAAATTTTGAAGACCATTCTGAATAATGTGGAGAACAAACAAAAGGAGCCTGAGGTAAAGACAGATTGGGATGTAGGAAAGTAGGATAAACCAAATAATAATTATAACTAAAAATTTGAGTCAAATAATAATTTTTAAAATAATAAATTTAAAAAGAGAAACACAGAAGGGGGTTGGGGTGACAATCAGAGAACTGATTTCAGTAATAAAGAAAATGGAAGAGGAGGAAATTACGATAGAAATGGAGGGAATGACAGGGGTAAACCTTGGGAAAATAAAGATGGTAGAAAATAAAACTTTTAGAGAGGGGAGAATTGGAGAAGTAATTAGGAAGGCCAAAAGAATAGAGGAGGAGACTGGAATAATAGGTAAGGAAATGGAGATTGGAAGTAAAATGGAACTAATAATGATTGGAAAACAAGTGGAAATAATAATAATGATTGGAAAACAAGTGGAAATAATAATAATGAATGGAAAACAAGTGGTAATAACAACAATGAATGGAAAACAAGCGGAACTAATAATGAGTGGAAAACTAGTGGAGCTAATGATTGGAAATCTAGTGGTATCAATAATGATTGGAAATCAAGTGGAAACAATAATGAATGGAAATCAAGTGGTGTCAATAATGAATGGAAGACTGAAACAGCAACTGAATAGGCACAACCAGTTTCTTGGGGATCACCTAAGTGAAATATAATTAATAATTTAAACACCCTTTTTTAAGTTATTTTTTTAGATAAAATCAAGTTTTAATATATGAGACTAATTATTTCAGTTTAAATTGATAATGTTTATATTTCATAATCACTTTTTGCCATAGGAGGTTTAGTTAGCCATTTCTAAGACTTGTTATTTGAAGATATGAATGACTTCATCAATAATAGCATTTTCCTCTAAAATAATAAAATTATTAATTACCATTTCTTCTATTAAGTTCTGTTTCATAAAGATCCCTTAATTCTTAAAGACTGGCAGTTGCAGCGTTTATGGCATTCTATGAATCCTTTAAGACTGAATTAGCCTTGGCTTAGACAGCAAGAGCAGCTTATTCTTACTAAAGAGATAAAGAAGTAGAATTACCACAACCAATTTATCTTAGAGTTAAGTTTTTCTTTGGATTTCATCTTAAAGATGAACCTTTTCAGCTTCAGAGTCAGCCAACCAATCAGCTAATTGATAGTATCCTGCAATTTCATTTTGTTCTAAGGCAGCAAGAGCAGATTTTAATTAATCTTCCAAATCACTCAAAGCATTATAAACAAGTTATCCAACATTAACTCCTGGTTGTCTGTCTCCACCAGTAGATGCATCGGATTCTCCTAATGCATGCAATTCAGCATTTCCAGATGCTTATTCTGCAGCCAATTAAGCAAATTTGGACATGGCATCTTGATTGAACAATTGACTGTATTATTTCAATTTGTCAGCAACATTCTCAACCTTCAATTCAACCATTGATGATGGAGCTCCTGTTAAATAACCGCTAGATGTTATGATATCAATCATACCTTAAATCGTTCTTCAATATTTTGATGACTCCCAAAGCATCATTATGTTATTTGATAGCTCTGACGAACAATCCATTTGAGAAACATCTCAATTCTTCAAGTTCAACTTCTCTTCTATCAATATCAGCTAATCTTTATGTTGCCCATGCAATGTAGTCTGTTGCTTCCTGAAATTTATTAAATCAAGTACTCTGTATTCAACGCCTATTTGTTCTCTTCTGGCCTTAGCACTTGCCCAAGCTTTTTGATTTAATTCATTAACTTTAGAAAGAGCAGCAATTCTTGCTTATCCTATTTCTTCATCAGAAATGTTCTTTTCATCTGCAACACCTTGAGCTTCAATGTTGCTGGTTTTCAAATCATTCAATAAATCATAGACAGCTTAAACAGCATCGTTGGATTGTGATCCTGTCTTTTAATATATTCACAATTCATACCTACAAGAGGAGTGCGAAATCAATATCCAAGGCTTAAACACTTACTAAGGCAACCAAAGCAATGGTTATGAACTTATTCATGTCAATAAAATTAATAATATTTCCATAAAAACGGGTAAGAGCTTTAATAATAAATTAAAATAAATAAACTCTCTATGACAGATGATGATCATTATCCCCTTTTAGCTACAACCAAGCCCTATGTGATAGCAATGATTTCAATTCAAATTCTCTTAATCCTAATTGCAGTTATATTGAATTTGGTTCACTGAAACCTCTATTTGTATCAATATTTAAAATACCACATTCATAACATCATTAATTCCTTCCAAATTAATAAATTTTCATCCTTTTATGTCTTTGTGGAGAGTTTTAAATCTCTAAATGATAATTTAACAACCAATGGAAGTATTCATTACTTTTACAATAATGTTATAAGAAAATATTTAACAATATGTAAGTAGAGTTCAAATCAAATTATATTATCTTTGAAAGCAGTTCAAAACAATAATATGAGTTTAAAGCAGCATGAATGTACAAATATTGAGAGAAAAATTTGTTTTGTTAGTATTTATAATACTTTAAACATGAGTAATAGTGAATCAAAATAGTAATCCTTTAGAAATTACTTAATAAACCATATTCTGTGCAGTCTTAATAGAAGCACTTATTTAACCATTTGATTTTTCGAATACAAAAATTGATTTTATAATTAATTTATAAAATCAATGTAGAATTACCTAATAAACTAATTAATTTCGAATAATTAATTTTAGTTAGAATATTCATAGGCTTAATTATATTTGTTATTAGACATTATAATTATACATTCCTGAATTGTAAATTTGATGAGCTTTCTTAACTTTAATAAATAATTTGGTTGAGATTTGCTGACTTCAATTTACTGAAAAGAGTCACTTAACTTATTATGATTCATTTTATTAACGTGTATATTAATTAGGAATTAAGGATTGCATAATTAGTTAGAGAAAAATGCATTTTAAATTTCAATTTTTTTAATAATTATATAATTTTATGAGGTAAAAATATTAATTTCAATCAATTTTGCCCCCATTTGTTTTTCTCTTTTTTTTGCTTGGATTTATTAAATCAGCATTTGAAGGAAACTATACATATTGATTTCCATAAAAGGGTATTCCATAAGGACCTTTTCTAGGTAATAATACTTCAGGTGTATTCAAAATCTCTTAGCCTATTGTAAGCAAATTCTTCTTTGGTGGAGGAGGAGGCTTTTAAAGAGGTGGTTATTCAACATCAATCATTTACTCAGTTTTTTTCTTTCTAGTTGTGTTTACTTCTATTTCTTTAGTAAATTACAACTGAGTAGCTTTTAGTACATCAACTAGATCACAAACAAATTAAAATTGTATTTTTCTTGTGTCTTCATCATTTGTTATTGGTAGACCTTAATCTAAAGGTATCTATCCTTTTAGTTAAACATGTCTTTGTAGAGAGAAATAAAGAACTATGTCTAATTGAGCTTCAAATTGTACAAAATCATATGAATTTTCACTAATTGCAAATCTGATTAATTCACAAAAAGAGGAATAAGTTCCTTTGATATCTGTTTTTAGAATCATTTCATCTAAAGCTGCTCTATCAATTTTTTACATCCATAACATATTTCCATTATAGACTCTTATTATTACACACAAATCTTTTTTGGATGTTTCTTATTTCTTGAATAGCATCAAATATTTTGTTTCATCATTTTCTTTATTTTAGGAATGTAAACCATCTAATTTTTGACAAGCTTCTCTATAATCTTCTTTTTTTCTGAATGCATCCATAGGATCTACTTTTTTAGATTAATCCTCTTGCATTAATTATCTTATAAGTTTTATATCAAAAAATCCCTCCTTAAAAGTAAAAAGATTAACTATCCAAATATTAGATAACAATTTTGTAACAAATATAAATAAAATGATTTCATAAACAAAATATCATAACTCTCTAAACACCCGCTATAATTCAAGTGCTAATACATAGAATTCTGAGAAAGATGAAGATGTTTAAAATTTAAGATTAAATCTACAATTGAAGAGAGTAAAGATATTTAAGATCTTAAAATCGAAATAGTACTACCATAAACCTAGGCTCTTCAATTTCTTTGAATTAAAATCATTAAATATAGCATTTTATTCTATTATAATATTATTTATGTTATAATCAACTTAATTCAACATGTTATTCAATTTCAAAATCTTACTTTGATTAATTTGGCATTACTTTGATAAATCAATTTATTGATAATATTGATAAATGAGACAGTGATTAGAATTATTAAATATAATAAAATATTTTTAACTGTTAATGAAATATTCTTAAACAACTGTAAATGTGTTCATAGACATTAGCTTTCAAATTAGCCATCCTAATTTAATATACCTGTGGGCAGAAGTGATTCCTCAAACTGGAATGATGTTAAAAAAGGGATAAGAGATAAAGTTTACTCAAAGGTTTAGGGATTCGAGAATTAGAAGTTTATTTAAAAAAGCGAATTACTTTACAATTTTAAGAATCAAGAAGAAAAGAATTCAGGTTAGCCTTTATCTCATAGATAATCAGCAACTCATTTAAGAAATCTAATGGACAATAAATTTCCAAAGTAGGAATCTCCAATTAAAATGGGTTTGACCCGTGCGATTTATTCTCCAAGTTAGAAACAATATCATCCATTGGATGACATTTAAATAAAGAATAATTATCAAAGTGCATTTGGTTCTGCAATAAGTAAGGATAAGGTCAAAATTTAATCAACCAAAAAAGAATAATAATACTCTTCCTCTTCTAAACCATTGACAGATTTGTTAGATATGAAAAGGAACAAAGCAGTAACAGAGAGAGCAACCCTCGCAGAAATTATAAGAATTTCAAACCATCTTCAAGATGTTTAATAAGCCGAAGCCACTTAATTAAGTAGTGCATATTTATAAGAGCTTATAGCTTTATAATAAAATATAGGGAAAGTACTTAAAAATACATCTCATAAAGCTTACAAATGAATCAAACAATCTACATATATATAAATTATATATTAATATATTATTTAATGATTGAATACAATTTTATTACCTGTCCTACATACTAAAAATTGTTCATTTTTATAGTTTGATAGCCATAATTTAATTCAATCATCAAAAATTGATTTGTATATTATTTTTATATACCTATTAAAGGATTGGTTTCATTCATGCATGTAGGAAATTAATGAATTCCTTTAAAAAGCACACTGATTTTTTATGAAGATGATTGAGAGAGTAATTTTATAAAATGATATAAATAATGCTTGAATAATTGATTTGATTTATAATGATCATGCACTTTTTGTTTTATAATAATTTCCTTCATTGACATCTCCGTCATATTCATCATAATATGTTAAACCTATTTTAAGATTAATTATTACCAGATTGCAATACAGTTGCTGCATATGTTGGGACTCCGAGTAAAACTGGGAAATACATGAATTGAACTGGGATCAATATAAGCATGCCTGCTCCAAAAAATGAATTCTTCACATTCCAAAAGATTCTTCTAATCATATAAAATTAAATATTTTAATTAATATATTATTATTTAATCAATACTACTTTGGATTGTTTCTCATTAAATATTATCTATAAAACATAATTAACTTGATATACCCTAAATAAATGCAAGGATTAAAACGCTCTCTTTCTTCAGGATCAATCTTTTCAGGGTTCTATATCATTGTTTCTAATTCCTTTGATAATTCTTCTATTCCATCCATTAACAATGGCAACAATGTTTATTGGATTTCTTTGTATTTCTAAAATTAAAATCTAGTTTTCTACATCTTCCCCTCCAGGTATTTTACTTAACTCTCGTTTGATCACATCTAGCGGTACTGTATAATTTGGATCTTAAAGTAACTGTTTAACATTCTTTGACATTATTAAAAATAAATATATATATATAAGAAATATTGATTAAATCTCTAAAACTTGACTTATTTGATTTCTTATTAAATTCACATTGTTATTTTAATATGTGTAATGAGTATTTTATCAATTTCAATTTCAATGATCAATTAAATAATAATAATATTTATGATATTCACACATTTTGATTCTCTTCAATTAAATCCTCATCAAATTCTCTATATCCTAGTCCCCTTTCAACCATTTTTTATCCATATGCTCTTGCCGATTATTGTTATTCCATTTTATGATCCTATTTCTTAGAGAAATGATGCCTATTCTTATATATAAAATAGACGATGGCAGCAAAAATACAAATTAACATAAAGTCCCAAATCTAGATAATGATATGATATTTACATTTCTGAATTTCCAAAATTTGAATCCAGGACATAATAGTCTGACTGGATTATATTCAACCCCACCTTAACATTTGTTACCTGCCACTCTACGATAACCTCTAGTGACTTCGTAATAATCTTCACAATTTTCAGGAGCTTCGAAGTTTTATTCATAAAGTTCATAAGGAATGCATTTGGCATTAGGATCAGAATTCTCTCTATGGAAATTGAGATCACATTCCCAATCTTCTTCAGTACATTAACAATATTGAACTGAATGTTACCTTTGTAAATCTTCTCCATTAAAACATTTAGCATCCCTCTTTCTTCTTACATATTCTACTCTCATTCCCATTAAACAATCTGGATTAATCTTACCTGTAGGTGACCATAACTCATAATCACTATTCTCACTTGATGGTGAGTCTTCTCCTGTGCATTCTCTACCATGAATTTAAGAAAAATCAATTTTAACAATATTTCCTTATTCAATATTTTCTTCATTTATGAATAAATCTGATGTTCCATAAATGATAAATCTAGTACCAATATTAGAGGGTTCAGTTATGATATTAGTAATTTCAATCGGTTGTTCACTAAATTAGAATACCTCCCAGGTCAATCCTTCATTCCATGAATACTTCAGCACTTTTGTAGCTTATTGATCGCTTGCTAATACTATGACACCACCGTGATCCCCGATTTCATAAATGTGAGATCCCTTGGCTATTTCAAACCATGTTAACCCTCCATCCCTTGACATGTAAGTATTAACTTGATCTGGTCTATAACTTAAATATTTTCCAATGTTTCCTGTCCCTAATATCAAACCGATTGAATTTTTGGTTGAATAAAATGGACCGAATTACATTTTTGTAGAAACTGAGTGCAAATGTAAAGAACATGATTTAGAGTCACATTACAACTTTTTACCTTCAGAATCAACGACAGGTGGTGTCAATGATTACCATCTACTTCCCTTATCAAAAGTAATTTTAGTTTATTTAAACTTGCTTAAATCCCCTTCCTTTATTCTTGGAGAGTCCTCATCAATTTCAGATTAATATAATTCTGCTTGCTCTGATGCATAAACATTTGCAATGTAAATTCCTTCCAAACCCAAGACTCTCTCAAAATCACATTATCCTTCTTCAGTTCTCACTGTGTAATTTAATGAGATTCTATATCTGGAGGCGGTTGAATCTGAGATATAAGTTGTACCCATAATCGAACTGGGTTTTAGATGATTAATGTTAATAAATGCTCCGTATTAGGAATCAACTATGGTATAACTATGATCTTTAAGTATGTCTGGCATTTGGACATATCTAAAGTTGTATTCATACTGATCAGATTCAGATACTAGTAATGTAACTTCTTGATTGGATGAATTCATAACTTAAGCTACAAATACATGATTAGGGGTCAATTGAAATTTATTGCCTTAATTAACTAACATCGTTTTCGTTTTCATAAAATCATCACTATAAAATAAATGAGTCTTCATGTTCCACCCTGACAATTATTAATGTCCCTTTCCATTAGGCTCATAAGTAATCATTATCCTCTCCTCTGGGATTACTTCATTATTAGGACTTTTAAATCCCCATGAATATTAATTTACATATTTAGCAATAACTTCCCAATTCAAACCCATATCTTAACTAACCATCAGATCCTTAGTTACATAACAATCCTTTTATTTCATTTGACACTTGGACCATGAAGATGCTAATATCCAATCTTTTCGCTTAGGGTGAAATTAAAATTCCCTCATTTATCTGCCAGTATATATCGCATTTATTGTCTATCCACAATCAGGGGATATCCAATTAACAAATTCTGTTCCTAGGAATATTATTAATTGTGGGTCTATTGGACTTTTTTATATTTTATTTACTACTCCTACTTTTTCATTTTCATCCTATAATACAAGCAATCCCTTTCTGTGGAATACTTCTGCCAACTTCTACCAATCATCTCCGTTATCCTAACTTAAATAGATTGTTCCTTTTGAACTCATAACTAAGATCTAAAATAATTAGGGAGTCATTGAATACATTGTCATTAGACTGATTATGAGCACCACACCAGACGATGTCTATAATAGCACTGTCCATATTAGAAATACTAACTTCTATTGCGTTCACAATACTAAACAATAACAAATTAAACATATGACAAGTTATCTTATATTATATAATTCATTCATTTATTTTTCATATGTGAAGAATATAGCTTTGCAGTAAATTAAGTAAGTTAATCAATCTATTTTTGCATAAAACTTTATTCTCTTTCAATCGTCTATCTAAAAGAAATCGATAATACAACAACATACATATATTCCTCTGCCTCCTGTACACTTCTTTGTTTCAATAGATCTATGCGTTCTAAATTCTACAATTGATTCTTGAGCTACTGGGTCAATTTCTTATGTTCCTAATCCTTGGTTGGTTTAGTTAGTTTAACTAAGAACTACTCCATTTTCTCAGTGTCTCTTGAAGATTAATCCAAATCGGGTATAATAACACCAGGCTTGTTAAGTAATGTATTCCATTCAATGCCTATGAAATAACAATAAAGGAATTAAGAACCTTTAAAGAACTTGTGCTACTTAATTTCATCAATGGAGACATGGCCAATCCTCTTCTTGTAATCTTATTCTAAGAGCCGAGTAAGAAGATCATAGGAGTCATAAGAAATGCATTCTTCTCCATCATCTCCCAATTTGGGCCATTCAATCCTTAAATTGAGAATGTTCTCAAATATCTTCTCCACAGTGTCATCATTAAAAGGTGCAACTCCACAGAGCATTTCATACATGATAACACCCAAACTCCAATAATCTGCTGAATAATTAGTTACTGACACACCTTGGATAATTTCAGGTGCTATATAATCAGGAGTGCCAATAATCCTACATTAAAAATGATATGTCAATACTTTTTATTACTACTGTTCTTAGATTCAATGAAAATGGACTCAGCCTTTTTGATGTGCTCATAAAATTCTGATGAATCATTAACCTACTAAGAGATACAGTCAGGCAACACTTAACCTTCTCTTTTCATTTTTAATCTGCTATTCAAACCCTTCTCTGATAATCCAAAGTCAGCCAATTTGGCATGTCCTTATGAATCCAATAAAATGTTTTCTGGTTTTAAATCTCTATGTACTATATTCTAATTCCTCAAATATTCCAATGCCAATACTATTTCAGCCATATAATGTCTCACATAAAATTCATCCAACGCTGTGTATGTCTTCAAAATACTAGCCAAATCACCACCGACCATATATTCTTAGACAAAACATAAGTAATGCTCATGTACAAATGAGAAGTATGCCTTCACAACGAAATGACTATTAAGGATTTCAAATATGTTTCTCTCTGCCTTCAATTACTCTAAGAAAGCCTCTAAATTCTATTGGTTATGATTTAATTAATACTCGCTAAGCACAATCAATAATCTTTAAAGCATACATATCTCCAGACCCTTTCTTTTTCACTTAGAAAACCCATCCATAGGCTCCCTTACCCAAAGGTTTAATGAATTCAAAATCCTTAATGCCAACATTCTTCTACTCAATTGATACTGAAGAATTGGTCTTGATCATGTCGGAATCAGAGTGATACCCCTTGTCAGTGTGAACAGGATCAATCTATTCCTAAATCAGCTGAGGACTATTATTCGAAGCATTACTGCTGAATTTACTTTTTTTAGGTATTGAAACTTATTATTAAGAAGAAGATGTTGGAGTACTGGCTTATTAAAAGTCTTGGGAGTGGAAATTAGAGACTCTCTTCTTCTATTGAATTTTGAGTTATCTTCTCAGAGGATTTGATGCATTAGATTTGCTAGACTCTTCATCTAAGGATGAATTGCTATGTTCTTCTTTTATAGAGGGTGCTTTATTGTCTCCAACATCAGAATCATAAGAGAATGGCTATTTCACACTGTCGGAATCTGTATGATCATTTATGAAACCTGCTGTATATGGTTTATTAGAAATTCTTGGACTGTCACAACCTTCATTCACCTTAAAGATTGAAGTATTCATTTTGAATTCTCTTCTTCTAGGAATGACTGGTTGATTCTGTCTTTCTCCTTCTTCCTGTTCAAATATGGGATCAACAACACGATTTCTTGGAGATTGAGAAACTTAAGAAAACTTTGATTAGCGAAAGGAGAGTGAGTTTTGTTTGGCAAAGGACTTTTTCATAGCTTAAATTTTGGTTAATTGGAGAGTCATGTCATATTGTTAATGATGACCTTCCTGTTTCTTGAAATATTCCATTCGATCTAGGATGCTCTTATGAGCACGTGTTATGATGGTCTTAGCTTCATTACTCTCTATGTAATTGCCTGCATTCGACAGATCATTAAGGATGACCAGATTTTCTATTTAGTCAGATAATTCTTACACTTAGGATCATCATTAGATTAATTCACTATTTTATCAGCATAATTAATAATTATAGTCATAGCATTATTGATATTGATTAACTCTTATTCGTTCTCTTGTTCATCCATATTGAATGTTTAGGTTCTTCTGAATTTATTATTATTTTTTTATACTTTCTTATTTTTACTAACTATTATCAAATCTTACTTTATTAACGCTTGTTTAACTTAAGCATTTCTCTTCTCTTAATAGGCTGCTTCGCAAAGATTTGCCATTTCCAAATTCAATTCTAATATTCGTTTCTTTGCCTCAGCAGATTATTGACATTCCTCACAATGATTTTTCATTTCAAAAGCTTGTACTTTTTTTTCACATATCCTACAGATCAATAACTCAAGTGATTTTTTATCCAACTTCTTCATGTCCATGTTCATTACTCTAAAATACGAAACATTTCTACTGCTATATATTTTTCATTTTAATTGATGCCCATTTATATTGGAATGATGTATTATTCTTGCTAATCCAATCACCCTCCAACATATGTAATGCTATTCGTAATTTATTTGACAATATTCGAATCGATCTAGAAACAAGATATCACTTAATTGTTACTTAGTTGACATCTTCTTTGTAATGGACTTCTTCATTTTTACTACATCTAAACGTTGAACATCTTCTATTGCATTCTAAACCTTAAGATCCATTTCCCCGTAATGCTCGTAATTTTATTGGCTGAAGTATTCTTAACAAGATTTTAAGGTTAATACTACTTTTTGTATAGAATCTCTCTATTGAATTGTATTTCCCAAATAATACATACTGTTGTTATTTAATGATATTGTGATAAGATATCTATTATTTCCTTCACACTTGAGGAATCAGGGTTTAATTATTATATTCTACGCTCAATTTGGTCCATTAAAATATATAATAAATAATCACAATTGCTAAGCTTTCCTCATTCGCACTTAAATTCGATGCTACATTTACTCTTCCTCTTCTTAACACTTCTACTACATCTATCTTATCAGTAATTGCTTCTGGTATTTGTAATCTACCTAAAATTAGCATATCATTCACCAGTCTCCAATTTATCTAATGCCATCTAAGCTTAAGATCTATATTTCTGAAGGCGGTCATTTAAACTACATTTCTCATCTCCTCGTACATTCATCTTATTGTAACTCTCCTTCAGAATGTTATGATCATTGAATTTCTTCACCAAACAAAAAGGACTCCCGTAACTATTCGAAAAACAATTCTTTTGCTTGCATTTCTAAATAAAATCTAATCAATCAATTTTATATACTGCACCTTTCGATTCCTCATACTTATGTATTCTCTCACTTGTCATCAAATTTTAACTACTTTTTAATTATAAATTATAACTTAATCACTATTATTAGTACTTATCTTTCAGAGCTTTTAAATTATTGAACTAAGAAGATTTATAATAAAATATCAAGCGATTTAAATCTATGACTATTTTGAATTTCATCTTTTTTGCATTAGACATTAATAAATGAGTTGTAGTATACTATCAATAGCGATTATTATAGATTTGGAAACATCCTTATAAATTAGATAAATTGTCAAAAGGAGCTTGTTATTGCTATAAAGATATGTATTGAAACACATAAATCTTGATGACACTTTAAAATGCACTAGATTTAGCTTTTAAAGTAATCCTTTATTTTTATTATAAATAATATATGAAAGGTCATGCTGATAATAGTAGAACAATATCAAAAAGAAGATATAAATTGATTATCATTTAAATAGTTACAATTCTTCCGTCATTTATTCAAATTACTCCAAAAATTTGATATTATCTACAAACAGAGTAGAATCTGAATCCACTGAACTAGGATTAATCTTTACTATCTTTATCAAAGCTTTGATGTCATATGAAGGTATAAGAGTGTTCTTACATTATATATATGATTTAATATAATATAGGGGAAAGTGTGTTTCATCTTATAGATCTTATCCTTCTTTAGGGAATTGCAATCTCCTTTCCACTTCTTTGATGTAAAGCTCATCAAGATAATATTCATTCAATAGATTCTTTACTTGAATAACAAGAACTTGGTTAATATAGGGTTATAAGATTTATTATCTGAATAATTCAGCTTTTACATCTTTCACTCTAGCATGCAAAGGCAATCCTACATACTCTCCAACTAAGTAAGGAAACAAACCATTCTTGACGGCATATATGAATGCCTCGCTTTCAAACTTCTAATTAGTCAAAAACTTATTGTATGCTGGACTTTTTAATAGCCTCATCATGATTCCCTTAACTACATTGGAGTAAAAGGCATTATCAAATAATTTAGTAATAAATGGTATTGGCTTTTATAATAGATAACGATATTCTTCGAATTGGTTGAGAGCTCTTTCGATAAAAATGAAATTATATTTTGCTTTTATTAGCACCTAAGAGATTGCATACTTAATATAGAATATTTCCAAGTAGGTAATTTGTTGTGTGGTGAAAAATGCTATAATTTGTTCAAAATCGAGTGTGCTTTCATAATAAACTCCTTTAAAAAGTTCAAGCATGATTGCTTTGAATTATATAACACTAGAATTTTAAAAGAATAATTTCATAATTTCTTAAGCCAAGAGATAATCAACCACGTTTTCTGAGAATTCATCTGCTTGCATTTTATCAATCCTCACAACATTGTTTCCTCTCTCTCTTTCCCATTTATTAGTAAATGAAATTTCATCAAACGAGATCTTCTTAGGTTTAGGTTTTCTCACAAAATACCTACTTAAATTAATTTCATTATATGGCTATTATAATTATGGTAAATGATTCAAGTTTTATTGTTGGTCTTGTGAATTCTTTTGAAATTATACCAAATCTTTGATGGTGATGTTTTTGCTTTAATTTTCAATCCTCTAATTTTTGTATAAACCTATAAAAAAGCTTTGCTATTATGGCATTTCAAGATTAGCTTAAGATTGATACTATAATTTTTTAGGCACTGAGTTTGATTGATGATTGACAATCGATTATTAGATATTAGTATTAATTTGCTCAATAGACTCCTACTTAAAATGGGAATATTGCTCTTTCAATACTGAGGATTGTCTCTTTCTCATTCGATTAGTGGATTGCTAATTATCAGATTATAATGAGGGAAGGAGAGGATTTAGATAAATCTTTCTGACAGCAGCACTTAACTTATCATTAGATCTATGTTTCAATTTAGATCTCTCATCCAAATACCTCTAGTATTTCTCAACTACGATTTTATACTCTTGACTGGTGGTTCCATTATTGTGAGATTATAACATATTAATAATATCATAATTTGCATCTTCTCACTTATTTATTTATGATTTGTGCCAATTTCACTAATTCAGACACATAATTCTTAGACAATTATTGTACTTCACTCTATGTACTCCCTTCAACTCTATTTCTAATATCAATCAATTCTTTCAGTGGCAACTTATCCATCACACTTGTTTTAAGCGGTTAAGCAATAACAGGTTTTTCTATAAAGCTTGAAGTGAATTTTCCTGTTGATTGTTATTTTGTATCCAATTTAGTTTGGGAGGCAAATCTATTGGAAATATGCAAAGTCATGCCAACTGATCTTTAGGATAATCTGCTTTAAGGAGGATCAGCAAATTATTCTATTTTGCATTGGATACTAGACCTCAAAGATCCGTCATGTTTCAAAATATTATGTGAATTGTCTTTATATGAAGACATCTTTTTGAAAATATCTTCAAAAGATGGAATACTAAACTTAAGCTTTTCTTATACCTTCCCCTCAATTCTTAAGCTTAAGATGATTTAACGGTTTTTGGGGCAGTACCCTTTACGTAGATCTATTGTTCTTGATTGCCCAATTGTTGCATCTTTGAATAGACACTCTCTCGAAATTTTCCTAGATTAAACTCTGACTCATCATTTTTAGTCAATGATGAATATCTTAACTAATGGTCAGATTAACGATGGGAGTTTCTCTTTAACATCTTAACGATTTTTATAATAAATTATATTATTAATATAGTCAAACTAATACTAAAGATTTTGCTTTCTAAGTAATGCATAATTAAAATTCAACCAAATAAAATTGTCTTTCTATTACTCTCCCATTATTTTTTCACCATCTATCTGATCTCTTTCTAATTCAGAGATTCATACTCCAATTTAAGTTTCCAATACGTTTCCTCATAGAATTTACTATATGGTGATTTATCTCTCTTCTTTGGAGTATTCTCTTCAATCAATGGTCCTGTAATTTCCTAATCATCCACCTATTCAATCTATTTAATAATCTTAGTTGCAGATGGTTTGGAGTATGATTTAAAGAATTAGGTGATTTTTTTTTATGAAGACTCAATCTTATCAATCTTTCTTTACATAAATTCCATCACTATCATCTTGTCTTTGTAAGATGGTAAATCAAGCCATAAAGTCATTGCCTTCTCCCTCAAGTTCCTTTATGGAGTTCCATATTTAGTCTCATAACTAAAACTATTAGGATGATTTACTATTTGATAGCCATTTTCAAAAATTTCTCCAATCCCTTGTCATCTTAAGCTTCTTCCAAACACATTTAAAATTAAAAATAGCGGAAAAATAATAATTATATAAATTCATTTTAGTAATTTATTTAAATGCTGTCCTAATTAAGTAGGTTATCTAATAATCTTAAAAATATACCTTAAGTAATACTCCCAATAAGTAATCTTTCCTGTCTACTCTATGTCAAACTCAAAAAAATAGCTATTTTTATTACATATACCAATAATACTTTCTTGTAAATTGTCTATCTCTAGTTTGTTAAAGCATCTAGTGTTCTGTAAAGTATCCTTAATTATTTGTGTCTAATTTCATGAAAATTGATCTGTCTTCTTTTTAACAAACAAAATCAAGAAATTATCCCATTTCATTGACATCAATAAAACCATCATTCTTTTTGTCTATAAACATGAACATTTCTTGCAGATCTGGTATTTCAGCATCAATCTCATTGTAAAATGCTTCCATTTTGTACTAAAAGAAATTCTTGCTTATTTTGATTAATGATGTCTCCATATATATAAATCCAAAGATTTGTTCTGCACTAAATTTCTACAAAGCATAATATTTAGGTTAACAAATGAAACTCTGACATGGAATTGCAAAATTAAAATCTTTACTATCTGGATCTGTATCTTAAGATATTGCTCTATGTTTCTTTAGAAAATCAGGTGCTGTAAATAGATCAGCATATTTCCTCACAATTTCTTCTTCAGTCCATTTTTTCTATTTGTGGGATTTCTTTATTGTTTCATCAAATCTTTGCACTTCTTTAAAGAATCCTCCACTACTAGTGTGGAATTTTTGATTCTGAGATAATCTGTCTTATTATTATTTATGTGGAGTAGTCCTAATTTCTTAATTTTGTAATACATCAATAAATGTTATGTTTTATCAGATGGATTGATACACAATAGTTATTTGCTTAATGATCTTGGATTATTGTTTCTTATGCTATTCTATCTGGATTATTATTTGCTTTTGGTTTAAGGAGATCCATTTCTTAGATTTTCCTTTGATTGTTATTATTTCTTCTAAAGGATACGTACTTATTTGTTCTGTTACAAAAATTTCCGTAAATCCATATATAATCTTCTTTGGTCTCTATGGATTAGAATGTTATACCATTTTTCTTCTTAAATTGAAATAGGATAGAAATGATATCTGGATTGTTTTAATGTGCACATTATCTAAGATAGAGTCGATCATCCTTTGGAATTTCTATGATAGAAAGTCATATTCTACATATGCATTTCTCAATTAAATTAAAGTAATCATTAGTCTGACTATTGGGTCTATTCATTTAGCTGTTATAATTAATTATAATAGTAAATCAATTATTAAATTTCTAATTAAAGGAATCATTATAATATTTAACAAATTTTCCATCATTCGACTAAGCTCTCTATCTGAAACTATCCTATTGTGATTTAATGAATTTTGACTCATCATGTCGACTCTTCAAGGGACGAGAGAAATCTATCTAGATTTTCTTGAGAAATTATTGGATTGTTAATTAAGGTTGTTAATATTAAGATTGATTGAGATGCTGGTTATTTTCTTTATTTCTTTTATTATTTAAAATCCTGCTCCAATTGCTATCACTAATCTTATTTTGAATATAGTTTAACTAACTAAATATGAGTAATAATTTACCTAAATTTTTTATTGTCCTTGGAGTCTTACTTAAGCAATTTTGAAATCTCTTTGAAGGATTAATTATTGCTGCTATTATTATATTAATTTAATTTATTAAGAGTCTCCTTCATTGATTTTAAAGGTTGCTTTTGTTACGGTTTAATCCTGTACTCTTCAAAAGTATCAAATTTTTCAGATCCCTGGCTTTAAAATGTATTCTCTCTTGCACTGTATTGTAAACTACTTCTTTTAGTCTCCTCAACCACCTTTGATTCTTAAGGAATAGTTAGTTATTTAGGTGAATTATAAGATTTCAATTCTTGAATTGTATCCTATAGATTGTTCTCTTAACTAAAAATTGAGCAATCAAAATTGTTCGGTAATATTAATACTGCATGTTTGACTCCATTGAATGATTGATTCTTTCTCATAATTGGTGGGAGTATCACTAAACTTTTTGCTCCTTCTTTACCAAATCCATCTACACAATAATATTCATTCTTTTGATACGACACGATTTCGTAAATCACTCTACTAAAACCAATGTTGATTTCTTAATCACTAAGGATAATATAAGACAATAATAGCCAATATTATTTCATCCATTCAATCAAATCATCATTGTCTTCTTCTATAAATTCATCTATGCTTTTGATATTCAATTTTAAATGCGATTTTAATTTACTTATTGTCATTTCATTGAAACCCAAAACACTTTAGTAATTATCTTAATATAACTTTTGTAAAAGACTGAATAACCCTTAAGAATTTATTCCAAGAATTGAAGCGATTTGTAATGTCTTATTATTCAATTCATCTCTGATCACCTATTCTAAAAAGAGACAACTCTATTAAACTACTTACACTAGCACTTTTGGCTAATCAAATAGATAACCAAAAGCTGATGGAAGTGTTTCCTTGACCATATTTTCATATTTTAATTTAAACTCGCTTGGTAACATAAATTTAGAAGATGTATTTGTTAAATTGACAGAACAATGAACTAAACTCTCTTGTAATTACTTTATCTATTGTTAAAGCCTCAAATTTTCAATTCTAAATTTATTCATATCTGATTCTAAAATTTCTATCATAGCAATTGTTTCATCTGTTTGTATTTACTAAGACTAATTTTTCTTAGGTTTTCTGCGAAATGAATTCGCAAGTGACTCCATCTCATCTAAACTCATCATTATTCAAACTATATTGCTGTTATATAAATATTTAATTTATGTTAATTTGTTAATTTATTATTAAGCATGTGATTAGACTAACTAATATTAAAACAAATAAGTCAATTTTCAATTATAGTTAATTAATCAGTCAATAAAATCGATTATTTGTTTTTTAAATTCCCAAAATTGAGCTTTTTACATTATTTCTTATTTTTTTTCATTTTGATTCTATTTATTTACAAGTTTAAGTTTTTAGGCTATAAATTATAGAATAATAATCAAATGATTAAGAGAATTAATAAGAGTTGAAATTCTTAAGCATAAATATTAATAATTTGATTACTAAATGTATTTTGATGAAGACTTAGGTCCTTGGTGCAGTGATGATTATAGACCTCGTTAACGATATCATAGTTAAATGACTGTACCCTTACATAAAGAGAAGACAGAAAATAAAGAAACTCATCAAACTATACATTCTATATTAACAGCAAAGAGAAGTGAACTACCTAAGTTAAAGTTGAATAGCATATCACCAAGACAAGCTGTGAAATAACAATATATTAACAAATTCATAAAGATAAAGGAATCTCCAAATGAAAAGCATTTTTTGCCGTAACTCTCGTTAATTAAGATGAAACCTCATCGAGCTAAACCTAAGAATCGAAACACAGACATACATGTGATATTTGAAATCGAAAAAATTATTCGTCGAAACCATGGTTACCTCCCAAGTCATAAATACACTACTTCTACTATAATTTGATCATATATTATCATTTTTTCCTTACAATGCCTCTAACTTAGCTCTAAAGCGTGGTAGTTTTTGGATCAGATAATTATTTTTTTCTATGATCATACGGTCTAAAGGCTATTCATTGATTGTGCCACTCCTTTTGTGTTGCATGTGCTTATAAAATTGCTTAATCTATTATGCTATTTGCTCTTCTCTTTCATCCCGTTTCTGAAGATATTGAATTTATTATTTATTGTCATGTATCTTCAAGGTTTTCTTAAATGGATCAAAATTGTATTATTAAATTAATAGATCGAAGAACTTCTAATCCCCTGACTAACGATAAATATTTATTATATTACTCTGCCTGCCTTCTGAATTAATAAAAAGTCTAAAAAGTTATTCTTATTTAGCCGACTCAATTCTTATTTGATGGTTGGATTTATCTAAGGTATAAAATCCTTGATTTTGAATGGTTCTATTTACTTTGTTTCCAATTAGGTTGATTTTGTGTTATAATCTGGGAGATGTTTACCACTGCCTGCCAAAGCAAAATCAATTTTCTTAAGATTCCCCTCATTATCACAATGCGAAAGTAAACGATGGGTCACTTTTCTTGCAGTCGGCTTAAACGAATCACCATAACGGGTTGGATCAGATTTAGAAATTTAGCTCACTGAATACATATATAATAAAATAAGAAAATGGAATAATAATTTTAAGGTGGTTGTCATTGCCAAAAGGTTCAATTTGAGTTTTAAGGACCTCTAGAGTTGGAAGTAATCAGATGTCATTGCTCAATTTGCAAAATGAAACAAAATCATCATGTGTTGATAGACAATTCCAAATTTAAATTGCTCACAAGTATGGAAGAGCTTACTCTCTATACCTTCAATACAAAGCAAGTAACATTGACACATTTTAAATACAAGGCTAAACATTACTTTTGTAAAACCTGTGGAGTGCAATCCTTTTTTTATCCCAGATTCAACCCTAACATGATTGCTGTAACCATTTACTGTGTGCAATTACCGAATAATGTTAAGTTGACATATGTGACTTAGGGACTTGAATAATAAATTAAAGAAACTATTCAACAATGAAATTAATTATATTATCTTATGAATCAACAATGTCCTCATTGCAGAAGAAGAATCCCAGCCATTTCTTCTGTAGCCAAACCCAAAGTTTAGAAGAAATAAAATGTAACACAAACACTCAAAAATATTTCCTTATATGACATACTTGAAGAATTTGCAAAAATTAGAAATGAATAGCACTTCGACTTAATGTAGTTCTTGTAAGAAAAAATAAAAAAACCAGAAATTACTAAGGATAACCACCCTGTTACTTAAAGAAAGAAATGGGATTTGCCTTAGAAGTGATGATTTTCCCTTCCATATTATTTTCTGTTAATTTATAAACTTATATTAATCACTGTTATCTCCTTCTTAAGTTTGCCTTCACTTATAAAAATCCACTATAAGCAGAATCCAAAAGTGGATCATCCTTTATGTATTTCAAATCTTCCACTTTAAACTCTTAAATTTATAATCAAAATCTATACCCTTCGAAGATTATTTTGATTGTTATTTCCTATTTTTTTGATTTCCATAAAGCAACTCTTAAACTTCCTTCTCCACTTCTTCTTTTCTTGAAACTCTCTCAGTGGATTTTTATTGTACTACATCTTAATTTGAATGCAATTCTTAAGTCATAGGTTATTCTATCGAATGCTATAACATGCTTGGAATGATGTCCTATTTATTCTTTTCCCAATCCAAATAAACTCTCTCAAATTCATAAGGTGATAATTCTGCTTAGGAAATAATTTATTTGATACCTTGAGGAGAATCATTTGGAACTGTGAAACGACCTTTCTTTATTTCCAACTCTCTTTTAATATTCTCTAAAATTTCTTATTTTCTGATATTATGCTACTCTTCATAATTTTTAAATTAATCTTTATCATTTGGTTGAGATTTCTCTGTAACCTTTTTCAAGTATTCATCATATTAGGAGCTATCATTTTTCTCATCTCTCTCTGGGCGAGTTAACAATTTCTCACTATCTTTTTTAAGATCATCAACATTAATCACTTGTTTCTTACCATTTGTATCAACAACTTCTACTCCTCCTTTTAATCCTAGAGCTTTCTTTAGGTCTTCAATTCCTTATTCAATCTTTGGTTCAGCTTTATTAAAAGATTCGTTCTTCACATCTACTATTGGCAATTTCTAGTAATGTTTTCCATCATCTTCCTTTAAAGTGTCATCTACAACATCATTAAGCAATTTGTTAAAACTGTTTATGGCTTTCTAAGCAGGTCTTTCAGGATCTTTGGCCACATTTTCTTCTATAACAAGACTTGGAGATTTTCTCCTGTTGTGAGATTCTTAAATTTCTTATTTAATTTCTTATTTTAATTCTTCTTTGAGTTCTTATTTTAATTATTCTTTTAAGTCTTTTTTTAATTCCTCTTAATTCATTGGATGCTCTATTTTTAGAGATTTATCTTCATGTTATATTTCAATAGATCTATCATTTTACTTATTATTAGTTTCTTAAACATTATGAGAAATAGTAATTGAATGTTAAATTTATTGTTTTTGTTTCTTGCTTGAGATAGAATCTTATTATAATTATTATTATTATTATTATTACTATTATTATTATTACTATTTTTATTATTATTATTATTATTATTATTATGCTTATTGTTACTATTGTTGTTATGGTTATTATTCAACTTGACTTTTATTTGGTTATTAAATTTCGAAATTGTCTCCATAATCATAATCCTATTCATTTAATTATGGTTAATCATCTTATTGATTTCCTACATCTACTATGATATCTATTTCATTTTCGTCTCTAGGAGTTTCTGAATATATGTCATCTACCTATTGGATATTGGATAGTTATTCCTATTATTCATTTTCATTCTATTACTAAGGTTAAAATTGATCTGCCTTCATAACAACAAAATCTTATTCCACTTATTATCCATTATCACTTTGTTATTATTCTTAAAATTTCTGATTTTATTATTATTATTCAGAAATATCATAATCTGATTCTAATGATTCTTCCACTGTATTTTCTGTTTATTACTCATTCGATTAATTATCTGATTCGTCATAATATTATGGTGCCTAATCATAAGCCTCTTCAATTGCTGAACCATCCTTCACTAAATTGTCTATAGTTAGATATTAATCTTGAGGTTCAGCATCTTCATAAGTTTCAACTTATTGCATCTAATCATCTGTGGATTATTGATTGTCAAAGAGTTAGTCATCAAATTATTATTCTTAGGTGACTTCTTATTCTGGAACATCAAATACTTATTCAGCTTCTTATTGTTCTTATGGTAATTCATCTTAATTTTCAGGTTGCTTGATTTCAATTGATGTATTTTGATCATCTTCGAATCCTTGATAGTATTATTATTAATCCTCTTAAATTTAAGTTTCATCTTGTTGTTGTAATTCATTGCTTTATTCATCATAAGTGGCTTCATAAATTTAACTATTATCATTTACAACAATATAGTCACTATTTTGTTACGTTTCCACATTTTCTTATTTGATATTACCAATAGTATTAGCTAAGACTTCAAGCTCCTTTTAGAATTCATCAAAGGAAATATTATTTTCATCTTCATTCTAATTTTCAACATTAGAAGCAGTTGTTTCTTCTGCAGCAATAGCAACATCAGTTGATAATAATTATTACTGTTATGAATCATCAATAGATTCTAATGTATCTAAAGTAGTATCAGCAAGTTCATCATCTTTAGCCTCAACAATTTTGTAATTAGTTTCTTCATTTGTATCATCATTTAACTTGATATCCTCAATTTCTATTGTTTATTATTCTTATTGTTATTCATCATCATAGATAAAATTAACATTTTCTAAATTTGGTTCTACAGCCTCTAAATAATCACCAAGTTATTTGACTTCTTATTCTGGTTCTGGCTCAATTTAAGTCTATTCATAATCCTCATCCTTCAATACAATAACTTATTCATTATTTTCAGGTACATCTAGTCTATCAATAATCAAAGAGTATTATTTGTCCCCCTCAACTACAGAATCTAAAGTACTACTTTAAGCAGAGTCCAATTTAAAATCTCTAATAACATTAGTCAATTTATCCTTTAACCTCTGTTTCTCTCTTAAGAAATCAGACTTCTTGGGTTTTCTAATAAATGCTTCTCCTTCTTCTGTTGTTAATCCAATTTCAATAGCCCCTTCTTCTTTTGTTGTTTCTTAGTCCTGAACCTTCTCTTCTTAAGGTTCTACTTCTACTTCAACTTGTTCTTGAGATTATTCAATTTATGGAACCTCTTCAATTTAAGGTTAAACTTACTCTGGAATGACTTCAACTTAGCCAGATTGATATATTTCCATCTCTTGATGATCCTCGTCTAATTTAATGGAAGCATCAATAATTTAGATATCTTCATCCTCAATTTGAGGTGTATTTTCAATTTATTGCTCTTATTATTACAATTATTAGTCAACTACTTCCTATAGTTAGTTTTCTGTGTTCATAACTTTATCTTCTTCTTTGATCTCTTATATTATTAACTATTGCTCAGGATTGAGTCCACCATCATTCAAATATATTATTGGGGGTTGTTATTCTTCCTAAGGCTATTAAACTTGAATATCCTTTTATTCATCATACTCAGAATTTACATCCAAACTGATTTAATCTTCTATAACCTTAGGTTCTTCACTTTAATTTTCTAACTTGTCAACTTCCTTCTCTAAAACAGTGGCTTATTCCATAATATCTAATTTTGCTTATTATCGTTCATTTCTGCTTTTATTTTTTAATTTTTTAGCTTCTTCTTTTAATTCTTATGCAAATTTAATCATTTCATCAATATCTGATTCTTGCTTTAGTAGATCATCATTTATTTAAGTTACTTTTTATTAAGGTTCTGAAAAAGCATCTGGATCAACAGAAATATCCTCAGATTGATCTGTTATTTAATTATCACTATTATTATCTTGAATTTATTCTGTATTATTCACTATATCATCTTATATCTAATCTGTATTATCCTCTTTCTCTTATTTTATTTATTCTGTATTATCCTCTAATACTTATGAATCTACATCGATATCATCCAAATTAGCTTCAGAAACCTTTACATTTTCAATTTTAACCTCATCAACATGAACTTCTACATCTTCTTTTGAGTCTTCAATGGGTTTAGCCTCTGATTAAATAGATAATTAATCATTTTAGATATCTATAGCATCCTATTTTTGAGGAATATCCTAAGCATTAATTTAAGAAACATCAGTATCATCTAATTTTATATCTTCAGTTTAGATTTCTTATTTTGATTCCTCTTATTAATTTACATTATCATTGTCCAAATTATCAAATTTAACATCTTCTTATTGGAGTACTTAATCATTATTATTGATTGCAACCTCAGATTATAAACTAGAAGCATCTTAATCTTAACTTTATTAAACAATTATTTCTGTTTAGACTTGTTCAACTTATTCGTTATTAATAACTTATTATTCGTCTTAGATTTGTACTGACTCATTTTATGGTTCTATAATTTGAACCTCATCAGTGGTCAACTTAATTTCTTAAGAATTTTCATAATTTAGAGATTCTTCATTCACTAATTTCACATCTTCAAGTTATTATTATTAATTAATTTCCTATAGTTCTTAAGTTGATTAATCGGATGATTGTGAGTCATTAAGTGTTATTGCTTCAGATTATTAATTTTCTAATGCAGAATCAAGATTTAATGTGATATCTTCCATTTAATTCGATGTAACTACAGTAGTTTACTGTTATGTCAATTAATCAACATTTGAAGGATCTTCAAATTTAATATCTTCGAATTAATTATTGTTAATTTGATCTACTTTATCTATTTGAATATCTTGAGCAATTAATTTTTAATCAGAATTTGAGTGTGAATCTTGATCATCCAATTTAAATATTTCTATAGATTCTTATTGTTTGAATTCTGTTTGGTTAGGTTAATCTTCATTCACAATTTCAATTGAATCATGAGTTGGATTTACTTCTTCTTAAGAATCCTTAATGATTTCAATAGATTAATGGTGCCAAATTTCAAAAGATTTGTGTTAATCTAAATGTATTATTTCAAGGGATTGTTGAGCTTATACTAAGCTCCTAAGCTGAATTAATTATTTAAGAGTTACATGGCATTCTGTTTTTTAAATGAATGAAATTCAGCAGCCTCTTGCTCCTAGTAATTCTAATATCCAATCAAATCAATTGGTTGTTCCTCATTTGTGATAATTATACACATATTCAATTTTCCATCATTATCAACTACGAGATTGCCATCAAGTAAATCTTTGCAAATGAAATAAATGAATACCAATATTGAAATTGTTTTCATGTGTATTAGTAGCCAAAACACCAATAAATCTAGGTTTCTAGATGATTAGTGGAAATTGTATCTCATTTCCAACATCTATGCGATTAAAACATTCAATTTGATAGTTCTCATCGTTTTCTATGGCTAAATAGGCGAATTCGGCCTCAATCTCATTGGATGCCATCATTTATATTGAGAATCCTTATTTAGATTGATACTTATGTACCTTCTTGATTAATATCATGAATTTCTGCAAAGATATCTCCGTGACCATTAAGAAGTGCAATGGCCACTTAAGGAGTCTGCTAAAAAGGTTCTGAGAAGAGTATTTCCTTAAATTTATCAATGAATTACTTTTGTTTAAATTTGTCCTCCCCCCTCATTTTTAATCAAAACCGTACCATAATTCATACTGTGGGCAATCACTAATATAGTGATTAATAGTAAGCATTATTTGACCATTTTTTATTATAATAAAAACGGATTGTATTTATATTACTCTCAATTTACTTATTAATTTATTTAACTGAATGGCAGAATAAGGCAGATATAGTAAATTAAGTGAAGAGGAAGCTGCAGCTCAATTCGAATTAAGGTACACATACAAATTTACTTAAGAAAATAATAATTATTAGGTAATTTGTAAGAACAATACCAAAATGCAAATAGTTAAAAAAATAAAAAGCAATCCAAATCATAATAACATGAGTCTAATCAACAAGAATTTATAGTCCTTAACCCTAATAAAAAGCGATCATCTTAACAATCCAAAAAGTCATCCACTAAATTATAAATTCATAAAGAAGAATCTCTTTTGCAAAATCAAAGTCTTCCTCCCGAATAAGAAATTGAATATGAAATCTAATAACCTGTGGATCCAATTCCTCCAGAATAATCTCCTTTAATTGATAAACCACAAAAGCCAAGCGTCAAAAAGATGTTACTTAAAGATATAGGTAATCTGGATCTTGAAATTTAAAGATTAACTAGAGAAACCAAAGACTTTAAAAATGAAAAATCTTTAAATAAATCTCAATTATCTCAGCAGTCAAGAATTCTTAAAGAATCTCATCCTAAACCCAATTCAAGACCTAGTTCATTATAGTAACAACAATCAAAACCATACTATGAATTGAGACAAAGACCATCAAGTAAGGAATCGCGTATTTCAGATGCCTCTTATACTAAAAAAGCTGAATGTTTTAAAGGAGTCATAAGAAGTTCTAGTCTTAAAAAACTACCTTAATCATCAAAAACACATTATAATTTTTTATAGTTAAGAAGTGCATCTGAAAAGAAAATCAATCAATCCATCAATAAGACAAATACAATCGAATCTGAAAATAAAGAAATTTCCAACAAGATTGTTCAAAGTGAAAGAAAAATACCAAAACCTATTATCTAAATTAATAGAAGTTAATCTAAATAAGATACCCCTACATATGAAAAAAAAACAGCTACTCCTGTTAAATCCATTTTAAAAGTATAATTTAATTCAATACCTTTGGAATGTAATTCAACTAAAAATAATAGTGCTACCTATGTAAACTTTTCATTTAAATTAGTTTCATTAGCACAAAGAATCATACAATAGTTAAATAAGTTTTTCAAAAAATAAATGTGTCGAAGCATAGATAGAGGAAGCAGTGTAGTTATACAACAATCTTAAATCTCTGATGCAGAATAAAACAAGTGTCTTATAAGTTAGAAAAGATGGAAATCTTATTCCTAGGAAAACTGCAGACTTTTTTGTATTTGTTTTTAATTACTTAGTACCATAAAGAAAAGTAGAAACCCACTTTATACTGAAACTTAAAGTTTTGAAATTTTATTTATATATATCAATTATTTCTAATCAACACCATATCAGACTTCTTTTAAAATTATTTTGATACTGTTTTAAGGTTATTAATAATTTGCAATTACTCTAAATTTCTCTTAACTTTTAAGACCTTGGACTATTTGATTAGAAATAAATTTATATTTATTCTAGATTAATAATAAAATTGAGAAATTATTTTTTCTTCAAAAATCCTAATATTACAAACTATTTCGGAATTCTGTTATTTTGATGATTGAATCTATATTCCAAACAACACATGAATGTAACTAGTTTTTGTGATTATATTTAGGACTTAAAATTGAGTTGATCACTAAAGTTTAGACATTAATTTAATATAAACAATTTAAGGATTCAGGATTTAATTATTTTATGCTTATACAAATCAGAATTATAAATCTAAAAAAATACTCAACTGTTAATCTTAATTATATATATTTAAAATGATAATAGAATGGCATATCAATAAAAAGATTCCAAAGTTTAAGAAGTTACAATACTCTAATTACTAAATTTCAATTAGGAATTCCTTAATCTATATTTATATTTACATCTACACAAATTACTTATAAATTAAGACAATACGAAATTTATAAATATTGCAGCAAAAACTCAAAAATTATTAATAATATGTTAAATGATCACTTTTTTTTGAGAAAAAGAGCCATTTTATTAAACAAATTCCTAATTTTATCTTAGAACATAAAATATGTTATGATTTCAAATTTTTAATGATTTCATTGCTTCTTATAATTAGCTTTCTTTCTCTTTTCCTTTTGTAATTAAATGCTATCTAACTTTTTCATATTCATCAATTTCTTTCTCATTAGTTTTGATATTTTCATTGACTTCATTCACAATATCCCCTTTTGGTTTCAAAATAAAGCTATCGATATTTATGATATTTGATACCATCTACCAATAGGCTGAAATGTCTTCTATTGATCAATGCTACTCAATTCTTTTAAAGTAATGTTGCATTTTTGTATGTTTCTTTTTAGTGTATTTATTGATGCTTCATATTACCTGACTTTTGCTAATGTGCCTAGCACATCTTTTTCTAAATCCATAGCTTATTAGATCTGATTCTCTTTCTCTTTACTAATTTACTACATATTAAATTAAATTTATTTTATTCATTTTAAATTATTTTCTTGTTGTTGATAATGAGTTTATCGATTTTATATCTTAAATATGAAAATAGAATTATTATTACCTAAACAAGATAAAATTATAAATTTTAATTGAATCATAAATCCATAGCCTTCCATCCCAAAAACCACTAACTTTTAATTTATAAATCGACCTAGTTAGCATAAAACATGTTGTTAAATCTTCTTTCATTTGGATTTAATGGATAAAATTGTATTTGCAAGAGAGAGAACAAGAATTATGAAGGGACATCAAGAATAGTATAATAGTATTTTAATAAAAAGAAGATAAATGTATTATTTTAATATAGAAGAACAATCAGAAAAGGTAGATGTCAAAAATGAATAACTTGTGGAAATAGTATTGTATATTAATCTATAATAATACAATTTGCAAATAACAATTATGACTATTGCTATTTTAGTGATGAATGGGTTATGTAATCGTTGTAGGATAGGAAATTCGTTAATGAGTAGGAGTTATTTATCTAATAGAATGAGTTTATAGAAGAAATGAGAAAAATATCTTACGAATATTTTGATTATAAAATAATCTATGTAGAACATTATTGAGTACAATAATCAATATGCATTCAAATTTTGTACCTGTTATTTAAATAAGAAATGTGCAATATACATAATTCAATTAATTATTAGAAATTAATGATGAAATGTGTGATTCTCGGTATGTTACTGCTTTCAGTGTCATGCATAGACTTTGTTGCAGATGAATTTAAATGGCCGGATTGGCCTGTGTATAGATTCAAGACTTGGTCAGGATTGATTGAGATTGATGACGATGGAGTGACGAGGTTTATATAAATTTTACTTTAGAAATTTACATTACGTATTTGTAGAGAGCCAAACAGAAGATGCAGAAGTAGCAACTTAACCAGTAATACTTTGGCTTAATGGTGGTCCAGGTTGTTCATCATTGTTGGGTTTGATGTAAGAAATTGGTCCATTTGTGATTGACAATGGAGAAACCGAATACAAATAAAATCCATGGTCATGGAATAAAAATGCTCATTTATTAATATTGGAATCTCCATTTGGAGTCGGATTCTCATAACCATCTCCTGATACAAACTACAAATATACAGATGAGAAGACCGGAAGATTTAACTATGAGGCCATAAGAGAATGGTTCAATACATTCACATACTATAGAGGTAGAGATTTCTACATAGCTGGAGAATCATATGCAGGTATGAAAGTTATTAATTGTTAGGAATGTACATTCCTTACACAGCCAAAGCCTTGTTAGAAGGTGAAAAAACAGTAGATTAAAAGGAAAAGATCAATTTCAGAGGAGTATTGATTGGTAATGGTGTTTTGATCAATGATGAGAAATTTAGAAGTTAAACTTCAATAAAGTTCTTGGCTAGAAGATCATTCATTGATTATACTAATTAGTTTATTTTGAATCACAACTGTGCTTTGTAGCCAAACTCTGCAAGTTGCAGACAAGCTAAGAAATCCCTAGATAGTGCTATTGCAGAGGTTAATCCCTATGGAGTATATTCATATTGTTGGGGTGACAGTACTTTGAAATAATACAAAGTGCAGAGAGAATCCAAACATAGATTTTCATACACTCCTTGGTTAAAATTAACTGAAGATGATGATGATTCTAGTGCCCCTTGTATTGATTTTGGTCCTCTAGCTAATAAGTTGAACACTGATGAATATAAAGAAGCACTTCATGTAGATAAGAACACTGTCTGGTCAGGATGTAGTGATCCAGTTTATCTTCAATATACTAAATCAGAGGGAAGTTATTTAATTCTACCTGAATTATTTTAAGCAGGAATCTAAATTCTCATATATTCTGGTGATCAAGATTTGGCTGTTAGTATGGTTGAGACATATGAAAGCATCAAATAGATACCAGGAATCAAAGAAATTAAAGGATGGGCACCTTATTTGAACACTAATGAAGGAGAATTAAAAAATCAATTAGCAGGCTGGATTGTCGAATACAATTATTTCAGATTCCAAGTTATCAGAGGTGCTGGACATGTAATTCAATATATTATTTATCATAGATGGTCCCATAAGACTAAAGAGAGAACTCATGGTTTATGATTGATAACTTTATTAATGGAGTTTGACAAATATAATATATATATATAAATGTTATTCATTTAATTCTTATTATTGTTAATCAACTATTAGTATTAATTACAAGTATGCAATAAATTCAATAAACTTGTTGAAATAATTCATTAAAACTCTGCCCTAAGGTGATTTTTCATTTGCCTATTGATCAGCTGTTCAACCTTAGTTCAGTTCTGATTATACAAGAAACAAACCTATGATAGACTTAATAATTGCAGTAGATAATGTGCAAGAGTGGCATCTGTAGAATATTGAGACCTATTGAATAATATTTTTATGACTGCCATAGAATTATAGTGGTTTAAGCTTTTGCTATTTTGAAGGATTTGAAATCATCTATGTCATTATAAGGTTACTCTAAATAATGTGATTAAAATCTAAAAAGCGGAAAGATCTTAATCGACACTAGCATAAAATCCTTGTATAATTTCTTTCTTGACTTAGGGAGTTCTTATGTTCTTTGATTCCTGGATAATTCTTAAGTATTGTATTAGGTGAAAAGGATAACATGGGAAATTTAAAAATGATGAGTTAAGATAGAATCAAGGATCTCATCAAGAAAAGTGTTTAAAGAAAAAATCAATACTTCTCCAGACGCATGTAATTCTATAATTTGGCCATAATTTCTCCTTTCTTAAATCTTAAGTACGGAATTTAGAATTGAGCAAACGCCTTTAATGAGTCAATTAAATATTATACTAAATAAAGTGTTAGATGTTAAATGATTAACAAAAGATATATTTGCTAATATCTTAATTTTAATATTATATATTGTAAGAGTAATTTAAATATTATAAAGTTAGAATATAAAATATTAATCAATGAGCTCTTTACCTTTATTTCCATTGATAGAATTAACTCCCTTTAAATTCAGGATATTTCCATCATAATCAACCGAATTTATCTAGATTTATAATTGACATTCACTGAACCATTCTTTTCTTCGCTAGTTGGGTTAAATTTTTAATTCGTAATTCTATAGTTATTTAATGAGACCTCTATTTGAATTATGATCTTCAACGTTTTTATTAAATATATCTAAGAGTTTCTAATTCAAATATCACTTATATATTTTGCATTACATACAAGCAGATTTTGATATTCCAGCAGAACAAATGGATTAAGATAATTAGTCTTAAGAGTATGATTGTCTTTAAACTTGATTGTTTGATCAAACATCTATACTGAGGGAATTCTTCCCAATTCCAACTAGATTATCACTTATTTAATATTTTAATGAAAGCCCTTTTTGAGCAGAATCAATATTTCCTAAATACACATTTTCTATTCGATTTTTTGGGCAGCTATATAATTTGGGAAACAATAATTAATAAAGAACATTTTAATAAAAATATATGCAATTATTTCAATCCTAACCACTTATTTCTTACAAAGTTTAATATTTTCTCTAATTCTTTAACTTTAGTAGATAGAAGAATAAATAATATAAAAAGATCATTAACACTATCATCACAAAAGCATACAGAGTTTCTTAAAAAATATCCAATTCTAATTGTTATTTCAAGAATTATTACTTCCTTTTAAATTTAAATCTTTGTAAACTCTTCTGCCATTATTTTATTTTAGTGATTATTATTCTAAGAGAATGATATCCTCTTCAGTGAATTCATGGCTCACTTTAGTATTTGAACAATTGTTTTCCACAAATAATATCTCTTGAGTTTATTTATTGAATCCAATATCCCAATTTCTCATCCACACTTATCCAAGAATCATCCTAGGTGCTATTTTAGATACTTAAATTACCACCAGGTATTATGGCAATTGGAAAACAATATATGTCGGTTGTATTCACTGCCAAAGTGAGATAATTAATAGGTTTCCACTTGAATGTAAAATTGTTGTCTAATTCAAACTCATATATAGGAAAATAAGATGCAAAATTAGAGAAATTTGCATGTTTTTCTGGAATATATTGATAACAGTGTAACTCCTCTAAAAATTGCAAATCAGGACAATTCTCATTTTAACAACGAAATTATTGAGTCAATTTTTCACTTAATTTAGGTGATCCATAAGCTAAAGTCGATCCTGAATCTATAAAAGCTCCTTATCCTAAATTTATTAAGTTGTGATCAGCGATTACTATATTATCAATCTATCTATTTTTTGAAGATCATTTTACTTTGATGTTATGGACATTTATTTTATATACATCTGTGTCTTGATTGTATTTCACCTTATAATACAAACTATCATTTCGGTGTCTATTAAAATCGTACTATCCCACAGTCATGTAGCCATCTCTTCTTCCAATGCAAATAGTAAACATTCTCTGAAATTCACTTCCCTTTTCTTTTTGATAAAGGTCATCAATATAATTGGGAAAGGAAAATTCTGTATCCGTCTTTGGAGACAACCCCATGATCCCATTAGCCTTTTGTGTGTAAAATAAATTTGTTTCTAAAGTTGTACATCCAATAACACTTAAGATCTATTCTAATTTAACTATTTCATCTGATTATTTTAAATCTTCAAACTCATCTCCCATTATTAACCAATCTTGCATAAAATAGCCAGCAAGCCTTGATCCTTCAGCATAGCTAATTTAAAAAGAGCACCTATTGTTTAGACATTTATCACATTATTTTTCTCCAATTATTTGATCACATTTGACTGTTTTGTGAGTTTAGGAATCCTATTTATAAATATGATGTTTTTACTTTGAAATTATAGTATGAGTCAATGTGGTTACCACAACTCTTACAATCAATGCATGGAAAAGTAGTAATTGAACTTGCTGTATCAAGAATTAATGATTATTTTTATTTATGTTCTCCAACAAATAGATTCACATAATAATAGCCTTAATCACTGTCGCCATAGATAATTGATGTATGAATCGGATCGTCAATACAAATTCCTAAGGAGAATAAATAAAAAATAATTAGCATCAATAAATATATTAATAATTCATTTTTTTGAGATGTATGATTTCTTAATTGAATAATTATAAGTATTAGCATTATACACTAGATTAAGTTTTTAGGGTTACAAATTATATTATCCCTGTATATATATGATTATATAAATACTTAAACATAAAACGATGGTTATTAGATAGAAGTTCTCTTGTTTGGAGATTTATTATGAATAGTTTATTATTGTTATTGTTATTGTTATTATTATTATTATTATTATTATTATTATTATTATTATTATTATTATTATTATTATTATTATTATTATTATTATTATTATTATTTAGGATCTTCTTTTAAACCTGGTAAACCGATTATCCTATTAATTCTCTTGTCTTACTCAGATCCTAATCTACTTTAGGGGAGGGTGTCATTAAATTTGATTTTGAATGATTAATTAAATGTTTTGTGCATTTATGATTTGGTATCATCTCCTTCTTTGGTCACTTCAGTAGTTTCATCGCCAATTTTGTAATTATAAACTTATCTTTAAATAAATGATTAATTCTAAATTGTCTACGGAATCGCTTTTTCGTGAATCTTTTTTGGTTTCTATTCCCCAAAATCATATTGATTTAGAATACTAGGTTTAGAATCATCTCTTTCACAACTTATCCTCCTCTAAAAATTACTTTTAGGTCTAATCTCACATTCTTTGCTCCAGAGATCTGAGAGATAGGGATGCTCTAAACAATCCTGAGATGTCAATCTCTTATTTGGATCCATTATCAAGCATTGCTTTAAAAAATTCAAACCTTTGTTACACATTTTACCAGAATATCTTTTCTCAATAGTTTCCATCTTAACTATTTCTGGAAACTTCATTCCTATATATCTCTAATTCTTCTAAAATTTCTCCATCTAATCCTAAGTCAATGGACCAATTATCTTCTATATTAGATATAATTAGTCCATCTCATTTTCACCAGGAAATAATGGCTGACCATCTATCAATTCTCCCATTATACAACCAATGGCCCAAATATCTACTTGTTTTCCATAATTATTAGATATCAGTAACTCTGGGGATCTGTACCATCTTGTAGCCACATAATCAGTCAATTATTCTTAACTTTGTATAGTCTATTGATTAGATTTATATTACCCTTGCAAAACCAAAATCACATAACTTCAAATTTAGATCATTATCTATCAGTAAATTCTCAGGTTTAATATCTCGATGTGCTATTCCTACAGAATGACAAGCATGCACTGCAAGAACCAATTAAAAAATCACTCGTTTTATGCAATCTTACTAATTCTAAGTGCGATAGGCATACATCTAGTGTTTTTCTCTCCTCTAATAATTCTAATAGGTTTCTATCAACGAATTGAAAAACCAGAAATATTTTGCCTTTCTTTTTGAACGCTTCCTTCAGTTAGATAATATTTGGATGCTTCAACATGCGCAACATTTTCACCTCTCTTTGAATACTTTTCTTCACCGCTTCATCATCCTCTGTTTCTTTGAACTTTTTTATGGCCACTTCAACAAATAGAACAAAATAACTAACCGCATTCATTAGTCTCCTTATTTTTGCATTTTAACACTATGCCATAAGCACCTTCGCCAACAACTCCCATGATTTCATACTTATTCATTATTATTTTATATAAATTAACAATCCCTTTTATCCAAAATTTGTAATTTACTAAATGACTTAAATTATATCAAAACTTAATATCGATAATATATACACTAATAATTTCAAATTCTTAGATCTATCAAATCACTTTCAATATTTATAAACTAATTAGAATAACATTATTTATTTGAATTCTTTTTTCTATTTTTTATAAAAATAAACAATTTCATAAATTATCATTATAATCAAAATATTTTAAGCATCAATCATATGATTTAACCATTCATTTTCTCATAAAATTTCAGTTAAATTATCAAATCAAATTTGCATAAACATTTACCATTTATGTCATCATTGTGGATGAAAATTTGATTCTACAATCTGAAAACTTAATGTCCATCTACCATTTCGATATTTTTAATAGAATATTTTAATGTTGTCACATCATATATGATAGGATATCTCTAAATAATTTCAAAGGAGTTCATATATATGATATTTTTTGAGATATGAAAGAATTAATTGAAATTTTAAATTGAAGCAACTTCAATTTAAGGATTTATAAATAATCTATTTATTTTAAACTTGGTTAATAAGATTGAAACAATTTTATTAAAATATATTCTTTACAGCGGGTTCATAAGTTTATTTTTTATATTTTTATATTAATACCCGTTTTTTTATAATTGTTTGGAAACGGGTAGGTTACGCTTATATTCATTATTTAGAGCATAAAATTATTGATAATATTAATGAAATTGACACTTGCTCTAGTATTATTAGTAACATTAGCCTCGGCAACTTCTACTCATGATTAAATCATGGCCTTTTTGTAAACTGGTACAAAGGCTATGGATGCTATTGATACAGTTTTTGGTTTGTTAAATGATCTCATACAATCAAATAAGGATGCTTAATTTGCAGCTGATCAAAAGAATGAAACTGATGAATGGGTTGGTGCTTAGTAATACATTAATAATTATATTCAGAACGATTGAACAATTTACTAAAATCAAGTCATTGAATCAAAAGTTATTCCAATAATCAATTGAAAACAGAGCCTAATTTGAATAAGAGTTATCAGACACTAAAAATTATCTTGCCTGGAATGAACAAAGATAAGATGAAATTAACAGAAAAATTTAAGTTTTGCTTGATTAACAATGCCTAAGCAATTAACTTTTTGTTAGATCAATCAAATAAAACAGAGAAGCTCTTGAAGTTGTGAGAGTACTTAAATAAGATGTTGCAGGATATATTATTAACGGAGATTCTTTTGAATTAGTTCAAGTCTAAAGCGTAGCAGAAAAACTTAAGGCATACAGCAACACATTCAATGAATAAGAAATCAACTCATTCCTTTAATTAGCTAACAAATAAGAGGATGGATCAGTCAGTAGAGGAGCAACCCTTGCTGAAAGAGTATTATCTGTTTTGGAAGGACTTGAAGCTAATCTTGCAGCTTCCCTTGAAGCTCTTGAGACCAATGAGATCAATGCCTCATGGGAATTGGCAGGATGGGTTTCATTGAGTGAAGCAGAAGTCTCTAATTTGAAAGTTGAGTATGAAAGAAAATAAGTCTATGCTGATAGATTAGCTACAGTAATATTTAATTATTAATAAATTCTAGTAAATTCAAGCAGCCCTTGCTTAATAAGCTAAATCCAAGATTATTTTACAAGAATCTTAAGATGCACTTGATCAAGCTTAATCAGATTTAGAATCTAAAAGAGCTGATTATGCTGAAGCCAAGGCAAAGAGAGATGAAGAAAATGCCATAATTGAATAAGTCATCATCATTTTCAAGAAATAAGTTGCCTCCTGGTCTGGAAGATGATATTCAATTTCAACATAAATAATACAAACATTTAGTAAATATTTCCAAATACGCTTTTTTTTTATAAAAGTAAACTCATAAACTAAAATCAACTATCTTAGCAAAATCTTATTCAGTCAAATCAAGAGAAGTTGATGTCTACAAATGAAGCTTTTGTTTTTTCAAGATTTCGATAATTTTTGCCTATTTTTTGAAAACAGCTACAACTTCTTATCTTTATTTTAATAGTCTTTTATTATCTGCTAATAGTTTATCTAATAATTTTTGTAAATCATCATTTGATTCAATCTGTTTGACTTCCTGTTATTAGATTTTAACCTATGTTAGTTCTTCAAGCAACTTAATTTATTTTTAATCCTTCTTTTATAATTCATTTTATAAATTCTTTGAATTCTTGCTCCAATTTTCTAGATCTTTTATTTGTTATTGTTATTCTCTCTCCATGGCATCTTATTTTTCTTATGCCTATAAATATTATTTCTTTATATTCTCGACTTTCTCGCTTAGTTGTGTTATTTAAATTATGTATTTTTTACTTTCATCAGATAAAGACTTGCCTTCACTTTCATATTATCTCAAGATTTCATCATATTACTTAGACTTGTTTGATTCAATGATTAATGATTTTTCTAATTATTCAATTAATTTTTTCTATTTTTGAATTTCAATATCTGAATCCTCCTATATCTCTTTAAGTTCATTCAATCTTTGCATCTGACTTTAATATCTATTCTTATTGATTTCAGAGATTTCATTTAGTAGCTTTTATTCAGGATCATCAAAAATGACTGCCATTTTTTACATAATAGCATCAGAATCCATTTTCTTTAATATTACAATTTAAAATAAAAAATAAAAAAGAATAGAAGTACCCAAAAGATAATTCTAAAGACATTGACAAATGTTGTTTTAATGTATATAATGTATCAGGCAACAAGTATACATGCTCCACCAACAGCCTTGATTCTTCTCTCTGCAGTTTTGCTGAAGAATTTAGCCTTGACAACAACTGGTTGATTTGGTAATCTTCCTTTACCCAAAACCTTGAAATAACCTGCCTTTGTAACATCAATGACTGCAGCCTTATCTTTTGATTTGGAATATTTTTCTCTAGTTTCGTCTGTAACAAGAGACCATAATTTGTCAATATTAACAACTGGTTTATGAAGTGTGTTCTTCTTTAAATGGAAATGTCTCATTCCAGTCTATTTATAATTGATTTAGATACTTTTTAGAAATATCCTGGATGATATTTATTGAAGTTGATTCTATGATGTGTCAAACCTCCTGAAACACCTCTACCACTTGGATGTTTTCTATGTTTACCAACTCTACCATAACCATGGCAGACATGTCCTCTCATCTTTCTACATTTTCTTAATCTGCTAACCATTTAATTATATTTTAAAAAAAGATTTTAATAAGTGAATAATTACTACATTTGATTTCTTGACCCTCACATTATATTTCCTGAATATCATTTCTATTTATAAACTCCTTAACAAACACGAACTAACCTAAGACATCATCAAATTATATATAAAATATCATTAAATCTCAATTGTAAGATAGATATTGTATTTCTTTATTTGATTTAAAGCTAATATTTTAGTTTGAAACTTTTTCTAATTAAAATTGATAGAATATGTTATCTGAGAAGCTACAAATCCTGCAATACAAGACAAGGTAAAAGATATACAAATCTCTAAATTTATATTAAATTAATTGATATTATCAAAAATTTTATCTAAAGAATGAAAAGGAAGCACACTTTATTTCTTAGAAAAGTAGTTGGAGAATAAAGTTAAATGAGTTGGCCTTTTGCTGATTAAGACTTACATTCTAGTAACATTTTCCAAAGTAAAAGAGCAGTCATCAATTAGCTTAGAGTCCTGATTATCAAATTTTGGATTTTAGCCATAAGAATTCAACAAATGAAATCTTATCTCGATCAATAGTTGGCAAAGTGGATATATTCAATAAACAAGCACATGAGCTTGAAAAACCTCTTCGTTTTAGTTAACCTGTAAAGTTGTCTAATTTGTAAAAGAAGATAAAAAGAAGTTATATAATATGGTTATTCTTTTAGCCAATACTAATGAACCATCAAGTCTAAATTCATCCTATAGAAGCAAAAAAAATATTAAGAATTAATAGCAAATAATACAAAAAGCTGGAGATTCCAATTTTGAAGTACTTGATAAATATGAGTTAATATAAACTATGGAAAAAATACAGAAAATAATCAAAAATAATGAAAAGTAAGCGCAAGATCAACTTTAGAAAATTTCAGTAACTGAAAAGATATTGAAAACTCAACATGAAAGAGCATTAAGTAAACATGAGAAACAAATGTAAGTGTGGAATGAGTTATCTACAAAAATCAGTTTTCGAATGAAAAATAATTCAACCACCTTAATAGAAAGATAGGCTTGTATTTCTTATAAAATAATGTTAGAGTTTAGATCTCGTTTGGACTCTCTAGATATGTTAGAAGAATTAAAACCAGAAGAATCAAAAAATCCAGTGATAACTTGGCATCAAAGATTAAGATCTCAATATAAGCCTTAAGTAATGTATTTAGTTATGACAAAGAAAATTATTCAAAAAGAAGAATAAGAAAGACTGTAGCTAAAATAAGATTTATTAAAAGAAATACCAAACAGAGAATTATTAGAAATACCTAATCCTTAGAAAGTAATTTCGGATATCAAAAATAAATAAGGTTATGACAAAGGTCGCTCTGTATCTGATTATAATGGATTAAAAGTAAAATTGTTTGAAAAAATTAGTTAGTGGGTTTGAGTGTCTATGACTAAGAACTAAACTCTTTGAAGATGGATAAATCTCAAATATAATAGTAGTATTACTATTATAAGGCTCCAAAAGAAATCTAAATTGAAGGTTCAAACTTTTGAAATATCATTTTAATATAATTAAAATATGCTCGTTTTTTTAAGCGAAGGAGAGCCTAGTGAATAAACAGATTAATTTCTTAATTAGGATCCAGACCTCGCTTTATCTAAGAAAGGAGAGGAGCAAGCAAAATAAACAGGTTAGGCATTAAAATAGATCATAAATGAACACATCAACTCCCAAAAATTAAATCCTAAAGAATTGGTCTTTGTATTTATGTCATCGCAACACATAAGATGTATACAAACTCTAGCAATTGTTATGTAGTACTTACCTGCTGAAAACAAAATAATATACATTTAAAATTAATTAAGTGATCTTTAATTACCTAATCTCTACAAACAGGAACCTTTGAAAGAACACTTTTAAATTAATTACGATAAAAAGATACTAGGTTAATTTGATAAACTATATGGAGTAGAGATTAGGAAATAAAATTATATAAAAGGCATAAATGTTGAATTAAAATATCCAGAGGATTAAGTATACTGCAGAGCTAGAGTAGGATCATTTTTAATTTAAATATAAAAGTATGTCAATGGATTTACAAATAAAAATCATCATATCTATATTTGCGCAACTCATCTTGGAGTTTAAGAGATTTTATTAGATCATTATGACGGAAAATGCAAGAATATTGACTATTGTTCTTTAACAACTATCTGTTTCCCTGAAAACTGGCAAAATCCTAAATTGACCCTTAAAGCTAAGACATTTTGGAAATGATTATTAAAATATTTAAATATGATATTTTTTGTTCGACATGGAGAGAGAGCTGATTAAACAAACGATATTGAAGAGAGAAAAAGAATGTAAAAATCATATGATCCTCATCTTACCAATAAAGGAGATAAATAAGCAAGAATGACAGGTGCACATATTAATAAAGTAATCTAAGAATATGCAAATTAAAAACAAATTCAGCTTAAAGACATATAAATCGTATCTGATGTTTTATACCCTAGAATTTTATGACCTCACCATTTCTTAGATGCATTTAAACCTCCATTAATCTAATGAGGGAAATCCCTAATAATTCAAAGCTATATATTTAAGATGAAATTGGAGAATTAATGTATACCTACGATTTTTCTTCAAACATTCTTGATAAACTACATATTAGAACTGAATAACATCCAGTAATAACAAAGGAGTATTAAAATGGAGTTTAAATTATAAAGGAAAGATTTATTAAAAATCCTAATCTACCCTAACCTGTTTTTCCAGAGAATGATAATTTATGTTTCAAGAGAATATAGGCTTTCATGCATGAACTTAAAACTCAAATGGCAAAGCTTCCAAATAAAACTAATACAATAAATATTTGTGTCACGCATCAAGGAATAGTTGAATTGAGTTTAGTGGTTGAAAATTTCCACAATCATGATTGGATTGATTATTGCGGAGTCTCCTCATTTACATTAGAAGATAATGGAAGTTTAAAGATTGGACTTAAGGGACAAACCTTTTGGAAATGATTAAAAAATGTAATGTATATAATATAAAAATTCATTTATAAAACTTATCTTCCATTCTATTCAATTAAGCCTTAGATTTAATTATCTACGAATATAAATAATCTATACATCACTTCTTAAAGGATTAAATGACTATACTAATGAGTTTGATTTCATAGTATACTATGACTCCTAAAAGTTTGATATTTAAAATGATACTTCAGATTTCAGTTATTGTGTACTCATTATTGATTTTATTTTCTAAGTATCTTCTAAATTGAATCCTGAAACTAGCCCTGTCCCATTATTTGCAACCTCTCCAATTTTATGAATTTCAAATGTTTTATAAGCTATAGGTCCATCATATGTAGAGGTATTTCTTTTCTTCTATAATTAATTCCTCAGCAAAGTTATCTCTTAATCATACTCTCTGGCCTAAATATTAAATTTCTAGATTACTCTTTCAACTAAGTTATCGTATTTTATTTAAATCTAATCTTTCATAAATATCTGCCTCGAGATTTCCTGATTAAGCCCTTATATTCTTGTTTCTAACTCCACAATCTTTTAACTGCTATCAATAAATAAAAAATAACGTTTATGTGTCCCTTTCAGACACTTATTGTCTATTTGCTTATTGTGATATTGTCTAATTTTCTCTACTTAGAGTCCTAATTGTAACTTGTAATCCTTAAATGCTTTCCTATAATTAAAAGATCTATTTATCTTTATTAGATAATTAACTCTAAAAGTCCTTGATAGAAAATTGCTATTAAATAATATCTGTTTGTCTTTTATTTTCTTGTTCCAATCTACTGATTTCAAAATGTAAATTCTAATTTTATACTTCAATTTCAGTTAATTCTTCTTATAAGGATAATAATTAAGATTCTAGCTATCTTATTTTAAACTTATCAGACTCAGATGGTATTTCAACAGTAATCATTTCCTTTTATTATTCTTACATCCTTTAGTTTAATGCAAAATATTCTTATTACGAATAATTGAATTATTATTCTAATTAACTCTTTGCTTATTATAATTCTATTTCCAATTATTAAATTCTAAATTAATCAACAGAAGATGGTACCTCAATAGTAACAGTCTCCTTAATTATTTCAGATTTTATTTTGTTCAAAGTAATGTAGTCTTGTTATACTTTATATAAATCCTACTCTAATTCTAAAATTCTTTTTCTATCAGATTCTTTACTAACTTCCACTTTCTCAGTAACTATTTCTCTAATAACTTCTTATTTCTTCTATGTTGCAACTTAAAATTCCAATCTTAGGTTATTTAATTGCTATTCTAATTGTTGAATTCTTAATTTATCTGCTTAAGAAGATACTTCTACTCTCTCTATTTTTACTTATTTAATAACTTCTTATTTCTTCAAAGTTAAAATCTGAAGTTCCTATCTTAATTATTAAACTTATGCCTCAAGCTATGAAATCTTAAATTTATCTGATTAAGAAGGAACTTCTACAGTGATTGTCTCTGTTATTATTTCTTACTTCTTTTTACTTAGAACCTCGTAGCTATTTTTTAAATTCTATAATTATTATTATAGTTATCCAATTCGATATTTATCAGCTTCAGAAGCAACTTCTACTCTTTCTGTAATTACTTCTCTTATTACTTCTTATTTTTTTGATGTTACAATTTGCAACTCAGTTCTTAATTATGATATTTAAGTCTCTAATTACTAAATCTGCAATTTATCAGCTTAAGATGAAACCTCAACCGTAATTGTTTCCTTTATTACCTCTTATTTCTTCTTAATTAAAATTTAATAATCTCTCTGTAATCTTTCTACCTATTCCTGCAACTAATTAATTCTCTATTTATCTGATTCCATTGAGACTTCTACCTTTTCTATCACTGTCTCTTTGATTATTTCTTATTTTTTAAGTCTTAAAACCATTAAGTCTGATTATAATTAACTTAACTGTGTTTCTAACTGTTAGATGCGGTTTTTATCAGCTTAAGATGAAACTTCAACTGTGATAGTTTCCTTCAAAGTTTCTTATTTCCTTAAACTTAACATTTAATAGTCTCTTTGAATGTTACTTAGTTGAGTTTCTAATTGCCTTATTCTTATTTAATCAGACTATAATGGAACCTCTATTTTTTCTGTTACATACTCTCTGATTACTTGTTATTTTTTTAATGCTAATTATTGAAGCTAACATTCTAATTAGTAAATCTTTTATCTATCACTTTCAAGAGATGAAACTTCTCTAATTTTTTCAACGACAACTTAATTTCTTCTTCTATCCAGCTCATAATATTTTGTTTTCCATAATTATAATTCTTCCTCAAGTTAATCAATAAGTTTGATGTCTTCTGAGCTTCGAATCTGAACTGTTTCTCTTATAGTCTCTCTTATAACTTCTTACTTTGAATTATTTAATTATTACAACTACAATTTTAAGGATGTTATTTAAGATTCTAACTCTTAAATCGTAAGTTTTTCAGATTATGAGGAAACTTCAATAGTTTAAAGTTTAATTTCCTACTTTCTTTAACGCAACTCCTCAAATTCCAATTACTTATCCTTTAATTGTCTGTCTAAATCACTACATTTATTTTTTAATGATTCTATTTCATATTCTAATTGTTTTATTCTCTTTGATTCATCCAAATTAGATCCCTGCTTAGAATCGAATTAAGATCTAATTTCTGTATATTATTGCCGAATTTCTTGATGCTTTTATTATTCTTCATAGAATTTTTCCTTCCACAATTTTACCTGAACTTCCATTTATTGATATTGTTACTCAATCATTCTATATTCCTTTCTTAGTTTTTCTAAGTCTCTTAGATGATTATCTAATTCAAACTAATATTATGTTGTTTATTGAATTTCAATTCTCTTCTCCTATTATTATTTAATATCCTTAATTTCTTTAGAGTATCTATTTTCTAAATCGAAAGTACTTTTTTATTCGATTATCAATTGATCATTCAATTACTTTACTTAATTTTATTCCCTCAATAATTTATCATTAATCTACTTAAGTTACGTTTCATAAATCTCCTTTAGATTGGACTGATTAAGTTATTCAATTTTCAACGAAAATTCTTTCTTCTACAAAGATAGTTAATTCTCTAATTATATAATTTATCTCTCTAGTTCAATAATTCTACTTTTTTCTATTTCTGATTATCTTTAGAAACCCCTTTCTCCTTCTTTCTTTAATCGTTCATATTGATTGTTTAACGATTGATTCTCTATTTCTAATGACTAAAAATGTTACTTCAAAGTGGAGATTTCAGATTCATATTTTTTTGTAATCTTTTTTAATTGACTATCTATTTATTATTATTTTTGTCTATCCCAATCTTATTATTCTATTTTAAGTTACTCTTCAAAAATAATCCGAAGTTCTTTTTCCATATTATTCAATTTATATTTTAACTTTGAAATTGCTTCATCTTTTTCTTTTACCAAATAATCCTCGTTTATGTTCTTGTTCTAATGATACATCACTTATTACTCAAGTTCTTTGGTTTCAATTTTATAAGAATTTATCTGTTGATTTAATTGATTAATAGTGTTTTCCAAAGATCTAATCTAAGATTTATATCTATCACTTCCATTGCTGTTTCTGGTTTGATTCTCTAATTAAGTTATGTTTAAGCGATATCCATTATTTTATTCTTGTAATTATTTAATTTCTGAAATCAGGATTTCTACTTCCTCTTACTTTTAATGATTATCATTTTTAAAATAGTTCAATTATTCTTCTAATTCAATTATTTAAATTTTATAATTGTCAAAATCCTTCATTTTAATTTCTAAGGAAATATACTTTTCTTTCCATACTTCTAGCTCATTTTGAATAGTATGAATTTAATAACTTTCCCTTTAAATTTTATCGTTTTACTATTACTCAATTTATTTTTTTGTTTCATTTATTCTGATCTCCATCTAAATAATTCTTCTTTCACTTTCCTCCTTTTATATTTCAGCAGTTTAACATTTTTCCTACCATTATCGACATTAAGTTTAATAGAAAATCATCTCTTATTTTAGTTAATCAATTTGATACTACATATTACTTTTTGATTCAGCCATAGCAAATTCAAGTTTTAACTGATTCTGATTATGTGCTTATATCAATATCTGAATGTCCATATCCATCTCCTTCATTTTCTCATTTAAAGTCTGTATTGTTCTTTCATATAATTCTTTGTCTGATGATCGAATCTATACCTCAGATTGATATCTTGCAATTTCCTAAGTCAATCTTAAAATTTCATTTTAAGTTGTAGAGTTCCTTTGCTCTTTCACTTATTTAATCTCCATTTCTAAAGTCTAAGCCCTACTTTTATATATCTGGATATCCTGCTCATATTTACTTTTTAATCTTAAGAACTCTTCAACCTATTTCCTCTATTATTCTAAAATAGCATTTAACTATGATATTTCTTTGAAATTAAGTAACTTATTACCTTGTTAATATTTGATTTATTGTTGAGTCATTGCAGATACGTCTTGTTTGTATCTTGTCACGAGAGTTGATTATTCTGCATCTTAAGAATTTCTCATCAAGAGTTGAGTTCTCAATTTTGCTAACTCCTATTATGCAGCCTCCAATTCTGCTTAAGTAATCATATATTTCTATTTAAGATTATAGCTCTCTCCTGACATCTGTTTTAATTGCTAATTATCCTTATCCAATTATTCAATCACTTCTTTCAATTTTCGATTATCTTGAAGTATTTCCTCGTATCGTCTAAATATTCAATAGCAGATACTTATCTTCAAATAAAACACTTTTTCTTCCGTTTTAAATATTGTCACTTATACGTCTAAATTAGACACAAGTAGTTACCTTTCAGTACTAGCTTGTATCCCTGATGTAGTTTAATAAGTAACTGATTGTCTACTTTAAGTTGTAGGAACCTGAATGTATTATAGATTCATAATCGAATAATTATAATTGATATTTGATATAAATTTATGACAATCACAACTATAGGGTTAATGACAATAATAAAAATACTACAATAGAAATTATGATATTTCTGTTAGAATCTTTATTCTGGGTTTGAATTATAAATATCATTAATAAGTTTGAGCATTATTTGAATCTGTTTAGGCTTTCTTCAATCAATTGGAACCTTATTATTAAGTTATTAGTCTACTAAATCTTCTCCCTTTCCTTTTCAGATATTCTTAAAATATTTGGAATTAGATATGAATATTTTTTCATTTCATCATAATTGTTAATTATATCTGAATTCTATAAACCCCAAAATCCTACGGTTGTTAAAAATGAAAGAATAGTTTGATATGTTTAATCTTACTACTAATTTCGAAGTACCTGATTAAAGAATCCTTTTATATTATTTATCGAACTATCCAATTGTTTGAGAATTTCGATCTTACTAAGGTCTATAAATTGATCTTCTAGAGTAATTGCTGTTGCAAATAAGCAGTTAAATATATATTCTAAATTTTAAATATTTAGGAAAATGTGAGAGTAATATTAATGAGCAATTTGGATTTTATCCAAATATTAAACTTTAATTATTGTCTTGCTCTTGCTTATATGTGTCAATACATTTTTCACCAAATAGGCATTTTCATTTTTGTCGATAAGGATAAAAATAAGGTGTTACTGCAATAATTATTGAAACTAAAGTGTGCTAAGTGATCTAAATTTAATTGTATCTATTTCAACTTCTTCCTCAATTAAATATTTGAGTGATTACTTTGTTCTTAATACAATTTTGTTTTCATAAGCTTCTTTGCTTTATGGTTTAATATGAATATAATATTAAGCTTATGTATCATCTCCTTCTTATAAATCTGACTGGCTCTAGAAGCAATTTCTAAGTTCAATCAACTTTGTTAAGAATTTATTGTTTTCAGTCAAGTAAATTTCCTCCACCTATTCCATTCTAAATATTTTATTAATAATACCTACAAATTGGACATCTCTTTTAATTATTACTCTGATCTTGAACCATACATGCTTTACAAAAACTATGCCCACATTTCATAGATACAGGATCAGTCATTGAGCTGTAACAAATTACGCAATCTAATTGTTGTAAAACATTAGTGAGAGTTTTTTCAATAGTGTCTGGTGTCAAATCTAGTTTTAATTTGCAATCAAAGGATGTTATAGCTTTTATGAACTAGTTTATTCCTTAAAAAGAAGTTGTGCATTACATAACCCTACTATACTTTTAATATTATCTTAGGCTTAATAATATTTCAAGATTATTTGATGAGCATTTCATCATAGATTTTAATATGGAATCTAATCCTATTAAAATTTGATATTAAGTTGTTTCTTATTTTGAATTTTGAAGAATTACGAAAGCCAACTCTAGTATTTTATATAACTATGGATTAGATCATAATAATACTTATTTTTACTAATTAAATTTGATTGGATTCTTTAAAGTGTCTTCTACATAATTAGATTCCTCGTCATTTGTAGAATAGTGAATTATAGATAAAATATCTAGTAAATACTTCTAATTGTTAATTATGTTTCTATTATTGAGTAATATTAGCGGTTTCAGAAGGCTTGCTTCAAATTCTAAAGCTTTAGTGCATACTTTTGTAAATTACTTATTTGAACTTCCTAATTAATCTTTATTCTCTTTTTGCTGAAGAACAATTTGAATTTTTGAATCTTATTCTTTTATTAGTTCATTCAACCTTTTGTTCACAAGTCTTTGATATTTATAAAAGGACAAAATTTTCTTTGATGCCCAAATTTTTTTTATAATCTCAAATTAATTATTCATTTTATTTATTATTATAATTAAACAAATAATATTTTCTCAGAATCCAATGATTCTGTAATAAAATGCAAGAATTAATAATACAAGAATTATTAAGAATTCGGTTTAATAATTAATTCTTTCCTTGTCGCCTGGAATTTTGAAAACCATTAATGGGTTTGTAATATATTAAAATCTTTCCAATATTTTGGTAATTTAAATCAGCCTCTCAATGCTATTATTGGCATTGAAAATTCTAGTTCTCTCTTGATCTGTTAAATGTAAAATAGAGGGGATAACATAACTAATATGTTTTAAGGCTTTTTCATTCCTTAAAATATTACTCCTAAGTATTTCAAATAACTGAAGTTTATGGAAGAAATCTTTCAAATATTTAGCGGTATATGAGTCAATATTTTCAGGTAAATGATAAGCCAATTACTGGCTGATAGTATCAATTAAATATTTGATCTATTAATCAGTTTATAAGTTGAAAATAATTGGTTCTTCTTTGATTTCTTAAACCTTTGCAACATTTAACGGGATTTCTTTTTCTATCTGAAATGTTTCTTATTTGATTTGTAATACCCTCATTTGCTACTAAACGTGAACATTTAAATCAATCAATTTAGAATGTATTTCAGCCTTTATAACGATAACCAAAGTAGCAGTCTGCAAAAATTTATTATAAAATTTACTTCTTAAATTGATTGGCTTTTATTAGGATTTGTCAGCAATATTAAAGAGTCTCTTTTTAAAATTTTATATATTTAGTCTTCATTTAAATCTTTGAATTAGTTTACATGAATTTGCACACTTTAAATAGTATATGGAATAATTAGAGATTTAGTTTCAAAAATCAAATATTGTTTAATAATATTTTCTTAAATTTGTTTAGCAATAATTTAATCGAAAAGTCGGGGTTTAACTTTTTTTTATTATTATGCAATAAATAATTCATTAATTTCTTTCACAACAGATTTAACTAAAAAGTTTTCTTGAATATTTTTGATGATATTTGTAATCGGATATCTAATTTATTACTTTTATAAATACAAGCATTCTGGACATTAGGGTTTTAGATTAACTGATCGAATAATACATTCCCTACAGAAAGTATGACCACAAACTATTGTAATAGGCTCCTCAAATAATAATTAACATGATGGGCATTTGCATTCTTAATATATTTTTTGCAATTTCATTAAATTAGATTTGAGTTTATTTTGTGATTCTTCACCTGTTTATTGAGAATTCTACAGGTCAATTAATTCTTAGTCATTATTCTCATCAGACTTTAATGGTTCACTTTACTACATAAATAAAAATAAAAATAATATATTTTAAAATGGAAAAATTCTAAACATAATCTAGAAAAATAAATGGTCCATTTATGAAAGAAATACATAAATCTTTATAATCGTTAAAAGATCAAGATTACAATTTATGCAATTAACTCATTGTTAACACTTTCTCTGCCACTTGAACAGTTTTTTTGAATTTTTTGTTTTCTTGAACTTGCACCAAATACTGTTGGGTACTAATAGGATTTATAATTTACATTATCATATAATGTATGTTTCTTTTTGGTTGTTCTATCAGTTGGCTGCAATAATTATGAAGCTAAATCTAAGGATAATAATTCCTTATGCATTTCATTCTTTCTAATTTGAGTTTACATCCTTTAGTGCTCTTCTTTCATCTCCTTAAATTCATCCTTCATTTATTTTATTTGCTATTCTAATAAATAAGTATATTCTTAAAATTTATCCCTTTCATCCACAATCTTATAGTAATCATTATTAAGTTCTTCTAACACCAATTAATTAGGTTCCATGTGTATTTCTATATCATCATCTTCTTCCTTAATAGTTTTACCTTATTTACGAGCTTTTTTGAGTTCCTCCTTTTTTTTTAAGGCTTATGTTCTTTACTCATTTAACTTATCTCTGATAAATATACTTAATCCACTTTCAAACATCGGATCCTTCCTATCCTTAACTTCATTTGGCTAATAGTATCTTTTTGCAACAAGATCTTTATATACATCTAACAAGTATAATGGAGCAATTATTTATTTTTCTAATTGCGATGCTGCACTTTTATCATCCTATTTCATTTTGTTCACATCGATTTCAAAAAAATTATTCATCAATTAATTCGCGCTTTATTAATCTTTTTTACTCACCGATTTTAATGTGTGAGATAATTCATCTACTAAAGCCACTACTTTTTTTTATAATCCTTATTACTCATCTTTGAATTATTTTTCAAATAATTCCTTAAGTTTTTAGGCTTCAAATCTTGTTAACATAGTTATAATTGAACAAACACTTTGCCCTGAAACTGTTGCAATATCATCCAAATTTGATTTTGTTATTCTTAATAATAAGCATTTCATTCTAGAAATTATGTTGTTCTCTTAATTTGCATTAATCAGAAATTACTTTAATCCTATGGTATCTCCTTGTTTAAAAATAACAGATGGCTAATTCTATTAAAATTCGATTAATTCACCATCCAAAACTATATAAAAAACATTTGATGCTTAATGAGCTCTGACTAAGAGTTCCTAAGTTTTGGTTTCAATCAAAGTGCAATTTTAGACAAATGCACGCTTATCTCTTTATTCTAATTAATTCCAAAAGAATCTAAGATTTCTTGGTTCTTCTACCATTTATTTTTCTTTTTTTTTTTTATTAGGTTCAGGATCTGGTTTAACTCCCAATTAATCTAACATAAACATTATTTTTTTAGTAGTTGTTTCAACAATTGTTTATTCAGGGATACTCTGATATTCTTAACCTAAATATTATTATGAGACTGAATTTAATGTAAAAAGTGAAATTTGTTTATAAATAAATGTTGAGAACTCTGAATCACGTTTCTATAAAATTCTTAAATCGTCCAATCTTATTATTGCTATATATCCATCTTCTTTTGCAAAATAATCGATTTGCTATACTTCGCACCTGAAATATAAATTTTATTTAATACCCAGCTAATTTCATACAAGCCATATGACCTAAACAATCCCCTTCTGCCAATGTTATTTTATGTTGATTCTCTACAAAGCCATGCACTTACCCTTTCAGAATAAATCCAAGAAAATCTACTGGCTCGCCTCTTCTTGTGATTTATGTTTTCTCTTTGAAACTTAAAAATCTGAAGTAGTCCTAGAATAAAATCAATTATTTTTATGTGAAAGGAGAGAAAAATTTAGTTGATTTCCTTAAAGTCTCTAAGGCTGGCATAATTTGATCTTTTACTAATTCTGATTGCAAGCGTACTCTCATTTAATTATTTATTATGTTAAAAACTAAAAATTTTCTCCAAATTGAAAAAATAGATAATATTGATTGGCCTATCTTTAAATGTAGTCAATAGCGTAATAATGCATTTTGGGAGAAAAAAATAGACCAGAAGCTAGATGCAAATTTAATAATCATTAAAGACAACCTCGTTAGAATTGGAAAAAATAAATCTGTACCTAAGAAATACACCTATTTATTACTAAAATCTGGAACATTAATGTACTAGGATTCTAAAATAAAAGGTAAAATACAATTAAATCTTTAAATATTTATTAAGAAAATTGAATTAACTAATGAAGAGGATCATAATCAATAAAAAATTATTGCCATTCGCATTTAAAAATATTAAAATTGCGTTTTATATATCTGGAATCCAGAAAATCAGTATGATTATTTATTTATTATTAGTATAGAGCATGCACGATAAATTGGTATAAGAAATTAGCACAATTTTGTGTTTCTTAAAATTTTGAAGGATTTTATAAAATCTTGGAACCAATTGATCAAGGTGCTTTTAGTTCTGTCTTTTTAGTCTCTTAGTTGATACCAGAGGAATTAAGAAACAAAAAGTTTGCAGCTAAAATTTATTCTTAATCTTTATAATAAAAAATTCCAGCTAATTAAATGAGAGTAATAGTTATGATTATATAGGATTTTGTGACTTCTGAGTGTTAAATTCTAAAAATGGCAAAATCGGACTTCATTGTGGAACTTTATGAAGTGATTTAATTAGAGGACGTCGTTATTTTGATTTTAGAATACATTTAAGGAGGAACATTATCAAATTTGATTAAACAAAATGAAATCCATGAATTGATGTCAAGTGAGATTTGTCATTAAATCATATTAGGGTTAAAAGAAATACATAGGTATTATTTATAGTATATTTATTGATGCGGCTATGTGCACAGAGACATAAAATTAGATAATATTTTAATTGCTCAATTTAATCCTATATAAGTAAAAATAATTGATTTTGGATTTGCTGAGAAAATCAATAAGAATTTGCTTATTAATAAATAAGGAACCCCAGGATATATTGCACCAGAACTATTTGACTTAGCTCCCTACACAGAGAATTGTGAAATATTCAGTTTAGGCATTTTATTTTATATTTTACTATGTGGAAATTTTCCATTCAGAAGCACTAATTATGAAGGTAGAATTAGTATCTTATTATAAAAGTGCTGCTAGAGAGAAATAAATAGTGTTAGATCAGATTATAGTTAGATGAATGGAAAAATATCTCTTCCTCTGCATAAAGGATGGTATAAAGGATGCTTGAAAAAGATCCTATTCGAAGGATAACTTTTTCTGAATTAACAATACTCTTAGAATTACATATTAGCAATTTAAAATCTAAAGGATCTCATTTAAGATAGAATCTCAATTAATCAGCAAACTCATCTAATATTAGAGGAATAACATATGAAATAATTGAAAAATCTCCTAGCAAATTAGCTTAAGCTATAAAGGATAATTATGATGACGATGTCGGTTTAGATGAAAACAGCCTGAATAACCAATTTATTAGGAATCTTCAATAATCATACAAATATTATAATAATTAAAAATGGATATCTTAATGAATCTAAATATATTTCATTTATTTTTAAATTATTTTAATTATGAATCTAAGTTTGTTGAAAAGCAATTGAATTCCTATTCCAATTATTACAATAAACTATTTGTAACATTAAATTAATTTATGATTATTCCTTTTAGAGGTTTTGAGGGAACCTTTATTTTAGTGCAGATATATTCTTAAACTTATTACTCGGTTTTAAGACTAAACAATTCATTTTTTATGATCTCACTCAAAAAATGGAGAATCTGATCAAATTCTAATTATAGTAGTTCTTTTTAATAAAAATACAACAAAAATAAGACGCATTTGTAAAATCCTTGAATAAGATTGATTCATTACCTTTCCATTGATAAATGATGAATACGTCCCATATAATATTTAGTAATGCTGATTGTAATGTAAACTGATATACTTGACTAAAAACAGTAATTACCCATGCAGTTAAATAATAAGATGCATCGACTTTTTACTTTGATAATTAATGACATTTACTTTTTTAAAATGATGATACAAATTAGGTAAAAACAAGAACAGCAATCTCTCATATTAGTAGAATACTTTTTTCTAATAGAAATAATATATATAATATACATACCAGCATCTCAAATTCATTTTCAAAATATTAAGAAAAGTAGTTATTCATAATATAATCGAATGCTATATATGTTACTTCCTCATCTTCAAATGTCAAATACAAATATCCTACAATATAATTCATTCCTTAACAATATCCAACCTCTTTGTTATGAAAAGCATACGTTCTGAGAAACGATTGTAGTTTACTTGAAGGAACCTTATCGAAATGAATTTGAAAAGATCTTTATACGTCCATGGTGATAATTTCTTCGTATTATTATATCTCTTATTAAGCTTCTGACTTTTTAAGTGCGTAATCCATGTGATTTTGAGCAGTTCTTAGATAAACTTTCAAGTTTTAAGCTCTGGACTATTGATTTTGTTCTAAATATGGTAAACTATTGTGAATGAGGTAATATTTTTCAATAGCAAATCTCAAGTGAAATTTGAAAGATTTTGAAACTAATAATAATTAATATGGCCTATCTTTAGGTTACAAGTATTGAATAGATAATCTAATCGCATATATTACTCTTGATTAAGCATTATTTAAACCAAATCTTCTAAACTTATCTTCTTTTCGTTATTTCATTCCCAATCCTGAAGAATACTTTGAGTTAAAAGTTAGAGCATTTTTTTCTTCCATGATCTGTAATATTTTTTCTAATTGCACCTTTTCCAATTTAATATCAGAATGAAATGCAAGTTCTAATATCACATCTGTTCCTAATTAAGGTGAGACATTTAATTCACTAAGGAAAGTGGCAATCTCATGTAAAACTATGTATTTTTGTTATTAATATTTTTCTTTTTCTGAAAATTATTATCCTTGTACAGCTCCAGTTATTTTCTTCAATCCTTTACTAATCAACCCATATCCTTTTTTGACTAAATTAAATTAATCTTCTAAGATTTATTTTTATTAAAATTTAGTAGATTTAATATGTTCATATAAAGATCTCCATTTCTATTTATTTTACCAAATATCTAACTTAGAGAAGCTCGAGATCAGATGAGAGTTTTCTCCTTTTACAATTTTAAATGATAATTATAAAAAGATATAGAACTCTTCAACATCAAATTCAGCATCCAAAATTAAGAATACATGTTTAAAAATAGAACTAACTTCATTAAAAGAATCTTCCAACAAATTTAATTATTTGACTTTTCTCTTTTCAATTTCTTTTTATAATAAATTAATCAAGAATGATCTGGCTGATTATTTAGTCATCAATTACTTAACTCCCAAATATTCATGTGATAAAAATTAATTTGATTTTGTTGAAGATGTGGAATATGACCTATTTCTTGAGTTATTGGCGCTGTCATCTGATGTTTCTTGGTTTTCCATAAGATCATTTATGAATTAAATAATTTTTGTAGCTTGTTCTTCATTCAATTATTCCCCAACCATAGTCCATTCACTTCCTAAAAATTACTGTTATTTTTTCCACTCTCCTCTTTTAATTTAATCATAATTAATTTAATCATATAGTGAAAATTAAACCGAATCAGCTTTCAATAAGTATAAGAATTACTTCCACTTTTTTTTAGCAATCTTTAGATTTAATGTTGGAGATCTTAGGGTTATTTTTAAGTGACTCTTTATTCTAATTAGTTTAGTTTTTCTTGGTAAATAGAGTAGACAGTTTCATTAGTTAACTTTTTCATTAATGACAACATAATTTGTTTAGAAAACTTGATTCTAATGATAAGTATAATTTTTACCTGTTTTCATCATTTAAATAAACTTACTAATACCAATCTTTAATCTTCACTTCAAAATCATTTATTTTCTTATTTCCCTTCTCTATGATTTTTTTATAATCCTCTTAAGCTTCTACTGCAATTTCTTTTAATTTGATTTGCTTTTCTGAAGCTTTTACTAATTCGTCCTTGCCTTTATTTCCTTTTGCAATTTCTCCAACAGTTCTTTCCATAAGTAACTAACACTTATCAGCATTTTGCATTAAACGTATATATTCCTCTTGCTAATCTGTGATTTGCTTATTTAGTGATTAAATATTTCCAATATAATCTTTCATCTCAGAAGATAATTTCAGATTTATATTTCTATAATTGCTCATAATTAATTGATATGGTTCGAGAACCTAAGCATGAATATAATAAAAATATACTTCGCTTTTCAAATTTTCACTTGTTTATTGCCACTATTATGAATTTTAAAGTAAAAAGTTGCTCAAATACTAGTAAACACATTCAATATTATCATCATCTCCTGTGCCTTTACTAACAAATTCGTGGAGTCGTTCCGCAATTTTTTTCAAAGATGCCGAAAATGCATTGCAAGCTTTTTCTATTTCCTTGAACTTAAATACTCAATGAAATATTACAGTTTTCTCCAATTCTAGGGTGTTGTTATTTGTATTTAAAAGGTAAGAATGCAATTACAAAAATTCTAATGATGTATATTCAATAAATTGATTAGCCATGAATTATTTATAATATTAGATATCAGTATTAATAGATATAAATATATGTAAAACTTATGTGGATCCTTGCTAAGCAGATGGTATAATACCAAATTTAATTTGACTTAATATGTTTATGATATAGATAAATAATTAAGATAATAGGACAAAATAATTCATATTTTGAATGAAACAATACCAAATGATGCAGACATAGATGTAAGTGAAATTTATTAAATTTTAAGTAAAGAATAGAAAAATTGAAGTAGATCTGTTCCAAAATTATTTGGTTTTCATATAGGAAAAATATCCCAAAATTTTAAGGTTGATGTTTCTTATATTTTTAAGTGAGCTCATTAACTTCAGATACAGGGTGGGGATGTATGATTAGAGTTGCTCAAATGGCTTTGGCTTAAATCATACGATATTATCATTATTTTACAAAGCCGGAATAATTAATAGTCTTAATTAGACATTTTATAGATGATGATGATAATGAATTGACTGATTTCATTTAATAAATTCAAAAGAACAAAATAGAATATTTCCATGCTCCATTTTCTATTTAAAAAATTGTTCATTATGCAAAAGTGGAGCTAAAGAAAGAACCTGGAGATTGGTATAAATCTGATGAAATACTTTAGACCTTAGACTATTTATTTAAATACTCTCAATGTAAATTGCATTTTAATAATAAGACTCCTTAAATATGGAAATCTATATTAACTATGATTGCGCTTTTATACTCTAAGATGCAATTTAATAAATGTTTAATCATTAAGAAGGTAATGAACTTTGGTTGAAAGAGCGTGCTAAAAATAATAATCAATTTGATTTATATGATCATAAAGGCATTTGTATTTTCCTTCCTACTCGTATTGGTCTTCAAAACATCAATAAGGATTATTTGGAAGTCTTAAATTAAATAATGGCACTACCTTATTTTCAAGGAATGATAGGTGGAGTGTCAAAAAGAGCCTTATATTTTGTAGGTAGAATTCAAGATTACCTCATCTATTTGGATCCACATTTTGTGCAAAACGCTCAGAACTTTGATGATCTTTCAATAAATCAAGCATCTTACACATGTTAAAATATATAATTGATACATAATTCACTTATTGATCCATCTATTGTAATTTGTCTCTGTATTCGTAATGCACTTGAATTATTGGATTTATGGCAAATAGTAAGATGTTATATTTATTGATTAGTTTTAACATTTCAAATAAGAATACTAAGAACTATTTTTTTTTTCACTTTTAGAAACCAATAATGAAATAGAAATGTTGAAATCCTTTTAGTAAATAATTGAAGTTGATAATGAATTCGTAAGCATTGCAAAATGAAAATAATATACTTTTTATTTCAATTAATATCTATTTAATTTAATATCAAGATAAAATGAAAAATAACAAAAACCTGAATCTTAGCCAATTAAAGGTAATTTTCAAAATATCTAAACTCCTCAACCCCCTAAAAAATGGTTTTCAATGCTGAAGATTATGCCAAACCTCCACATTTGACAAAGAAGGAAGTCTTAGAAGTCAAAGTATAATAAATTATAATTTAAGTAAGCTTTTGATATATTCGATAATGATGGGTCAGGAGTAATCGATCCATAAGAATTGAGAGAAGCATTTGTAGCATCTGGAATTAAAACTTATCACAATAAATTTATTTATCAAGATTTGGGTGAATTGGACACTGATAATTCTGGAGTAATTGACTTTGAAGAACTTTTACATCTGGTCACAGCTAAAGTTAGAGATAAAGATACACGAGAATAAATTCAAAAAGTATTGAATTTATATGATTGGAACAAAGAAGATGATTAATTTAATAAATTGAAGGTAGAATCACTTGGGATGAACTCAAAAGAGTAGCTTAAGATTTGGGAGAAGAAATGACAGATGAAGAAATCTTACATATGTTTAAGAAAGTATAAATTTTTTTTATAATAATCTAGGCTGATTTGGATGATGATGGATTTGTTACTTTAGATGATTTTTATAACCTATGACTTAAAAAGAGTATGGAAAGTAATGAGATTTTTCATTATTAATAAAATAATTAATTATTCTTGCACTCATCAAGAATGCAATTATTATCACTCTTTTAATTTAGTTAATTTTACAATTTAATCAAAATTGATTTCCCAATAATCTTTGAACTTTGAATTCAATTCGTTTTTTTTTTAATGCAGAGTATTTGCTTTCAATTAACTATTATTGTAACTATTTGGTTCTACTCATTTCAGCTTGAACAAAGGGATTATTTTATGGTGTTTTGGATACAATCTAATTAAAATAAAATAATACTTAATGAGATGCTTTTATTTTAGAATTTTTATCAAAAAACTTTAATGCCTCATCATTTTTGTTTGGTTATGTTTTATTTCTTTGTCTTACTTATGTCAAATTACCATTGAAATAGTTTTTTATCTCCTCATTTACCTCTGTTTTTACTCCATTATCTATTTCCTTTTTTGGCTATAACTTAATGCTTCCTTATAATTTCGAATTCTTTCTTGTTTGAATCCTAAGATATATTCATAAATCTACTTTGAATCTAACAGAGCATTATTCATGAATTATGGATAATCAGAATATTTCTCTTAAACTGAATATGTCTTTTGGCGTGCATTTTCAATCTAAACACTTACTCTTTTTGATTATACAGATAAATTAACTTTTTTGAATTTTTGTGAATTTTGAGTTTACAGATAGGGAGAATTATCAATTCTCGATCTCAATTTCTATTATCTGAGCTCGTATTTTTCAAAATTTGGGGATCCTTACTATGAAGGTTAGAATTTAACAGCAGTATGTCTTTTTTAATTTATATCCAATTTCAAATTAGCAATATTTTAAATATTCTGAAAGAAGTTCTTTCTATAAGGTTGGTTTTATTTTTTTTGTAATAAAAAATAGATTGTAGTTAAAGTATTGTGTTTATTAGCATGCAATTAAAAAGTAATTTAATTTTGTGAATAACCCATTTCTATCATCTTCTATATTATAATTTGGTCATCCAAATTCAAATTTTTTCTTTACAATGGAGGTTGCATTGTAAAAAAAGGATGCTACTTAATTTAATCAAAATTTAATCTCTTCTCTGGATCCTTAACAAGGATCTTTGTTAATATATCAACTGCATTGGGTGATAAATGAGCAGGCTTTTCAAAGTCACTCGTTTTAATTAATTAATATAACTCTTTTGTGTTTTCATGTTCAAATGGCAAGTAACCACAAAGCATTGCAAATAAGATTATTCCACAACTCCAAATATCACTTTTTAACCCTTCATATTATTTACCGACTTTGATATTGAATGTATATACCTAGCATTTCTGGTGCTGCATAACAGGGTGAGCCACAGGCTGTTTTCAATAGTTCTCCTTTTGTAAGAGAGATGAAACTCAATCCAAAATCTGCAATCTTTAATTATTTATTTTCATCCAATAATAGATTCTCTGGCTTCAAATCTCGATGTGTAATATTATTGCTATGCAAGTATTCTATTGCAAAAATAATCTACTAGAAAAATCGCGCAGCTATGTGCTCGGGCAGGCTAATTCAATTAGGATTTCACATTACTAATTTTTCTTTATTATGTAATCATACAGCTCTCCCCCTCTCACGTATTCCATAACTAGATACACTGACTATTCTGACTCTAAGATCTTTAATAAATGAAGTTATTACTTCATATAATTTTATCACATTTGGATGATTGACTTTTCTCAAAATCATTATTTCTCTCTAAACTCTCATTAAATCAAACTAATTTTCAATTCGGTTCTTCTCAAGAACTTTAATGGCAACCTAATAAATATATGATAACTCTTACATATTCATCTGTTATTGTATGATAGCCTAATTTCACCTTCCCAAAAGTTCCTTATCCCAATGTACGCTCTTGTTAAATTGCTTATATTTACATAAAATATAATTTTGCACTTAGTGAAAGGCTTCTTGCTCCATCAAAATTAAATAATAATTAATTAACTGCATTTATCAAAACTTCACAAGCTCTATTTAACAATTTTTGACATCCTTTATATACATTAAAAAATGTTTATAAAGCCGAAGGATGTTATCTAAGAGCTTACCCATTAATTAGAAAACAAACAAAAAAATTGAGAAAATTTGATAAAAAGATGTTCAATTAAATATATTTATATTTATCATATTCTTGTATCACTTACGTGCCTTACGTCTTTTTCTCTTGAGTCTTCGCATTCTCTTCTTTCTCCACTTTTCTCTCATTATTTATTTTAATTAATGAATTAAGATTTTAATTTTTTAATTTACATGATTCAATTTAGTATTAATTGTTGGCTATAAAAAAAGTATTTTTGCTTTAGTATTCTTAATTTATAAGATGATTAATTATAAATACATAATAAATCCTTATTGTTATACTTAATAAAATGGACATAAATAATATTTATTATTTTTAACCTTTAATCAATCTATAATGTACTCTGAATAATTGTTATATACTCAAATATATGAAATAATAAAGTTTAATTAGATGAATGTTAATAGTTAATTTATTCTTAATTGATTATTAATTTTATTAAACATATAAGTTGCTAAAAATATTGTTATATCTACTCAAAAGAACAGAATATTTGATAGCCCTCCAGTAAAATTAAGTTCAAAAACTATTACAATTAAGATTAATAAAAAAGTGAAAATTGAATTGAGTAGAGATCTTAAGATGACCCAAATGACAAAAAGTTTATTGAAGGATATTTAATTTGAGAATTTAGAATATTTTCACAATATTTAGATACACTATTCCGATATTTTCATTTTATAATGGCTTAATATACTAAATAGAAAAAAACAATCAAATTAAATTTTTATATGAAGAAAAAGATATTTTAATGCTTTTTTTATATTGATAATTAGTAAAAAACAGCAGTGCAATCCAAAATTCTTTTGATATAGGAATTAATTGAAGTCTTAATAAAACTCATTTAAAATCTCACTTCAGAAAATGATTATATTTAGAGTATAAAATGGTATTGATTTTAAACAAAAAAGGTATTATTGTCTAAGCAATTTAATATTAGACATGAAGAAATTTAAACAAATGAATTTAATATATTCAACAAAGAAGTCATTTCTATTACATCTCATAAGCTACTTCTTCAATTAGAAAATCAAACAATAGATCTGATAAATCTATTGAGATTTCTGCAGTCTCTTCATCGTAATTTGTCCATCTATCTTCATTATCAATAATCTATAAATTTAACAATTAAACTATACATCTAAAGTTAACATTCTATATAGTCTGTCTTCTCGTATCTAGGCTATGGTTTCTTGGTCTAGTTACATAGATTTTGGAAATGGTGAATCCTCTTTATCAACTAAGATCCCTGCCATATAATGGCTCCAATCTATGACTTTTTCTGAGGCTTTTCTAATGATTTGAGGTATTTCCGTCAATTAATTTTCCCTTGCTCTCAATCTGGTTGGGTCAGATTTCCACAAAAATGGTTACCCATGGAGACCATATGGTCTAAACTAATCGAATGCTTCATTTAAAGAATCAAAGATTGCCTTGTTATGAATATGTTCTAATTCAACTATAAGTTTATTTTGATGATTAATGATTCGCTATTCCATTAAAAATCTTTCAAATTTGCCAAATAACTCTACACTAAGAATGACTTATTGCTAAGCTCCATTTGAATCATAATCTGACTCTGCTGATTCCCTTATTGGTTAAAGAAACTTAAGCATTAGTTTAGAGGATGGACCTAATGGAATGTTGATAATTCTCTAGATTTGAATCATGACATTATCTATAAAAGACATAACATAATTTTATTACCTATCAAATACTCTTCTAAATATTTGAGATATGATTTAATTTATGCAACATTTGTTTTCAACCCTTAAATCTTTTGTTCTTTTGACTAAACAATCTAATTCTTACTATTGAATTAAGATTTGCTGATTAATTCATATAAATCAATTCCATTTCTTTACATTTCTATATAAAAACTATTCACTTCTTCTTATATAAGCATATTTGAAATTAAAATAGAATATGAATCAGCACATTTTTCAGATATTTTTTATGGTTCTTTGAACTGCTCCACATTTCTAACAAACTAAGATTAAGCCAATTTTTTTAGATTAAAGGGTTCAGGACATATTAATTCTTTCTCCTCTAATATATTATTGCTTTTTCTCTAGATAGTTACTACATCTTCATAAACTTTATTTTTATCGTCTTGTTAAGATTGCAACATTTAAGAATTGGATATTTAAATGTCAATAATTGAACTCTTTAATGAATTTTCACTATAATTTGCTGATTCTTAGCTTAAAGTATCAACTATTTTGATATAAGTCTAAGAATTTTATGAAGTTAGCATTTATTTCACAAATTACAAATCCCTTTAAGTTTTTACAATGGCATCAAAAACACTTTGTTATCCTTTGAGAATCTCCCTCTTTTTTTACTCTAAATCATTTTTTTATTTATTAACCCACTTCTCGATTTTCCTTTGTTAAACTTCGAATGTCCTAGGTGATATTTGATTATTTTAAAAGGCTTTATCAATTTACCGTAAAGATTATTACTGTCTTTATTGAACTGCCTCTTCTCTTAAGGCAATTAATTAGTCCATCTTGTCTCTCTACATAAGTTCTTTAAACTTATTCATAACAAAGTCTTAGAATGATGTTTATTCAAACAACCCTTTATCTTATTAGAATGATTATTCACCTTCTTAAGAAAGACTCTTTAATAATGATTCTGAACCAAAAGCACATCTTATTTCTCCAATATCAACTTTATTCTCCTCTTCTTACTCTTCAACATCAATTGATAATTTACTAATTTTTTTTGGTTTTTAATTTCCATTTGATTCACCTTGAGAATTTTGATATGATTTCTTAATTTTTTCAGGAGTATGCTCAGATATTATTTGTAACTAAATATCTTTAAACTTATTTGAAACTTAATTCTATTGATTAGACGAATTAGGCTTCCAATCAATATCATCTTGAAAGTTTTCTATAAATTTTTAATATTAATTTGATTCAATAATTTTTTTTGTATCTTTTTGATTATCTACCTAAGAATTGGGTCTAGAGTGACTTATAAAGCTAGATTCATCTATAAGTTATGAGTTATCAATTGATCCTTTCTTGAGAAATCCAAATTTAATTAGTTTATTGATTTGAGATTTGGTTAAACTTTTTAAATTTAATCCATCCTTAGTTTTTATATTATCTTTATTCTATTAGAATTTAGATTTAAAAATCTTCTTGCGTACTTAATATCCTTTCCATACCTTTTAAATAATCACTGCTGCCTAATTTTCAACAGAGAAAGCATTCTAATGTAAAGTAATCTTCTTACAATTGTCTTTTTTGAAATAATATTCTTCATTATAATTTTCAGGAAAAGAACCTTAAAAGATATTTGTTTCTTCAATTTTTTATGCTTCTTCTTCTTCAGAATGAGTATCTAAAATATTCTTTTAACTATAAAAGCTATCATCTAAGTCTTAAATATTTTGTTCTCCATCACTGTCATTAGGAATATTATTGCTGCTTGAATTGCTCATTAATTTATAAAGTGATGATTGGGGTTTTGATTAATTTTTTGATGAATTACATCCTAGTTTTTTATAATTAAGATAATTCTCTTCGATATTTTAATATTATAAAACAATCCTTTTTTGCTTCTAGGCTCTATTGAACTTCAATTATAAATTAGGAGCTTCAAATAAGGTTCCTGTTTTCTCATAAAGAGAACCTGTTCTAATTCTATTAATTTAGATTGGCTTATTTTGTTAACCTTATGAGAGACTTCTATTCCTTTTTTGTATTTTCTAAGCAGGACTAGGATAGTGAATAAAACTCATTTTCATTCGATTTGGTAGAATGTTGAAGTTTTTAGATTTGCTTCCCAATTTTTTGTATTGTTATTGCAAAGCAGTTGATATTTTTAATTTTTGCTAAGGTTGATTTTCATCATGGAACGATTTTTTCTCTAGCTTAATAAATCATATTACTTTTCATCATTGATTTAAGATTCTTTTAGGCGTATTAGTTCAAAAATGATGTCCCAATTTATTATCTTCTTTCTTTGAGGTCTACAGTTGTTCTTGTATTTCGACGTTAAATTGCGTTAAAATATTTCTGTTATTCAGCTAAAATGTAATTGCGTAGTCTCTGCTGATTAACACCCCATGGAATAACTGACGAAATAGACTTTTTTGTTTTAAAACCACTTTTTTGTATTTCAGTTTTTGATTTCTATGAGGATTTCTTAGTTTTTTTCTTCTTCTTTTTCTTGATTTTGTTTGGTGTAACTATTTGACTAGGATTTAATTTGCTAGCCATGAAAATATCCTATTAATCTGATTCTGCAAATCCTTATTATTTACTTTCATTTATCGTCATTTTTGGTTTGATTTGACCTTCAACCTTGCATCCAGTAATCTTGTCTAAATTAATTATTGCAATACTGTTTGGGTTGCTTATCTTAGGTTTCAGCATTTAATTTATAACAACCAATTAAATATATTAAAAGAAAGTTGATAATTTATACCTAATTTGATACAATGGTTTATCATGTAGTTATGAAAGTTATAAAATATAATAATTATAGTAGAATGAGGATATATTCTTTATTCTTTAAACAAATCTATTTGAAAAATATATTTACAAATGATTTGAAAATATATAAATTAGGATGAGGATAGTAAAACCACTATTGTATTCGGGATAATGAGTAAGAATAGAATAAGATGATAAGTTTTTATGGTATTGTATAAATTAACGATCTTTATTAATAATTATTTGAATTTAAAATGAATACATTTAGTCGATCTCCATTAGAACCAGTCACTTAAAATAAAGAATATTTTACATCCCAATCTTCTTCAAAGGTGATCACAAGTACGATCAGATAGTGCACTTCAGTGACACAAAATTTAGGAGCCTCTCAAATGAAAAGATCAATGTAATTAATGTGTTTATCAAAATTAGGTCTGGAAATAATATCTATTCCTCTTAAATTAATAACCCTCCTCCAGCCAGATAATAATTAGGGAAAAACCTTGATATCGTTTGTTTCTTGATGGCTTGCGAGGTTGAAAGATTTGTGGCTGAAAATGATAAACTCAAATATAGAATAAAGGAGATGGATGACAAATTGCTTGATAGAAATAGTTATGAAAAACAAATAGAAGATTTGCAAGCCAGACTTATGTAGATGCAATATTAGGAGAGTATGTACAGGTATATCAGTAAATCATGATTTAAGATAAGAGGTCGAGATTACTACTTCTTAGTACACAGAAGAGATTGAGAATTGGAAAATCAGATTTTTTAATAATGAGGAAAAATACAGAAATGAAAATGAATAATTGAAACAATAACTATTAGTTGGAAATTCAAAATAATAAAAAGAAATAGAGGAACTAAAGAATCAATTATTCACTTAGAAATAGATGAATGTAAATAAGTGATTAAATATCTCTAGGAAAATGAATTATCTAAACTTAGAGAATAATTGTTGAGTAAATAATAGGCAGTAGAGTATTATTAAGTAGAATTGAATTAATATGAGGCTGAATTTTAATAATACAAATAACAGGAGGAAAAAATAGTGTAGTTGGAGAATAAAATTGGTATGTTAGTTTGTGAAACTGAGAGATTGAACAATTTATTGAAATAAAAGTTGGAGGAATTGGAAATGAACAAAGCACGTTATAATCATATGGCTTAAGAAGCAGAAAAGGGGAAATCTGAATTAAGATAGTTGTAAAATTAATTTGATAAAAAGTAAAAAGATTATGACTAACTCAATTAAGCATACGTGATGACTTAAAATGAATTAATTAAATATAAGGACTAAGATTAAATCATAGATTAAATGTAAAATAAAATAAGTCTCTTGTAAGGTGAAATAGATAGATTAAATTAAGTATTGAGAGAAAAGATAAAGTAAGGAGAAGAATGGAGATAGAAGTATTTTGATTCAGATAATCAATGTAAAGAAATGAAATAGAAGTTAAATAAATTAGATTAATTGTAATTGCAATTAAAAGATCAAGTTGATATGTTTTAACAGTTGAGTAACAACCTTGAAGATTAAAAGATGAAAAACTATTAATTGCAATAATCAAACCATAATTTAGAACAAGGAAATTAAGATCTAATTAGTAGAATTGAATTGTTAACATCTGAAATAGAAAGACTTAATAATATTTTAAGATAGAAAATTCACGAACTAGAAGAATGGAAACAAAAGTGCTAACATTATGAATAAGAATTCAAAAATAAATCAATTTAATACAATGATATCAAAAATAAATTAAGTTGTTTGACATAAGAAATTGATAGAATGTAAGAATAATTGAGATAGAAATAATTAGAGTTATAAAATTTATAATTGAATTAAAATTAGTTATAAAAGGAAATTAATAATTAAGAATAAATTAATTAATCTTTATAAAAGTAGATTGAAGAATGGAAGAGAAAATATAATAATTTAGAATATGATTTATAAGAGTCATTAATGAAGAATAAGAAATTGGTTGAATATGAGAATACTATAGCCATGATTTCATAAGAACTGGAAAGATAGAAGACGTTATTTTCATAGAAATCATAAGAATTTGATGAATAAAGGAGATAGATGATGAATGATATCTAAAAACTGAAATAAAGTATGGGATTGAAATCAACAGAAGCAGAAGAGTGGATGTCTAAGTATAGAAGATTAGAATAGGCTTACTCTGAATTGAGTTAGACTAATAGAATAGTTGAGGATAAGTGGAAGTAATCATTAATAAGAATTATATTGCATTGTTCTGAAATTGATAGATTGACATAAGTTTAAGCTGAGATTTTCGATGAAAATGAATAATTGACTAATCAAATATCACATTATCAAAGTTAATTGAAAATTAAAGATGATTAATTATATAAAGCATTGGATAGAAATAATTTATTACAAAAATTATAGGATGAAGAGAAGGCCAAAAGACTGGGATTGGAAAATTAATTAGCAAGTTTGAAAATGTTCTAAGAAAATTGTTAAATATTAGAATAGAAAATTATTAGTTTGACAAATGAGAATTAAAGATTGAATGAATAATTGAGATTAAGAAATGGAGAAATTGAAGATTATAGAACTTAAATTTCAAGATATGAAAATAAGATTTAAATTAGTAATCAAGAATTGGAAAGAGTTAATTAATAATTAAGAAAAGCATTTTCAGAATCAGATGAATTAAGAAAGGACAAAGAGAGATTAGAATCTTAGTTTACTTTACTTTAAAGATAATATGATGAATTAAAATAAAAATATAATTCTTTAGAGTTATATAAAACTAAATATATTGAATTAGAGAATAGGTGTGCTATGTTATCAACAGAAATTGAAAGATTAAATTAATTGTTGATGAACAGATAAGATGAAATTGATTAATTGAAGAAGAAATGTTTTTAATTGGAATAATAGATCATTTAGTTAAAACAATACGAAGAAAATGTATTAAAATTATAACTCTTTTTAGATTAGAGTTTTGTCTAATGAAATCGATAGATTATAAGGAATAATTGATGTCAATGAAGCTGAACTTAAACAATGGAGACTCTAATATGCAGATGGCGGAGCTTAAACCAGAAAGATTTAAGATCTCTTATTCCATTTTGTGGTATTCTATTTATCTAAATTTAGATGTAATCAGCAGAGATTGAAAGTCTTAGAGCAAGAGTATAAGAGAAAGAAAAAGAGGTTGAGGAGGTTAGAAGAAGCAGTTTGGCACCATATAGAAGATGAGTAATTAAATTAAATATAAATTAAAATTACACTTGTATATTAAAATTAAATAGCTATATAGTCCAAGATCATTGAATTCTTGATATATAATCTATAGAATAAGATAAATTAATTTAGTAAATAAAGGGATATTTTTTTACCTTTTGGGTTTCTCTCATTTTAAATAACTGGATTCAAAATGGGTAATCTTCTTCTTTGATATTTATGTCATATAAAATTTACTTCATAATTTAAGATGTTGTGGAAATATTACCCAACTTAAAAAACACCAATTTCCACCAATTTCTTGTGTATTTAAATATTTAAATAGATTACTTATTTTATCTATATATTTAGAGAGGATATTTGTTTATGTTCTTAATTTTCAATAGTTGTAAAGCCCATCTCTAATTAGTTATTGAAAAATATTATTAATCGTAAAAAATTCTATAAATTGTAAATTGATATAACAATCTTATGACTTCAATAAGTAATTTTTTCTTAAGAACATTTATTTGTATTTATATTCAATAATAAATTATTTGGTGATGACATTAGAGTGATCAGACTTTTGGAAACATAAATGATAAGAATAATTATAAATTGTTAAAACTAAACAATAATAAAACTTGTTTATTAGATAAATTTAAATATATTTTATGATTTAATATCCTGATCTTGATAAACCTGCTAGCAATTATAAGTAAGAATGTAAACTACCAAGTTATCCTCCCCCTGACGAAAATGTTTAAGCAATATAGATTGGATAACCAATACAAGCAAATTATTTATAGAATAATTAAGTGAATTGGGCTCAATAAGGCAATATTCCACAATATATTCCTGCAATTCCTATCACTCAGTACCCAAGTTCATTATAATAAAAGAACTTTGGTAAGGTTAAAATTTATTGATTAGGAGAGCTTGATAAAGAAAATCTTCCTCCTTATTCTTTGAGTGTGAGATGTCCTGAATGTGGAGGTATGATTTAAACAAAGTTAAATTATGTTCCTGGGTGTCTTTCTTTTAGTTTATGTTTAACGATGTGTGCTTTTGGATTATTTTGTGGGTATTATTTGAATGATTGTTTTCATTATTAGGTGTTGTTTAATACCTTTCTGTATGAATTGTTGTAAACGATAAGTACACCAATGTCCATTGTGTGAAAAAGTGTTAGGAGAAGTTAAATGACAATTTGTTTTCTTATTATTTATATGATTAAATTCCGTTTTTATTGATTATTAATAAAATAATGAAAGCTGTCCTCATATTAGGATTGATGATTTTTGGAATCACTGCAGTAGAATTGGAATCAGGAGTCCCAATTTTGCTCAAAGAAATTAAAGCAATAAAAACAGAACATACAGAGTTTACATTCTTACTCGATTTGGAACTCAGTTAAGGAGGAAAGGTTTCTGAAGTGGTTTCATTAGTTGGAGATCTATTAGAGTAAATGAAGAGAGACCAACTTAATGATGATCTTGAATATGCCCATGTAAATTTTAGAGAAATTAATAACATTAGAGAACAACAACTCTTGGATTAGACATTGAATGGTTGATAATTGTATTAAGAAATCTTACAAAGGAGAGACAAGACAAAAATAACTAATTAAGTGAATTAAATCAAATAATTGTTGGTTTACAATAATAATTGGATGCACTCACTGAATAATTGAATATTCTTAATGGAAAAGAAGAATAACTAAGATAAACTAGAGCTTAAGAAGCTGCATCATATTAAGCCCGATAAGAGAATAATAGTAAGGTATTGGCAGCTTTGAATGAAATCATTCCCAAGTTATAAGTTGCTGTTTTTGATTAAGACGGAAAATCATTATTGCAAACTGAATAATTTGAAATTGTTGAAAAGATCAAAAGAGAATTAGGACATAATCATCCAGTTGCTATTATGGTTGCATTGACTACTAAATTCGATGTTTCAACTGTTAAAAGAATCATTGATAAATTGGAACATATTAGGAATGCTGTCATTGCTTTAATGAAATAAGAAGATGAATAAGAAACATAAAGTCAAGTAAAATGTTATTTAAATTAAGATTACTTTCTAAACAGCTATTCAAGAAGTTGCTGAATTGAGAGAAAGATTTTCTAAAGATTTCGAAATCACTTCCTAATTGATCAAAAAAAGAACTAATGATAAGGTATTTTTCTAATCAATATTAAAGGTTCTTTTGGAAAAAAGATTAACCATTATCAATAGAGATCTTAGTCTAACTGAACAATTACTCATTTAAACCAGAGAATACAAGGAATAATATGATGCTGCCTATGCTGTCAGAAAGGGCAAAAGGTAAGAATCATTCTATAAATTCAATTAGAATTTCTGAAATTAAAACTGTCCAATAAGCTTATGATTTAGTAGAGAATCACGCTAAGAAACACAAATAATGATTTAAATAAATATTTTGCAATTATATGGATTATGGATATTTTTTATTTCCTATAAAAATACTAATTAATATGTATAATATTTATAATTACATATATATTTATCATTTATGTGCTTGCCACTGAAATTCATTCAATTATTCATTCGAATCAATTGTTTTTGTTTCATCATATTTGGGATTGTACTTATTACCCAAGTATTCATAACGCTAAGTGACGACATCAATAATGGCAAAGATGTAAGATCTATATTTAATAACTTATTAGGGAATCATATTTACATTTTCAGTAGGTTTAGCGATTATCATAGTTGGTGCATCAGGGTTATTAAGTTCATATTGTCCAAACTTTTGCATTATTTTTGTCTATTCCTGTTTTATCATCTTAATTGGAGTATTGACAATCTATGTTACAATATGTTTAACAATCTTGCAAGATTAATTAGTAAGTAAGAATTTTGATGATTGCATCTCTTCTTCTTTGCCTTCTGCTCAAAAAACTAAGGAATAAATTTTATGGGCTGAAACACAGTTTTGTAAATAAAATTGTCTTTGCTACATTGAGAAGATTTAAGATTGGGATCCGGATTACCTAGAAAATAATAGAATTTCTTATACTACCAATAAAGAAATTAGTGACATCATCAAATATCCTGATTGCAACAAATCAATTAAAGTAGATGGTTTGTCTTACAAACAAATTGCAAATTTAGAAGAAAAATACAGTTGTTCAGGATGGTGTAAATAACATCCTGTTTACTTATTCTCAAACATTAATAATGGAATACCGTATATATTTTATTAATATAAGAAAAGATGGATGTTTTACCTACTTTGAATAAGAATACATTTATTATGTCAATAGAGCATATATAGACTATCTTATTGTTGATATTCTCTACCTTTTTAACTTAGGATTTGCTATATGTTAGTGTTACTAAACAAGTCGACATAAAAAATCAAGAATATACCCACAAATACTCTATGAGCTTGCATCCCAATGATTAATTATTAACTATACTTCCTTTTTATTGTTTAATATTTATAAATAAATAATTAATATAAAAAATAACATTTTCAATATAAAATGTAAATTAATATTTAAAAACAGTCTTTTACATAATATTAATTCATATGAATAGTGATTTATCTTTTAAACCTTTGTTGTTCATCACCTTTGCATTATTAAAAATTTTTGAAATTGAATTTAATTTAGGTGTTTTTGTCAATAATATTTTGTTACTTTCCAAAAGGTATTACTTGTAAGAGGTCCTTCAGCTAGTAAGGAATGAGTAGAAGTTGTGGTATTTTCATCATTGGTTTTATCTTTAAGAGGAGGAACAGTCTTTTATTGCTAGGAGTGAAAATCTTTCTATCTCCTACTTTTCTAAATTCAAGATAATCATATTGTTACTCTTTTTTTTATTACAAAAATTATTACAAGTCCAAAATATCTTAATACTTAGACTTAGAAAGCGATTAGATCTAATAATCAAAATAGAATAGATCTAATTATTTTTCATATTAAGCTTTGAAGAGCATCAGATAAGGTTTTGAAATTTTTGATGTAATTATTTTCTTTGTTAGCTTTTCAGATGACCTTATTTGCTGATATTGAATTTGGATATAAATATTTGAATATTTAAGAAAATGCACATCCTGTGCTAGTGATTTTAAATATGTAATTGATATCTAAAAGTTAGAAGATGATTATTTACTTTAAAGGTTTCATTTATCCATTTGATTAATTCATTTTTTGAAGTTGTTTAAGTAGTTGTAGTTTAAATTTAATTTCAAATAATATAATTATATCGTTAATTTGAATTAATCTCAAATTTAATTTATTCGATATTTAAATAAGATTAGGATTGATTTAATTAAAGGATTTCTTCAATCTAATGCAACCAATTTTGACTTCAAAATGTAACTCAGCAATAGAAATCAAAGAATATAATGTATCAAATTGTGTTAACTTTATTAGTTTATACAGAAAAATATAATTTGATTATAAAAGATTAACAAAGATTTTTTGTTTATGTTACATTAATTGCAACCCATCAGAATTGTTGAGTACATATAATTATAAAAAGTATCAATATTGGAACTTTGAAGGGAAGGTTACAAATTATGAACATTGTAATAATACTTATAAATTATAATGTTTGTCATTTCAATAGTGGTCCTTCTAAATTTTGTAATTCCATTTGAGTTCCTGCTCTGGAATCATTGTCGTGTCTTGGAGGAGGTATTTTGAAAAATGTCAAGGCATAATATGGAACCAATTCACCCATAAATACTTCCTAAATTTGTAATGAAATAAGGAAAATACTATTAGAATCAAATCTATGTTCAATTAAACATAATTGGCAAAGATTAGAAAGAATATAAGCAATCTGAGTGCCAAACTTATTGATATAGTTTAGATCAGTTTGTTGACTTGTGTAAGGAAAGGTACGATCCAATCATCATCTTCTAGCTGCTATAGTTAGGTTTTAGTACATCAGAAAATAACTTATTGCTAAAGTATAAACATCCAATAATAAGTGCGGCATATAGTAAAAATTAAAGAATTAATACTCTTTCCAAGAATCCATCCTTGAGTAAAAAGTAAACATAAGATAAGACTAAGTGTCTATAAACAACTTACCTAGACAAACAGGGCTATAGTATATGGAGTACTGGATGATATTGGTATCCTTGTTAGCAAGAACACTCATGCAAATGGCTAGATGTCCAATAAATATGATGTAAGATTGGATCCAAAATAGGATTGGTGCTGTGTATAGAAAGTCTAACCATATGCCTTATGGCTATTCCATTATTAGAAGGAGACTCATACCCCTGAAGGCACTCGATGCACTCACACTCACCAGAAACCAAAATTTCAGATTTTTATTTTTCATACTATGTAATTTGACCATGTTACTAGCAAGGCAAACTAACACAGCTACCATTTCAATAAATGTTAGCCTATATAAATAGAGAAAGCAAACTACCAAATTTAGAAATGACTTGGAGGTTCTGGTTCTTAGTTATTTTCCATATATTTTATAATTTATATAATTATATAATCAGTTTTAGTGTGGTTTCTGATAGAAATGAGTCTGACATTAATGAGCTAAATCTTATTCATCCATCAAATGCTATTTGAATTATTGCAATTTCTTTCGTAATCTAAGAATTGATTAAATAATGTATCTACCTCATTATCTTGTCGATTTTCAATAGTAAGACGTGATCTAGACCATCAACATATTCTTCAATATCAGAATTAGGTTGATCAACAGCTTGTAACATTTTCATTTCATCATTAACCAACTCAATCAAATCATCAATATGATCTCGATGTGCTTTTTTGAGAGCTCTTTCTTCATCTAATATTTATTATATGAGTTCATCATGTTTATTTTTAAGATCACTATTTCGACTGGGTTTCATTTAAACTTCATCTTCATATTAATCTCCATTATCATGATCAAATAATTTAGGGGGTGAAACAGGTTTAACAGCCTAAGGACTTTCAAACAGGTAATTATTTGTGATGTATTATCTTGGTAACATTAATTCTCTTGTTAATTAGTCAACACTGCTGGATGCTTAAGGAGCTTTTAATTCCTTAACCTACAAAATAGTAAGATATCAAAATACTCTATCTGCATATCTTAGAGTGTTAAGACTATGTTCTGCATCTTTATGACAAGGTGAGATAGTACCGATCATGAGAGTTCTACAATTTCCAGTGAATGAATCCTTAAGCACTTAAGTCAATTTGGATCCTCTAAAGGGCGTATGATTTTTATTGAGATCGAGAGCTCTAATGCACTCTTTCAAAGCCAATAATGACTTATTAATTTCAGCTCCATCTATTCTAGTTTGTTTATGATATTCGACTACATCAGCTCCTCTTTCACTACCTGCTAAATCAATAAATGACAATTTGCCAATGATTTTATTCTGTTATCTCAAGTTTATCTGCAGAATTGCATGAGATCTAGATGAATCTTAGTTGACACTATTCTACCCTGTAACTCTGCTCTTGATTCCCATTTCTACAGTTTTTTAAAACTCCTATACACTATGTACTTTTGTCTCTGATAAACCTGCTATGTTGACTTAGCCTTTTGCATCCTCTCTAGCTACTAGTTGAACACGATCATTCAACAAATCGAATAATTTAGAACAATAAATTTCGTAGAATGAAACACTCAACACAATGGAATTTGTTATCAATTAAAATAAATCATATGCGGCTAAGGTATAGATTCCTACCACATTTTAATCACCCAACATAGTGTATGTTTTACCAGATCCAGTTTAGCCATAAGCAAAACAAGTAATTTTGGTTCCGGTTATTGCTGCTTGTACCATAGGTTTAACGAGTTATTAGTACAAATCCTCATTCGTATATTATTGATCAAAGGCAGCATCAAAGTTGAAATTGAATTCTTCTATGAATTTAGTTAAATCCACTTTCATCCTAATTGGATTATGTAAATCATACCTTGGTTCTCGAACAATAACTGTATTACCCTGAACTTCAACAATATCTTTTTACCCCTCCTTACTTTCCTTCTTTGATAATGGACGTTTTCTGACTGCAACTATAATTTTTGGTTGATCCATTTAACTTTTATTTATATTTTATTAATATTTTCACAATTTGGCATCTTAGTACATTTTCTCAATTTCACCAAGCCACTTCTACTCTACTACTCTTCTTTTCAATTTCAAAGTTGGTGTCAGTTCTCCTCCATCAACACTAAAGTCCCCAGGAATCAGAGTCCATTTTCTAATGTACTGAGCCTTAGAAATAACCCTTGAATTATTAAATCATTCATTACTTTGTATTGGTTTCATCAATCAATTACTAGATATAATTAGTGATAGCTTTATCATTTTTGGCTTCCTCAAATGTAGTGGCTGAAGAACCAAGACTCTTGAATACAGAAATGACATCCTCATTCAATTTATCAGTTGGCCTAGTTTATATTAATATAATTACTATCCATCAGGTGTTAATTAATGTTTCAATGTTAATAAAATGGATAAATATTTTCTCTTATCTCCGATAACCATACAATTTGACACAATCTTAATATTCTTTTTCACCTCATCCTCAATTAAAACTGGAGCTACATTTTCACCTCCAGCTGTAATGATCAATTCCTTAATTCTTCCTGTTATCATCAAGTTACCATTCTTATCAAGTTTGCCAACATCTCCTGAATGTAACCATCTATTACTATCAATTGTATTCCTAGTTGAATCTTCATCCTTAAAGTAACCCATAAAGATGTGTCTACCTCTATAACAGATTTCTCCATTTCCATCTTTATCTGGATTATCTATTCTTAATTCAGTTCCTTCCATTGGCTTACCAGTACTATTAATGAATAATTCATCAAATTTATCAAAGTGAAAAGGATCTGCCATATTTTACACTCCTCCACATTCACTCATACCATACCCATTGATCAAATACATATTCAAAGTTAAGAAATATTCTCTAATGATGGGGGATAATGGAGCTGCCCCAAATATCATATATTGAGCTTAATCTAATCCCAAAGCTTTTTTAACATTTGCATACACTAATTTATCTGCCAATCCAAAACAAAGAGGAGGCTTGAGACCATGAGTTTATGCAAAGGTACCTTCTTTACCTATAGACTTGGCCCAATTTGCTATTTTAGTTTTAATAGCCCCATTTGATTTTGCTATTTATTACATTTGATCGTAAATCTTTTCCCAAACTCTAGGTACACTAAAGAATAGAGTAGGTCTGACCTCCTTAAGAGTATTAATAAGGGAACCTTATAGAGCATCTGGATTTGCAAAGTATAAATGTGCTCCCCATCTAGCGAAACCAATTATATCTATCAATTATGCTACGACATGACTTAATGGCAAATAACTTACCAATCTCATTTCACCATTGCCTTACATCACATACTTTCTCTTTTGTTAAGTAATTGTAAACACATAATTATCATGTGATAACATAACTCCCTTTGGATTGCCTGTTGTTCCTGATGTATAAATTAATGTCACACAATTTCCAGGTCTTAATTTTGATACTCTCTCTAAAACTGAACCCATTAAATCTGCTTTTTTGCCCATTTCAATAAAATCTTTCCATTTGAATACTTATGATCTTCTTTATTCAGGGATTTCAGAGGTTGGAATATCATCATTGTATAATACAACTCCTTTTAGACGGGGCAATTTATCCCAAATTTTCAAATACTTACGTAATTATTCTTTAGTATCTGCCACTACTAATTCACATTCAGAATGATCTGAGACATAAAAACATGCATCTGGATTATTTCTAAATTACGTATTAATTTTATCTCTTACGTAGTATAAATTCCAACAGGTAAATTATGAGCATGAATGCTTCCCATAAAAGATATGTGCCACTCAGGAGCATTGAAACCGATTATGTTTACTGCACTCATTTCTGTTATTCCATAAGCAATTAAAGCCTTTGCAAATTACATTGATTCATTATAATATTCTTCATATGTTCTAGTAATCCTATTTAGTTCTACGCTTTCTTTACCATTTATTATTTCTCTTAACACTCAAGGCTGGCTTCTTTGCAAACTAAGTGCAGTCATTTTTAAATTGTTCTGGAAGAGTAATTGGTATTTCACTTCCTGGACCTGACTTTTTAACTCTGATAGGCAACTCCATTTTATAATTTGTAGTCCAAAAGACATTTTTTAATGGGTCTTTAGCATCAAATTCCTTCAATAATTGTCTCATTCCTTCTTCTGATATATACACTTTCTCTTCCATTTAAGATTTTATTAAATTAATGATATTACATACAATAATTGTAAGAGGATCACTCATTTTGGCAGAGTTCTCTGATTCCGAAGAAGATTATAGTAATATCATTAAGAAAAGAATTCCTGATGTTAAGAATGGATAGGAAAGTCAAAAAATTCTGAAAGATGATATATATTTATATGCCATAAATGACAACGACTTAAAGTTTATTTGTTTATCTAAAGAAGACGATGAGAGTATATTTGTAAAATTGCAAACACTAATATAAGCAGCATAATAAATAGAAACTGGTATATCAATATAAATTATAATAGATGGCAACTATTCAGCTAAACTCACCCAAATCCTACATAAACACTTGAAGAAAGATTAGATTGTTGTTATTCAAGAGGAGAAGATAGATTAATAATCTCCTCAATAAACTAGATTAATAAATCAACCCATTTTAGAAAAAAAAGATTAAATCGATTTCTAGAAAAAATTATGTTTCTCTGTGATGTTACTTATATTGAGTGTGTATTTGATATTAAACAATATTATTACAAATGCTTGATATTTAATTAAAAACGATATAATTTAATAAATTTAATTACGCATTTTATACTATAAAAATTATTTAGATTTCTGGAATTTTATTAATTATTATTTTTGAAATGAACAACGATTTATGCGAATCAATTATTAATCATGCAAATCAAATATACATATCAATAGCCAATATGAATGGGTAGTTAAATGAAAATGGCAGCATTGGTATTTAATTTTTTGATTATTTCAATAGCAAATCATAGCACTACATCATCCAACACGTCACCAACGTAAGGACTAGCATTCATAATGTTTCTACTATTTACTACATATGCTTTACTATCACTATTCTCTCCACAAAGATAACCGGTCATGCAAAAGGGCAATATATAACACTAACAGAATAATCATCATCATGATGATTGATTGATTGACTATTGAACTCTTTTATATATGACTTCTTTAGTTATTAATTTTAATCAAATCCAATTATGTTAAAGGACGAATTAATAATTAAATCTATTCATCATCCTTCATTTTATAATTAAGCATTTATTATATAACAAAATCTTATAATATAATAATAAATCACTAAAATTTTATAGAGGCTGAATTGAATATTTAATATCATCTGATCTGATTTCTATTTAGTTTTGCTGTTACATTATATATTAAATAAATTAAGTATTCGTAAAGGATCTAAACTATTCACAAAAAAATAGAAATGACTATCATAGCTATTGATTTGTCTCACTTAATTCATATACTTATTTTGTGAACATATTATAATAATTCATAATAATGGTTGATGTTGTTTTATTATATAAATTTCATGATTATTATTGATTGAGATTGGTAGTTGAATCGTATTCAGTTATTTCTTTAATCTCAGACATATTTAACCAAGGGTTATACTATTTACTACTTTCTTTAAGCTAGTCTTTATAAAGTTATAATAATTCTTGTAATTCTTCTTTGCCTTTAGTCATCAATAAATCTTGATTTAGTATGGATTCACTAATGACAGCATCTTAGGAGTTATTCCTTTATCTGACAGGTCTTGGAGGTATTTAATTTTTAATTGGTTATTGTTTAATCTATTATTATTCAGGTTTCTTTTTGTGCTGTTAATTGGTTTATGGTCTATCCTTTGAATTCTTTCTTTAAACAGGAGACTATTATGATATTTTTTATCTATTTTAATTTGCAGAAGTGGAAGCCCTCACAACTCTTTTATTGTTGGTTTGTTCTTTGATTAATTTCTCTTAATTTAATTGAGCTTAAGCTTCTAGATCTTATTGTTTACAAAAGTCAAACATGGCTTTGAGTAAGTAAGGATGATTAATCATTTGCTAAACACTTGGTGGATTTGGTTACATAAGTGATTTAAGGATTTAAGTTAATTCATGTGATTTTTATGATTCCCAGTCCAAATTAGTTTTTTTTACTACTTACTATAGATATTTGACTTCTTCTTTCCAATTTTTGTGGGATAGCAAATCGAATTAAATTCTGAGTGATCCAAATGAATTCAAAAAGATTGTGTCTAAATCTAATGAGACATTAATCTGTTGCATTTCTAAGTAATTTAATGCAAATAACAACTAAAGTAAATATTGGCATACTAAATTAACAGAAACTTACTTATTTAGTCTTTCATTTAAAATTTATTCTAAATTATTAAGATTCACTACCTCCACAATATTCTAAGACTTAGACAAGATATTAAGATTCAATGAAGTATTCCTTAATTTTAGTTAAACTTGGGTGTTTGATATTGATTAATTGTTTCAGATGTTTTTCGATTTCCTTCAATTTTTCCGCATTAATTTTGCTAATATCTGTCCTTTTTAAGACATAACATTGTTTATCTAGCAACGATCTAACAAGGAGATGTTCTTCAACTATTACACCTTTATTGACTTTTTTGAATAAGACTTTTTATAATTTATAATTATTCATATAAATGTATTATCATAATCCAGACCCATATTAACAGCCATACACTCATGGATAGTATAATGAAAAAACATACAGAAACAGTGGATTTTTGACAGAAACTCAAGATGATTACCAAGACTACTAATATTATGATCCTTACCAAAGTCAACTACATAATCGGACATATTTGAATGATGTACGACCTCTAAATTATAGTATTATTGTTAATTAAACAATAGCATATTACGAATAGCCTCCCTATCCAGTCAAAATGGGATAACCATAATAATATTTTGATCCTAACGATCCCAACAATATTCCATTCATGCCTCATGAAAGTAAGTATTGACTCTAATATTCAAGGGTATGATGATGGATATGAGGAATATGTACTATAGTTCATAAGAAATTTGCCAAGATCTACTTAAAATTTTGAGGAAGTAGCCTTTGCAAAATATTTGGCTGAATGCTCTATTATTGATAAGAAAGTGTGGAAATTGCAGAGGATGTTGAAATAAGATTAGAGATTCAATGTCAAATTGCTTTTTGATTTCTTTGATTCTAAAAAGAATGGGACAATAGACTATAATGAGTTTCAGTTAGGGTTGTAAAAATTGGACATCATTCTCAATTCTATTGAATTGAGTTAAATGTTCCTACGTTATGGAGGAAGTGATGACAATCAAATCTCTTCAGTTGAATTCAAGTATATGCTCTTAGGTCCAGATGATTCACAACAATTTATGCAATTTGGAGCCATGCATTACATGCATCATCCATTAAAATAGAATATTCCTTAGTTTCTTTCAGTAGCTCAAAGAGAATGGATTTCTGAAATCATGCATCTACAATTGCAATTAGAGCGAAATCTCAATTTCATAAAAGAAGTTATTGGAACCAAAGATATCCTACTAGCCCTTTTCAAATAATTAGATATTGGAATGAAGGGATATATTACTATTCAAGACTTAGTTATTTACATGAATGAATTAGGAGGTCAATTTGAACAGTACGATTTAAAAGGGTGTTTAGATAGAATGTCAAAGTACAAATAGATATAATTTTAGAGTTCATTGCAGTCGAATAAATTTCAATGAATTTAAAAAAGAATTCTTTTTAGATGAAAAGAAGAAATCTGATTAAGATTAAAATATCGATATTATGAGTGACAGAAAGAAAACAAGATAAAAAGATTACATTCAGGAATTGCATTAGAGAACAAAAGACTTGTAAAATCAATAGTAATAAGCTCAAAAACTCTCTACTGATCGTAAAACTTAACCATTATTGACTACTACTGCTTAAGTTAAATAACCTCAACCTTATGTAATACAGCCACCTGTTGCATAAAAAAGAAAATAGGAGTAGTCAGTTAATCAATTGGATGATGACTTAGATGATTTGTTGTTTCCTGGTTTCTAGAAATATGAATTGCAACCACCAGATTCAGAATATTGATGATATGTAACACTACCAATAAATATCCTATTCATTAATAATCATTTATTATCTACATAATAGAATATAATTTATTCTTTAATTTGTTTAAAAGCTACAATAAATTTTGATAGAAATATTATCAAATATTGATCAAAGTTCTTAGTGTTCTTTCAAATGTATCATCGGTGAATAATGTTTGCGAAGGTATTATATACACAAAATGAATTATGATCTTGCTGTTTTCATATATTTTATTTTTCACTTCAGTTATAATTATCAATAAGACCAGGAAAAGTATAACTAAGTAACAAATATTAAAAACCTAATTTAAAAGAATCACTTACTTCTTATTGATCCACTAATTTGGTTGTTACCTCAATTAGATCATTGTAAAAATAAGAATTCATTACATTAATCACTTCGGATATCATAAATGCTCCTTCTAATTCATTCTAAGTGGGTACAGCTCTGTAAGTAAAGTTATTTATGGCTACGTCAGTTTCAATTAAGTTTTGGATATATATCAACATTGCTTTTAGCCCATGCCTCATATTTTAATTCATTATGGTGGGACATAATTCTGCTCCTCTAACCTTGATATCACCTGGTAAATATTGGCATAAATCGCTTAACTAGATTTCAGCATAAAAGTCATTGAAGTTACTGGTGACCAGCATCCTTAAATGTTATAATATCAATTACTTATCAAAATCTGGATCTTAGGAAGTGAATAATTTAGTATTATTAAGTGACTCCATAATATAGTACCACATTCTATCGAAATAAGCAGCATCCAAATACATATAATTCTTTCTTCCATATAGAACTTCCCTTTAAGCAAACATCAATGGTATATCTCCACCGAGATCAGCCAATTATTTTTTATAATAAGCAGTTTCAGGATACTTTTTCAGATATTTTTAGAATTCCAAATAATTTATTATACTATTAAGAGTAATTATTGAGTAAAACACAATCAAAACCAATATAAATCTATAAGGGGGAATTCTTTTCTTTCGTAAATTTTTTGTATTTCTAGTTTCTTTCTCTACTTTTTACTCAAAAAATTAAAATTCCTTTTCTGCTATTTTAAGAGAGTAATTGAACTTATAGGAATTATCGGATTGTAATTTATCAAGCAATTGTTTAAACTTTTAGATTTCCTACTAGATTGCATCATTATCTGAATATTAACTCAGATGTAAGAAAATAATAAGCTTCTTATTTATGTAAATTTTAGCATAAATAATTAATATTACCATTAGAATCAAAAATATCTACTGAAATAAGAACAGTGTTTCCATTTCATTTTCAAAATTTTTACCTCTTGAAATAGTCTATACCATGATGTCTGAATTCAATTAAGTCATAATATCTCTCATTATAGGATAATTTTTAAAACTATAAAATATTTAAGGACTATCAGCTTTAACTGTTTTTTCATATATGTAGTTCATTTTTAAAATGTATTGGAAATTCAACAAAACAGATATTGCTGTTCTAAGTGTCATATTATATTGTTCTGATTTATACGTATCAAGATATGAATAAGCTTCAATATATTTAGTTTGTAATAACCCTTGGAGTTCTTAGCGATTAAGTACTAATTTTAAGTTTGAGTTCAGAGAATCAAATCCAAGTCCCAAATTGGAAGTGGCGAATTTTGATACTGAATTATACTCTTCTTGACTTATAATACCATTAGTTTTTTAAAAATTGTAAGTCCACAAATTCCATCTTGTCACCAAAAACATATCCAAAGGTTAAAAGAATAGATTTTTTATTTCTAATAAATTAATATCTACAGCAAAGGCCACTAGATTTAAACTCGATAATTGCTAAAAATAACACAAAATATTACAATTATAATGAATAACCCTTGAATAACTATGCATAATACAAAGAGTATGACTAGCAATTGATGTTATCTTTTCAAAGGCATATGCTTATTAAATTTATTGTAAAGGTCGTATTTTCTATAAAATTTGGAATTTCTCAGCATTCTAATAGAGGACACTTAAGATTAATCTTCTCTGTCAAAAAGTTCTTCCTTTTTAACTTCCTATTATTCGACCAATTAGACTTTTCCTTCTCCACCTTAGGTTAAAGATTTAACAGATTGTTTTTTGCTTTCAGTCTTTATTTTATCTACTAAAAGATGTTGCTCTGGATCTCCTCTTGAAGTAAAGACTTGTGGTTACATCATGTCGATATTTAAAGCACTTTTAATTGCCTCTTCGTTTAAACTTTTTATTTCATTTACAGTTTTTTTTTTATTTTGACTCTTCACTTATTTTAGACTTTTAACATCATTTAGACCTCTTACCTCTTAATTTTAATTTTGAGTGTGAGTATCTTCTCTAGAGGTTTATTTAATTAATTGAAGTCTTTCTTCAGCTATACTCATTCCATTTACAGAGGAAGATTGATTTGTTTAAGTTTCTTTTTTAGTTGAGTTACCATTGTTTGAATATATTATCTATATGTTTTCTAGTTTTACAATCATGTATATCATTGAATTTTAATATCGTTTAACAATTATTTCTAAATTGCAATAATAATGAACTTCATCTGAGTCATCATTTTGATATATAAGTTTTTGTGTATTAATGAGAATGTTTTCGAGGAAGCAGCTCTGAGTTACTCCTTAAAGTTCAGGGAATGTATTAAGAATTGATGATCCTTTTGGAAATAGTGCTTTATAGTATTTAATATCTTTTATTTGATTTGTATAGCAGGCAATATTATATTTCTCATCGACTATCAATGTAGCATTTTTGACTAAAGTTGGAGAAATCAAACAAATGAAATTAACTTAATCAGAATATGCTAAATCAATGGCAAAATCAACAGTTTCAATGGATGATCCATGAGTCACATAATTTTGATTCAATTATCTCACAAATTTAGATTTACCAGTTATTATGAATTCATCTACTAGTTTATTATGCCATTCACGAACTCCTATAGGTATTAAATCCTATAATTTTTTATTACAAATAAATGAGGGAGCATTACTAGATATCTTATTCATTTGCAATTATCCATTCTCATATTTTGTAGTAAGGTAGAACATATGTCTATTGGTTGTATAATCAGATAAATATAAGTCTGCTGATTTTTTAGCATGAATAATCATTTCATTTGCTTCTAACAGATCGTTTAAAATTTCTGCATAGAAAAAACAAACTAATGCTTATATCATACTATTGGGTTCTGCTTAATAATAATCATCTATCTATCTTTTAATTTTTAACATCCTATTCACAAATTTGTAAATCTCATTAAATTCATTGGTTTTCCAATTTTATAATAATTTAATTTTCCATTGGATAATTTTAATTAAACTATTAGAAATTTTTATATTCTTAATATCATTTTATATTAATCTTGAGGCTACTCCTAACAATTATTGAGTTTTCACTTTTTATTAGAAATCCTAATTTATTTAATGAATGCATTTTTTCAATATTTGGTTTCTTTTAATTTATCTGATAAAATTTTGATCTTTTAGTTTATTTAGTATTAAGAAACTTTCATAAAACTTCTTCTCATACATCAAAATGGAGGCATTAATTATAGGATCCTTGGTGTAGATTAAATCTGGCAATTTTATTAATGATATGATTTTAAAAAAGAAAGGAACCAAAACAAGAGTGAATGAATTTTGAAATTGAATAAATTGCATTATTCCAACGTAAATTGTCACCAATTAAATTGAAATCATCATTATTCGAATTAATGGACTTCTTTAGTTTTTTAATAGGATTAGATCCAAAGCTTGTATTGCTGAATTTACTATTGCAATAATTTGTATGTGTTTAAGCTGGAAATTTAATTTATAAAATATCATTAGCAATATATTAATCACCAAAGTGAGTATGGTGAAAAATGTAATCTAAGTTCGCTAGAAATTCTTAGTATTTATGTCTAATGTTCCTTATATAAACAAGATCTCAAACATTTATACCAACAATATAAGTCCTCCTATTACATACCCTAAAATGTCTGAATATTATTCAATCACAAAATTCAGCAATCCTACCTTCATCAAACAATTTATTAGACTCACTATATTCTTACCCGGTAGTTTAGTCTTTATGATACATAATAGTTGTAAAAGCAAGTAGCATATTCCAAAAATATAAAAATATGAAAATTATATGCTAACTGACGGTCTAGCAAATAGTACCAATGTATAAAGCCATGAAGATGAATTCTCATAGTATATGTAAGAAATATTCAATAGGGAAGCATGAATAAGTAGTAAGTTAACTAAGTTTTCAGGTAATGCCAGGGCAGAATCATCATATTCCATGTACTTTGCCAATATTTTGGACATTAAATGACTTATATTAGGCATTGAGGAACTAAATTAATGAAAGAAAAATTATGATAATTATTTTAAAATTATCTCCTATACAAATATCAATTAATTTCTGTATTTATTGAATATATTTAATCATTTTAAACTAAGATGATATATATTTATATACTGTTGAGTTTTAAATTGCTTATAATTACTTAATTTATTAATCCTATTCAACTGCTTCCACTACTACTTAACCTGATTGATAATTGGAATCTTACAAATTATCAACATATTTAATATGAAAAACATTCAACTCTGAATCATTAAATTACTCTCTCAATCTACTGAAGTAAGATGTTTTATCGAAAATTTATTTGTTATTAAGTTAAATTTAATATTTCCTAGGCCTGCATAAGTCGTAATCATTGAGGATAGTCTTTATGTTCAATAATAACAGTCAACTTCATTTCAACTAATTAATATTAAAATTCACAATTATGTTAAGCTACTTTTTGTTTATAAAAAAAGCAAAAAAATAAATTTAGTCTAAAATTACATATTTTACTTAATAACTTAATTGTAAGATTGCAGTATTGGAACGTTGTACTTATCCATTTAGGCATTCAAAAATTATGTCATGATGAAATTTCTTAAAATTCAATTTCAGTACTTTTATAATACAGAAATAATTTCCTATTATTTGATTACTTAAATAGTTAGCTTTCATAAGGTCGTTTATTGGAACATGTGATAAATTATTTTAGTTGGGAGGTATTATCACAAGAAATATGCTTTTGATATGGGATTATTAAAAATGGAAAGAAACCATCTTTTAAGGAAAAATAAGCTTTGCGTATTTCATTAATTATCAATTAGTATCTAAAAAAGATTATAAATTATCATAAGAATTTATTCTTTTTGTTTAAACAATAAATTTAATATAATATTATTAAAATATTAGGTTATAAAATAATTCATGGTCTTAAAGTTATAGTAGTAATAAATAATTATGTATCGTTATATTAATAAATATTAAAACATCTAAATATTTGTCATCTTGATGATCTTATTTATTTAAATATATTATTTATTTATTTATGCATAAATTTCTGCTTGAAAATCAAAGAATGAATTATTCCAGTTACAATCCTTTTGGTTCCTAGAAAAACCTTAAGCCAGGGATCATAACTAAGTTAAAAAATAAAATTTAAGCTTTGTTCTAACCAACCATCAACTCATAAAGCTTGATCAAAAGGATATAACCCTTTGAAGATTAAAAATTAGAATAAGAACTATCTAATTAATTTAAGAAGAATCTTGTTCTAGTCGATCGAATTATTCCAAATAAAGATTACAGTATGGCCCCAAAGCGTAAGTCCTTTATTCCCTTTGAATAATACCTTAAAGAGGAATTAGATATACCGAAAATATAGCATAAAGAAACTTAAACTGTTCTAGACAGAAAAGCAAACGATTCAGACATCAAATCATAAAATGTTAAAAAATAAAAAAAGGCGTAAAAAGATCATGCAAAAATTTAATAAGATAGAAAAATGGAAGGTAATATTTGTAAATTATGTCTATAGAAAATCAGATATAGTCAGAGTTCATCCAAAATTAACAAAATTCTATGCAAAGTTTAAACGAAAAAAAAGGATATTCTAAAGAAAATTTATCAAACACTTCAAATAAGAAGGTGAAATAATTAGATGCCTTCATAGAGAGTATCATCCCAAATAAATAATTAAAATGTGAAACAAGTGATAATTAATTATCAATGAAAATTCTGGAGTTTTAAGAAATAACTTAAACTAACGATAATAAAAACTAAAATTCTGATTAATTACTGCAGAAATTTAAAGCATCATCTTTTTAAGCACTTAGTCCATCCTAAAATGAATGTATTAAAGATGATGTAAATATGGATAAAAAGTAATCAAGTTCAGCGGGTACAAATAGAAAGGTTGAAGCAAACGACACCCTATTCAGTTTTAAAAATGCAGATTTCTAATCAGAATCTTAGTTTAATATACAAAACATTGAAAACAATCAAAAAATTTTGAATTTCAAATAAGATTAAGGATAAGAGTTTCAAAATAATTAAAAATCAAATTAATATGATTTACAACAAGTAACTTATCTTTTTATTAATATAGAAATAACTAGAGTTCAATTAAGATAACTAAATGATGATGCAAAAAGAAGACAGTATTAGTGAAAATATTATTTAATTATAGAGAAAAAAAAGCGAGAATCAATCAATTTAATAGTCTGAATAATCAAAATTAAATTTTACTTAAGTGGAAGAGAATAAAAGTAACATGTAATAGGTAAAATAAAAAGTGGATTTTAAAAAGAGAAGTAATTTGATCCAAATAGATTAATAAGATGGAGAATAATTAGAAAATCTTAATCTCTCTAATATCTTAATTTTTACTTTAAAACAACCATAATTTCGATAAGAATTCGAAAATTAAAAAGACAAAGTTAACTCTTAAGTTTTGTTGTAAGGAGATTAATTTTTGAAAAAAAAAACATAGTCGTAATATGATAAATAGGATCAGATATCTGAAAAAGAATAAAAATTATAGATATATTAAAATTAATAAAACAAAGAAATTCAAAAAAATATACTTCAAGGTAATTTCCAAAACAATCAGAACAAGTAAATTATAGAGAAAAATGAGGAATTAATTAAGGAATATAATCCATTTTTAGTACTAAGTCCAAATATCAGTTCTGATCAAATAAGCCAGTATTTTTAAGGGGGTTTAACATCAAATCAAAATAATGGATGTTAACCATAAAGTTAGAATCAACCAATAGCAGATTTATTCAAAATACCAACATCATAATCTTAATCAATAATTAATAATTTATAAGATAAATAAAATCCTTAAAATTTATTGTAGATGCCTAATGTTAACAATTTTGCCAATGCAAGATTGCAACCCTACCCTTAAAATAAATAATTGGATCTCTTTTAATAGGCTCCTTAAATTACTCCGATTAGTTAACATTAGGTATTTAGTTTTGAGTCAGCAAAACTGAATTATTAGCAATAGTCGACTTAATAAAATAATTTATTTTAATAGTAATAATAATAATAGTAATAATAGCATTATTATTCAGAATAATTGATTTAATAGCCCAACTACTAACTATAAAACCTGTTTTCTTAATAGCACTAACCATCGAATTCAGTTTCAAGCTTAAACTTATTCTAATCTAACCCATATTAACAATAATAAAATGATTTAAAAAATCAGTAGGTGTATTTTAAGAATGATGTCCTATCTCTTTTTTAGGAGACTAAAAAATAAGATAGAAGTGATAATTTAATTAATTCTTTAGATATATTCTAGACTTAACAGTATCAGTAGGCATGTTAGAGTCTAAATAATAGCTTCAACAAGGGTAGAAAGAAGTAGAGAATTAATAATTATTGATGTTTTCCACGATATAATTTATTTTATATATATAAACAATATAAATCACTATATAAACTCTTACTATGAAATATTTGGAGGAAAAAGTTTTTTAATTATTACTTTTCTTATTCTAATGTATTTGAAATTGAATATGCTTATGTGTGATATATTCTTTAATCAATAGGTAAAACAGTTCGAATTATTTATTATATTTGTTCAAAAAATAGGTCGTATGATTATAATGAATGAATAATGAAATTCTGCATTGCATTAGGTAGCTTTATATAAACAATATCACAGTATGATTGAGAAATTAAATATCAATTATTTTTAAGCAATAATAATAAAATGAAAATATGATATTTGATTGGTTAATATAAGTACTTGAGATATTTTTGTTTAACAAATTTTATATTAATAAATATGGCAGAGAAAATTATCAATCAAATAAAAAAGCAAGCCCAAGAATAAGGCGAATTGGAAGAACTTGATATCTAAGAGATTAGAATAGAGTAGCTAACACCAGAGATTACGGAAACTTTGAAAAAGCATAAAAAATTATTAACTTTGGCTATTACAAGTTGTGGACTCAAGCAATTAAATGGATTGCCTACCATGGATTCATTGGAAGTGTTGATTTTAGAAGATAATAGTTTAGATGGAAGTGCATTAAAGTATATAAGTGAAAATTTCAAAAATATAGTCTGCTTATCCTTAGCCTGTAACTAAATCAAATCATTAGAAGTATAAATTGAGACTTATTATAGGAATTGCAAGTACTAAAAAATTTATCAGCTTTATAATAATTGGACTTATCTGATAATGAAGTGGAATAGCAAGATGGGTATCATAAGAAAATCTTTGAAATGCTACCAAATTTGGAAGTATTAGACAATAAAAATAAAGATGGGAAGTGTATAGAATACTCAGATGTAAATTAATTATTAATCATAGGAAGATGATGATGATGAAGAAGGTATTGAAAATGATTCTGAATTTAATGATGACGAAGATGAAGAAGAAGAAGAAAGTGAAGATGAATCTCCTAAGCCATAAAAGAAAACAAAGAAATGATTTTAATCTATAGATATTCAATAATTCATTTGAATCATATATAATAATAATAATAATTGAGATTGTTATCAATTCATAAAACATTATGGAAATCATGATTTATATTGGCTAACTTTTAGCAACTAAATTTGTGTTTATTAATATAGAGTGATTAATTTATAAGAAATTAGTAGTATAATTTTTAATTAACAGATTATATTTTAAAATGAAAGGGTTTTGCTATTAGGTGACTTTGTAAATAAGCAAAGTAGAAATATCAATAAAGTTTCCTTGTACATTGCAAGTAATGTGGAAGCGAGGTCAAAATAAATGTGTAACAAAAGCTAAGGAGAAATCCAAAAATATCTTTATTGTGAATGAGAGCCTTACATAAGAATTTACTATAGGGGACAATACTCCAAAAAAGAGTTTCTTAGTTGTTTTACTAAATGTCTAAGGACAATCAAAATTGGCTGGAGTGGTTAACTTTGATATCAATGGAACTATGGCAAGTGAAGGATAATGTGTGTTGAATTTAGATAGAAGTCCTGATTCAAATGCTAAAATATACTTTACTTATCAAATAATCAATTTAGGTGAAACTGATTATACTGAGAGTAGAATAAATGAATCATTTAATTAGAGATCTTTGGGAGAATCTTTTGGTTTAGATAAAGAGAATTAAAATTCGAAACTCAACTCACTGAAAATATCTAATTATGATAATTAATTGAATAAGGAATTATATGAGAAAAGTCTCAAAGATCTTGATTAATCTAAATAGAAGATTACTAATCTTTAAGAGTAGATCAATAAATTCGATGAGGAGAAATCATTTTTATTGGAGGAAATTAAGTCTCTTAAGAAAAATAATATAGAGTTGAGAAATGAGAATGAATATTTAGAAAAGTAAAATCAAAATTAAAAGTAAGAGTTGCAATAATCAAAGGAGAATGAGTACTTAGTTAATTAATAACAAGTAAAATTGGAGTAATTGAATCATGAACTTCAAAATTAAAAGCTTCAATATCAAATTCTTTAGAATAAATATTAATAAAGTATGTAAAAACTTAAATCTTTCGAAGAATTAAATGAATTTAATAAATTCAATAAAGTGGATAGATCGACTAATACTGTAGTTCTAGAGATTCCAGAATTTATTGAATAGAATTAAACTATCAAATAATTAGATTAATAATTAACAGACTATAAGAGAAAAAATGATAAATTAGTATTTGAGTAAGAATTCACTTAAAATAAACTCAACACTGTAGAATAAGATTTAACTTCATTACAAGCTTAATTTCTAAGTTTGTAAAAGTAATTATAGAAACAAAAAGATTAATGTAGTAATTTAGAGATTGAGAATTCATAATTAAGAATGTAAATTAAGGAATATGAGGATGATAAAGCATCAAAAGAACAAAGCAATACAAAGATTCAGAGTGATCATTAAAAATAGATTGAAAATCTTAAGGAATAATTGCAATAAAATCAAGATTAAGTACTATAATTGGTATATTAAATAGTTTGAATAAATGAAAGAGAAATATTTGTTATAGAAAGAGAAAATAGAGAAATTAAATGATGTAATTAATCAACAAAATGATGAACTAACTATATAAAGTGTGAATTTTCTGAGGGAGATATAAATGATAGCAAAGAAATAAGAGTAATTTGGAATAGTTTGATTTTTATATTTAGCTTTTTTATATATTAATTATCCGTTAAACATGCTAAAAATCTCGAATAAGTCAAGGAAAAATGAATAATTGGAAACCATATAAGTGATTGAGAAATGTACAAGTAAGAATAATTGTTGATTGTTGTAGAAATTATGAAGGAAGATCGCTTGTAATTGAGGCAAATGGTTAAGGATGAAAATGTGAAACTCATTGAATTGGTTGCAAAATATAAAAAAAGGAGTGATCTCAATGATCTACAATAAGAATTAAGAAAGTTCCTTAAAGATAAAAAAGGATCACCAGAAAAAGTGCAAGGGGCTCCCCTTATTTTGAGAAAAGTCAAATCAAAAGAGAGATGTGAATGGAATACATCCATGAGTTCAAATCCTTCCATCAAATCACCGAGTCGATCCAATCTAGATTTTAGGAAGAAACAGAAGGAAGATTAATCACATAAAAAAATGGAATCGTTCAAGAAGTAAGAAAAATTGGACAGTCAGATTGAGCAAAAAGAAAATGAAGAATTTAAGATACTTGATGAAATATAAGAAGTTAAGCCATAAGAACAGTAAATTGTCTTCAATACAGCAAATTCAGTTATTGATCCATTTTTTGAGGATCTCACTCCAGTCAAAATGGAATTCCAAACCATTGTTTCTTAAGCACCTCTCAATCAAAGTGATTAAAGAAGCGAATGCATATTATAATATAATGCAGCTGAAATATAGCAATACATTTAATAGGATAGACATTATGTTTATAAGGAAACCTATATAATACCATAATTAATCAGTCTAAACTACAAACAAATGGTGAATGCAGAATACTAAAATTTATTTACAGATTGGAAAAGCATACTCACTCCTTAATAACCATCATATCATGTAAAATAAGAAAATGTGTATGAATCCCAATTATAAATTGAGTCAGAATAATCTAAGTAAAATCAAACGACTCTCAAAACCGAAGCTTCATAACTTGTAAAGAGTTTAGAAATCAGAGGTGTCACTGCTGAAGAATTATTCACTTATTTAGTTCATCATAGATTTACTAAAAGGTTAAATCTGTATTAACTCATGGAAAATGCAAAGATAGCAATACCAAATGCATAATTAGACTTAGATTCTTTGTTTAAATTGGCAGACTCTGATGAAGATGGATGGATAAATTTAGAAGATTTAGGAAAGACTTTAAGGGAAACCTGTTTAGAAAAGGAGACTCATTTAAATCCAATTAAGGAATTATATAATCTACTTAATGGAAATGTGAACATGGAAAATTTTATCAATTAGATGAATGATAGAATTTAAGCTGAAATGTAAATAATTATTATTTTTATTTAGTCTCTACCATGAAATTGATCTATTTGGAAAAGGATTCATAACGTATTGGGAAATGTACAATCATTATGAAGAAATCGAAAAACTATTGATTAAATGACATTCATATTACTTATCACATTTCTTAAATATTTTGAATTCTTTGTTTCAATACAGATTTTTCCTTATTAAAATGACTAAGTATTGATATTTAATTTAAGTTTATGGTATTTATTGATTAATTAAAATGCTTTTTCAAAAATATGTGAATCCATAATATTATGAAAATTTGAGAAGGTTTAAATACAGTGGTCAGAATCTTTCAATTTTATACAATTGGATTCTAGGAGACCTTGCATAATGGGTGGTATACATACTATTAATACCTTTAAGGTTGATTAATTGCCTAAAACAGTAGCTCCAAACCTTATTACTATTACAGGATTCTGCAATTTATTAACATCCTTTGCCCTGATTTTCATATTGAATCCAATGTTCGATTTGGATTTACCTTAGTGGGCAAGTCTATATATAGCTTGGACAATCTTTGTGTATCAGACATTAGACAATGCAGATGGAAAATAAGCCAGAAGAACAAAATAATCGACTGCGTTGGGAATGCTCATGGATCATGGCAGTGATTGCACAGCTACTTGGATTTCTGGATTATTGTATATGAATGCATTCAAAGTTGCATTCACTCCATTTAACATGTTAACAGCAATAGGAGTAAGTTTCTTAGGATTTTATTTTGGTGTTTATTGTCAATAACACACTGGAGTATTCCAATTGGGAGTCATTAATGGAGTTGATGAAGGATTACCAATACTATAACTATTTTTCTTGATAACTGCAGTCAAGTCTTCATAATTTTGGCTGAATGAAATTTAACTCACAAACACTATTTCAATTCAATACAATACAGTGTTGCTAGTAATCACTATTACTGCAAGTATTGTTACGATCATTTAATTTTGTTACCCTGTATTCAAGAAAATGAATTGGAACATTCTAAAAATTCTATAGAGTCTCTCTTTACCTATTACTTTAATGATAACTATCATTAGTTTGATTTATCTATCACCAACTAATGTGCTATCAAAATGGTTCCACATTTATGTTTTGACTATTGGATTGCAATGGTCAAAAATGATTAACTTATGGCAATTGGCAATCATTACTAAAGAAGTATAAATAAAAAATAAATTATATATAGACTTTCAGTTAGTATTCATTCACATGGGCTTTGACATTGGGTTCAATTATGTTGAATTTGATATCTTAATTTTTAACATCAGACGGTCTTTGCTATTTTGATGAAGTCAAATTGATCTTCATACTCTTAGCATTCTCAATTTTATCCTATCTATATTGTGTTACAAGTATAGTTCGTGAATTATGTGAAATCCTTGATATCTATGCTTTTAGCATAAAATACCCACAATGAGTAATAAATTATTTTATAATAAATTGCATAATTTTAAATGATTATCTAAATGTTCTATCCATTTTTCCATCCTCATTATTACATTAATAGTATTTACAAGCCATTCAATTATTGTAGTCAGATTGAATAAAAGGTAAAACTATTTACTATGATAAATATAAACTTATGATATTAGAGTAAAATTGAATTAATCATATGAATCAAAAAGAAAAGGTTTAATTGAAATGATTCCATAGCAGAAATATCAAAATTGAATAATAACTCATCTAAGTATTTAGGTAGCACTAAATTGAAAAATGAGTATTATTATTTTTAATTTGAATTTAGATCTAATATCTCTGAGTAATGCAGTATGATACCATTATTTATGTGTTCAGATTGTTTTGAATGATGAATATGATGTATAAAGTATATTCAAGGTTATTATTGTTTAAAAAGCATTAAAATATAGAATTTATATATAATATTGACTCATGATCCTTTAGGCTACAAATCTTATTGTGACTGTTGGTATTTTAATGTGTTTTGAGACTTCTTTCCGAATATAACTTTGGAATCGTAATTGCTCTTAAACTAAATTTGAGTAACTGGTTTTTCCTTTTAGAATTAAATGCTGCTTTTGTAAGCACTCGAATTAAATTAAGCCCATTGATTTTAGGTTTTATCTTATGAAACTCTCTGAGAGTCGAGATTGAGAAATCCTGTAGGGTTTTCTGCCTTAAGTCTTTCATTATCCTCATTGAGTTGCATGATTTGAATTTTAAATTAATCGATTTGTTTGTCCTTTCTGTCAATTTCAAACTTGTTTTGCTTCTATAAATTGTTATACTTCTATTAGACAATCTCTAATTGCTGTTTCATTTACATATTCTATTCATACAACTCCCCCAATTCAATAACAGCCTTCTACTCTCTATTGTTGGCTTCTTGAATCTACTGTCTCAGATTCTAAAGTGTTGCTGTTCATTTATTAATAAAGGATACATTCTCTTCTTTGATTCTGTTCCAATAGCATCTCATGTTCTCTTTTCATATACTCCAATTCGCTGCACTTTTGTTTGAGTTCCCTCATTAATCTATTGATATCTTCCTTATATTTCTCCTCCATATCTTTGCGTCTATCGTATTCTTATTATAAGCTCTGATACTCCTCCCTAGTTACTTTAACGCTTAAGCTAAATAATTCTTACTCATCATCATGCTCTCGCTCTAATTAGTTGGTCTGTTCTCTTCGCATTCAACACTTTCGGACTTCAAAGTCTTAACTAACATAAAAAGTAATACTTCATTTTTTTTGAAATCGTTCTAAAATGAATTAATTCTATCATCTCTCATCTCGAAAGTCGAATCCCTCTAGAATAATGCGTTGATTTGCTCAGCAGACATATAAACAGGCTAATTATTCATATATTATAATTATATATATTAATTATTTGCTGCTCTTATACAAATTCATAAAAATTATTCATACCATTAAAAATTAAATACATATACGTCTTACATTAATATTTATATTTCAATAATATTTTTTATAATAAATGCCCTAGATTGAATGCATTGATTGCCATCTTAAGTATAATTACATCACTAAATGTTTGTTATTTAGTTGAAGATTCACGTACCTACGCATGTCATTGTGGTTTACTATTTGGAATCGTGAAATGCTAATTTTGCCACTACACATAACCAACGTTTTTTGATTTAATGACAGGTACAAACTAGCATTGGACCTGCAACACTTGTCAATAAGAATCGCTATTGTCTCCATGTGGAGAATGTACATCCCTCAATTTAAGAGGACTTGTATCTTTATAAAGTATATTTCTAGAAAGATAATTCATGCAAATGTTCTTCTTGCAAAATCAATAACTATTATTTAGATTGTAAATAATGTTAAACATGGTACACAGTAAATGAATCTAAGAATAATTTAGATGGCAAAGTATTAACATGTGTTCTAAATTGTGAATAAGTTTAAGCGCTAAAGTATCTTTCATATCTTAATATTTAGATGCTCTAACTGTTAAACCTTAATTATAATTGATAATTTCAATAATGAGATCAAAAATTATTGCAGTTCATGTAACAAACATTTTTTTAAGCAAATTTGTTCATTTTGCAAAGAAGTTTCATCTTTCACTTAAAAAGAAAGTCAATTTAAATAAAAATGTTTAAATAAGAAATGTGGCAAAGGTACATTTTTAAAGGCTGGCAAATTATTAAATCAGCAAGTCATTGTAGGACAATTCATTAAATCAAATGAAATCTAGTAAATTCAAATTAAAAAATAATAATCAACATCCAAGTTTTTATAAAATGTAGATCTATTGAATTTAGAACCAGAGAATGATAATGCTAATTTCAATCAAAATTAGAATGATGCTAATCTTTTAGATATAGATCAACATTTAAATTAACCACCTCAAGAGGATAGTTCAATTACTAAATGCTAAAAGTGCTTTGTATAATTCATTTATGATTTAAGAACACATCAGAAGTTATTATAACAACTCCATGTGGACACAAAGTTACGTGCTACCAGTGTTTGGAAAACTAGTTGAATTGTATATCATGTGGTGAACCTATTGCTAATAGAATCATGAATACTTTCAATAGAGACTTTTATTAAGAAATCAAAGAAAGGATTTTGATTTACAGATAAGAGTGAAGGTTAAATTTAATAATTAAATAATAAATCAATATTATAGATTAATATCGCTAAAAGGCAATATCTTGCTAAATTAAAATTCCAAATTATAACCTAATGGATTTAATAGCAAATAAGGAGCTGTTTATTCGATAAAATAGTTTTTTGAGTAGAGTGGAAAAAAAGAGAACTAATCAGTTATCGTTATTTTAATTTGGAGATATGTTTCTAAATTCTTTATATTAATTTCCTCTAAGTAGTTTTGTTGACATTCTAAGTCCCTTAAAATACTAAACACTTAGATTAAGTATATTTTCATTAAGTACCCATAAGTTCTTAATTTTATAGTACGATTTCCATTAAAACTTAATTTTACTTTTTTAGATAATAAGTAGATAGAGATTAAATTTTGTATCAATTTCCTTATATTTATAGTTTAGATCTTAAATTGTCTCAACATTAAAACTGACAAAGTTCCAAACTTGAATTGTTAACTTAATGGTGTCTTTTTAATGGTTTTAAATTATTTGAAAAGTGATTATTATAAATTCTACGAAATCTTATTATATTGGATTGGATCTTATTAAACATTTTCTTAAATTAGAATTATACTATTATCAATGTTATACTAACATAATCGAAGTTTGATTCGTTTTCTTTATAATTTAACATCAAATACTTCATCAAATTTGACTTGACCCTTGATTAATGCCTGTTCTAAAGACATATTGTTGAAGACACAATTGCGAAGAAAACCTCTGATATTACATCCATAACAGATATCATTTCTGAAATTCCAGAATTGATCTTACATTGCAGTTGTCTAAATATTCATATACAGTTTTTTCTCATTATACTAAATCTTTGTGAATGGCTTATTTATTAATTTATGCAACTAATTATTAATAGTGTCTTGTTAATAGCTCATTAAAAATTGCATTCTTTAGGCTCTATTACAAATGTATAAGACACTTGTTGTTAATATGGCAGCTACAATTGATAATGACAAACATTGGATGTCTATTTTATTAGTTAATAAAATTGTGGTTGTTTATCGGAAAATAATATGAAATAAGAGAGAAGGACAACTTAAATTAAAGTCAGTTGCAAAGTATATCACTGCCTAAATCAGTGAGAAGTTACAACCATATAAAAAATATTCTTAATTTTCTGTGTTTTCAGGAGCAAAATTGAATTACAATGACAACGAATAAGCATTTGTAATAGTCAAAATCTTTGCTGTCAATCCTTCTTTTTTGTACATGATATATAATCCAATGAGACAAATTATAATAAACCCATATTAATATACCCAATGGCTAAATTATCCTTCAACGCAATAATTACAAGTTAAAGAGTATTCAATGACAAAGTAACGACCAATAAACCATAAAACAATGGCTTTAGATGCTTTTAAAAGGATTAAGCCTAATATATTTCTTCAACTTCTTTAGCTTTAAATTTAAGTGTGTACTTGCTCATTTATTCCATTTTATTATTGATAATATATCTTTTACATATCCCAGAATGACATATAAACCTGTAAAAATAATCAAATAAATAAAAATAGAATTTACTTCATTACTGATATAGTTTCGCAAGAAAATTATTTATAAACTGCACTCTTTGATTACATAATTTCATAGTTTAAAATATTAAAACAAAAAAAATAAATCTCTATTATCTTTTTATTTGATCAAATTGTGAGAAACTTCTCAAATTTTACAAAATATTATGTTATTGAATAATGTGTCTCACTTTCTGAAAAGATATGTCTTCATTATAAATATTTTTGTATTTTTAAAATTGATATCCAGTAGGTGTATTAATAATTTATTTATTATTTTGTGTTTAATTAATATGTGATAAAATGACAGTATGATATCATTAATATATTATAATCTCATGGCTTAATTCAGCATTATTTACTAGTTTCACATTCCCTGCAAAATCCTCTATAATTATAAACTACAATCAAATACTTGGCCAAAATTAACAAGATGAAATATCATTTTCCATAATTCCTAAATGTTTATAACAAGCAGCTACTAATTCGGAGCAAAAGTAATTTTCCTTTTCAACTCCAGTTATTGATCTTTTCTTACATAACTTCATGATGTTGGCAGAATACTTTTTGCCGTGATTTTTTAATATAAAATCTTATAATTTTAAAAGTAATGTCATGTCTCTTTTAATATATAATTATCTATAACTAATTTGTGTTATGTATTCTTAAAAATTGCTCTTCATTAGAGTTTCCCATGTATATATACAAACTCCATTATCACTGTTAGCTTCAAAAATATGGAGCACATTTTTGTTGTTTCTTAAAACAAGAGCAACATGATCTACATAATATTTTGATACTTACCATATTCACTATTTGTTATCAGTCTTTAGAGCTAACAAGCTATAGATTTACTTTTAAATAATAGTAAATCTAAGGACTCAGCTCTCTTTTCAAATATATCAAAAGGAATTTTATGTTAAAGGTAAAAGTTAGGCAAGGGAGGTTGAAAACAATACGGTTTTGATGTATTGATGTAGTAATTAAGCGATAGGATCCATTATTTACTATTGGTGAGAGATTAAAACTAAAACTGATAACTAAACACTTATAATTAAAAGAGATCATTGGACAATATGGATAGTTCTAAAATTGTAATTAATGAATACTAAGTGGGTATTGATTAAAGTCTAGAAAGAATTCATTTTTATCCTTTCGTTATAAGACAAAAGTGTAATTACGAATTATTCCTCTATAAACTATGTTGTCTTTAAGTAACAATCCTTCATGATCAAAGGTCTTGTAACCTCATTAGTATTAAATGTAGATACAAATTTGAGTGGGATTGGTCTGTTTAAACTTTGATTTTAATATGGTTATCAGATTAACATCTTCATTAATATCATTCCATTATTATTTCATTTAAATATATATGGATTCTAATTATGTATTAAAAGGTGATGAATTTATGATGAAGGGAGATAAAGCTCTCAAAGGTAGCTATTTATGTAAATAAAGGTTCGACTTTTGGCAATATTTTTGGATCAAAGGGAGAAAGAGCAGAAAAAGCACTTGAATTATATAAGTCAGCAGCAACACAATATAAATTGGGCAAAAAATGGGAAAAAGCATGTGAAGCATACTAACGTTGTATTACTTGTGATTAAACTCTTAAATCTGGAGAAACTGGAGATTTCTACGTTGAGGCTGCCAAAGCAATTAGTAATGTTAATAAAGCAGGTATACTAATATGATTTTGAGTATAGAATCAATCTAATTGTATGAAAAAGCAATTGAACATTATGCTAATGAGAATAGATTAGACAATGCTTCAAGATATAAGAAGGAAATTGCTTAAATTTATGAATCCGAGTTTGAATTCCATCTAGCAGTCAAAGCATATTAAGAAGCTGCTGATCTATTTTAAGCAGATGGCAAAAGAATATCTGATTATAATCAAATGAGATTAAAAGTTGCAGAATTATCAACCTAGAATGCTACAGGTGATTTAATCGCAGCCATTAAGGTTTTCTTCGCTTTAAATTATTTAGATTTTCGAAGATATCGGTGATAAATACATGGAAAATAAATTAACAGCACCAAGTGCCAAAGAACTTTATTTTAAATCTTGTTTACTTTATTTATGCAACAATGTATAATATCGAAAACCAATTTTAATAGGATTCAGTTGGATGTGGAATTGCCCTTGAGAGATATTTGGATAAAGATCCTAGTTTTGCTTCAGCCAGATAATACAAATTCGTTGTAAATCTAATTAAAGCTGTTGACAATAATAATGCATAAATGTTTTCAGATGAATGGTACAATATTTTAAATAATTTACAGTTTTGAATTTAATAAAATCATACCTCTAGATAAATGGAAATTAAATGTCTTAAACAAGATCAAAGAGGGAATGTAACCACTTTAATAGGTAGAAGATGGAGGTTTTAGGTGATAAATAAAATAATAAAAATATATTGTTTTATTATATTCATTTTATTAATAAATCTTTTTTGATGACTTCTTATCAATATCATTAATTATATATTCTTCGACAACTCATTAATATCATTAATTCACTAATCATAAAATTAAGTATTAAATAAAGTTTCCTAGTAGATTAAAATGTTTCTTAGAAATTAATTAATAATCTTGCATTCGTTAAATAATTAAATGAATACAAGATAAGTTTTCAATCAATTACGTTATTATCTTAGCAAATTGCCAAAATTTATGACAAAAAAATGCTATCCCATAACTTTAAGAGCTTAGAGTTTAAGAATTTAATACACTTTAGGAATTAGAGGTGGAGCTTATTTAGACAAAGGTATTCATTTAACAAACATATATAGAATTAAATAGCTTCTTTAAGCATAAAATGATTTTTTTAATTAGATTTATAATAAGGTTTATCAATTCCATAGCTAAATTATCTATTATCTTCCCAAGAGCAATATTTTCTAAAATTTATCATTACTTGAGTGATAAATAAGCCCATTTTATATAAAACAATAGTTATCACATTTTTAAATCAAATACATACTATATATTTTTACTCTTATCTGATATTTTTTGTAAATTTCAATTGTTGTCATTCTTTAAATATATTTTCAACGATTATTGAATAAGAGAAATTTAAAGTCTAAAATAATCGAAATGTATTTATTACAACTTTAAACTAATAATTTTAATTGTCATTTATAATAAACAATTAACAATTGTCAATCAAATAAATTTATATTGAAATCAGAAATTATATTCTTAGGATGGATGTAAAATTTAAAGGGCTAATTCCATCAGAATAAAATTTCTGATTTCAATATAAATTTGGAATAAAATAAAAATGAAATATTTATAATTTGAGTTTCTGTGTTTTCTAAAATGGATTGATATGGTGCAATTTAAATCAAAATATGCATTTCAATTGAAAGATTTGTATTTTTTGAGAGAATATTGCACTTCAATAATAATACAAAGAACAAAATAAATACAATAGCTTAATTATGACGATAAAAGAATTAATAATAAATTAAATGAAACAATCAGTTTAAAGATACTCTGTAAAAATCTTATCTCATGAAATAATTGATAAAAAGGTTTATTACATAATCAATGTGTATAACATGGAAGGCGGTGAACCCAAAGAGACCAGAAAAAGGTATTCTGAATTAGAATCAATGCATCAAAAAATATTGGATTGGATTAATATTTTTAAAATAAGAATTCAAAATCTCAATTTCCCAAAAAAAAAGTTACTCTTTCACACCAATTAAAGTGAGGAAAGTATAATTAAGCGAGTAAGTTTTTTTATTATCAAAGAGAGGAGAACTATAATAATATTTCAATTAAGTATTAGCCTATTCTGAATTATAATGTTTGGATGTAATTGAAGAAATGCTACCAAAAGATATTGTCAATTAGAAACAATTTGGATAGCAAACTGATAGAAAATGGTAAGAGATTTAATAACTGAAAGAATCATACCTGGCTAAGCATGGCGATTCTATCTTTTCATTGCCTTAAAAAAAGAATGGGAATTCTAATAAGTATTTAATTAATGTAAATATAGATAACAATATATTTTTAAATTTGAGGATCATATTATTATTGATGATTGTATTGTTTACACAATTGAAGTAAATGATACAATTACTCAAAAGAGATGGAAGTTTAATTAGCGTTATTAAGATCTAAGAGATTATCATAAATAGCTTAAGAATCTTCGATTTGATTTTCCTCTTCCACATCTACCTGAAAAGAAATCTTTAAGTCCAAAAGAGATACTAGATTTAAGGGAAAGAAAATCTTAGTTGGAGTATTATTTAAACAGATTGTTTGGGTACTTAATTAATTCAAGTTTAGTTATTAATTAATAGTTGAAAATGATATTATGGTGTTTTTCATAGCCAAAAGTTAGCTTGATGGAAATGAGATTGGCTGTAGATCTAAAGGAAATTCTTAAAATACTTTGGATGTAATATTAGTTTTTATTAAAAGAATTCAAGCATCTAATCCAAAACTCAAACTACAATCGAATAAATTGACGATGAAAAAAGAATAAATCGTAAGATAACTTGCTGAATGAGTGCCATATCTATCAAAATACTATTTATTAGATTGACTTATATTATTAATTACAATAAAATTTATATTCTTAATTCTTATGTAACAATGTTGATGAAATCAACCTAACACATTTTAAAAGAATATACCAATATTTTTATTGTGAGTAATTAATTTTATGAAAAAATGAAAATAAATATTGTAAATTTAATCAATAAATTTAGACATACAATATATTATTTTTCATCTTTACAATTACTCAAGTAATTATTAGTTTGAAGAATATGTGATGTTATCATCATACTTGAAGAAATCAACTTCTTGAAATTTCAGAATTTCATGTATTTTACAACAATCTTTTAAACGAACAGCAAATTCTAAATAGCTTCTATCACTCCGTTCTTTAGGTAATTAGGCCAAGACTATTTAATAATAATTTTCTAAGCCAATTAAAAAAATTGTATCAAATTATTTTTTATCTGTTAATTCCATTGTTGCTATAGAGTTAATTAGTTTCATTTCCTCTATTGCTGTATCTTAGAGGGCCATTTTTGTTCTTTTAACTAATTCTAATAGAAATTCTCTTATCAATTCATAATTTTCCTTTATAATTTTTACTGAATCATTATACTCTTTACTTTTACAAAATATGCCCCATTCTTTTTCTGTAAATCTTTTCGTTGTACTAAAAGCATTTAAGTATAATATACTTGTTTAAACTTTTCTTTTACAATTTTGATAAAATCTTAGATAAAATAAGAAATTAGTATTTCGTCAACATATAGCATATTCCTAAATATATACTCTAATTTAATTGAAATTTTTCTAAAAGAAATAACAATATATATACATGCTGACCATTATTCAAATAATGATTGTGAAAGTTTATTTAGAAATTCAGATTTATTCTTTTTGTGTGTAATCCATTCGTCAATTTTTTTTACAATATAGTTATTGACAATCTGTTCTTGTTGTTCTTTTCCTAAAACATTTTAATTTTAATTCAAATTTACAAGAGTTCTAAGAGGTGAAGTTGATTATTTTTAAGAAAATATTTTTTCTTTTCTTGCTGGACTAATTGAACTTTACTTGCGAGATGACAATGATTCAGTTGATTTAGTTTTTTGAGAATCTTTATTTATATTTTAATATGCCTTTTCTAATTTTTCTTATTGTTATCTCCCATGTTGTATATTTTAAATCATACCTCCATTTAAGTTTTTTACCAGATTCTTTTTTTTCAAGATATCCTGTTCCTGATTAATTTATATAATACTTCTATTTATAATAGTCATGGATTCCTGATCCTCTTAGATTTATAATTGAAATAATTCTTCCCAACTCATTCTATCCTTCTCTTCTACCTAGAGCATTTTGGAGATAATTTATTTCATATATTCAGAAACTCGAGGTATAGCTGGAAACCTTAAGGGAACAGAACAAATTTTCAGAATTAATTCTGAAAATGAATTAGCTCTCCAAGGCGTCGTCCCATAGAGGACTTCATAGAAAATAATCCCTAAGGACCATATGTCAGTTTTAGTCGAATATTGTCGTTATGCTTGAGGATTGAGAATTTATGGAGACATATACAATGGAGTACCAGCAAAAGTCTATAGAATTTGGTTGTCGAAATCCTGCAACATCTTACTGAATCCAAAATCTGAAATTTTGGCAATCCCTTTGCTCATTAGTATATTGCTTGGTTTTAAATCACGATGAACTATATTCTATTTATACATTTCTTTATATCCATCAACAATTTGACTTAGAATAATCCTGGCCTCAGTTTCTGCCAAATATTTCAACTAATTTTTGTGAGGGCATTTCCTGGCGATATATTAATCTAAACTGCCTCCTTCACAATATTCCATCATGAAATAAATGTTGTTCAAAGTTCTTTAGAATGAATAAAATTTGACTAGATTGGGATGTTGAAGACGCTGCATAATTTAACATTCATTTTCACATAGTTTCCTCATTTGATCGAAATTCTTATCATTTGCTTTGATGTTGATGATTTTAACTGCTACTACTTCTTATGTTTTTGTATCCCTGCCCAAACAAACTTCTCCAAATGTACCCTTCCCTATCTTCTCAGACAGATCTATTTGAAAGTGGGCTACACATTTACTTGTTTAGACATTTTACATCTAAAATATTTATTTATTACAATTAACCAAATTTAAATATAATTTAGATACTATCTTTTTGGTTAATAGTTAAGTGTCTTAAATATTAAATAGAATATAGCTAGTGTTTAATAAATAGATATATTCTAAATTAATCATAGTGCATAGATCTTAAAATATGATCACATAATCGTTAGTAATAATAACATCGATGCAGCATTAAGAATACACACTAATGAATCTAAAATTTAACTCATTTACTCTATAATAATATTTCTAATTATTCATTTATATTGAATTTGTTATCATACTTTTCGATTGAAATAACTTAGACTTCTATTTAATGCAAATATATAACCATATGTAGTAGATAACCATTTTGATTTATTGATATAATTTATCTAAATAAAAACGGATTTACATTAGTTATTAATTAAATTACCATGAAGATGGTCATCTTGATTCTGATTTTAACAATACTCAGCACATAAGCTTAAACATCATTAAGAGGCAAGAGTAAAATTGGTATGAGTGGTCTTTATTAAGACTAGAATAGAACGAAGAATTATCATATTTGCCAAATGATTATGCGTCAGAACTATAAGAATACTCATTGTTTGTACAATTAACAAAGCCCTTTTATGAAACAGCACCAATGGATGTTATGCTTCTTAATCATGAAATGGAGATAGCTAGAATGATGGGTAACCCGGGAGTAACAATGATGAATTATGTGCTTGAAGAGTCACCTTTCCGTCCTGCTTGGTGAGAGGATTAACTGGCATTAAGTGATGATTCCTATTTCATTATGGAATAAACAACCTAAAATTACCACATTTATTTCGCATTCATCAAATTTAGTCTGGCAATTAATTTCTCGGTTGAACATATAATACATTAAAAGAAATTATGTTCAACCTCTTAGAAATCTGTTTTACATTTTTATTCCCTTTCTTCTCTTATATCAAAATAATAAATATTAAATAGGTGAATTCAATCATCATTTTCCAATCTTTATTATTTCAATAATACAATATCAGCACTTAAACTTTCATATTGTGAAGTAACACTAGAATAATGAGTTCAATTATAGAAATTTAAATTAAATTTTGAAAAGAATGCATTATTTCAATTTTGTTTGGTTACATTCCATTGATTATATTGATTTCGACTTAATTATTAATCAACAATATTGATTAACTGGCTATTTCTATATGAATATTTCCATTTATAGTTAATTATAAAAAATGAATTAAAATTATATTGACCAAGCCTATTTCTCCAAGGTTTGAAATTCAATTTATTTAACTAGCAATTCTATAGAGCATTTGGAAATTATATTGGACCCCATACTTCGACACCCAGTATGGCATCAGAGTATTTATCCTCAACTAGGACTCAAACAGCCAATATGCATAAATAAAACAGTTTGGCAAAACCAATTAAATCTCCTCAAAGTGTAAATAAGCCAATACTTTAAAATTCTGCACGAGTTAAAACGTAGACTCAACATATTTCGAAATAGCAACCAATAGTTCATCATATTAAAAGTTTATCGTCTGATTTAAAGAATTAACTTCAGCAGAAAAGATTTAAATAAGAGAAAATAATATCATACACAGAATCAGAGTAGCATCCATTTTTAATAATTTAAAAAAAAGCAAGGGAATTAAGAAAAATTGAATCTCGAAAAAGTATTTTGCCTTCAATTTAAACTGATTCCTAACACAGTGCCAGATTGCCAGATATTCCTCCATTAATTCATATTCCCACAATATAAATAACAGAGCCATTAGAATTACATTCATCCAAAGGTTAGGAAAATGAATCAGATAAAGATGACGATTCTTCAGGAGAAGAGGATTTCCCTCAAGTACCATAAAAGATGAAGAAGCTATCTGTTCGACTCAAATTCAAAAATGCTGTTTAATCTCAAGTTTCTACACTTTTTATCAATAAACAAGTATTTTATTCATATTATATAAGCCTAAGTCACTTTTTAATGTCATAATCTCTCCGGAATTCACAATCTAGCATGAAGAAGAGCGTCAAAAAATAAGTGATGCTTTTGAAGCTGGAAATTTTATTTTGTATAAGGCTAAGTAATTTCAGCACAAAGAGGTAACCAATAAGAAAAAACTATTTGAAAGTATATTCAATTTGAAACATCCACATAAGATGAATAACATCGTCAATTCACAAATAGCTAAATTAAATACTACAAACAAAGCATTTTAAAGAAAAATTAAAATGATTTTAACAACAACTGAAAACAGCAAAGAAGTAGAGTAACCCTAAAAATTTTCGTTTCTATCTAAATATAAAAAGAGTCAATTTTGTCAACAAGGAACTAATGAAAATATTGCATAAGGTATCAAGTTAAACAAAGATTTATTTACGATTACAATTACTAATGATAAATTAGAAAATGAAGTTAAAATTTTCAAGAGGCCAAAATTTATAATTCAATAAGATTAAGTTATTGAAGAAGTACATTTAGCATTATCTCCACCTAAAGTGTCTAAGTCTCCTAGTAGAAGAAACTTAACACATTCTGGATCTCTCCACTAATCGTAAAGACAAATTCATCTAAGGCACTCAGTCTCACAACAAATCATTAAAGATGAGCTCTCTAATATTACCATTCCTCCTCCTAATGTTGAAGAAAATAACAATCTAGATTTTAACCAAGAATTCTCAAAAGTAAAATAAATACATTATTTATTCAAGTCTAATTTGTATGTCAGGCTTTATTATCAGAGTAAATTGCATAAATTGCCCAGAAAAACTACTTTTGTTGGAATGAATATACAAGAAATAGAAGATTACTTTATTTCCTAACAGCAATTAATTAAGTTAACAAATATGTATTTATATTTCTAAAATAATCAGAAATTTTTAAGTCACAGAAGTACCTGGGTTCGAATTGATTGGGTCGACGTTGCAATAAAATATAGAAATCATAAAATATATTATTTACTAACCAAAACTAACCTTAGGCTCCAACCTTTTGTTTTTCGATCAGAGTGAAACATTTTCTTCCAGTGAATCAGACTAAAGCAGATCTTTAGATTTACTTTTAGAAGAGCCAATTTAAAGTTTAATTTTGAATAAATTTAGGCTAGGATCATCATAACAAGAAAATGGAAGTTAAATAGGAAGCAAAATAAAATCACTTAATCATTTAGATTAAGGGGAAGAGGAGCACATATTTATTGATGATGATTTCAAGAATTTGAAATGTAATTATTCATGCATAATTAATATCAGCTCTTTCTACTGGTTAATTGACATTAATTAAGTAAGCGAGAAATAATTTTTTATAATCATATTAATATAGATGCATTATAAGCACTTTAGATCAAAATACTAAAAATTAATTATTAACTTTCCCCCAACAAGCCAGACCTATAAATGAAACTCTAGATTCCCTTTACTCTGATAATGATATTGGAGCATTTAGCTAACTAGAATAATTCAACCATCGGACGATTTTAAAATAGAGAATAGCTAATTAAATAGAAGTTCGATACTAAGCAATATTGATTGGAAGATATTAAGATTTTTAAAAGGTTATTGACATAGAACATTAAGATTTAATGGAGACATTATAAAATCTACCAGAAATACCATAATTAAAGGAATTTGAGAAATAATCAAAAAGTTAAAATTAATAATCGTAATAACAGCAATCATAATTAAGTTTATAAAAGTAGTAACCATAATAAATACTAAATTAACATATTGTAAAAACTGACTAATAAATTCGATAAATTGCTAAAATAAAAACTAATTTACATAATAAAAAGTAGTTAATACAAAATCAATCATAAACGATTAATGCTTAACCAAATCTAAGAAAAAAGTAAACTGCAAATTCGCCAGATCAAAACATCTCAAAATTAACAATGTAATACTCTAACTAATTAACTAATTAATAAACTCAAAATAATAATAATAATAATAATAATATTATTACCCAATCTACAACTTAATATTTAACTAAACCAACTAACTAATCTTAACAATCAATCAATGGATCAGGATCAAAAACAATCCAAAAATGTAATTCAAATGGAGAGTTAAGTGAAACATCGTCCATCAAATCTTCTAATAGTAGATTGGATATTAGTTCATAAAAGATAATAGATGGAGACAATTAAAAACATTAGCCAAAAATCTAATAGTTTCAAGAATCACAGAATGAAAATAAAATAAAGCATCATCCAACAAAATCAGATAATCTGATAAATAAGATCTTTGAACAAAAAGTATATATATTTTTATTTATAATCCATCCCTTTAGATATAAAGTATGCAACAAAATGCATTGAGAATGAGAAGTCATGCAGAGGAATAAACAAAAAGGTAGAAATATGATCAAAAATATTAAGTAAAGTTTGCAATAGAGGACAACAATTTCTAGGAGGTAAATAAGTTATTTAGAATTTTACATAGTTTATGGAAAATTTTATTTAATTACCAGAAATGTACATTGATTATAGATTCTAAAACAATGAAACCTTCTTAACTTTAGCTACACAAAGTGGAAATAAGGAGATTGTGAAAGAGCTAATAAGAAGAGGAGCAGATATTAATATACAGAATGTATTTTTTTACTAAAAAAGGATGATGGAAATACGCCCTTGCATTTGGCAATAGCATATTCTCATTATATAATAGCTGATATGCTAATGTTTTCTGGAGCCTCCTCTCACATTTTAAATAAGTAGGGTAGGAATGCGTGGAACGTAATATGATAAATATATTATCTACTAACAATTTTTAACATATCAAAGATTAATATTCTATATCTATTTCGTTATTAATGTAAAGTGAGATTTATATTAAAAAATAATATTGTTAACTTAATGAATAAAGGAGCGGAAAAAAAGAGAACCTCTTCGTTCAATAAACAAACAATAAATTAGATATGCGATCGATATGATACTTAGCAAAAGCAATTTTATTGTCCTAAATATAAAAAAGATGTCAAAAATCTTATAAACAATCTAAAATTAAAATCTTCATGTGAAAGTACTTTTGTTATGATTCCATAAAATGATTCTTTGAAGAATGTTTTGGCTGGCCTTAATAACAAATCTCCTAAGAAATTAATGAAAAAGCATATAAAAAAGACTCCTAGTACATCTTTGCACACACCAGCCGACTTTACTATTAGAAATACTGAATAGTAATCTGAGTTAGCAAAGCAACGGCAATCTGTATTAAATCAATAATCATAATAAATTTCTTACCGATCTTTACTTTAACACAACAAACGTAATTAGTGGATAGAATAAATTAATCAAAAGAGTTCTAATTATATTCAGCAAGATCAAATAGCAATAACTGAATATTAGTATATTTATCATACTACAATAGAGCTTAATTAGATGTATAAATGACAAGTAATTGTGATTGGAAACATCCCTACACTTGCTATAAGGAATAGAGACAACATAGTGAAATGTAAATTATTGAGAATCTTGAATTCGATAGTTGGAGAGAATTGATGATGACTCGAGTTATATTACGTAGATATTAATAATGAGAATTTTATAGTTATATATTGAAGAAAACATTTACTATTTATAAACTTATAAAGAATTTATTTTCTGATATTTGTAATATAAAATATTTCACAAATCCCAAAATTTAAAATAAATTTAAATATAATCAAATGTCTGACGACGAAAATCAATTTGAGTAAGGAAATGCCGGTTCATCCCATACCTACACAGAAAGTGCTGGTTCATTAAAGAAAGGAGGCTATGTTATGCTTAAGGGACATCCATGCAAGATTACAGATGTATCAACATCAAAAGCAGGAAAGCATGGTCATGCTAAAGTATTCACTTTATTGAATCAATTAGGCTTCCATTGTTGGAAAGGATATTTTCACAAACAAAACTTATGAAGATTCAGCCCCTACTTCTCACAATGTTGACGTTCCTTTTGTTACTAAAAAGGAATATACATTGATGGACATCTAAGGTGATGGATTCGTCATTCTTATGAATGATGATGGATCAACTAAAGAAGATCTCAAATTACCCGAAACTGAAGATGACTTCAATTTGGTTAAGGAAGTCAGAGACTAATTTGATGCCGGCAAGTAAATTACCTCCATTAATTTGTTAGGGATTTGTTGATATCAGTTCTTTCAGCCATGGGAGAAGAAAAAATCGTTGGATGCAGAGAAGCCTAAGATAAATGATTCACATTAAATATATATAGTAAATATTTATTGTAAATATATTGTCATTAATCAACTACATCTTTAAAAAATGGATGCTTCAAAGCATCGCTTGCATTAATTCTTTTCTCTGGGTTATATTGCAGCATTAAACTAAATACAATAGATTTTTACTTAAGTAAATCTAAAAAATTATCCAAGTCCTTCATTTAACTGAATTTCTCTTTTAAATTCTATTTCTTATACTTCTATAATTCTTTGAAAAATATTTTATGATCGAAAGGCACCTTGTTTGAAAAATATTCCATCTCACTTTGACTAAAACTTCCCATTACTTTGAAAATAGCAAACAATTAATCGCCTTCGCTTTTTCCTTTAAAAAGAGCTTCCTTTACAACTAATTCCCCCATTATACAACCCAGAGCCCAAATATCAATAGACACATCATATTTTGTTACGCATAAAATTAATTCAGGAGCACGATAGTATCGAGACACTATGTAAGGTGTATTTTAACCTTGAGAATTTATCATTTTAGAACTTCCAAAATCACACAATTTAACTATTTCCTTATCATTTATAAGGATATTTTCTCTAAAAAATCATCAATAATTTTTACGGCTTTAAATCTCTATGAGCTATTCCTTTATTATGAATAAACTATAATCCTTTTAAAATCTGATAAATGTAGGACTTTATTGTCAACTCTGAAAAGGATTTATTTTGTTTAATATATGTTTATATCCTATTTTCAAGATTATCCTCCATATATTCAAACACAATATTTTGAATTAATTTACCCGCATCTGTTCTCGAATAAAAGAAATCCTATTCATGCTATAATATTTTACAAGGATTTTAACAATATGATCACATTCCTTAACTTCAAAGAGTATTTCATATTCTCTACTTAAAAGATTTCCAACCTTTTCAATTCTCTTGAGAGCAACTTTCTGTTTTGTATTATGATCGTATGCTTCGAAGACATATCCTGCCAATATTTTCAATAATTACCAAAAGTACCAGAACCAGCTACTTTTATAATTTCTATTGATGGAAATTTTTACAATGGCATACTCATTAATTAAATTTATACAATTCTATTTTATAATATATATTAAGCAAATGATATTAAATAATTATTACCATAAATATTAATTATTGTATTTGGTGAAAATAAATAGAATAATTTTTTTATTGAATTGTTTGAATTTTTAATCCAAATTACTTGAATTTTTGCAAGAAATTATTCAAATATGGCTTATTGAAAATACTAAATTGATACAAGAATCAAATTTATAAACTTTTTAATTTTAACTTTTGCTTACATTCTTAAAAATCATTATCTGTTCCATTGCTAAAGAGCATACTTTCTTAATTGATAATATCCTTTAAGACTTTCCACATATGAGCAGCTACAAACTTTATTTATATGACTTGAGCTGTATTTGTAGATTATTACAATATAATGGTTGTACGTCTGATCCTCTTTCAAAACTAAAATGATAAAATTATAAATATTTGATTATGCAAAGGAAGAACATAAATAGGTCAAACAATAATTTCTCCTTCTATCAAAACTATTTATTTGATTTATTCCATATTCTATATGTTATAGGAATTATCTTTTTGTACAATTAAAGTTATAAGGTTAGCAGACCAATAAATTAGGTTTATTTCTTTATTACATTAAGTTTAAATTCTCGCTTATGAATATTATAATATTTAAATTCTGTAGAATACATTGCTGATTAATTTGAAGTCTAATTTATAAAACAGAAATTTAATCCAGATTGGTATCTAATTTACAACTTCGATCATCTTCACTTTAATTTTGTAAAAGTAATCATTCTTGATAGGTAATATACATTTGCTTTGAAATTTATTTAATATATGAATGATTAAGTTTTTAGAGAATAAAATAAAAATAACCTATAATTAAAAATATGAGTTTGGAGAATGCTATAGTTCAGTGGCTTAATAAATATTAGTAATTGAATATTTAGTCGTTTGAGAGCTTGGCTGATGGTAAAGATACTTTTAAAAAATAAAGGATGCGCATTTAGTTAATTGTTGAATTTAGTTGATCCTACATTCTTTTCTTTGGCGAGTGCTAGAAACTTAAAGATTGATATTGATGCTTAGAAGGTTTAAGGTCATTTGATCGATATGCTTTAAAAAGTTTAATAATATCGAACGAATATTCAATGCAAGCCACCTGATTATATAGAAATTGATGTTTTCGAGATCGCAGTAAAATAAAATAAACAGTAAATTTTGGCCTTATTTGAACTGATAATGAAAGTTATTCTATCTTCAAACTTAAGAGGAAAATTTATCGAGCCTATATTAATGTTAGAGGAGAAAGTTTAGGAAACTTTAATGCATTTTCTTAAAAATCATCTAGACGAAGTATAATAAATAATTTAAAATAAAGTCAGAGAATCAAACAAATGAATGGCAAGAGGAAAACTATATTCAAAGTCTGGTATAAAAAATGGATGAAATTGAAACTTAAAATACAGAACTTAAATAATTACTAAATGAATCTGAAGAGAAATAAAAAACATTAAAATGTGCCCTGGATGATGCCTTGGTCTAAATGGAAAACAAAGAAATGGAAATCAAGGCACTAACAGAATCTAAATGTCATTTAGAAAAATGTAAGCAATTTTATAAACAATTTAAGGTTTGGAAGAGAAGATGGACTTTTAGCTTGAGTTTAAGGAAAGTGAGAAAATACATCAAAAATGTTTGGAACAAGAACACAAATTGGCATAATATGAATTAATTATTGAAGATTTGAAAAGGAAAGAAATCTAATTTGTATAACTAAAGGAAGAATACTAGTAAAACAAATATAAATTACAAGAGAACGAAAAATTAGAATAAAAAATTGAAAGCGTAAGAGATTACAAATAATAATTAGTTATAAGAACGAAGAGAATTGGACAAAGATGTTTACCAAAAAGGAAAAGAAAGATATGAAAAAGAAGTGGCTACATTGAAGTAAAATATTAAGGAGTTATTAATATAATAATCAGAGTTGAAAGAATCCAAATTAAATTTAGAATTAGAATTACAATAGAATAAAGCTAGATTGGAGAGATCATAAGAATAGATCAAAACTATAGAAACTGAATATGGATAAAAAATTAGAGAGCTATAGGTTTTGCTTGAGACTTTGCATTAAGCTGAAGATGAAGATATGCCTAATATGACAAGTAGCACTGATTAATAATTGTCTTAAGAAATGAAGTTATCAACGAATGCCAAAAACGAAAATTTTGAAAGAGAATACTATATAAAAGAAAATCATAAATTGGAAGAAAAATTAAAAGAGTGTTAAGCTAAAATGAACGAAATGCAAATGGAATTGGAAAGTAAGAATTAAAAAAGCAAATTTGAATCATAACTTTAATAATCTTAATAAATTTCATTGTTAACAGATAAAATTAAATAATTTTAAGAACACAACTAATAATTAAAAAAACAGAATGAAGAATTAAAGAAATAGACCTAAAATAAGAAGGTTACTCAAATTGATTATGAGATAAGTGTGCTTTCTTTGTTATCAGATGCTTTAGCAAAAAAGGTTAAAGACACTAAAAGTTAAGAAAAAGAATGATATTTTATATATAGTGATAATTCATAAATTAAGTGATTATAAATGTTTTTAATTTCAAAGTAATTACTGGAAAACTTATAATGAATTTTTCAATAATAATAATAACTAGAAAAGATGGGGTCTGCATGTAAAAATTGCCATCAAGCTTCTTAAGCGGAATCAGAAATTTAGCTAAAACCAGTTTAAAAAGTCCCATCTAAATAAACTATTATTAGCAACTCTGGTGAGTTTAGAAAATTAATTTAAGATTCCATTCCTTTGAATTTAGAAGATGAAGAATTAGTCAAAAATGCATCCGTAGTAACAAAATTTCCTAAAATGTAAATGAAGAATATGGGATATTATGAAGGAGAATGGTTGAATGGAATGAGACATGGATCAGGACTTTATGTATCAGAATATTTAAACTATAGACTTGGAGTGATAATACAGTATATACAGGTTAGTTTTAAAATGATTAATTGCATGGAAAAGGTTAAATTATCCACCCAAATGGAGATGTTTATGAAGGGGAGTGGTCTAATGATTTAGCAAATGGTTTAGGGATTTTCAAATAGTTTAATCAAAGTACTTACACTGGATAATGGAAAGATGACCTATAACATGGTGATGGAATAGAAGAATGGCCATAATAAATTAAATATGAAGTTTTTTAGTTAAGTATTATTAGATTTATAGGGTTAATATGTAAAAGGAAAAAAACATGGAAGAGGGAAAATTATTTTTGAAGATGGCAGTAGATATGAAGGAGAATTCATTAATAATTAGGTTTGTGGCAATGGAGAATTTTATTGGTAATAAGGAAAATATTATAAAGGACAATGGAAAGATAATCAAATGAGTGGTATATTTATTTCATTAACTAGTTTATAGGGAAAGGTGAAATGTTTTGGCCTGATGGCAAGCATTATGTAGGAGAATATGAAAATGATAAAAAACACGGATAAGGATAATTCACATGGGAAAATGGTAAAGTGTATATAGGAGGATGGAATCAAGGAAAATAACATGGTAAAGGCTTTATTGTGGAGGATGGCGTTAAAAGAGAATGTATATTTGAGAATGGTAGATTAGTGAATAATAATTGATATTATTGCTATCACTCTGACAAATTTTCTATTTCTAGCTTTATTTATGGAGATCAAAGTCATTATATAATAATTTATGCACGGATTTATCATTTTTTTATTTTTTTGAAATCCCTATTTTCACTCTGCTTCGTTAAATATTTTTCACTCGTTTCTTACAACAGACAATAATTTATTTAAATTGCATTAACAATCATCATTGTGAAAAGTAAATTTCTTTAATTTTCGTATATTACTATGGAGAGGTGTTGCAAATTGAGAATGATTTGTAAAAGATTAACCATATATTGGTTCCTTAATTTATTGGTAGTTCTAATATTTTTATTATAATAATTCCATCTACACTTATATCACTTCATTTTTTTTTGCATTATTTAATTAAAGTTAATATAATTAATCTAATCTTTAGAAATACGATCAGAATTTAAATAACTCAAGCTGATTTTCTCATTATTAATCTAATAATTTATATTAAATATTAAGTAATTTTCTCATTCAATTAAAAGTAATAATATATATCCTCAAATTTAAATACTATTTAGAATAAGCAAATGTATTTGACGAGACAATGGTTATGCTTTTGTCTATCCTAAATGTTTCATATTAATTTTTAATGATTTTATTTTATCTATAAACATAATTAATAAAATAGAATTTTTATTCATTAAGATAGGAAAACACATAAAAATCTCGCTAAATCATTTATTATAAAAGAAAATGGAAAATTGCTTTAGATTTTTGATCAGTTAATTTTATCATTTTTTAAAATATTAATATTAACGAATACTTAATAATACATATAAATATATATATAAATTCAAATTATTCCTTCATATTATTATTTTTGCTATTCCTCATCTAATATTTTTAAGCTTTTCTCTAAAATGCCATCCAACTACATAAAAAAGAATGAAATACCTAAGTTTTTTAACATTATATTCTCAATTATAAATCCTAATAGTAACCTTTAGTATTGAAATAAATTTCTTAACTGTTGCTAATATTCAAGATATTATTTGGCAAATTATTTGGTTTGATTTCTTTAGTGAATTAATCTTGTTTTAACTTATTTTCTGGTCTTGGTTTATAAGACATCTTTAATTGTAAAAATTATTAATGAAATAATAATATAATATTTGTTATTCATAAACTCATTTTCCAATTGTAAGCAAAATATTGATCATTAAAAGACCAATTATTGCATAAGCCAATTAAGTCAACCTATCTAGTTTTATATTCAAATCTTATGGCACTGATTATTGTTACTTTTCAACGAAGACATCCTTAACTTTATTTTCAATTAATAATTCTGACTTTTATTATTGATTTTAATTATTCTCAAGCAATATTTGAGATTCTTATTTCACTTGTTCAAGAATTACCTATGAAGCTTCTTCTTTTTCCCTGTTTAAGCTAACTTTTTCAACTTAAACCTCTATTTCTTATTTAATCTCTACTTCAGCCTTTGGTTGCTATCGCTCATTTTATACTCTTTTTGATATTATTTTATTTTGACCTTCTTCATAAGCTGATTTCAAACATTTCTCCCAAACCTCAGTGTTTTCTTTTTTACTACTAGTTTCAATTTTACTTTTGAAAACAGTTGATTTCATAAAATGGATATAATATCCATAATTTACTTGGCATCCATCCTCTATTTAATGAATATGCCAAAATACTCGACAACAAAAGCTATCTGCATAAGGGATTTTAGCAAATTTTACTTCCTTTTCTATCAAAATTTCATCTTGATCGAAATAATATAAAATATCTTCTGCAAAACAATGAACCACATCAGGGGCAAACATTTATTTTTCTTTAACTGGATGAATAAAATTAATTGGTCTTTTTGAGATCTGTCCAATTTATGGTTAAGGCTGATACTTTTAGAAATTAATTTCTTTATCTTAACACAGCACAACTTAATAGTAATGAGGGAATGATAAGCAATTTTCATAAGGTGTATCTAATAAAAAGAAATCCAAAAATTCCTTCACGCTCACTTTTAATTAAATTTTGAATTTTTAAATCGTAGGTTAATTCATGTATCTATTGGATTTATTTTAAACCATAATTTCATTATATAGACTTTTAGGTTAATTATTTGTTTAATCAACTTCAAATTAAGAAACTTTTGGTAGGGCAGGATTAGATTAGCCTTAATTGTCTGCATTGCTTATTGTGGCTTACTATTATTATTGTTCAGTTATTCCTTATTAATCGATTACTTAACTTTATTTTTATTATGAAGTTGGCTCTTGAGAAGACCTTTTCTCTTCAGACTATTGATTTTATTCATTACTTTTGATTTAAGGAATTTACTATTATTGTTGTTGTTATTATTATTATTACTATTATTATTACTATTGTTATTATTATTATTATTGTTATTATTATTATTATTATTACTATTGTTGTTGCTATTGTTATTATTAGAAATTTAAATTTTTTGGGCTTTAATCAATTTATTATAATTTATCGCTTGATTCTATATTTTTCAAATTTATTGATTCAACTTAAACATTTTAGGGTTTTGGAGAAGGACTTCGAATGACCTATTACTTTTCTTATGTTTTTGCTAATTACTAGGTTTCCACATAAACTTGTTGTATATTTCTTTCTGGTTCAATTTCAATTCTTTCTTCAATAACTCCTGATTCTAAACCTTTTACTTATTTTAAGCTTCCTAATGTTCTGTCTCGATTGGCTAAACTTGCAAAGACTAAAGTTCCTTTCAATGTTTTAAACTCTAGGGCTGCATCAACCATATATGCTTTAACTCTCCTTATGCTCTATATATCAATTGATGGAATGCCTAAAGCAGTAGTACCAAAGAGAGTCTTTATATATAATATTAAATACTTTGCCATTAAAATATGAATGGAAACAAACCTTAGATGAGAAAATGTACATTCTTCCTTGTAATAGAATTTTATTATCGAATGCACATGCATAACTGGCTATGCATTTATCTCCTTCTAAAATTCTAAACTTTTCAATAAGTTTTTAAGACACCTTAACCGAACCTTCTTCCAAATTTATATCATCGCTTTCACTTTCTTCTTATTGTTGGAGTAACATGGCTGTTTCTATTTTTGACTTGATTTCATCAGTCATTTCAAAGATTTTTTAAAATTTCAAATCTTGTTAATCAAGTTTGGTTATAATCATTGTTCCATATTCAATTTATGCAATCTTCTCCTAAATCTAACTAAGAGATTCTTCTTGTTATTTAGTTTATGTTACAATTTCATCAATGAATGAACTATAATGATTTAATATTTATTCTAAAGTTTAAATGATTTAATTTGATCTTTGAAATTCATTTGCTCTCACCTATTCAACAGAGTACTTAATTGCTATACAATTTTCTTAAATTTATTTCTTTAAAGTTTAAAATATATTATCTTTGATCCCAGGTTTTTACTCGTTTTCCACAATTTATTACTTTAGACCTTAAAAATCTTTTAACATCTTCTAATACATATTTAGAAAACTTTTTTCTTAATTTTTTTACTCCTTTATTAATTAATCCAGACATTAAGCTTTCAATTAAATAAATTGAGATTATTAGTTATACTTTTTGGAATATTATTCATTTTATTTAACCAATAGTTCTTAGACTTAAAGTATAGGTTTGATAAAATTGGACTTATCTTTGTCTGATTTATCCTAAATAATTGATAAATTTAATTACTTGAATGAATTATAATGATGATTTTATTGATTTTTATAAGTTTTTTGAAAGTGCATCCATTTGATTAGACATCTCAATTAGATAATTAGGCAGAGTCTTTTGATTTTTAATTCTATCATTTATGAAAGACAATTAGGCATCAATATGCTTATGCAAGACATCTGGAAATATTAAATATTCTTAATCTGTTACAGGTTTTTTTTCTATAACTTTGTTCATAATATTGATATATCTGAACGAATTATCTTATTCATATTTAGATGTTATTATTCGATCCTCCATATCTTATTCATATTTGGGCATAGTTATAATCTTTTCTTACTTCTCATCCATCTAACCTTTAATCCAACAATTTGCAGATAACTTGTGTTAATCTAATTTCATTGTGATTTCTACAAACCTTTAATAGGTTAATTAATGTGCTTGAATCAATTGCTATCTTGAATCATCAATAGCTTAATTAAATTCTTTAGTTTTGATAATTAAACTATCAAAAGCATCTTTGTATTATTATTCTGCAGGTTCGACTTACTTAACTAATTCCTTCAATTTTTAATCATTCTTTTGGGATAGATTGAGATCGTACCCAGTTAAAACATCTTCCGAGTTTTTCTTACCAGAATTCAAAGTCATTTCTATTTCTTTACAAAGTTTATCATATTTATCTTTGGCTTTTTTGCAATTTTATCTTTATTATACAAGTTATTGCGATTATTAAAAGTTACCATCTGTTATTATTTTTGTGAAAATATTCATTTTCTCATTATATTATTCTATGCTTTGAGAAAAGAATTACTAAAATTCTGAAAATGATGAAAGTGTAGATTTTGAGATCAATTCAAAAAGTTGTATGAATTCCATCAAATTATGTCCTTAAAATAAATTTAGTATATACCTAAGCTAATCGGATCATTTACTGATAATGAAATTTATTAAGAATATTATTTGTTAAATGGTCCATATTTCTTAAAATGTGTGTCAAATTCATTTTATGAATCAGTTGTATACTTTGAGAATTGCTTCATTATTTTTTTAAGATCCTCTAATTTGTCATTTAAATTGGAAGTGGCAGCTTATTCAGAAGCGTTGAGCATTAATAATAATTTTTATTTAATGAAAACACTTGTAATTTCAATTGAGTTATATAATATTCAACCACTCTACAAGTTGTTATAAATTAGGTTTTCTCAATAAATACTCTTAAATTGCCTCTGTAAATTCATCACTCACCAAACTTTCTGCTCTTTCACCAACTGAGACTTCTTTAACACTTTTTTTTCTCTTAGAGTCCTTTTAAATAAATGGTGATATTATTTCATCAAAATATTTGTAATATTAATATTGAATTACGAAAGTTCTTAAATTTATTTCAAATCTTATTACTTTCTTTTTTGAACTAGATAATAAATTTTTATGATCTATTCTATATCTATGACTGAATAAAATTTAAATGAAACCCTTTTCTGAATCAAGTCTCCATAAAGTTCCCCAAATATTATTACTAACAAGTAATTATTACTCTAATTCATCAACTTTAGATAGCAACATTGGCATCTAATGAATTGCTGAAAATATTATCTCATTCGCCATCTTATTAGAATTTTAAAACTAATGTTTCAATGATAATTAAACTATTTCTCCTTTATTTATTTCTGTTTTTTATTTATAATCAATCTTTAAGCCAGATAATACTAATCTATTTTCTTGCAATTCTCTATAGAATAGATTAAATATGTCCTAAATTTCTAGATTGCCATCAACCTATTTCTAATTCTAAAACGTATATTGAACATTGGCCTATTTATAGGTAAATGTAATTTAATATTGTTTTTTATCATAATAAATGTTACTTACTTGATATCCAAGACATTAGATCAACACAGCCCTTATTTTCTAAGAAGATCCTTTTTTTTATTCCTACCGGTTTGGTTCATCTAACTAGTTTTCAAATAAATCATCTCCATCTTGTATTTAATTCAGTTTATTATTATTATTCATCTTTGAATCAATTTACTTTTATTCAATTTCATTTAATTAGATTAATTTCTATTACAGCTTACTTATCTTTTGAGACAACACATCTTAAATAAGTAAAATTTCTTATTCTTCTCTAGTAATAACTCTTTTCAAAGTAGCATCATTCATTTCAGCCAATGAACTTAATTATTATAGATCCTTTACTATATCAATTTCAACTGGCTTCACATTTTTTCTATAGGATTATTTTCCATTGTTTTCTTCAATTTGAATTGCTTTAGGTGTTCGATATGGTAGTTATTATGACGTTTGAACAAGTTAATTTTAAATCGGTGCCTATTTTTGTATAGACTGTGGAATTTAAATTTCCTAAGGGACAGGCATCTTATTTTATTGAGGTTCTGGCTTTTTAGAACTTGGCTGCTCTTCTGAAATTGGAGTTAATTTTGGCGGTGTTGACTCAGCAACTTTTCCAATAAATGGAATAAAGGAAACTTTTCTAGTTCTATTGCTTTCCAGATCAATTTAAGATGATGCCATTGGTTATGGAGCTTACGGAACTACCTACACTAGTTGGGTGATTTATTAAGATGGCACTCTTAAATCCTACTTTTGTTCCTCAACTGTGTTAATTTTTGAAGAAGATTGATTTTAGTCCTCTTTTGGTTCCTGTTGACTTTCAAAAAACCAAGAAACTCTCTTTTCTTATTTACATAATAATATTACTTTTGCTCATATTTATTCAACTTCAAATTTAAATTAATACGCCAATAAAATATTTATAAAATTATATTTATATATATAAAAATTGAATAAACTTTTATTTCATACAATTTAACTAGAGATTTGAGCCCAGCAAAAAGGCATAATAATTTGATTTTATAAGTTTCTACTATGCAACATATTAGAAACCAATATCTAAATTATATTATCACTAATTGAATTAATTATCAATAAAACAGTTATTCGCTATTTTTGAAAGTGCCATTTATTTTAGTGTAATTATTAATTTACTCTGCTTCCAATAATACAATGAGTAAGAGAACTTTAGTGGCTCTATTATTAGTGTTTAAATCTTGTAAATTACTATTAAAAAAATGAAATGATGACTATTGGTAGCTAACTCTAGCAGTTGTCTATAAAAGTTTTAACATTTCAATTAGATAATAGACACAATATAAAGATTTTGTTATATATTTGCAAATGTTTAGAATAAATAGACATATTTTTTTATAGAGTTACAAATATATATATCTAATTAAAACGACCTTATTTTTATAAAATTACAATAAGATTTAAATCATAATTGCTATTATTTCTTTAAACTTATTTTAAATAATGTATGGATTAATTAGCTTTTAGTTTATTTTATTAGTTATTAAATATAGTAATATTAGAGAATTGAAATAAATTTAATTTTATTCTATTATTATAGCAATTACAAGTTAGTGATATAAATTCTATCAATTAATGCTTATCTCTTCCTTATAATTATTTCAAAGATGGCTTTTCATATAAATTATATTATATAATATGTAATTGATAAATCTATAAGCCTATTTTATTATATGTTATACTCAAACACTGGGTCCAAAGCTCTTATCTTTAAAGAAATTAGTTAACATATAAATTTATATTAAACACACGCTCATCAAAACTACTATTTTACATAAAGCACACCACTTTACTTAATTTTCAGTGCTTTCCATCACTAAGAATATATTTATTGACTTACATTTCTCATGGTAATTCTCTCTATCAATTTAAAAGTGTTGATTTCTATAAACTTTATGCATCTTCGATAATACTTATTTTAATGATCCTTCAGTCTCATCCATTTAGTCTATAAATTATTTAAATATCCATAATACTTTTGTCAGCAAAGTTCTTATCTACTCCACTAATGTCCAAATCAAAGCTGAATATTTTATAGTAACTATCATTAGATTAAAAGCATAAATAAATTTCTTTTTTTCCTTTGACAAGATGTTTTAATTATCCTTCTCTTTTCCCTTCTTAAGATTCTAAAGTTTTGTTATATTCAATATTGTTTTCTATGATTGTTTCAAATAACTAATACAAAATTATATATACTTCCACAAAAACATTTTCTTCATTTATTCCTGTTACAACATAGGGCACCTTCACTATTTACCCATCATAACCATCAAAAAAGAAACATTTTACTGACCCTCCTTCAACTCCTATTGAAACACAATTGATGAGCTACAAAAGACATCCAATTATAAATAAATTCTTCATTAATTTATGGTTAGATTTCCAATTTAAGTAATTAATGCTCTATAAACTTGAAAAATTTTACACATCAGATATCAATTGTATTATTGAAACTTTTGAATAGCAAGGCAATTATGAATTTGTAAGTGAAAGCCAAATTTGTTGAGTATCCTATTCTGATTCTGTCTTTCATTTAAAATTGCTAAGATTAAAATAGAATAAACTAAAAAATGAAATCATCTGACAAAATTTAAAAATTACTTTACTTATCACAATCTAAGGGAGATATGTAAAAATTAGGAATATTTTTGATTAAATTTTATACATAAGGCTGCAAACATATATAAGAATGTTTCTAAAAATAGTAAATTAAATATACAATTTTAAGAATATATTTTTAAAAGAAGCTTACAGAGTCTTAAGTTATAAAAAATATAGATGACATCAAAGAGTTTTTTTCTTTTATTTTATTTAGCAATTGATTTAAATGAGTGAGATTTATTATATTTAGCTTAATTTTGATAATTTCTGCAATATAAAAATTGATTTAAAATATGAAATGGAATTTTTTAGGGGAATTCATAAGTTTGATCATTTAAACCAATCTATCACCATCATTAAATAATTCCTATTTCACAACTTTTTAGATAACAGTCTACTATTTGTAGTTAACATATTTCTTAATAAGCGAAAATCATGAATACATTTATCGTTTAATTAATGCATTGTCGAAAATTAGTTTGATAACTCCAATATTTATAGAGGCATATGAAATCAACATATTGATTGGAGTGATTATCATTTTAATAAATTTCATTCCATACCTTATTGTGATTTATCGAAGAATTAAGAATGTGAATAAGAAGGTAGGTAATATATCTAAGAGCATACTACAAGTATGAATATAATAATATTCTTAGATCTCAACTATGATAATTAACTTTTATTTTTTATATTTCACTTGGTTTCTGTATTTGCCTCAATTATATTATATTGGATGGAATTTGGGCCAATCAGATACCAGACTTGTGATTTTAGCTATAATAGTTCTAATAATAACAATATTGAGTCTGACTATTTCGAATGTCTATTTTGTTAATTTCGAATTCAATGAACAACATTTAAGGAAACACTTTTCATACAACAATATCATAGCTTAAACATTAGTAATTCCAATGGCCATATTATATTTAAAAAACGATGAAATAATGTAGATAGTGAGTAGGGCTTTGCATGGATTAATATTACTAATGTAGATTTACGAAGCATATTTTTAATTGCCTTTTGGGTAAATTATCAATCTTATCAATTTTAGATTTTCTTAATAAGGCTACATATTAAATCGAGCTCTAATGACTCATTCTGTAGTGTTTCTATTCTCTTCAATCAAGGCTTAGAGCACGGCTAGTCCTTACAGCTTGGCAACTATCATGCTAATTATGCAGCCAGTTGTATAATATTTGTTTTAAATTCTTTTTGATAGCAAAAGGGCTAATGCTTACCTTTCAATAAATAAGACAAATAATCAATATTATGAGTTGTTATACATTGAAGATTTCTTTGAGTTGAGTTAATTGGCTTAGAAAAATAAAACTAAGGAAATTGAATTGATTTAAAAATTCAGTCTTCATATGAATCGATGTAATTCAACTAAATGTTAATGCAAGAAAATAGGGTCATCTAAAATATTATTATTTGATTAAACTGTGCTTTTAATATCTTGTTTATTCAAAGGCAGTTTCGAGAAACACAAATAAAATTCTCAAGATTTAAGAGTTTTTGAAATATTCAGTCTTAAATTCTTAACGTTTATTAATAAATACAAGCATAATGCCCCAAAAACTTATTAAGAATTAAAAATATTTTTTTAAAAAAAGCGAGATTATTCATTTTATTTCATATAGATGTGTTTGTTATTGCAGTTCATACTCTAAGCTTAAATGCAGAAAGATGAAGATTACAATATAAATAAAGAGACCAGAGTTTCCAATGTGAAGTTATAGGTGAGCAAGAGCGAAAGAAGTATAGTCCAAAATTTGTATTAAATGGAACAGGTCAAACAAAATATGATACCACTATTAACAGAGATAAGTCAATTCAAATCTTAATTTTGGAAGTCATTTAAAGAGGGCAAATTTTCAGACTATCTTTAAATTGAAGAGCAAATTAAAAAACTATAGAAACTACGAGACGATGTTATGTATCAATTCAACATTTATTATCAAATATTTTATCATAACGGTAGAACCTTTAATGTTCAATTTTTAAAGGTTAATGCTTTAATAAATCTATTATTGTTCAATAATGTGAGAAAGTATTTCGAAATGGAGAAAGGTAAAGTATAAAAATATCATTAGAGAGGAGAGAAATTTTGTAATTCGAGAAAAGCATGAACTCCTTTGAAATTACTAACATAAACTTTTTTAAAGGAGAAGCAATATCAGTTAAAGTATGCATAGCTTTTGGTCCGAATATTGGTAAAGTTTTAAATAAGGTAATATCTCCGTTAATTCCAAAATTTTTTGGATTTGGAAAATTCCCTCATCCAATAAATTCGTTCATAGATTTTACAAAGGGAAATATAAATACTTTGATGCCAGCTTGGCTTGAGCCAATTCATGATGAAATAATGTAAAATTATATTCGAAGAGGTGTTACAGCAAGAATTGGCAAGTATTTTTAAACTTTTGCAAAATTGTATGACAAAACATTGATAAGATGTTAAGTCTATTTGGCACATAATTTTAGTTAAGAATTAGAAGATGATTTTACAATGATCGGATGTTTAAAATCATTGGAAGAAGAGCAACCGAAGTTTGTTGGAGAAGAAGGCAAGAAACTGAAAAATATTGCATTCAAAGGAGCCCAACACATTCTATTTGATGTGAATGGAAATATAATGGGTATAACGAAAGGCTTATATAAAATGATTGAAAGATTGTAGAGATTGGTTACTAATAATAAAGGAGGAACCTATCATGATGACGAGCTTGTGCATTAAAGTGGATAGAAATCAGGATCAGAGAAATCATCATTCGAATCTGAAAGGTACTTTTATTAAATTTAATCAGTTACGATGTGTTTGATTAGAAATGGTCGAACACTCCATTGCAGATCGATGAGTTTTATAATAAAGTGTTGATTTGGATGATTTTACCATTTATTTCCAGGGAAATAGAATCAACAGGAATAGAGTTCTTAATGAATGGATAAATTCCTCCCAAAAATAGATATGTCAATCTAATTGATTTAGAGAATGGAAATCAAGTTGTTTAAAATAAAGAGACCTATTTATTTGTTCCTGAAGATTTAAATTTGTTTGTTGAATAGTATGACAAAGTGATTACAAAGATAGTAGATGACGTGAGAGTGCAATCTAACAATTTTTCTTCTGGAAGTGCATATAGAGGAGGGTTAAGAAGTGATTATTAAGACAGTGATCATTAAAGTATGGTTTAAGTGGTCACTATTTTTGATGAGAAACTGTGTGTGTTCTTTTATGATGAACATTTGAAGAGACATCAAGCATTATTATTTGGATAGACCAGATAATCAGAAATACAGAGGAGTCAAGGGAGACCATCATCAAAATCATCTTTACCTGAGAAATAAACTATTAGCAGCGAGGAAGATAGTGAATAACTAAAAACCAGGGCTGAAAAAATATATTAAGATAGATACTCAAAATACATTGAGAAATTTACACCTTAGGATTTCAACCCTATTCCAGTAGTTTACTCTGTATTTTATGAAGAATATCGATATAAGAAAAATGACACCGATCATAAACAATAGATGTTTGTAATAGAGTTAATTGTTAATGATTAATAACTGTTGAATACAGAAAAAGGGTACAAAAGATAATTAAGAGAGACTATTAAATAAACATATCAACATTATCAATCGAAAAAGATACTATTAGAATAGAGAACAGAGGGAGATGATTCCATGAGTGTATAAGGTAATATCAGTGAATAAAGGAGTATACACGAAGGAGATATTATCAATTACAATTTCCCATCTCATCCTTCCCATTATTATGAAGACATCTATTTTGTAGAAAATCAATAAATTCTTCAAACTGATTAAATCTATAGTCCAAGATAGGATGGTAAGTCAGAAGGTCTGTTATTAAGTGATCGATCCAGATGGGGTAAGCCTCTAATAGAAAAAGATAAAAAGTCTTAAGGAGGCCAAAAGAAGAGGAGCTAAGTTTCTGTTAATTCATAACATAGCAGAGAAGAAATTTAATTTAAAGGCTCCTATTCGAATTTGAAGTTTCCCGAAAAAGAGATTGCTAAAAAAGCTCTGACTAGAATAAATCAAAAAAGGAAACAGCAAGATTTCTTTAATGATAATGAATCTAAAATACCTTTGGAAAGCAAAGGTTCCTAGTAATAAAACTTTGAAGAATTTTAAGTTAAATATTCTGAAGGTTTAAAACTATTTGATTCCCAATATAAAATTGTGCAATAGAAAACTTCTGAGATGAGGAATCCAAACTCATTTAAAATTCAAAAATATTTATTGATAACAACATTTGTTTTAATATTAAGTTATATCATCCTTATTTCTGTTGCAGTATAAATGCAATATGATCTAAGTGGGTGCTATAATTTGATTGAATTAATGATAGCTACCTAAAAATCCTATTCTCAAATTACTCATAGTTTGTATCGTTTGGAGCTATCAGATTTACTTCAATTCGACAATATGGACATCTTGAAGTAATTTTACGAAAAGTAAATCTTTTCTGAATTGCAAGAGCTTATTGATATTTAGAGCAATTAAATTATTGAAATCAATAATGTGGAAGTAGGCTTGGATTATTTCTATGATATAGAAGACAAAGTGCAAGTTAAACCCACACTTTAATAAACTATTTAATTTGCTCTTGGCCAATTCTATAAGTTAAAATAGAATGAAACCAGTGATATTTACAAATACAATTCCTCTTTAACATTTGCATCCGTAGCCAATCTTTAGGGTATTGGGGAATTACCATAAAAGGCATATGACTACTGTTTTGATGACAAAGTCTCCAATGAAAATACGTATCAAACTCTTTTAATCATTTATATGGTGGTCATCTTCTTTTTGGTTATGATTCTATAATTTTCCCATATTCCATTAATTGGAAAATTAAGAAAGAGTCATAGAACATTTTACAAGGAAATTATTAAATTATAATAAAACGAAGTAAATGACGAAATTGAAATATATGAAACTGTTGAAAATATATTAAAAAAATCAATTTATGAATGGATGTTGATTGATTTTGTTTAAGAATCCTAACTGTTTGAGACTGTAAGAGAACATAGAACAAGTGCCCTAACTCCAGGCAGAGATATGCATACCGACATAAGTTCAGGGGCAGTCTCTTCATCTAATAAAAAGAATAAGTATAAATTGATGGAAAAATTGAAGAAATCTTAAATGAGATAGATTAAATACTTTGTTATATTAATGGTTGGATTATTTGTTATCTTAGCGTATTTTCTGATAATATTCTTGGTAATTTTTATCTTATCAAAAGATCTATTGTCTAATTTAGAAATTCTATTTAAGTTTAAATTAGTTTAATCATCTGTAATTAATTTAATAAATAATATGGATTTAGTAGCATTTTCAAGTGTAAATGATTCACTATTCGAAAACATCATGTCAGTGCAAACATATTAAGATTACGCGTCAGTGCTAAGTGGCGATACAACTGATTTTTTTGAACAATACTCAAATGAGTTTATTTCTGCACTTACTGATGATAAATTGAAATAGAATCTCGATACTATGAATTAAAACAATGTTTGTGAGACTGGAATTGGAATTGATTGTGTGTCAACTGATGCTGTGACCTTGAATCCATGGCTTCTGCCATATTATTAATAAGGATTGAAATCTTTGTTGACTTAAGTCGATAAGATTATTTCTCAATATCCATAGTTTTTTTATGATGAGAATGTGAAAAATACTTAGGACATTCTTTTCGAATTTTATTAAAGTCAAGAGCATGTAATATACATAGATTATGGAAGTGAATTACTAATAAAGGCTCACAAGCAAATTATCGACACAGCCTATAATGAATTTGATTAATCTTTGAATTTTTACAAGCAAACCTTGTTAATCTTCACCTTGAGTGTAGGAGTGGCTGGTTTTTGTATTATAGGTTTTTTGGGGAATCTCATATTAAAGATGTAAAAAGATTCAATAGAAACATGTTAGGCAGCCTTACTATTGTTATCACCTAAGCGATACCTAAATAAATCGATGGGTTTATTAACATAAAAAAAATTATGATTTTTTGTGTATAATTAATATGAATTAAGCTATAAAAAATTAAGCTAATCCATTATAATCTAATTATGAGCAGTCTCGAGTTGGAGTGGCTTTTGGAGATGAATTTGAAAAAGGTCCAGTCTCTTTTAGGTAGTGATTTGAGTATCTAATTGAGAGCTGAAGCCCACTTTAATGAAAAAAAGGCAATAGACTAATATGATACACTCAAGAACATAGTTGGAGATCATATTGATATTGACTGGGCTCTGGTGTGTTTCCTCAAATATCAACCTGGTAAAAAGGATGCTCTGATATAATCAATTACAAAAATTAAAGACAGACGTAGAAAATAATAATCAATCATTAGCTCGTTTTGAAGCCTTCGAATGTAAGATCCACTCAGATGAAACCTATGTTTATTTCTCTATTAAACTCAGAGAGGATGAAGAAAGCAAAATAAAAGGAACCCTTGAGATAATATTAGAAAATGGTATTTCATATTGGTAACTTAAGGATTAAGAGAAATGGTTAAGAGCTAAGATAATTACATTAACTTTGAATTTGATGCAAACTATGATTTTGAATAATTAGTTGAAGCTGTAAATAAAGGGGAAAGGGTTGGAGCTGCTTGTTTGAAATAAATTAGGTAAGATACCTTTATAAATAAAGAGCTGAATTGAACTTATTTTTGACAAAAAACTTCTATCAAGGAATTGAAAAACTGGTTGAGGGAATTGATAAAGATTCATTAGAATCTCCTCCTTTGGCGTTCTTAAAACATTTTAAGGATTTAGACATGGATTTGAGATTCAGATCTACTGATGAACTACCTCAAGTTATTAAGAATTAGATGATCTTTGGAGAAGAATTTTAAACATTGGCATAGGAAGAATTATAATTGCCAATAAATCGTACAAAATAAGTCAATGCTATAATGGATGTAATCAATCATTAGTTATTTAGGCAGCTGCAGATAATGGATTCATTTATTTGACTATCTCAGATTTATTAGCTGTTAAAATTGATTCTCATACTCCTAAATTGTCAACATTTTTAACAAAATATGGAAAGTACTTGGCTAAATTGGTAGGATTAGGAGAATTTGTACCAGAAGCATGACATAAAAGATAATTATTAACAATAATTGTGTTATCTTATTCAATAATAGCAATGCGTGATGTCATAGATCTAATCACTTGGTCTATCAATTTCTGATTTAATGCCTGAATTACGTCTAGTTCTTCCGGATTCATATTTAAATATCGGTCCGGAAATGTCTTCATCACATTGCAAACATTAGTTTAGTTAACCATTCTTCACGAAATCTTCAATTGTTAAAAAAGACCCACTTAAAAATTAGAATTAATTCATTACATACAAACCCAAAAACAGGATTTTTTTGTATTCAAAGTATTGTACAACCAAACTTAGGCACATGTATCTGTAAATCCTAATTCCTTTATACATTATAAAAGATAATGTTCAGACAATCCATACATTAAACCACACTGTCTTACTAACCTAGTCAAGTCAGTTTTAAGATAAACAACCAAATCCTATAATGTAGAGCATGCTCCACATTTTCCTTAATGAGTAACAATGAATTGATTCTCTTCAGCTTCTTCCTTGGAATTAAATTATTTTAATTGATATCTAATAATTAAGACATTGTAACATTTGCTTTTCATCATCGTCGTATTTAATTGCACAAACACTGTTGGTATCCTTAAGATTATCTTATACTTTCTATTTATAAACAAGATCAATTATTTCATAAGGATTCTTTGTGTATGAAAGTATGGGATCCCTGATTTGTTTAGATTTGAAGGCATTTACAGCCTCATCAATATCACAGCTAAGCACTGTAACTATTAGAAACAAATGCAATTTTTACATTAATAATATATTAATAATATTATCAATTGGAATTACTAATTTCTTATATCATTCTTGTTTATCTCCTTACTTAATTAAATTATCTAAGAAATCATCACAATCTTCATCACTATCCCCTGTTTTTGTTTAGATCTTTTGTTCAAATTTAGCAACTAATTACTCATCATCATCTTCACTCTCATCAGATCCATTATCTTTTTTGGTAATTTATTATTATTATTATTATTAATTGATGATTTCTGTTTATACCTATTATACTTATTATTATTTTGGTGATGCTGACTATTCTTATTACTACTATTAGATTGGATTCTTAACTTACTCTGTAAATAATTATTATGGTTAAATGTCGTTTTTTATACTATTATTACTATTTGGTTATTGTTTGTAGTGCGGTAATTTTTCATCTGAATCCTCGCAATCTTTTTTTTCTATTTCATTTCCCAAACTGAATACTTCTTCTTTTGACTTTTATTCATGTTGTTGTACTTCCAATCCATCGATAACATGCTTTTCTTTTACTACTAATCCTTTACATTCTTATACAATTTATAATAATAATTAATTAGATGATTTGGTTTCGTTACTAAAGGTTTACGGTCTATCTGCAGTTTAGAATGATTTTTAATTTCCTCTTTCGAAAATAAAATCAACAAAAAAGTCTTTTTCTGTTTTCATTTATGGACTTTTATCTAATTCCCTATCCCAGACTCTAAGTACATTATCAAATAAAAATGAGCAATTAAACATAACTCTGAATAAAGCCACTCTAGTTTTATTATTCTCAAAGTGTTTGCATCTAACTAATATGTCATCTGAAAGCTAATAGAAATGGATATAATTTTACTTCAATTCCTTTGAGATCGAATATGCAACTTAAATCCCCTTATTAATAATTTTTTAGTTCTCCATCAGTCAATGAGTTGAAGATAGACTTATCATTCTTGAACAACTGAATGTATGGTCTGAACAGAGTGCAATTTTAGACTTTAGGAATTCCAGATATAACAATTGATATCAATCTTAAACAAGAACTATTTAATTTTAGACCATTTAAGACATTCCCAACATAGGTGATGTATTAATGCTAAGATGGGAATAAGGCTTAGAAATCTTTTGTGTTGGTCTTTTCACATACTCTTAATAAGCATTCGCCTGGCTAAGATATTATATTTGATTAAATTACGTAACCAGCACCCATAATCGCCAACAAGGATGATATTACCATGATACTTCTACCCCTAGTTTCTTGGCAACACACAATTGCAATATTGTTCCTATCACTACTTAGAAAATAGATTATATTTTTGCAAATCGTCAAAAGCTCGATCAATGGTGGACATGGATATCCTGGATGTGAATGATTGGCAACCTACTTACTTTTTCACTCTACTTAATTGCAAAACCATTCAGTTGTAAACTCTCTTTCTCCAACATTCCAAATATAGTAATGATTCTGATGATTAGAGTTTAAAAAGCTCGATAATTTTTCTATTTTATCATTGGATGGATATTCCATCCAAAATAATCTATTGCTTATTGCTACTATGTCTCCTTAAATTGCTTATTTGTTTAATTTATCAAGGGTGTTTGAAGCAATTTATTTTGTGTGAGAGGCCAGGTTTTTGTATGAGTTTGCGATCCCTTTAAATTTCGGAACCAAAGAATTATACAATTTATCCATATTAATATATAAAATCACTTTTTTTTTGTAAAATCAAGAATCGTATAGCCATATTTTTTCATATGCTTTATATATTTGCGTATACTCATTCCAACGATAATAAAGAAATAGCAGAATAAAAAGGGCCAATACACAGGTATATTCCATAATGGTATGTAAGTACACAAATATGAAAAGATGACAGAAAATACACTCTTTTACCAAGCCTTAAACTCCGAAGTTGTTCTGAGCAATGGTCTATATTCTTTATCATTTAACTCATTCTTATTACTTAGGGTCGTTGGTAATTCCGCAACTTTTCATATCAATTTTAAAGCTTTACAATCATTTTGGAATTAATCATCATCTTCCTCCTCATCTTCCAAATTAACTGGTGGCAAACCAAGAGGAGTAAAGTAGTCAATTAATAGTTGCAACTGATAAACACAGTATATATATGTAACAATGTAAAATCCACCGATATCTTAAATCCTATACGCATACAATAACATCAAAAGTAGATTGCAAATCCATCTAGACTTCTTATACAAAATGTATCTAATCTATTTAGTATGATCTACCTGTCTATTTTCTTTTGATAATTCACCTTCACTCTATGAATGACTTTATATATCAAATTTTCTTCAATTTATTCCTCAATTATCATTTATTTTAATGCAAAATTTTAAGAACTTTAATATATTTAATTCATTTATTCTATAATCTGGGCAGTTTAATGTAAGCAGATTTATTGTCAAATTTGTGTTCAAGTTTAGAAATGTTCTAGATATACCTTTTGGTAGATTCAGTCTTTAGTTGAGACTACGATGATCTCTGATCCAATGATGAAATCCTATAGATAATAATCTGAGAATGTATACTTCTTCTACGCATTTCCATTGTTTTATCTAGATAAGTCATAACTTTTCAAATAGTATTTATCATCCTCATCCTCATCTTCCTCTATTAAATCTTCAGGTTTGAACTCCTCATGTAAAAGTAGTTTTGGATCCAATTTATCCAATTTCTCCCAATTTACAACCTAATGAGTATTTGCATCTAAACCAATTTTCCTTAACTTTCTTTCCCTATAATTACTTGTCTTGATGTAAGATGGCTCAAACATAATTGATTTCGATCTTGATTGATCCATTTATGATATCATTTTATCTCTCAATTCTTACTTTTTTACACTCTTCCATTCTTCTACCAAAATTCTTCTTGATTTAAGTTCATCGGTAGAATAATTTGCAAATCTTTGCAATTACAAACCCTCTGGTTTTCTGAATCCTTACTCATCTTTTGATTCAAATGGGACATTCAAAGATTTTAATTTTTTTTTATATTAAGTTGAATCTACTTCCATGTATCGAAACAACTTAATTTCTGCCTTTGTCTAATCTTCTTAGTACATAAGTTTAGACAGTTCCCTCAATACAAGGACAAAATTCATAAAGGTAATTTCATTTTAATTTTGATTAACTCTCCTAAATAGTAGATTCTAATATATTATGTATATTGTATACTAGTTCTTTAAATGGCAATATTCTCATATTGTCTTATGGATGATTCCTTGTAGAGACAGGATTCCCTTTATTAGATTTGTTTGCAACTGTATCATTTAAAATTCTATTTGTTTCTCCCTGTTTTGATTAAGTCTTAATATGATGGACTTTCTCATCTATCAACCCAAATTATCGACAGAAGATCATAAACTTACCCTCTGTTAAAGTTTAGGATTCATGATTTATTCTAGTGAAATCATCTGATGGACCTCTTACATAGAATATTTTAGAATAGAATTTATATATGTCTTTTAGATGGGATTATATCTTAGACTACGAAAAGAAAGACTCTTCAGTCTATTCAAGCTCTTTAATTAAACTGATCCCACCAAAGTTGCTGACATCATTCGTTATTGGTTCTATTATATTAAATTTCAGTTTTTCTAATTGACCCTCAAGAGTAGATATTATGCGTTTAAGCACGCCTTTATCTTTTTACTAAACACATTAGGCTTCTATTTTTCTATACCTTTCCAGCTATTTCTCTAAATATTCTTAAATATTTAAGTTCTCGTTTTCAATTAATACTGGGTTTTATGGTTATTATTATTATTCATTTTCTTCTTGATTTACATTCACTGCTGAATTTATTATGATTTATTAATCATTTTTCAATACATTTTCATCTCTCTATTACTCACTTTACCCTTCCAATTCTTAATCTTTTGGTATAACTTCATTGTCTTCATTTTTTTGTTCAGACTCCTAATTTTATTGATTTTGTGAAATTTCTCGTTCCCCATCTGTCTCTACTGGATTTTCGTTTTAATTTTCCATGTATAGATTCTAAGTGTATTTTTTATTTTTATTTAATCAATTAATAATATATTGGTCCTAATAGTTTTTTTATCAAAAGTCTCAATGAAAACTTTGTTAAATTCAAAGCGAAAAGAATTTAGGGACCATTGAGAACAATAATGTGTTTTATTATTTAACTACTTTTTTATAAATAATTCTATAAAACTCAACGAATTTGTAATCCTCTTTCTTTAGACAAATCATCTATTTCATTGGATTGAATTCCCTCCTTTTCTTAGATCGCATCATATTCAATCTATTTATCACCTCCATTCGCATTAATATATCCGTATTTTTAAATTGAAATTTCGGAATTCCGAGAACTAGCAGAAACAGAATCCTTTCCTTCATCAATGATATAGTTTTCTAAATTTTGAGACATTTGCGGAAGCTTAGAATATTGAGATTTTGCTTTTATCAATTTAATTTCTTCTTTTTCAATAGATTTCAATGAATATTTCTAAGTTTAACTTAAAACTATACTTTATGTGATAGGTCTACCATCTGATATAAAATGGTATTGTATTAAATAAAGTTGAGTAATTGCTCATTCATCTTTTTATTGTAGTTTTCTCCTTATTATATTTTCGAATATGATTCTAGCAATTCTTCTCCACTTTATGCTTTAATTTAAGCCTTAAAGAAACGAGAGACTTTAGACAATTGCAACTCAATCGGAGCTGAAAACAATTGATAATCTAGATACCTTTCGATGAGAATACATCTCTAACATCCATTGGACCAGACACCTGATTTTTAAACTGATATTTTTCTATAAAAGATCCTTTCATCACTGACCTGTAATAGTCTTTATTGATTTTCTTTAATGCATCTTTATGGTCTGTAATTTTTTTATAAATCACTGGTTCCGAGAAACTATTGAATAATTTCAGTTAGGCATCATCAAACAAAAACAATTTCAATGAATCGATTTCATACAACTTCTTCACAATATTTGATAATTCCAAATCTGACATAATCTTAGACTTTGCAATTTAAGCCATAATAGTTTTCTTGTCATAAGTCTTTTTGCAGCAACATCTGAATAAACACATATCACCCAAAATCTTACTTAATTCAAATTGAAGATACGTTAAAAATGAATAATCTAACTAATTTGAATATAATTAATCTAAACCTTTCCTCTTATCTGTTTTCCCACTTGATTCAAAGCTATCGCTCTCCTTTATAACAGAACTATCCCTGAAATCAAATTTAAACACTTAATTCATGACCTTCACATAAGTTTCATGGGCTATGTAGATTTTATATAGAATCTTTGCGAATCCTAAGATTGCCACCGTTAATCCCGAAGCCTAAGACACTGCATCAAGAAACACACTGAAAGGTTCTGTTTTTGAGGCAAAGAAATATTGGGAGTCCGAAGAAGTCCTTAGATAGAAGGCACATAATTCATCTGTTGTGTTCAGAGTTATGGGATATTGTCTTCTCTCTTGCTTCTCAACCTTAGAAGATCTAAAGATTCGAGTTCTTGCTTCTTCATTGTTTATTAAGGAACTAAAAACATTCTTACTATTAATCAAGTCAATTAGGATTGGTTATAGAAATATGTCTTCTCCATTTGCTATGCCTACATTTAATCTCCAAAACACAATATAAGCACTTTCTTCAGAAGGTTGTGTCATATTTAAAGTCTATTTGATTTTAGAATCCTAAATGAAGATATTCACATTAATGCTATGCAAAACTTAGACTATATTGTTACCCCTTGTTTAATAATCTTTCTATCTCTTCAATCGATTTGCAAGTCGTAGAATTGCTGCACTTTAGAACTGAAACTTTCAAATAGTTGTAGGTTGGATCAAAGAATGAACCAGATAATTTGTAGCCTCCGTTGAAACAAATGAAATTATGTTTCTAATCTTCAGATATGGATTGTGTATTGAATTTAAATTCATCAATGACATCTGAGGTGCATTATGAAACATTAAGCCTATTTATCTCTCTTTTATATAGGGATGTATTTTATGGCCTTACTTGATTAATGTATTCAACCTTAAATTACAAATATCTATGATCTATATCAGTTACATACGTTTGAAATTCTGAATCGTAATTAATTATTTCTCCACTTTAGGAATAGGATAACTGTAATAGAAATCGAGAAGTGTTCTGATCTAAATATTAAAAATCACTCGATGTTTATGTTCCTGCATAAATTGATCCAGATTTTGAAATCGAAGAGATAAAGATACTTATTGTATACACAATCATGAGTGCTAAAATTGCAATTGAAAAAAAACCCCCTAAATTAAATGTTTTGAGTACCTAGTTTTGTTAGTGATTTCTAGCTCTTTGTTACATTAAACTCATACGGAGTAACCAACATATCAATGTGTCTTAGATATTTTTGAATTTTAGGCATAAACAATCTAATTAAAAAAAACTAATAAAAATAATATTTTAATGAACAAGCTATAGTAAAATGGTGTTGAAAATATAAATGGTCAGGAGCTTTAAACTATCAATAAAAGCAAAACAGATTAAAATGGTTAAGTAAAAATAAATAGAATAGAATAGGGATATGATGAATTACAGAAACAATATTAGGTTAGCAAACAATATATGAGTATAATGAATAATCCCAGTATAAATTAGTAATCACAACTAAAAACAAAGGAAGTAAATGGTATTGAATAAAATACTAATAAAAATCTAGGGTAAGGTTCTAACGAAATAATATCACAAGGTAGTGATGTTGATAATTCGCAAAAGATAGATAAATAAATAACAGTGCAAATAAGTAAAATAGAATAGAATTAAGATCAACTCTTGGAATAAAAGAAAAAAAGTGATTATTTTAGTTTTTAAAAATCTCAATTATCAAATCTGAATGAATGTGAAAAAGCACAATAAAAATATGAGGATCAAAACTCAAATTTGAATGAAAAGACTTCACTATGCACTGATACTTCTGAATCTGGCAGCTAAAAGGATAAATAATAAATACAAACATAGGTATTGAACCAGGATTTACAAAATCAAACAATTAATCACAATAATCAAATTTCGTCTTCATCAAGTACGCAAGAATCTGAAAATGTAGATTAAAAATAATAAAATTCTGATTATTGTTCTCAGTTAGTTACACCAAAAGGTCAAAATTCAAGATTATCCATACATGTTAGCAAAAATTAGCAAATTATAACAACAGGAAATGAGGATGCAACATTTTAAGTGAGCAAATATGAATAAGATCCTGTTAGAGTATAAATAGAATACAATATTATTAGTCGGGATTAGTCAATTAAGAAGTGAATGCTAATTATATAAGCATTCCAGTAAAATAATCTGATGAATTGAAAGTGGAAGATGAAAAAAATGGACTTAAAGGCTAATCAAAAACTAATACTTATGCAGAATTTCTAACTTTTTAATAAGCTTTGTGTGTTTAAATTAAAGAAATGATTTAGTAAGCAAAATAAGATCCAACCAAGAATATATCTTTTAAAACGAAAGGGTTGAATCCTTAATCGTTAACAGATACAGATAAGACTTAAAAGGAGAAACTATTAGAGTTTTTTGATGGATGGATTTCATATACTGAAGAGTAATAAATAAGTAATAAATAAGAAACGAATATTCCGAATTAAAATACCGTGGATCTTTAGATTTTGAGACTGAATGTTTAAATAGTTTCATAGAATTCGTTAATGTTTAGAAAATGAAAGAATTGAAGAAATTAAAAGAATTAATTGAAGATGAGAATACTCTGATTAATTGGAAAAATATTATGGATAAATTATAAATTAACGACATCTAATTTTTTGTTATGTTGTGCGCAATTAAGAAAAATGAACCATCAAATGCTTTTACAAAATGGTACATAGAATGGTGGTTTTAATGGAATAAGTCATCAGTTTTTACCAAAAGCAAATATATATGATTATGATTAATTCTAAAGAATATTAAATAAAATTTGTTTTGTGATTAATTAAAAAAATAATATGCATAATCCTGTAGACTATTATTATTCCAATGATTACTATTTGTCATAAATTGTAAATGGCAACTTAAATCGGCTTAATACTTCCTACTCTCCTAAAAAAAACATGATGAGCATCAACAAAAATGATTGCCAACCAATTATCAAGCAAAAAACCTTTAACTCAGAATCAAAAGAAATACATCCTCATGTTATGAGACATAAATTAATTTAACAAACTTTCACTAAATTTGCCGAAACTATTCTTAATGTCACTAACTGTTTTGATAGCATTACAAACACAGCTCCAAAAACAGATAAGTTTGCTTAAAAATTGAAACATAAGATAATTACTCCTTCGATTACTTCACCTCAACCTCATAATCATGAAATACATAGAACTCCAGGCAGACTTCACAAAGGGGTTTTTTTGCTTAAAAATCTTGACAATTCAATTAATTATATTGATAGATCAAACATTTTAGATCATAAACAAGAATTTGGAGCCTTGTCGATGAGTCCAAAACCTAGGACTATTGATCGTCATTCTGAATTATCTAGATAAAAACATAAGCAAATATCAAATATTTCAAATAACACAAGCTAAAATAAAGATTTATCAAAATAAATCATCGTTAGAAAATCTCGTATAAATAAGGAAATTTCAAACATTTCTCTTAAACATACTACTTCCAATTTGATTGATTATACTATTGAGGCAATGAATGTTGATTGTTTTTACAAAAAGATCAGTCTAAATCATACTAATAATTTGGTTTTTATTTAATTTGAGAATGTTTTGGGATATGATGAATAAAGTTACTTTGGATTGCAACCTGATTTTATTACTAGTAAGCAATACGATGACTATATAGTTTTGAGAGATCATTACTTTTCGAAGGTTTCATCTTCTCAATCCTTCTATATTCTAAAGAATTTCAAAGAATTATTGAACTCTATCTCCCGTGTGTATTAAGTAGGTTTATTTACAGTACAATACCCTTAATTACTTAAAGAATTTCTATAAGAGAGAAAATTAAAAGTTAATTGTGGATTTTAAATTTTAAATTATAAAATTGATACTTTTGTAGTAGATATTACTTAGGTTTTAGCTAATCTTTAAATACTAACAACCGATTTATTGATATTAATCTAACCATTTTAAATATTAAACAAATAATAATCTCATAACTGTGCTAATTCAGCAATTCCATATTATGAATATCATGGTTAAAGGTTCTTTCTACCATTTTCAGAGAAAATTCATCCTAATAACTGCAGATTATTAGCCTTGCCTCAATTATCAATGGAATCTCTACTAAAATTAGATGAATACAGCAAAGGATTCGTCCAAATTAATTATTTTATTGAGCAATTTACTTTGGCATTATAAAGTGAAAGTTACTTTACAAAGTTTATTAATAAAAGCCTAAGTAGAATGAAGCTTATTGACTTTTTGACCTATTTTAGATCATAAAAATAATAATTATAAAGACAGTTATTTTTTATTGATACTTTAAAGATTTAAGAAAAAAAGTAAGAAGCAATTAAAATCAAAAAGAAAGAATTAATCTAGAGAATGATAGAGAAATTTGATCATTCTCAATAAGCTGAATAATATATAAATGATTTGATGCATAGAAATAAAGAGATTTTTAAGAAAATGAGAAATTATAAATAAGAAAACGTAAACAAATTGCATAATCTATAATAAGAACTTTCTCAATAGCTAATTAGATATAATTATTGTGAAATGTTTGTAGATATAACATACTACTTAGCTTATTGATATATATATGCTTTTTTTGTTAATACTCATTTATTTCATTTCTTAAACAATCCATTTCTGATGTCTGGCAAGAATTCTTGTAATGAAAGTTCCAATCTATCATCCAAAGTGTTAGAACACACAATTCTACTGTTAGCACAACTCAAAACAACTCCTCCTAAACTATAAAATGTTTATATCCTAATTTTACATTGGTTTACCACCTTTCTCTGTTAGATATTGACTCTAATTAATGCTTAATGTCGTCTTGAAGTCTTTAGTTGTCTCTCTTTTAATGATTACAGTGAATTCTTCTTAGCATTCTACCAAAATGGTTCTGATGAGTTGCACATCCTATTCCAAACATGTCAATTCAATTCTGGGCTCTAGCAATTTAATCATTCCTTAGATAATCAAGTTCTTCAACAATTCTTTATAGACACTTTAATCTTGGATCAATTTTGCCATCTTCTAACGAACTTCTTCCTTCAGTCTTTAAATTAACTCAAAACGTGCTTGCATTTTGGACAATCTTGATTGATTAATTTTAGATGATCGTTGACTACACCTACTCAATATCTTTACATTCTCTTTTCAATTGTGTAGGATTCAATCTTCTTTTTGTATTCTTCGGTAATTCTTTCCTTCTATTAATTGAGTAGCTTGTTCTTTTCGATTCTGAACTATTGAGCAGCCATGTCCTTGATTTATTCAGCCTTCTCATTAGCCTAAACAAATAAGTTTGTATCAAAATTACCTCAGCTTTTATGGCATTGACCATCTTCTTTACTCTCTCTTATGGATTAAAATCTGCCATGTTATTTAATTTATGAATAAAATACCAATCAATTCAACCATTAAAGATGACTCGATCAAGTACCTATAAATCATACGAGAGAAGGAGGAATCAATTCAAGCACTTTAAACTATAAATGATTAATTGAGATAAGATTTAATTCAACTTTAAACCCAACTTGCAGAATCTTAAAACACTAAAAGTTAAAAACACTAGAAATTGGAGGAATCCAATTAACAATTAAAAGTGATGTTAACAGATACACAGAATCTAGTATTGCAATATCAAAGTGATATCGATATCCATCATCAAATCATAGAATAAATAATCAAATCCACTCAAATCTATAGATTTAATCAAAAAACAACCATCCCTCAAATTCTCAATTTCTTAAATCAAGAAATCTTTAGTCAAGACATTGTCAACCTCTGGAATGAATTAAAATAAATTCTAAAGTAAACCATAAACTAGATAAACTGCAAAGTCTCTTCTCCTTAATTAAGAGAAATATTTACAAAATACTATAAGAATTACGAAAATCAATACCATCCACTCTCAACGATGTCAATTTTCGAAGAAATCATTTGCATGCTAAATGAAAAGGTGTCCCAATAAATTGAAACACAAGTAATGAACTATTCTGATCAATTCACCCATTAAATAAATAAGATCAATTTATTCGAAACTTCAATAGTTCTAATCAATTTTGAGGAAGATCAACTAAAAAAGAAATTGAAAAATTAACAAAACTAAATTATTTAATTAAAAGGGGAATTGGAATAGTAGTCTAAAATTAACAAAAATTTTGAAGAGTAAATCTAAACTTTTACAATGAAAAGTTCTGAAAGGAAACCTTTCGTTGAAATATTAAGTGTAAAAGATGTTAGTTCTTCTTCAGAAGACGACAATGCTGAAATTCTAAGATTAAATAGTGAATTAGAATAAAAAGATACACTAATTTAAAAGCTAAAACAAACGATCACAAATTAACAATTAATGATAGATAGAGTAAATATAGAGAATTAATATTGGGATTTAATTATTAATTGTGATGAGGATAGTCTATTCCCGTTAATAAATTAAGGATGGACATTAAATTTTAAATAAGATTATGGACTCTCAAATTTTTAAGTATTTTACTCCTTTCTTGGTTTTGATAGTTCATATCTTTAATTCATTTTAGAGAACTTGTTTGTTAATGACTTTTATTTTTAAAAATTAGCAGATCAAACATACTTATAATTAGCAAATGATTAACTAACCTATTTAAAATCTATATTTTGTAATGATTATAATACTCTTGTTTAAACTAAGGTGTTACATTAATTAGTTGATAATTTTTATGAAACCAGTGAATTGGTGGAGGGATAACAAATGTTAAATGAATTTTGGATTAAGTTTTCTCTACGTAATGGAATATTATTTTTGTGTTTAAAGAATTGTAATCAACAAAACTTAACTTTGTTATAGTTGGCTATTAATATTCAAAATTCGACCGAATAGACATCAGTGTTAATTGTAATTTTTGAAGAGGAATACACAGAATCTGATGTTGTAATGAAAATAATTTAATAGAATGAATTTGTAGGAGTGGAAGATGAGATAGATGAAAAAAAGTAGAATATTCGTATTGCTATGACAAGCGGGGATAATTATGATTTTAAAGATTTAAATAAGAAAATTGGAAAACAAAAAATAGATTATGTCTAATAATTAAATGATTTTATCAAAAATAATTTGGATGTCTATTTTAAGAAATCAGAGCAATCTAAGTTGGAATTCAACAAATCATTGTTATCTGAGAATGTTTTTGAAATGAAATTGGTATAAAGTCAAGAGTCAGATTAAATTAAAATGTAGACACATAGTTAAGTGTAAGTGATACAGAATGATGAAATCATGATCCACAAAATATCAGATAGTCAATATGATATATTTTTCTCTGAAAAGTTGTAAGAGGTCAGATTAAAAAGCTACTCAGTCAATAATTAAGGTTTGATTATAAAATTAAAATGCACTTTTGACAATGATAATCTGACAACTCGGTAATTCATATTAAAATCCATGTATATCAAAGAAGATTAGGGAGAGATATCACACACTATCTTTGACAATAAATTGATTTTGTAATTATGAATATGTTATTAAATTTTGACTTAACATAGTATGTCACAACAAGGTGATCATTATATTAGAATGTAAGTATCAGAATGAAATTTGAAAAAAGCCATCTTCTCCATCTTCATAACTAGAGGGCAATGTTTGATTATTTTAATATATTTGCTAAATGTGAACAAATCTTCAAGGAAATAAGTCTTGAGACATCTAATTCATTGCCATTGCAAGAGAACAATCTGTTTTAAGAGTATGCAAAGTTTTGAAGCAGTATGATATGATACTTGGAAAAATAATAAATAAAACTCATTTTGTGATTAAGGTGTACTAGTCCCAATCAACATAGGTAGTTTTCTATGAGCAATTCATTTTGAGGTTATTTGAGAAAACTTTCACTATCTTCAAAAGTTTCTGATTCACTTTTGATCAAATTAACATAAATTAAAGACTGAGATTAAGATATGTTTTCTTTCCATTAGGTGATGCATTTATTCTTTGAATATACTATTGGGATATTTCTAAAAGTATTACATTAAGATCGCTTATCGATTAATGCGAGAATAGTTTGTTCTTGTTCTGCAGCAGCTATCTACATCTGATTCAAGGTATCATAATGCTTCTGAATTCTAAGGATGTTGCCTCTCGTCTTTTTGATCTTTTTAGAAGGTTTGAGCTTAAAGAAGCACTCAGATTCATCGTCTTCAATCATTTATTATTTTAATGATTAATATCTCTGAGTATATCTAAAGGTATTTAAGCTGATATGATTAGGGAATATAAGCAAATAATGCATATTATGATAGCATATGACTTCAGAAATCCTCCTGTTTATTTGGTTTGATTCCTTGATCATGGATTTGGCAAGAGACTAAAGATATCAAAACAAATATAATGAAATATTTATATATTTATGCAAATACTAACATATTCATATGATTGCAATCATTTGAAGAAATATAATTTATCCTAAAATAAATATAAATGATTTGAAATACAAATTTAGCAAACAATTCCTTACTCTAACCTGAATGAGTGGTAGAGTTGTAGATAAGATGCAAATAATATCCAATTTCCTCTTTGACTCTCTCTTGCCACAATGGATACTCCTTCAACTGATCCAAAAGATTGATGTACTTATTAATGGCTTCCTCCAAGTGATGTTCATAAGTTAAGGTCGTGTGTTCACTTCTAAACCAAGTATTGTGAGTAGCTATTTCTTTGGTTAATTCCAAATAGAGTGATCTGTATTCCCATGTTGCTCTGTGTAAAGTCAAGATGAAGGAGTAGAGGTCTTCAAATTGAACAAACTTATTTCTTGCCAATTCGTATTATTCCTTTTCACTTTATTCATATTGAATAAATAAATAGTTACAATGATTCAAGTCTGGGAGTCCAGTTTCTAGCAATGTGAGAGTAGAATCTGCATTCATAATAACTCATGGGGTCTCTTTCCAAGAATCCTTCCTCTGGGTCTTACAACCCAGCCTTGCACATCTCAGTCATTATTCTATCCACTTACACTAAAAATCGATAGACACTAGCCTTACATGAGTAGTTGATGACTCTGCTCTTAATGAAATATGAAGCAAATCTTGTTACGATGGACATCCTTTATTATAATTAATAATAAATTAATATATTTCAAAGACGAAATAGCTCTATGTTTCAAAATTATTTCTGATATTGTTTTTATTAATTTAAGGATATTTTTATAATGGGTTCAGTCTGCTCAGCATAAAAGAATCAATCGAAAATGCACACATAAAAAAGAGAATTAAAAACTAATAGTTAACCTTATTTAGAGCCTCAGTCCATTGTCGGTCAGCCAGTACCTTTGGAAAACAAACAGGACTATGCCCTTGATCAATAAGTCAAGGATTTATTATAGCTATTTAAAAGGTTCTGTATGTTTTTGGATCTTGTTGGTAATTTGGATCAACTCCCATAACACACTAGAGAAAAAGTCAACAGTTGCATAATTGCTAAATAAAATATCTCTATTATCATACAAAACAACATAAAAAGAGTTATGAGGGAATAATAAATCATAAAACGAATAGATGAATCAGATTATTATCTTATATATAATGATCATAAGTTTGCGAGTGCCTTCAATTAAATGATGTAAAAACTATCTAATATTATACTTACCGATCTTAAACCTGATGAGGATTTTCAGTCAGCGTTCCCAATTTTGGCAGTATCTTTTGAGGAGGAGGCCCAAAAAATTATTTCAACTGTGGAGAAAATAAAGAACATTTAAAATATTGCTATGAGAAAGGGTAGTTCTTAACATTCGCTTTCTATTAATTAATTATAACCAAAACAAAAATCTTGCTAATATTGAAATAAAGTTATTTATTTCACTATTCAAACTTTACATTGATATTATTAACTTTTCTCTATCATTAGATTGATTCATCAGAATATTGTTGTCAATCTGTAAATTGTATATCAAATATACAGTTTGAGATTGTTTTGGGCATTTATAAATATTATAATTTAATTTGAAATCTGTATTGCATTTAATAATTATACATTTCTTAATTTTATATTTAAGTATCTTTCCATTCTTGCTTTGCTTAAGAAATTTTCGAAAAATTTAATGCATTAAATATATAATTATTAAATTAACTGTTAATGGATAATATGGATAATTGTAGTGCGGCAAGCTTTAATGAAAAGGAAATAGAAAACAATTTGAAAGACTTATTGGAGCGGGTCTTATTAAAAATAGAGAATTTCATTGAAACCAAAGAGGAATTGAACTAAGTGGAGGCTGAATTAAAAGACTATGAAAGTTTGTCTCATTTGATCGGTATAATCAAGGCAGTTTTTACAAACCTTATGATGAAAGTGGAAAAGAAAATATCGTAAGTAGTTAATTAAAATATTAACAAAGCAAATTAGAAAAGTAACTTGATCCAAACCATTCAATGACCAAGAGTTTGAGGTCGGATGAGGAGTACGAGAAGTTAGAGCAAACATTAATTAAGTACGAGAGTGAAATCAGAAATCACATCAGAGTATCTTATCTATCATATCTAGATTGAATAATAACTCAAGTTATATGCAGAGTCTATTCAAAATAAGTTAGACGAGAGCGAATCAAGCAGAGGCGAGCTTCTTGAAACCACTAAGAAGTTGATTAGTGTATTGATTTCATTACAATTATAGAATTTAAAAAGAGAAAACCAAACTTACCATGAAACCTAGCACAAATTAAACATGGAGATTGTTAGCTTAAAATAAATTATTAATAATTTAGAAAAAGAGAATAGGAGGAAATCCTAAGACTTTAGTTACAGAGATAATTTAAAGCCCTATTCAAAGAAAAACCAATAACCAGTTATTCAACAATTACAATTTTAAAGTAGATTTTTCTATTATATTTTCAGATTAAAGAAATTAAAAATCTTGTTCTGAACACAAATTAAATTCTTAGATCAATCATACCTCCTTCACACTTGAAAACAATGAAATACCAATCAAATCGTAACCCACTCTAAAATAAAACTATTACAATATAATCAATTATGGAAATTAAGGCAACAAAGTAGATGTTCTTAAAGTTATTCAATAAAAAGATTTGAACAAAATTTATGGTTAAAAATTAAAAAGCAAAAACAATTCACTCTCTACAATTCAAGATGTAATCCAGAGTATTTCAGTTCAAGACAGAAAAAAAGGAATCATTAGCTAACCAGTTTCTAAAAATAGTTCTCAAGATAATAGTTAAATCCAGAAATATAAAGGTAACGCATTTAATAATAACCTATAGAAACATGTGATTAGAGTAGAAGTAAGAGTTCACGAAGAGCTAACATAGGCACAAAGCAAATTCAAATTGAATCTCAGATAAAATTAACTAGTTGATTATAACATCTTTAAATTATTATGCATTTTTCATTCAAGTTCTATATCCATTTTATTTAGCAGTTACACTCTTACTTTCTAATTATACAGGTCTTTATCATATAATTTAGTAAGTAATTCTCACATATCTTATATTAAAGTCTATCAAAAATAAGGGAGATTTTCATTAGTCCTATTTTGATAGTAGTAATAACATTTAAAATAGATAATAATTATTGGATATATATTAAACATTCTTAATTCATAATTTTAGGTATATAATTTGTGTGAATTTATATAATAATATTAATGGCTCAATAATAAGTGTAAAGGTATGATGCTGATGAAAATTTGTCCAAATTTCTTAATAAGGAATTGGGCAAATCAATCAAGTTCTAGAAGAAACACGTAATAATAAAATTTAATGGAGTAGGAGAAAGAACTCAACAATTTATTAGCTTACCAACAAATAATATAGGACGAGAAATTAAAGAATGAGAATAAATTACACCAAATGTTTTATAAGGAGAAACTGATCGATCATTAAAAAAAACAAAAAGAAGACTATGTAATTATCCATCTTATTTCAGCTTAAAGAGCAGAAGGTCAACAAGGATCACTAATTTCTATACAAATAAAAAGAAAATGATTACATCAATTCTTTAGATGCAAGTTGGTGCTTTTATCAAGATTATTCTCCATCAAAAGATATGAAACCATTGAAAGTAGATGCTGAAAGAGAGAAGGTTCTTCGATTCTTATTCAAACAACTCTAAACCACTACTGATAATGTGGAGAGAGCACTGATAAAAAAGAAGATTAACAAGTTTCGTGATTCTGAAGTATAATCTGTCATAAATTTTATAGATTTCTAAAAAGAAATTAGAGTACATTGATCATAAAATAGAATATGCGAAATAAGTCAGAAGCGAATCTCTCGATCGTTCTATTGATAAGATCAGAATGCATGATATGCACATTATTGATGTTTAAGAGAAAAATAATCTTATAAATTAAGAGAAATAATCATATTACAGTGACAAAATAAATTAGATTGAATAAAAGATATAGATGATAGAGAAACAACAACAACGTAATAGATTAAACAGATTGAATGTTGAATAATAAAAGGATGAGTATCGTCAGGCTGTAAGATCCAATTCCCAAACTCTAATACATCAAAAGGAATTACTAAATTAAAATCATTTTAGTGAGAAAGTGTATAAATTAAACTTCCTTGTGGATCAGAAATAGAAATTATTGAAATAAAGATAAGAATTATTGGATGCATTGAATTAGAAAAGAGTAATCGCTCGATAATCTTTGGATGATGTTAAATATCCTCAGATAAACTCGAATAATTATAAAGCAATCAATTTTTGAATTTACATATCTCAAGTAATTCAAAATTAAAATCATTATTAATATATTATTTCTAATTGCAAAAATATCATTAAATTTAATAAGCAACTTATCATTATTATTATAACCCAATATTTTAGCAATTATTTAAAGATGATCTTGTGGATAAAATTGAAATCATAGTTATCCAACATGTATAAATCAACTCTATTGTAATTAATAAAACAAATAGACCTAATTATAATAATAAAAGAACAAAGACATTTTTGGCAAAATAGAAAATTATTCCATCTACATTTTTATATATTTTAATCATCAAACTTAATATAAATAGTAATACAATAAATTTATCAATGCTTTACTCAAAGAGCGCTGGTGTTATCTAAAGCTTTGACCTTTTTTCCATCTTTCCAGATTCCTTCCTTAATGAGACCATCTGGGAATATATATTTACCTTTTCCATGTTATTTTCCTTCATACCATTGTCCTTCATACTTCTTTCCATCAGCCCATGTGTATGTGCCATAACCATCCTTACGATCTTATTTATATTCACCTTCATATTTTCTACCGTCTTTCCATGTATAGACTCCTTTACCATGCATACAATTATTAACCCATTAACCAGTGTATCCTCTTCCATCAGCCCAAAAATAGGTGCCAAATCCGGTTATTTTATTATCATACCAATCTCCATCATAAAATGAACCATCTGGCCATTCATATTTTCCTTTCCCTTATTTTTTACCTTCAAAATACACGCCAGTATATTTGGAACCATCAAACCAAGCTTCTACACCATAGCCATGTTATAAATCATTCTTCCATTCTCCTTCATACTTTGATCCATTTGCATGTGTATAAACACCATATCCATTTGCTTTATCGTTTTCCCATTAACCATCAAAGGTATCTCCATCTATATGATAAAACTTCCCTTTGCCATTTGCATGACTTTATTTCCATTCTCCGATATATTTGGCTCCATCAGCCCAAGTTTGAGTGCCCATTCCTTCTCTCTATGTCCCTCTCCATTAACCTTCATATACTGCCCCACTTTTAAATTTATAAGCAGGACGTGTTTCTAAGTCAAAAGATGAAGCATTTTTTGGGAGGGTAATTGGTTCAACTTGTTCTCCTAGATAATTTTTTTTATTATCTCTTTTGACAGAGCTTTTCATTGGTTTCTTTTTTCTCACCAAATAACCTCTCCAAATTTTTTATATTTAGATTGCGGCTTTATTTTGCTTTGATACTTTATTTTAGAGCTCTTGTGTTTCAGTATCTTTTTTGGTTTCTTTTTATTATATTTTAGCATATGTTTGTTTAATGCTTTATTTAGAGCCTGATCTTTTGCTTTTCAAACTATTTGGATCTGATTTTGCGATCTAAAATTAAAAGGAGTCATACAATAATTTCAGTTGCTACTTATTCTTTTAATTATTATTGGCATTAACACTGAGAAGCACATTAATTTCCCATTGAAAATATAAATTGATAATTTTTAATATATAAAAATAATATGGTTAGATTATTCATTTATCATGACAAGTAAGCTTTCTACATCTTAGTAATTTTTTCTCGATCGATAGGACATTGATTAATTTATTTTGAGCAATCCTCACAAACGCAAATGTGTCCACATGGGCTAATGATCATGGAGTATTCTTTTTGCATGCAAATCACACAATTTTTTTATATCATAGAATCTTTGTATAACGAAATTTATTTAAGAGTTTTAACTAGTTGATTTTCTATCTTTTTGATGTCTTCAAAATTTTACTGCCTCAGAATTTCTAGGTCTCCTTCATATATTTTTAATTGCAATTTCATCATCTCATTCTCCAATTACAACTGATTGACCCTGTTCTACTCCAATTATAATTGATATTGCATTATGCAATTCTGCTATTGGAATGCAATGGCCTATTGGGATTTCGCCCTTTGATCGTATGACAGGAGTGGCTTTGAGTTTAGGTTTTCTCTAAATAACCTAATCACTCGAAACAACTATTTATGAGATAAGGTTATTTGATCCTATATTGAATTCCCAATGATGTCTAAACACTGGGAATCAACCAGGTGCTGAATATCTTCGTTGGTTTGACAACTTGCGATCTCTTACAACAAAATATCATCATCATTTTCAAGCATGAATGTTGGGTTCTTAATTAAAATGCGAGAAACTAAATTATTTTATGACTAAATCTAATTCAATTCTTGAAATTAAGAGATAATAAATAAGTTGGCTTTTTGGGGATGTTCTCATCATCGTCATTATATCCATTAGCTGTATAACATATATAATTTATAAAATATATGATTTCGTCACTATATTTATATAATTAATGAGCAAAAGTTTAGGAACTCCGATAAAATTAGTTGTTATAGGGGATGGCACAGTGGGCAAGACGTGTGCCCTTTTGACGTACTCTAAGAAATTTAATTAAGTTACACTACTGGCAAATTCCCTGAGGACTACATCCCCACCATCTTCGAGAATTATAGTGCATCCATCACCATTGATGGCAAGAAGGTCAATTTAGGTTTGTGGGACACTGCAGGTTAGGAGGATTTTAAATAAATTCGACCTTTGAGTTATCCCAATACAGATGTATTTCTATTGTTTTTTGCTGTCAATGAATAATCATCCTATATAAATGCCTAACAGAAAGTAAATATAGTTTAATATGCACTTCAAGTGGTATCCTGAATTGAGAACAGCCTTAAATAATGTGCCTATTATTATTGTTGGCAGTAAAATTGATTTGAGACAGAACGATAACAAATGCGTGCAAAGAGAATCAGTATACATATTATTATTATACAATCCAAGGCCAAAAGAATGGCAGACTAATTGGGGTGTCAATATTTGGAATGCTCGGCAAAGGATAAAATAGGGCTGAACGAATTATTTGAGGAGGCTGTCAGAACTGCATTGAGATCGAAGAAGCCAAATCGAGCTTAGGAAGAGAATAAATAAAATAAGGACAAGAGTTGTCAATTAATCTGAATTATTATTTTTATTATCAAGAAAATTTAATATTATTATTAATAAATCGATTATGAGAGGAGCATTGTGATTAAAAATTTAAGTTTACAATCATAAGCAAGACAATTATGATAAAACAAGTCTCTTATATCATTATATTATGGAACATTAAATTTATAAAGATCAAATAAGAAATATCAAATGTAAAATGAACATTGGGTGTTGAATTATTTCTTCCAAAATTGTGCAAATTAATCAATCAAAAGTTTAGGATGTAAATTTGGGATACAGCAGGTTAAGAGAGATATAGAGCATTGACAAAAGGGGTATTTTTGAGGAGCATTACGAGCTCTAATAGTCTTTGAAATTACTGAGTATGCATACAAAGTAATTTAATTTAGCATCTTTTGAAGCTTTGTCAGAATAAATTAAATATGCAAGAGGTTACTCAAAATCCTTCCGTTTAAATTATTATTGGAAATAAAGCTGATTTCTATAAGGAAAGGCTAAAGTAATTTTTCAATTGAGAACCATTACTCAATAAACTGCAAAATAGGTTTGTCGAGAAAATGATGTTCAATAAATTGAAACTAGTGCCACGACTGGTTATCAAGTTAATGAGACTATTTTGTAAATTACAACTAGAAACTTGGATTTACTCCAATAAGGATTCATTAATTCCAATTTGATTAAACCTAAATTTTTAACCTTTATTTAGAGGAATGGATCGCAAAATGCAAAATGCAATTGTTGACTTTATTTTTGTTATTAACATCTAAAATTCGTCTAACCATATATAAATATGAATAAAAATACGCAATATGTTTAAATATTTTCAAATTTTTCTATTTAAAAAGAATAAGATTGGCTGTCTCTTTTGTATATATAATTATATATATATATAATATATCATAACTGATATCCTACTCAGAGGTTTTCAACGTTACCACCTTCATCTTCAAGTTCTGAGGTCCACAATGTTAAGTTGTCTCTGATGAGTTACATGATGGTTGTGGCATCCTTGTATTGATCTTCTTAGATTTATTCAATGTCGGCGATGGCATCATCGAAAGCCTAGAGAGGATTAATTAAAACTATTACTGATTTAGCTAATTAGCAAGCCTTGGCGGCATCATTCAAAACTTCATAATAGAAAACGGAGAAATTCAAAGCAAGTCCTAATCTGATTGGGTTTGTTGTCTTTAATTCAGAGTTAGCAACTTAAGAAGCAGCTTAATAAGCAGCAAGTGCTCCATCAGCGGCCTTCTTGTGTTGATCACCAGTGGCGTATTCAGAAATGTATCTGTGATAATCTCCTTTCATCTTGTGGAAGAACACCTTGGCTTCTGGGGTTGAGGCTGTTTTGATTAAATGGCTATCGATCAAATTAAGGATATCATTGCAATATTGATTAAGCTCCTCTTCAATCTTCTTCTTGTAGCTTCTGATCAAAACAAGATTCTTTTAGGATGCTGGTTAAGATTAAGCCTTTGAATATAATTAATTTATATACCTTTCCTTCTTCTTTGTTTTCGATGCTTGATAAAACTCTCCAAGCTGTTCTTCTTCCACCAATGCTGTTTTTGTAAGCAACAGAGAGAAGGTTTCTTTCTTCAACTGACAATTCTTATCCATTCTCAACAACTTATTTGATGTAATTGACCATATCTTCAAATCTCTCGGTTTATTCTGTCAATTTTGTCATGTAGATGAGTTCCTCTCTTGTGCTCATTTTGGATATTTAAAATTTAAATTTTTTAATTATTTCCAGAAATTTAGAAGTCCCTTAAATACCATAAAATTCGCACTAAATCCAAAAATTATTTAAATATATAAAATAATACAGTAGTATTCTATCTCTTTGTTTAACCATATAATGTTAGTTCCCCTACAACTTATAGATATAGAATCCTGATCATTCTGGCATATCCTGTAGTGGATGATATTCTTTATCTTTACTCAGTCTTTAAAAATAAAAGAGATATTGGGATCAACAGCAAATCTCATGCTATAGAACAGGTTGATGGTATGTTTCTATGTGAATTGACATTAATTTTAATAAATTGATTTATCGTGACTTAAAGTTATTTGAATGAATTGTTAAAGATTAATGAAGTTATCTTATGTTTTATTTATTCGCAAAGTGAGAAATGTATAACTGTTTATTATGATAAATAATTTATATAAATGGAATAATTTAATGGAAAACCTTCGGTAATTTATATATCAAAATAAAGGATAACATTTTAATCACATAACCATTAACCAAACAAAAGTACCCAGCACTATTTCATGATGAGAGGTTTGGAAAAGATTTTGAGTCGAATTACTCAAAGCTTTAGGAAATCATGGATGTAAATTTATGTTATGACTTTAGAACTTGTAAGGGAAGGTCGAATAAATTGTTAAGAGTTAAGAAGATGATTTTATGAAAGCATATAAAGATCAAATGAATGAATTGCAAGTTGATTTGAAGGCTATGAAAAGAAAAATTGATGAGGAGTCATTAAAATAAAAAGCAGATGAGAAAAAACGAATTTTAGAAGAAGAGAGAGATTACTTTAGACAAGAAGCACTTAGATTAGATAATTTGAACAAAGAATAGCTGAGAACAATTGAAGAATTAAAGTTCAAGTTAAAAATTACAATCGAAGAAAAAAATTATTATGAAGGTTTTGTAATAGGTACAGCTATACATTTACTATCTTTAAGATTCAAAGAAAGAAAACAAAGCATTAAAATTTGAACTCTTATAATTATATAAATAGAAAATGGAAGATTAAAAAGCCTTAAATAGAATTCAATAACAATAATAAACACAGTAAATTACCAAATTGAATTCTAAAAAACAATCTGATAATAGACCACTAACCTAAGAAGGAATCAGATCAGAAGCCAATTTATTCATCAAGGATGATTTTAATTCTGAATTTATAAAAAGAGAACAATCTTCAAAAGGAGGATTCAGATCATAATTATCTACTAAAAATAACGATTAAGCATCGACATAATTTGACTTTTTTAGAAGAGAAATATCTACCCAATAATAAAGCAGGTTTCACCCAGAAAATTAAATGGTATTCTTTATATATTACTTTTAGTTAGAAGAAAGAAATAATTAAATTGCAGAATTAAAGTAATTGTTACAAAAAGAAAAGTTCTTATGTTAATAATTAAAGTGTGAATTGTAAAAACAAAATTCTTAAAGAGGAGAACTTGAAGTTGTGTTACTGGATTGTGTGAATTAACTTAAGAAAGATATTGCATCTAGGCAGACAGTTTAAAAATAACCATTTTTGGGTAACAGCAATAAAACTCCCAAAGTTGCCGAGTAGATTGCCTTTGAAGATATTGACTATCGATAATTCACCCATTAAGATAAAAAGTAATCATTTTAATCTTAACAAAGAGCACTTCTCAAGAAATTCTTAAGCTCTGAATAATTTTTAGATTAAATATATTAACTTACTTTCAATAGTCAAATGGCTAGCACATCTTAATTAAAGCTTAATGAGAAATGGAAACAAGATGCAAATGATGCTACCAAGAAATTCAATAATTTTAAAATATATAAGTTTAGAAACATTACCAGCTAACGTATTATTTAATTCTATACTAGCTATTGTAAAATAAGTGATATCGAAATAAGAATAAAACATTTTGTCAGAATTATAGGAAAAAGTCGATTAAGGATAAGAACTAGTGGATCAAATTGTATAAAATTGATTCTTTTTATCATTGATTTTGATATTGATATTTTCAAATATTAAAGACCCATTGGGAATTATTTATTCATTATTCTTAAAATCATAATATGATTTAAATCTCACTAAAACACTATTATTTTGAATTATTTTGTATTTGCAGCACACCTACTCTACCGAAAATTAGAAGATTATAAAATGCCTTAGGCTTACTGCAATCATATTTTTCTGAAATTTCAAAAAACTAATTAAAATAATATTATACATCATTAGAACTTAATCTACCTTGTTTACCATAAGTACTTTGAATATCTTCTATTAAAATTTAATAAAGCCTATTTTCTTACTCTTAATCATTATTTTTTGAAGGAGTTTACGAAAAGCACTCAAAATTGCTAAATTCTGATATATTTTATATGCTCAAGGAATTCTATCCTTAACTTTGTGATTTAAGTTTCTTGTGATCTGTTTCTGTTGTCAAGTTATCGAAAATTAAAAAATTATTGTCTTCTTAAATTTTTCTACTTAAAATTAATTGTACTTCTGATTAGAATCTTAGCAAAATGAAATCTTATTAATTAAACCAATTAATTCATCTTCATGTTTCCAAAATTCTGGTTCAAGTTATAAAAAATTTATTTCTAAACTCAAATCATGAATTTTTTCTTTATGCCTCATAAATGTCTATAGATTGTTTTTAAATACTTCATCAGTATCTTCTATTATTTTTACATCTAATTCAGGAGTTTTTTTTAATAAAGCCATTTTTGAATTTCTATTTCTTTTTTTGATTTGCTTATCTTCCTTACTCGAGTTTTTCCTATTTACTTTCTTTGTTTCTCTACCCATTTCTTACTTTTATTCAACTTCCTAATACTCTATATCTAGATTTTCAGCATAATTTACTTCTTCTACAAAATCATCATCATCCTTATTATTCTCTGGTTCTTAACCATTAAAATTATATACAAGTTTCTATTTAGATTGTTCTATAGTATTTGATTTTTTCTTGATTTTCAATTCTTATTTTTTTTGATTCAAAATATCAGAAAGTGAAAATTTATAAATTTAAGATAAATCCTTAACAACATTATCAATTTTATATTCTGTTTATTACTAATTATTTCTTTTCAGTAATGCATGCATATTGATTGGGGTCCTTTATTTTTCAACCAATTATAATTTTTCTGCTGCTATGAGGTTTCTTGGATTATCTTTGATAGTAAATTAAGGTTAATCATCGTCATAACTTTCTGAACACTTTTCCTTAATTTTAGTTTATTTTCTCTTTTTTTTAATGTCTTTATTTTCCTATTAATCCTCACATTGGTCAATTAATGAGTTTTAAAGTGTTTCAATATTTTTCTTCAAAAACTAATGTTATTTGAGATAAACTATTGCTAATTCTGATAGATATTAGCTGCATTCTCTAAAGTTTGAAGCAATTTAGAATTATATTTCACATTATTTAACAAGTTTCATTAGATTCAATTGAGAAGCTTATTATTTTGATATTTTTGTATTTGTATGTATTAATTAAAAGGGTTATTTCAAATCGCTTTCTTGAAGCTCTTCTTCGATCATATTTATTAGTAATAATATTTGGAGAATTAAAGAATCAATTTGTGAATAATATTAATAATATTAAGAAATGAATAATTATCATACTCTATCAATATTCATTGTTAAGGAAGCATTCTCAACTGAGGTAGTTGTATTTGGGATTATCTCTAATTGTGATCAACAAACTCTATATTACAATATTTATATTTTTTAGATTTTAGAAACTAATAATATCTTGGAATGAAAAAGAAATCAATTAAAATTGAACTTATTTTAAGTAAGAATATATATACTATTTATTCAGAAATTCAATGATAAATATCGAATTCATAAATAGGTATTATTGGACAATAGAATTATTTAAATAGCAATAATTATTATTAAATTCTAATAATTTATAGACTCTTCATTATGCCTTAAATTTAGAAAATGGATAAGAAATATAGGCAATAGAATATTATTAATGTAATCTAGAAAATTAAAATCAGATTTTTTTTAAATTATTTCCTTAAAGTTTTCTGTCCAAGGTAATTGATAAATTTCTAAAAAGATATTAAATAAAATGAAATTTCAATTCCTCTTTCCTTCTAAATAATCTAAATATTAGATAAGATATTTTCCTTTTACTCCTTGCTTTCTATATAATTATTTCATTTATATGTTTAATATTTTTATAATAATTTAATTCTTCACTCTTTAGGCTAATTAAGATTATTTTCCTCTATTTAATTTTTTGGCTCTATTTCTTGTTCTTCTGGTTATTGTTGTTGTTAGTCTTATTAGACTTCAATATCTCCTTTTTAATTATTATTTGATTTCTTTATTTCTTCCTGATTTTCTGTTTAGACTTCCTTTTCAGTTTCTCCTTATTACTAAAGGGTTTCTGCTTCAATTTAAACAGATTATTCTTATTACTCCTTTTAGGCAAGGACCTCCTATTATAAACTTTAATTTCTATATTGCTCAATAGTTTAAACTAAAATATCCATTTTAGTATGTATATCAATAAAGATCTTAGTGACTGTTTTATTTCTTCTAATAACAATATCTGGATCTGGATTTTCAGTAGGTGTTAAATTGGTCAAAGCACGTAAGAATTATTAAGCCTAAGGATTATTGTTTGAATGATACTTCATTTATATCTGAGTTTAGATGTTCCAAGGATTATTCGTCTTCTCCATCATCCTAGTAAGTTTTAAGCAATAGTTTTTTGTATGCCCCTTCCAAAAAATTTTAGTTATAACTTTATCTTTTACCAAGTATTTCTTATTCTCTAAAATATTTATTATAATAAGTACATCTTCCATTTATCCAACTAAAAACTATCAATAATGAATGTTTAATGTATCAAACCATGATAATACAACTATTAAAGTAAAATGGTGAGATACAATGGCAACTTATCTTCTTTTGATGCTAAAAATTCGACGCTGAATTCAGGAGCAGATAATAGATTTTCATTAATCCTTCTCATTTGATTAAAACTCAAAGGTAAGAAGTTAGTTTAAATATATTGAATGACTTAGTTTTTCATATCCTTTGCTAATTCTTTAATATCAAAGCTTCCATCAATTTGATGAGGATATTCAATTTCATGCTATTTATTGAACAATGACAACAAGGCAATCAAAGGTCTATAGATATTAATATCCATTTGTTCTTATTATAGTGCCTCCTCTACTTTCTCCCATTAGATTGCTTGGATTATTGCCTCAATCAAATTTTATACTTTGAAATAGAGAGTTCCTTTCAAAGTTTACAAACTCAAAACGGTGTAAATATTTTTGGCTAAATCTCTTGCCAACAATTATTCAAACATTTCCCTCTTGAATACAATTGGCCATGCTTTCTTTACTCTAAATTTATTGATATTAATATTTACTATTCTTTAAACCAGCCGCAAACTTCTCTGATTTTGAATAATTCAAAAGCACTCAAAAATGGAAAGATGTGTCTTGTAAGTAATAAGGAAGGAATCATCTTCAAAATTGAATTTTCATTCAAAACTCTTATGTAATCTGTATCATCACTTTTGATTTCAACCGTATAGTTCTTACTCAATTTAAAAATTAAGCTATTTGTTTGATCATTATAATTTTATAATTGATTTAGATTTAAAGTATTTAGTGTCATAATACCGAATATGTCTTAACATGAGATCTAATAAATAAAATAATTATAAATACAGGTTTGTTTTCCTCCTCTTCTTCTTCATTTTATTTTAATTACCGTAATATTTATTGCTGTTGTATTTTCAACTCTTATTGTTTCTATGCCAATTCTCTGCTCTTTTCAAGGAGAATGTCTCTTTGTTCTGTCAGTTTTTCAATTTATTCTCTACTCCTCTAAATCGAATGCTTTAATTATTCAACATTTTATTCTAATTATTCTTAAGTCAACTATTATTATTCATCTTGTTTCTCAACTTATTAAATTTATTAATCTATTTCCTCTTCTTAAGTTTATAAAGCTGTTTAATTTTCTTCTATTTATTGTTAGAAATCTTCAAATTATTGCTTCTACTTTTAAATTAAATCTCCTAGCTTTTATTCATCTTAATCAATTTGTTATTCACTTTCTTCCATCTAATCTGTTTATATTTCTACTTCATTTTTCTCTTGTTAAACATTTACCTTTTCATTTTACTCAACAACATTCTACTCTTCTTATTATTATTCTGCTACTTATTGTTATTCTTATTATTCTTCCTGTTGTTATTCTTATTATATATTTTATTCTATATTATCTTCTTGTTATTCTTATTAATGAATTTGATGATGATGACACAAACATTAAAGTGCTTATTCTCCAAACCCATCTTTTGTTATGTAAATGCTTTTATTTTTACTTTTTAGAATTCTCATGATTTTCTCCAATTGATTTAGGTTTACTTTTTGATTCAATTCGTCATATCCTTTCATAACGTGGTAGATTAACATTTCCAAATCAGATCTTTTTCTTTAATATTACTATTCAATAAGTTCTTTCATCCCTGCAGGATCTGACACATCATCAAATTCACTTGGTTGAGCAATCTAAAGCAAATTGCAAAGACTTTCCAAAGGGGCTTTTTATAATAAAACTTGATTATCAATATTGTTGATGATTCCTGCTAAAGTATGAATACTATCTTAAAAATTTGAGGTTTAAGAGCTTGCTTAAGGAGGCGTTTAATTTAAAGGAATTGTATTATTTGTAGTACTAGTAACAGTTTGATTTTAATATGGCAACTTTTCAGCTGAGTTTTAACGATTCTCATTTTGATTTTAAATTTATTCGCATTCAAATACTTATTCCTCATTCTTATTTTCTGTCTATTAAGTTTATGTAATTTAAGATTCATCAACTTGTTATTCTTCTTAATCTTAATTCTCCTCATTCTTATGGGCTTCTTGATCCATTCTGAAAAAATAATTTATTAAAAAATATATGAATGATAATTCGATTTCTATTATTTAAATTTGCAAAAAATTTATATTATAATTCTAAAAGATTTGCAAGCAATGAACTTCAAGAAATAAGCCTAACAAATACGTATTTTATAGTTTTATAAAAATTCTGATCAGTTTCTCTGATTTAAAAGAATTATTATTTTCAATTATCACATAAATATAATTTCTTAATCTCCATCTATTGTTAATAGAATTAAAGAAATTAATACCGTACCGTATTGGACCAAAAAATAAAGTTAAGAAGCTAATTAATTTTTGAATAAATTCTTTGAGATCTCCATCAGATTGCTTAATTAATCACTTTATTACGTAAAGAAACACCAATTAATAACTAAATGTTCGATTACTAATAAATAATAATATTCATGATTTTATGATATTGAATATATATATATTGATAAAAAAAAGTACTTTTATAGATAATAAATGAAGATTCAACTTAAATTTTAAGTTTTATAAAGGGAAATTTAATCTTTCGTATGGCTTAACATCTATGAATAAATGTTTTTAAGCTATCTAATATTAATTTAACAAACTATTTTGATGTTAAATATTATTAATACAATTTATTCATTTTTATGATAATCCAAATTTTATATAATTTGATTAGATATTATGATACTTTTTATCTTAAACATTTCTATCATGATAATGATAAAATATTTGAAATATCTAAATTAATTGCAAGGAGAGGAAATGAATATTGCAACATTATATGAGCAAACTCCACTTCATAAATTACTACACTACCATATTAATGAAGAAATATAAATTTAATATAATTATTGACAAAACACTAAATATGATCAATTAATCATAAAAGCAATCCTTGCAATTTTGAAAAAAAAGCAGACCATTTATTATTGTCTAAAAATATTTATGTTAAGTTGTAATAATTAAACCCATTTTAATAAATAGTTGAAATATCTTTGCTATGCCTTTCTGAAATAACAACAACATTAATTCTTCGATTATGGACTAAACTGACTATCTTATTAATATTAATTTTTTATTTGACACTCTATACTTATTGAGAAATGGTTTAATCATTAATATTAACTTCCTACTCTTAAGTTGAATTACTGTTCCACTTATAATTGATATAGTACAAGATGTTATATAACTTTGAATCCTCTAATCCAATACTTTCCTCCAATTGTACTTCATGTGTTTACATGAGGATGAGAGTAATTTTAATATCTTGATTTGAATTCTAGGCTCTGAATAAATATATTAGATACTTACATTAATGTGGTTAATTTATGGGCAAAAAAGAGCATTTCCCCTAAAGCGACAATACTTATAGACTTAGTTTGATTTTAGAAATAGGGCTAAACGAATTCATAAATTCTATTTATGTAAATGAACTAATCTTCTGATTGGTCTTTGTTTTCTATAATTTACATGACTTCAGTGTAGGGGGTTGAAAATACAAAGATAGTGCTTTCAAGTTTTTGAGCCAATTCAGGTAATTATAAGGATTGGTAAAAATAATTGAAGGAATTACCCAAGGGTGGGAATATAATATGTATATTTTTGGAAGAGTAAGTGTGAATTTCAACTTAGAATGGTGAATCGATTTTGAGGAGAGTGCCTAAATCGATTACAGTATAATTAATTGAATCAATTTTGGTACTAGTAGTGTTAACACAAATATTGTTAATTGAAACACAATCTTTTGCACATATATATTGTTTTAATTTGAAGGGAGATGAACATTGAAGACATCTTGATTCGTATTCATGAGAACAAGAAATGCAGTTCTAAGGGCATTTCAAACATGAGAATGTTGTGGAATCAAAAGATGTATTATAGGGACACTATAATTTGTTTTGGTCTTATGGATTTTGAAATGGTAGTAGTTATGTCTCTTAGAATTCCTGAGATTGGTTTTCAATCCAATTATAAAATATTAGGATCGAAATTGCTAGAAATAACACCAGAATAAAAATGTGTATAAATTGTCCATAATTGTTGGTGCTCACCTTTTATTTGCTTCTAATTTTTGGCTTAATAGGATAGTATTCATTATGATCATGGATTTCATCTTCTTCATCACCCTCGATCATATAGGGATATTATTAATAATTTAATGAAATTATTAAAAGCTATAGATTTATATGGTAAAATTCCGAAAGGATTGGCTGAGCCTACAAGCTCAGGAGCTGTGGTTTCCATTCTCACTTTGATTTTCCTAGGATTGATGGTCATGAATGAAGTGATTGTAATGAATAATGACCATCATTTGTATAGGAGTATATTACCATAGATGTGCAATCAGAAATCATCGTGGATCAATAATTGTCAAAGGATAGAGTTCAAGTGAGTTTCGACATCAAGTTTGTAAGGGCACCATGCGACTTTTTAGAAATTGATCAATAGGATGCAATGGGATAGAGTTTATCATAATAATTCATTGACTTAAAATACTACAGAATGGATTCAAGTGAAAGGAGAATCGGAGAATATGTAAATATCAAAATTGAATTAATAGATCAGAAATTAGAATAATTGGGTTGTGATTGACGATGCTAGAACAGCAGTGGCTGAAAAGTAAGGCTGTGAAGTGGTTGGAAGTCTCAAGATTAACAGAGTTAGAGGAAAAATATCATTTGGACCGCATCGATCTCATACTTATATAGGTGCAGTGGGCAATCTACATCTTCCATTAGACTATTCTCACAAATTTGTATCATTTACTTTTGGAGATGAAAATGCTCTCAAGAAAGTCAAGAGCATGTTCAAACAAGGCCAATTAGAGAGTTTGGCTGGCAGTCAAAGAATTAAGAAATATGAATTGGCTAGTCAATCAGTATTCATAAATTAAACATTTTTAGATGTAACATGAGCACTTCATCCATATCATTCCAACTCATTATACATTGTTAAATAAATAAACCTATTCAGTTTACTAGTATACAGCCAATCATAATGAAGTGAGATCCCACAATTACGCCAATGTTCAATTAAGGTATTCAATATTATTAATATTCAGATATGACTTCGCACCCACAACTGTCACATATTGGTAAACCAAAGAAGACATTCTGCATTTCTTAGTCTAGATATGTGCAGTTATTGGAGGCATATTCACTGTATCAAGCATGATTGAGGCTAGTGTATATAAAGTTATGAGAAGTGTGTTAAAAGTTGAATGAAATTTTTTATAGATTCAATTCAATAGCATTAATATAAATTTTATTCAGAAATAACCACATTAAACGATCAATGCATAAAATGGAACACTCTTTTTTATATTCTACAAAATTTATCTTAAAATTTTACTATGATGAAAAGTGATTTCTGTAAATAATAAATAACTCCTTTTCCGTGATGAGTTATAATTCTCAAAATATGTTAAGGTAACTTCATTTATGGTGAAGGATTATTTGCGTTTATAATTATATATCACTTTTATATATATAATTTTATCAGAGAGAAGTATCTGATTTGTTATCAATTTTAATTTGAATAACACTTTCATAGGTTATGTCTATGATAGACCAATTATTTATCATTTATTTAATATTATATATATATCAACTTTCAACTTTTGGTTCCACCTTTTCTTTTTTATTCTATTATTTTTCAGTTGTTTATACCTAATTATCTTTTAAGGCTTGCATTTCTTTCTCAATTTACAGTTTATTTGTATCTAAATAATATTTAATATCCTCGACGATGGATTTGAATTTAAGGAATTGCGGAGTTTGGTATTTCTCAATGGTGTCAATTTATGCAATTTATTATTCTAAAAAGGTAAACTTGGTACAGTTAAAGATTGGATATAATCTAAGTCGATGCATTTCCTTCTATTCAAACACTTAGACAATCATTTCATAAACAACTTTAGCTTCAGATACTTCTTGAGGTTGGAGATTCAAATTGAAACATTGATAGAAGTCCTCCAAATTAACTTGATCTGTGTTCAATTTTACAGGATTATACCCCTTCTTAACCAGTTCTTCATTAAGTAGGTTGTGAATGTAGGTGTCATTTTCAATATAGGTTTTGAATCTGTTGTTAAGGGTGAATTGAATCTTGTCTGCAGTTTTCTTTTCAAACTTAACAGTCAGACAATAGAAAATTTCAGGGTATGATTCCTGCCTTGATAGGAGTAATTGAAATATCCTTTTGATGAATCTCCTAGAGTGTACTTGGGTACAGAATTTTTCGTTTTAAGTTTTGGGTCTTCTTTTTTTAATGATTTTCCTGACGATGCGTATCATTTGATTTTTCTTACGATTCATTTTACCAGTTGCATAGGTTTCTTCTTCCTTCTTTTCATCTAGAAATTTCTTAATTTTATTTAAATTAATGAATGTTTAGGCAATAGGTAGTTGTTATTCTTCGTAATCCTTCTTGTTATTCTTCCAGGATTCAAGTGGGGCTTTCTTCAATTACTCTTTTCCCTTTTGCATAAATTCCTGTAAATTTTGGTCTTGGAATATTTTTTCAAGTTTTTCCAAGAGTTTTTCTCTTTGATTGTAGATGATTTTGGTGAGTTGACAGATGTTGGATGGTTGTGATTTTTGTAGGTAATGCTTGTATTTGTTTTCAAAGTTTTAGGCGATGGAGTTGAGTTGATTTAGTGAGTAGGTTTGATTGAGTATGTCATTTAGGTGGGTGTCTCTGGTGATCATTTCGAGTTCTTTGATATTCAACAGTTATTTAATGAGTGGTTTGGTGGCTTCGATTGAAATGGTGTCTTCAGAATTCAAAACTCTTATAAACTGGAAGTATTGTAGAAAGGGGATGATGGGCAAATCAAAGTCTATGGCGTAGCATAGAATGATTTTGGTGGCTATGTCTCTGATTTGTTTGTACTTGATTTCGGTTTGAATTGAAATCTGATGAGTTTGATCTAATGAATCATCATCTGAGTTGTCCTCCAAACAGAAGGCTTCTAATTTTTTCATGTTTAATTAATGATTAAAATAAGGCATCGATGTTGAGAGGGTAGAAATTCATTGTAATATTTGGAAGCGAATATTATTGTTAATTTATAATAAATATTATATAATTATATACGTGTAATAAATATGTTTATCAAATTTCAGAGACGTTCAGATCGCGTAAAAAGCGTGTCTTTCCATCCTCATCGTCCTTGGGTGTTGAGTGCACTTCATTCCGGCGTGATAGAACTAATTGATTACAGGATCAAAAAACGAATAGCAACATATGAGGATCACAAAGGAGCAGTTCGATCAGTTCAATTCCATCCATAGTTGAATCTGTTCTGTTCTGGAGGAGACGATTTCACAGTGAGAGTGTGGAATTTCAAATAATGTCAATTTACATTGAAGGGACATCTAGATTATGTCCGATGTGTTACCTTCCATCCAACCAATCCTTGGGTGTTATCTGGATCTGATGATCAAACAGCCAGAGTCTGGAACTATTAAAGCAGATAAACCATAGCCATCCTAACAGGACATACCCATTACATAATGTCCTGTCATTTCCATCCAACTCAGGATTTCATAGTGACATGCTCATTAGATCAAACTGCCAGGCTGTGGAATTATGGAGTGCTTAAATAGAGATATGCATAAAAGAAGAATCAAGAGTATGTACTCTCAGGAGCAGAAGTATAGGTGATTGCAATCATGGATGGACATAAAGACTAACTCAATTGGTGTGCATTTCATAAATCAGAACCATTCATTATCACAAGTGGCGATGATAAAAATATCAAAATGTGGAAATACAATGAAAACAAAGCCTGGGAATTCGATTCACTTACAGGACACACCAATAATGTTTGTTGTGCTGAGTTCCATTCAAAAGGAGATGTCATTATCTCAGATTCTGAAGATCACACCATTAGAATTTGGGATTCTGCTACCAGAAAGTAAATTGCACTCTTTGAGAACCACCATTTCGATCGTTATTGGATCGTAGCCTGTCATCCCAACAATTACTATTTTGCTTGCGGTTCTGATACTATGCTTCAAGTATTCACTTTACACAAAGATCGAGTACCCGTACTCTTAGTTAATGAAAGGTATTTATGTATGGCAGAACAGAAAATACTCAAAGTCATCGAATTGAATTCAGGACAACAATAAACTATAAGAGATATCTCCACTCTCATTACTCCAACTCCAACTGTACTCGAGGACAACATCGAATCCATTGAATACAACACCTACGACACCCAAAAAACACAATTAATGGTTAGATGCATTCGATCTATCAAACAGGATTCTTCTCAATTAAAGAGACATTTGCTTATTGCATTTCAACCCTAGAAAGGAGACTCAGGTGTTAAATAGTTTAATTCGAAGTCAGCTTGCTTTATTGGCAAGAACAAAATTGCTCGGATCAATCAGGAATCATAAATTGAGTTATATAATTATGAAACAGAGGCAGTCTCTATAATTGATGACAAAGTGGCCTCAAAGCTATTCACAGCACCTGGAGGCAAATTATTAATATACAGAGATGCTAGACAACAGATTAAATCATTTCAAGAATTCTTAATATATAATCTTGCATAATGGAACAATAAAAACTATTTAGAGTTATTTGATCCACTTGCTAAACAGAGCTTACATTAAGTAGAATACTCAGATGCCAAATATGTTCAATATCATGATTCCTATTTAATAGTATAAGGGAAACTAACATTGACTATCTTAACTAAACAACTTTAAAAATTAATTGAAATCAAAGAATAAGTCAATATTAAGTCATTTATTTGGGTTAATAACTTTATAATCTACACCACAAAAAGTTAAATTAAATATTTGTTATTGAATGGTGACACCGGAGTTTTAAAGTCTACTGAAAACATTCTCTATTTGGTGAAGGGAGAAGAATAATAGTAAAATAAATTAAAATTAATAGCAGTTGATAACACTGCATAATACATCACTTAAGTATTGGATATTCAGGAACCATTATTCAAAATTGCCATTTTAAATAAGGACCTAAGTGCAATTCATAAATTTGTAGAGATCAATTAGAATGAAGCTGTACTCTCCTACTTATACTAAAAAAGATTAGCATCTGTAGCTTTAAAATTAGTCAAAGATAAATAGGGTATATCACTATTATATTATAATAGCTAAATTTTCACTTTCTTTGGATTCTGGTAATTTAGAGCAGGCCTACAAAGCAGCAATCGAAATCAAGGATACAAATTTGTTTGAATAATTGAGGTCAGAGGCTCTAAGACAAGGAAATAGCTTATTGGTTGATGTCTGTGACTAATAACTCAATCAATTTGATAGATTGGCCTTTTTATATCTGTGTACGGGTAACACTGAAAAATAAGAGAAATTACAAAACATATAACCAAATTACATTTATTAATCTTAAACTTCAAAATTGAAATCTATCAAATAGAATCTACCAAAATTAGCTCAAATTGTAGATCATCTCAATGGCAACAATTAGAAATTGGATAAGAATCAATCAGAAACGATTGAGTGGATTAAATCACTCGGGGGAAGTCAAGCTTTAATACCACCAATTCCTATCATGAAATTTAAGAATGATCCATGGCCTCTTTATTAAATGAATGAGTAAGATATAATCAATCTTGAAGTTACTGAAGAATCAGTTGTGCCTTAGGACATATTCACAATCTAAAAATAAGTAATAGAAGAAGTGCAAGTAGAAGAATAAATTAATAATGATGGCTAATGGGGACTAGAGGATGAACCAGAAGAAGAGTTCTTTGAACCAAAAGTAATACAAGAAAAGGATAAGAGCATAGATGAACAAGCCTTAAGGGGAGTATTCTTGGAATAAAAAGGAGAAGTGGCTGTCAAGTATTTCGCTGCAGGAGATTACGAAGAAGGCATAAGATTGTTAAAGCAACAAATAAATTTGAATAATCACTAATAGCTATTGAAATTATTAACAGGTGGAACTTCATTTTAAGTTTTATCTTCAATCCCTTATTTAAGTAATTCTACTCTGCCAGTTAAATTAAATCGACTGAATGAAGTTAAGACTCTTATCAAATAAGGTATGCACTTTTAATCTATTCTAGGATACAAATTTACAACCGATGCCAAATTTGAAGAAGTCAGCAATTGTTTTTAATAGGTGTTACAAAAACTATTACTTACAGATTTTGAAACAAGCCAAATAGAAGAAGTCAAAAAGTACATTAATATTAGCAGGAATTATATGATTGCCATGAGATGTGATTCACTCAAAAAAGAATGCAACGCTTTAGAGATGGCTTGCAAAATGGCAACAATAGAATTACTACCTTCTCATAGAATCTTAGCCTTGAGATAAGCTCTTAGTATCAGCTACAAATAGAAGAACTTTATCACATGCTAATAGATAGCCAAGAAGCTAATTGAATTGTTGAAAAATGATACAACTCAAAAACCAGAAGTTCTATAAAATGCATAAAAAGTAAGAATTGCTATTAATTATATAGTATGAGAAAGCATCATAATAATAAAATACAAATGCAATATAAATCGATTTCAATCAAAGTTGGCTCAATGAATAGCCTATTTACTCTGTAAATACACTCAAAAATATTTAAAATTATAAGACATGTCCATATGATGGAAGCACATACGAAAACGATTATTCATAACTTTGTTTGGTTTGTGGATTGTGTTTAGTTGGTAAAGCTCCTGGACTGAAAAACCTCCAATAACCTTGAGTCGGTATAACAAGAGATCTGTAAATTATTATGCTTTATTTTTATACGATAATTTCATTTTTATTCTAATATAATTACTTTAAAATACATTTCTTTTAATTTTCATAATTAGAAATAACCTCTTAAATGACTATTACCCTAGATAAATTATATATGATCTACCATATTTAGCATAAAAATGATAGATTATAATTAAAAACAGCTAAGAAAATTATTATTATAAATATATTAAAATTAAAGATTAAGTAATTTTGTTTTGAATCATTAAAAAAAAGTAGCATCTTATTCAAAACAACCACTTTAATATCTAGAAAGTCAAATTTAATCAAAATTCTTATTAAATTGTTTAAAATCGAATTTTTAGATAACTTGAATAAGTTAGAATATGTATCATAAATTAAAGATAAATTTGATAAATAATAAAGAGTTGGAAAATTAACAATTTAATATTTCTTGATGAATCATAAATAATTTACTAATTACATAAACATAGCGATCACATTAAAATGTACTTCTAAAATGAATAAAATTAAAAAAAATCTATATTTTATCGAAAAAACAATTACTAAAAATATTAAAATTAAGATTTTTATCTGGTCAAAAATTTTAATTTAAAGTCTTCTGCTAAATTTAGTTCGACTAAATGCAGAGCTAACAAATGAATTAAAATTTAAACTGATTGACTCATTAAACAATAATATGGTGATTTAATTATTAAAACCTAAAGAAAGGGACTATATGAAAATCTTCTTAACTTTAGAATTTCTAATTAAGAATACTGGTAACTTAATGTAATATAGATAATAATAAAGTATAAATATAACTTATATATTTTGCTTCATAGTTTTTATAACAAATTTAAAAAACTAAATACTATTTTATAACCCTTAAAAATATTGAAAATGCTTTAATACACTATTTAATCAACTACTCTGTCTTAAACAGAAAGAAAGGATTGGGTATTTTAATTCCCAACCCCTTAATTTTATTCTGCTGCTGAAATAATATAAGAATTCCAAATCCAAGATTTGAGATATATATATTTATTTAATATATTATGATTAGTTCAATTGTGTTTATAAATCATAAGGGAGAAATCCTTATTTATCGGGTGTATAAGGATGACATCACAAGAAGTGAGACTACACAATTTTGTGCTAAAATAGTGGCCACAAAAGAAAATAAGGAATGTCCAATAATCAATATTGATGGTAAAAAATGATATTTAAAATTCAAGGAACATCATTTATCCATATTACGATAAAAGACATCGTAGTATTAGCCACAACAAAAGTAAATGTAAATGTAGCAATGACCTTACAATTTCTTTATTAATTAGTACGAGTACAATATTAAATCCTAGGTTAAAGTGTGCAGAGCTTACTTCGGTGGAGAATTTGATGAAAATTGTATAAAAAAGCATTTTGTGCTTATTTATGAAATACTGGATGAAGTAATGGATTATGGTGTTCCTTAAATAGCAGATGCAGATCTTTTGAAAAAAGTATCATGCTTAATACTAATGTTTAATAGTACATTTAAGAAGGAGGACTGAAGCCAGAGCTAATGAATGACGTAGAAAAGTTGAAACAATTAACATCCTAAGCAACTGGAGCCACATCTTGGAGGCCTCCAAATCTAGTGTATAGAAAGAATGAAGTGTACTTGGATGTCATAGAGAGTGTGAATGTGTTGATGTCAGTGAAAGGGACAATCTTGAAGGCAGACGTGGCTGGATCAATTTAGGTGAAATGCTTATTGTCTGGAATGCCAGAATGTAAATTTGGAATGAATGATAAATTGCTGATGTAGAGAGAACCTCGTAAGCCTGGTTAAACGACAACTGACAAAGGTATCACAATTGACGACCTGAAATTCCATCAATGTGTCAAATTGCCTAAATTTGATAAGGAAAGAGCAATCACATTTATTCCCCCTGATGGTTAATTTGAGTTGATGACCTATAGGATTACTGAGAATATTAATTTGCCTTTCAAAATCATGCCTGTATATAATGAGTTAGGTAAGAACAAACTAGAAATTCGAGTCAAAGTATTAAGATATTTGAATATTTAAGATTAAATCTATTTTTGAGAAGAATCTATTTGCTACAAACTTAGCCATAAAAATTCCAGTGCCCAAGAATACTGCAAATGTTAACACAAATTCAGCAATCGGGAAAGCCAAACATGAACCAGATTAGCAAGGAGTGATTTGGAGAATAAAGAAGTATCCTGGAGACTTTGAAGCACTATTACGTTGTGAAATCGACTTAGGTTAAACAACTAATTAATAGCCTTGGATTAAGCCACCTATTTCGATGGAATTTTAGGTGCCCATGTTTACAGCAAGTGGATTGAGAGTGAGATTCTTGAGAATCTATGAAAAAGCCGGGTATAAACCAACGAAATGGATTAGATATATCACAAAAGCTGGTGAGTATTTGCATAGATTGTGAAAATACAATAATCCAAAATATATTTATCAATTATCATTATGTGTCTTGTACCTTATGTTACGAGCCTTGCTTTAATATTTCAAAGTTTGATAAGATTGATAGATTTTATGAGCTTGTTTGATATTGGGAGTATGAGGTCTTTACTTAATTTGTAACTGTTTCTTGGGTTCTGCCAATCTATCTTGTTGTTTGGATGGACAAGCACTGCTAATCCGCAAAGGACCTGTCTTTTGATAATTTCTGAGTTGCCTTTGAAATTGGATTTCGACATTGTCCCACCAATTACATGGATTGCATTATCCACCATCATTTACTATTACAAAATAATCTCTCCCACTTCCATCCCCCCAATACTTCGTAGTTTTGATGGGTATTTGAGGTGGTAGATTCCCAGAACGTCCCAGATTGCTATTTGATTTTGTGAGGTAATGCATTTTCTCGAACTCATGATTTGCTTGAGGAGCTATTTGAGATTGCAGAGTCTGATTCATCTGTCCCCCATTAAACTTGCTTATGTAAGAATCCCTGTGATCAACTATGTTAAATACCTCCCTGTGCCGTCGTTATGATAATTGTTCACTTTTGGCTACAATCTGCAAAATACTTAGCGAGCTGCCATTATAATAATTAATTAATCATTTCTACAATTCTCTTAATAAATGTGCTAAATAGATCAATGGATTGAATTCAAGAGCCTCTCTTTGCTACTTCATTTGCTATTTCAAATGCTGCAATTCTTGTTTATCTGGGGCTTCCTCGTCATCTTGATCCTCTTGAATCTGATTCAACGCCAGATTGATTTCCTTCTTCATATCCTGAGGACTCATGTCATCTATTGAGATTCCTGCCGGAGCCTGTATTTGGTGATTTATCGGAAAGATGGATTCATCGTTTTTAATCAGTTATGAACTCATCCCCATTAAATCATCATTCTCTGCAGAACCCTGAGACGAGGATTCATATGCTGATCCCAATTCATTTTTCAATCTCTGTTTCTCTACTTTCTTTTGTTCAATCCTGTCAAATATTTTAATTTTCTTCAATCTTTCCTAATGTTTTCTCACTTCCTCTGTCTTTACAATATGGTCTATCAGCTGCACTAAAGCAGTGTGTAATTTCGGGTACACTTGATTCTCTAAGTATTCTATTTCCTCCATTGTTCGAATTGAATTTTATAACTACATTAATTAATCTTCATTATTCTGATAATCATTTTTCTAATTCCAAATCCATAAATTGAATTTTCCATCATATATTTAACTATCTTGGATTGTGAAATAAATTGACCATCTTTTTGATTAAAAATAGGAAATTCTCTTTAATAGATTGTCTATTATTTTATGTTTTAAGTGTTGAAATTACACTTAGTAATACCATAACTACATAAAATCTTTGTTTAATGTTGAATTTTAGGTGAAGTTTGGTGATCAATAGGAAGAGTCTTGTCAAAGTAAATTGAGAAAATTAATTTAAACTGATCAGTCAATTGGAAGAATAACTACAAGATATACATATTCAAGTAGAACAGATGAACAAAATATTTATGGGGTTATACTTCAATAAGAAATTTAAAATGCTATTAAATTCAACAATAAAGTAGAAATCGATATTCTTACTGGATAAGATTGTATAGATAATGTTCTCATCCATAAAAGGAAATTTAATTAATGAATTATGTCTTATTATTATAATAATTTTATCCTTACTTGGTCAGAATTTCAATAATTTAAGACAATATTTAGATTCTTTTAATTAAGAAAAACATTATTGAATGAGAGTTAAGATCAGTATAAGTATACTTATAGAGTTGCTTCATTAGTAAAAGAATTTGAAGAATTCTATAGATCAGTTTTAATAAAAATAATGAATTGCCTGCTAATGAATGCACATAATTTATAATATATTTCATAGAAAAACTTTCAGAAACAAAACAAGAACCGTAACTAATTTAATCAAAAAATTGAAATCATTAAGCAAGCATATGTATGGTTTACTTAATGAACCAAGTTTCTAATCTTACTTTAGATAAACAATTGGAAGTTTATTATAAAAATATAAATATATAGATATATATATTTTAATTCAAAGAAGATATTTCATCAAATCTTTTGCAGCCATAGCAATAGATTTGTCTTCCTTTTGATATTTTTCCAAAACTTATACTAAGATTTCTTTCTTTTCTATCTTAAATGGTTTTTGTTCGTTTAATACAACCATCCAATGTAACAATTTAATGATTCTCTTATTCAGTTAAGGACATAGTAATGGAATTAATTAATTAAATAATTACTACCTTATTTATGATAGTTTTCCTGGATAAAAATATGCCAAATGCAACATATAAGTTAACAAAGTTAATTGGCATCCTGGAGTAGAAATACCGATTAATTGTTAAGCATATTGAAGGGTGAAATAGAATTGATCTTAAAAAAATAAGAATTCTTATGGGAACGGTTAAGGAATCAAGGTATTATCTGGACTTACTACTAGTTTGTTGTTCCCTCTTTGTAATTCATTGATTATTTTGCTTGTGATTGCTACCATAATAGAAGATAGATCCTCGAAAGCCCATTCTTACTTCTACTTTGTAAATTACACAAATATTTGAACAGATTTGTCTAAAGTTTAATACTTGATTTATACCAATAATTTAGAATTGCTTGAGATCTTCAATTGAACTGCCTTCTACAATCTTCTAAATGATATTCAAAGTATGGCCTGTGATATTATTACTATCTGGCTTGTACATGTCTAATATAGCCTAGAGGACTTCATATCTTTTGAAGTGAGGGAGAAAGAGCGAGTTGTAAGTTAGGAGAATTGATGCTAATTTGAGTGCATAAAATGGCAAGGGAGGTTATTCTTAGAATAATTCCTTCAACAAAGGGAGTATGAGAGTAATTATGATATTATTCAATTCATTAGAGTAAGGCTTCAAGAAATTAGGATAGTCGTAGATCCCCTCTTCCTGCAATAGAGCACTTAGTAGATCTATGATCAACTTCAAAAACATAAATTTAGTTTCGGTGCTCTATTACTTAACCATGTAATCAATACAATTTTTGAGCACTTGTTAAATAATTACTTATTGTTGCTTTATTAAAATCTTTGAGTTAGTACACATTTTGGACATAATATTCAATAAGGTGGTTTGAATTTGAGTTTTATTCTTAGATAATGACAATAATTCTGTTAGAATTGGTAAATACTGAGAGGAAAATAAGGATTGTTGTAAGACTGGAGTTTGTGAGTATTAGAATAACACATTTAAATAGTTGCCATTAGTTTTCTTTGGAGAGTATTCCATCAATTATGAGTCAGTCAATGATTGATTAATCTAAGTGATCATAATAGGAGTGCAATCACATAGTTATTGTACTAAATGTTATAAGCACTATTTCAAATAATCATTATTGTCTCTGAGTCCTTTGTCTAGAATTTGATAGAATCTTAATTGTTCTTCTGATAGATTGATAAGTGTGACTATATTGAATTTAATCATCAACATCAATGCAATGGCTGCCTTCCCTCTACTGACAGCGTTACCATGATCCAATAAATAAACTAACCCTTTTATTAATTAAGCTAATTTTTAATAAGAAATCGTATCATACATTCTTCCATCAATAATTTATTGACAGCATTTGAGGCCAATTAAGATACATTATTGCTTGATGAATCTTGTGTGCTAACACTCTGTAGAAGATGAATATTGAATATTGTAATCATAGCTTATTATACTCTCTGTAAGTTATCTAAAAATATCTAGACTAATTAAGAGAAATATAAATACCGAAACCAAACTTTTCAAGCCAAGATTCTACATAAACACATCAACTTATTGATTATCTAACATCAATAGATTAGCTAAGGTAATGGCACAACTAATTCTTAAGCTATCGTTTTTAGTAGACAAAAAGCATTGGAGAATCATCAAGACTATTTCTGATTTGGCAAATCTCTACCCTATAGATATCGATTAGGATGAGATGTTTTCAATGGTTTTAATGCAGTAGAATTTCACTAATTAGATGATATAGATTTGTACCGATTTCATCTTCATTCTGAGATTTAATAACCTTAATCAATTAATTGAAGCTAATGTTACTCATCTTCCAATAAGGATTCTAAGGATCTTCTTCCATCTGAGTTGCCCCATAAAATAAGTATTCTCCCAAAGCTGCTGCTGCTTTTCTTCGTACATTATTCTATTCCTTTGAGTTTAATATTTCCACCATGGCTTCTGGTATTCCATGTTATGAAACTTCAGGTTCAATAACAGTAGCATGTCGAAGCAATAACCCTAAGACACAGCAAATTCTGTATTTCAATTGGGTTAATTTACTAACTGTGAGTAACTTTAATAATAATTAAACATATGCTGAATTGATTAAACGATTGGCTGCATTAGATGTCTAAATAATTTATTCAAAGTAATTGAGAATATTTAATTATTCCTATTATTTAGCTACCTGTAACGAATTGTAAATTTATTCAAAGTGATATTCAATTTAATCAGTTTCAATATTTCGATTAACGTCATCTGCATTAATATATTAAAAAGGTAATGATTCCTTGGCAAATGTAGCATCTATTGATTTTTCAATCTCTCTATTACCAATGATAGGCTTGACTGAATTATCAGAACTATGAGTGAACAATTAATCGATAGGAATTAATTGATCATTTTCATTTGCCTTCTTTTATTAAGGTGTAATTCCACCAGGAATAGGCGATTAATTAAGAAGACTTTGAGTAGATGGATGCACCGAATCCTTCTTGATAGTGAATGGTTTCTGTTGCAAATGAGGCGAATTTATAGAATTTAAATCTGATTAAACATTAGTTTAGAATTCTTCAGGTTATTTATCAATTTCATCATCGTCTTACTATTATTCTGATCCTATCAATATTTCTTAATCTTTGTTTGTTAACTTAAAATCCTTCTCATTACTACTAATCTATTTATGATATTATTGTTGTTGAGAACTGCTGGGCACATCTTCCCTTAACATATTCTTATGGACATTCAAGGACAACCTTACGATGTCCACCTGCTTATTATTCTGTTGAACTGGAGTCACTCTGACAAGATTGTTTTTTTTGCACCAAGTTTCAAAATGTGGTTGGGATGGCACATTCAAATATTAAATATTAAGGAATTTACAAATTTTCTCCCAGCCCCATCTTTTTAGAGGATCCTTCTCCAGTAATCTAGAATTAAATCACAAGAAATTACCCTTTGATGAAGTCCCAACATTAGACCTCCAATGGTTTGACTTCTGCATTCAAAATTAATTCAACCAACTCAGTAAAGCTACTGCATTAGAATGGAGGTTATCCAATGCATAATTCATATGCAATACATCCCAAGGCCCATAAATCACTTTAGAAACTGTATACTCCACCCTCGTGAAATAATTCGGGTGCCATATAATAGGGTGATCCTCTTTTAGACATCTCGACATCTGGACCGATGGTGGCTGAGATCATGTCCACCAAGCGCTTTGCATTTCCCAAATCACTGAGCTTGGCTACTCCGTATTCATTGAATAACACATTCGATGGTCTCAAATCGCAATAGACTATGATTAATTTCAAATGACTCACTTATGCCCTTGGAATGCAAATAGTTTAATCCTGCAGCCATGTCCCTTACGAAACGCAACACTATGTTTTCTTGTAAGCCTTGTTGATCTGCTTCAATTAGTGCCATCAGATCGCCTCCTGGACAATACTCCAAAATCACCCAGAGATGATTGCGCGTCTCATACCAATGATAAAACTTCAAGATGTTTGGGTGTTTAAGACCGGAGAACATTTTCACCTGATTTCATTTAAATTAATTGATACTTCATTCAAAAGTTTTGTACGTCTGCTTTTCTCCAATGATTTCACTGCCATATATTCAATAGTCTTCTTCTTTCTTCCCTTGTACACTACTGAATACTTGCCTTTTCCTATCTCATCGTAAATATGATAGTTATTCATAATTTTTAAATTTTGTTTTATTTTATTTTATGGGCAAGAAGAAATTCATCAACAAATAGAATGCAGCTACACTCAAAATGGTTCATCAACCAGGTGAAAATAATCAAGGAGCCACCGACATGATTTGTTTCCAAAAAGTTAATCAACCTGGTACTCAAAATGAATTGTACTCCCCCATCTAATATATCGTAGATCTGAACTCATCGAAAAAGAACTCAACAAAGGCAAGTTCGATCCCAATCTTAAACCTCGAATGCCTGAAATTGACCCTACATAAGATGCCTTACATTTGGTTGCAGGTAGAGAAGACCTCTGGATTCATCAATTGGCCAAATAAAAGGCCCTCCAAGCATTAAAACAGAAATAAGAGTAATTCCAGGATGTAGTCATGAAACACTATGATGAAAATGGATTGCCTATTGATGGGTATGATTACTCCCAGCATCTTGCTCCAGAGAGACGTAATAATTTAATTATATGAACTCCTAGCCTAAGGAGAAGTGGAGTGTGTCTTTGTGGTTCCAGAAGAAGAGAGATCCAAGGTCGTCTACGATATAGATTTCAAAAGAGAAGAATTAACACAAGAATAATAAGAGGTGTATGATCTATTGATGAAAGAAGATGAAGATGACGATGAAAATGTTTAAGAAAACCAAGAAGAATTAGAAGATGATTTTGTTTCCAATTTAATACAATAAAATAAATAATAATCCTTTTAAGAGCAGAAAGTAGAATAGGTATAAAAAGTGGAAAAAGCAGCAGAATCACCTAAAAAATAAGTTAGATTTTAAGAGCAAGAAGAATCTGATAATGATGAGGATTATGAGGATGAAGAGGAAATGGAAATCACTTACGATAAAAAGAAAATGAATTAGAAATCATAATAAAAGTAATTACAACAATAGAAATAATAAAAATAAACAAAATAATAATAAAGTGATTCTGATTCAGAATTAGAAATTGATTCTGATATGGAAAGAGAATTTGAAAGAGAGATGAATGCCTATGAAGCACCTGATGATGAAGATGATGAAGATCAATAAAATAAGGAGTTTGTTAATGATCAAATGCTTAATAAAGTTATAGATGATCATCTTAATACGATGACAAAAAAACAATAAAAAAAATCCAAAAATTAACAAAAGTCGCAAGATCAACCTGAAGAAACTGAATGTATGATATATTCCATAACCAATTTTAGAATAAAAAGAAAAAAGACTTGAGTATTTAAAAAATACAGATTATAATGAGTACTTGAGATAAAAATTCCCTAATGCAGATTTTTCATAATTCCATCTTAAGAAGGAGATACCACCTCTCACTCCTGAAGAAGATATTGCATTGTAGAACTATCTCAATAGGGAATCAACTGACGAAGAATGTCCTGACATGGAACCTGCTGAAAAGTATTAAGAAACCATTGTTACTAAATCTCTGCATAACACTACAATGTCTAAAATGAATCCAGATTAATTGAACATCATTAAATATAAAACAAAAGGGCAAGTCTAATCGACCAAAGAGGATAGGATGAAATAAAAGGAAGAAGAGAAGATTAAAATTAAAGAATTAAAATAAGAGAAGGAGAAGGTCAAAGAAGCTGTTTGTGGTATGTATACTAATTATATTTTAGAAACCTTGAAGTAAGTAGTTATCAAAAAAGAGGAAACTCCTGAGGAAAAGAAACAGAGGAAAGAATTAGTGAAATAATTGAAATAAGCATAAAAAGAGAAAAAAAAAGCATTCAAAGAATAACTATAAACGATGTCAAAAAAACTATAAAAATAAAAATTGGCTAATATTCAAAGTAATTAAGCCGAAGGTGTTTCAATTGTTAAAATAGCATGATTATTTCATTTTGTTTAATAACATTTTTATTATTATTAAATATTATTTGTTATATTTAAGGAGAAAATTTAGTAAATAAGAAAAATAACAGCTTTACGCATTGACTTATAAAAGTTTAGTATGGTTTTACTGAGCAGAGAAAGCCTCCTGCTGAATAATAAGATCTATAGTTTTTTATCAACCCTAAGAATAATAGTATTTGTTTTATTGATATATTTGATTGATTACTTAAGTTTATTTAATAATATTTGTCTGATAACTTAATGCAATAAGATCCATATAATTGGCCTTTCCCTCATCGTTAAGATCTCATGAGTCTTTCAACAATCAGTATTTAAAATGTCGAATATCATTAGAAAACTAAAGAAGAGATTTCGTCTATGAAAATAGATCTTAATCAACAATGACAATATAAGGCATTGACGGAGCAGCTCCAAAGTTAAAGCCATATCAATACTTAAATAAAGAATAATTTTGTAATCGAGATGATGATATTCCAGGAACTAAATCTCGACCACTAATCAGATCCAGCAATAGATCTGATAACCAGTTGATGATAGATGATATAAAAGGAACGAGACCTAAAGTGAATAAATTTTCAACAAATAGAGAGCCTATAAATCCTCTTGAACCTGCCTATAAAATAGCATCGTATGAATAAGTTGAACCAATTTTACCTAAATTCATAAGAGATAGCCACAATGTGCAGGATATTGAAGGGACACAGCCTTCGTCTATGAATCCTAAATTGAAAAAGCAGCCTGTCACTATGGAAGAGGTGGAAGGTTCGCATCCTAAATAGCGTTTCTTGCCTAAAGGTATTCATTTACTAAAGTGAAGATTATGTTGATTCGTTGCAAGTCAAGGATATCAATAATGATTTATTACACAAGTATGTTCGAAATACCAATCCTATTGATCCCGTTTATCCGCATAGAGATGAAGATGGGTATGAAAGATATATGATAAAATTAGAAAACTAGTGTAAATAGGTTTTATAGACGGAAGCAAAACTAAATAACTACATCCCGTAACAATTAACAAATTCGCCTCCTCCATTCTAACAACTAAGGATATTATAGGTGCTTAGGCTGGGTCTCACTCGTAGCACTTTTTGAGGACAAATGAAAGGAAAGACTATAGACAAATAAATAGTGTATCCGATATAGAAGGGGTGAAGCCTGGCTCACTTAAAAAAGGAATTGAAAGTAAGAGGTACACAAATCCATTGATGCCTGCATATTAAATGCCAGGAAGCAGTGAAATTTAGTAATATTAATAAGTTTTATGGGTAGCTCTATGAAACCCACCAGCGTGTTCTAAAAGAATGCCAGCACATAAATGTTGACAAATGCATAAAAGATGGATCTATTCTTACCATAAAGTTGATGAATAATTGCTATATATTTTAAATATGATTATTGACTGTGACATTTAGATTTATTAGGAATACAATATTAATTTAAATTGTTTAAATTTTGTATTTCTATTACATCATATATTTATTTATCAAATGAATGCCCTCATTGGTAATTTAGCTGGGTCAGATTAAGCAGTTATTTAAGCTGCATACCCTGGTGAATACGTAAAATTGACTGGAATTGGAAGAGGTTCCTATGCATAAGTGTACAAAGCAGAGACTGCTGATGGACAAGTCGTGGCTATAAAAGTAGAATTTCTTAATAATTAGCATAGGTTATAGACTTAAAAAATATGCAAAGGGAGATCATACCTTATATGTAAAATGAAATAAAATTATTATCAGAGAGTGACAACAAAAATGTGATTAAATTGTTTAAAAGTTAATAAACTCATGATAAATTGATATTAGTTCTGGAGGTACTATTTTATATTAGAAAAATACTAGTTTTGTTAATTGGATGTAGAATTCATGGTGAAAAGATATTATAAAGGCAAATTGCCAGACGACTTGGCTATAGTTATTTTGAGATAACTTGTAAATGGATTGTGTTACTTGCATACGAATAAAATCATTCACCGCGACTTGAAGCTAGAAAACTTTGCTATTCGCATGTCAAATGAGGATTGGGTTTCCTTATAGTCTAAAAATGATCTTTCAGTATTCGAGAGAGCAACCTATAAACTGATTGATTTGGGGTTAGCCAAGAAGTTGGAAGACCTTCAAGCGTAAACAAGTACTTGGGCAGGAACAGAATTGAACATGGGTATCATATAGCATAATAAATTAAGCACCTGAAATCTTAAATGAATAAAAGTACTCATTCTAAGCTGACATGTACAGTCTAGGAGTCTGCTTGTACTACATGTTGTGTGGTAAATATCCTTATTTTGATCCAACAAATAGAACTCCACTTTAAGATTTAATTAAGAAGGAGAATGCTGATGTAAATCATATTGCTAATGTTTAATTGAGGAGTCTGATACAAAGAATGCTTAAATATGAACCAAAACAAAGAATTACATTCTAGGAATTATATTAACATGACTTTTTTAAGTTTAGAGAGGGAGATCTATCCAATCCAATCGATTTAGAATTAAAAGAGAATTAAATCATTTATTCTTAAGTAATTAATTAGTCAATTATGGAAAATGGTCAATAAATATAATAAATTGAAGATAATACAGTAAAAATTGAAACCAAAAGTGATGTTAAGAAAATCATTATAGTGGAAAAATAAGATTTAGTTAACAATTATATAGAAAGTTAAAATTCTGAAGCCTTTCCAAAAATCCCTATTCAACCCAAAAATAATATTCCTACCAAAATATATGATAACTCGAAAAAAGAGGACGATTAAATCATGCAACTTTATAATACAAGAAATTAATACATTGCAATTTTGAAATTAGTTGATTATATCGAAGAAATGATAGTTTTAGTTAAATCGACGAAGCTTAATTACTTCAATATGGAATCGACATTTAAGATGTATACTGAATACTTAAAGATGGTTTCTAAGCAAATATTCATAAAGTTATAGCACAGATTCAATTTCTATCAACCTACTCTAGGGTCTTATGATAGATATTTATTATTGGAAAAATAAGTGAAAGGAGAAGATAAAAAAAAACTAGATAATATTACTGTTAAGGAAGGATCGAGCACTGGATTCTTTTCATGGTTCAGGAAGAGTGTTCTTAAATAAATACAATGCGAACCCAACGACTCGTTGGACTTTATGAAGCAATACGAATAAATCAACATAGAGTTGTATAAAGAATTATTGAAGATGTTGCAAGATTCATTTTACAAATATGAAAAGGATTCTGATCCTAAATTGAAAAAAATTAAATGCCTACTCTACTTATCCATGATAGATACAGCAAGGTCTAGAGTACTATTTTAAGTAGACCAAAAAAATATTGATTATAAAATTGAGGAACTACTATTGGCCAAGGCTAAAGAAGAACCAGACATACTTTCAGAAAAGGTAACCTCTATTTTAGGGTAATATAATTTAAAATACAACTGATCAATATTGTATCTACAAATATGGCATTTAATTCTTTATTTATTTTCTTTCTAGATGCAATTCAAACAAATCACTTTTTATGTTATATATGTTAATTTTATAATTAAAATTATCGTTAGAAGACAATGAAATTTTAAGAAATTTAAAGGGAAATCTACACAAATGATGAATTGTGTTTGTTCCTGAAGTTTCATCTAAGAATATCAAGTGCTGCTTGCCTAACTTTATCAATTATCCAGCTATACCTAACAAGTCAATACAATCTGTAATTCCACCCATTCTTTGATATGCTGCATCTGATGACAGAAATGATATCCATCCTATTTGCAATTTTAGGGCTAGTTTATTCATTTTCATATATCACAAAGTTGCAACAAGCTAATTGCTAATATTATGAAAATCAAAATGATAACATATCTAGACTCTTATTTGTTGCCATCTGCTTTACATTAACAATAGTGATAACCTTGGGAGTCATGAATCCCATATTTTATGAGATAGGAATGCAATCTAAGGTTGCCTAAATGGAACCTTCATCATACGAAGATTTATAGTTAATATACTAATCAGTGAAATCCCAAGGCAATCTATTGATAGAAGTGATTGTATCTGCAGCTTAAACTATAAGTCTCATATTTATGGGCTATGTTTTCCTCCTTTTTAGTAAGAATGCTATTACCTACAATTATTTCATTTACTTTTTTGCCTTGATAACAAATCTAGTGGCTATCATTGTCTATTCCAAGGAAGATGATATGAAGTCTGTAAGTATTATTAATCACATACTAAATCCCAATGATAAATACTTGATAACCTATATTTCAGGAGCATCCTTGTTTATTGCTTTAATAATATTCTCCATATTTTTGATTGATACTTTGGGTCAATATTACAGAATATTCAAGAACCCCATCTACAAATTTATTTTAGGGTATTATTATTTGTTATATTTCAATTAGAAATATCCTTATAGGTTTAGTGTTTGCTCTGATTGGTAGTAATGGACAATTAATAAGGAATCTGTAATAATATTCAGAAATCTATTTGGGCAAAGATGAATGCAGAAATTAAATGAATTTAATCCCATCTCAAATACTTGAGGATTTGGGATGTTCCAAGAAGTATTTTGGAGCCCAAGAATCCCTTTAATTGGATTGTCCAAATGAATAATAAACACAGATTTGGGAACACAAAGAAAATGAATAGTTTGGCTGTATCAATTGGAACTGTTGCAGTCTAATTAGTCAGATATTATTATAAAAATATATCTCGTACTGCTTATTAACAAGTTGGGAGGCTATCCTCTTAATTATGTTATCATTTATGATATTTTAAATTAGATTAGTACAAGAAAATGGTAATCTATATTATTTATTTGACAGCTATTTCCTAAACACTAAAATAAATTGCTCTTTTATTTTCATTTTCTCTAATATTCGCAGGAATATTTGCAGCTAATTCTTAACCAGATATTGAAATCTACAGGAAAACTTATGTATCTCCTCAAAATTACATTCCAGTAAACAATTTAAATACTTTACCAACTCATCAAATGTTCTTAGCGATTGACTGGCTCCCTCAATAATGCTCTCAAAAAGTACCTGTAGACATTGTTTAAAGTATCAAAGATTATTGCTCAAATGACTGTACACTATTAATTGAACTCATACTTTCAATCGAGAATGGATCATTCTTAGTTAATACGATTAATCAAAAAGATCTCATAATATCTTAAGAAGATAATGTTGACTCAGAATTTTTATATCTTAAAGGCCGTTTTAAAGATATCATCCAAAGTATCGAAGACAACATTTAAGTGTGTCTCTTTTCACCATCTGCAGCCATTAAATGGAATTTTGAGTCTTCTGAACGAAAAAGAAAACATAAACATACTAAATAAGTAGACTATCCATTGATGCATGAATAGATTATACAGATACCTTCAAAGGTTTAATAAGATGCATTAACTTAATTAATAAAATACTACAATATTTAATTGGTATTCTAAGAGAATAACATTTTACCAATTGGAACACAAATTACAATTCATAATTCATTATTGTATAATTGTTAAAGTATTAATATTAATGCTGAGAAAAGCATATTAATTAATTAATCCAATGTTGAACAAAATTAATTAACATTCTACAATTATCCCTAAGGTTAATATGCTACAGTTGTATTCAACACTGAAAGCTATCAAAGTTGTATTTACATTTAGAGTAATCAAAATATTTATATTCATCCAATTATTCCAATTCAGTCAGATTTGACTATCACTTTATCTTGGTTTGGAATCTATGATTTGGATTTGATTGTTGAAAATAAAATTTGTAAAGTAGGTAAAAAATATCAGAATGAATGTGGAACTATTAAGACTCATTTTGATTCTCTTGTTGGCAATTAATAAACTTCTAATAACTTGTCAAATGGAGAACAAATTACTATCGATTATTTGTCAACTTACGATTATAAAATTTATGTGTAAATTACATTAAATAAGGAGGAGTTTACCAAATTAAAAAAGACCGAATAAGATAACATAAGTCTTTACTAATAATCAAGTGCTTAAGTGTAGATCTTTGCTAAAAATAGCAGGTATCCTTAAGCCAACATATTTGTTAAATAAATAGTTTAAGCTGCCCAAACAATCAAAGAAAGTGATAAATTTAAATATAAATGGTTTGTTGGTTGCATAAAAAATGGAGAAGGGCTAGACATTATTAATCAAATCAAAATTAATTATGAGTGTTGATATTTACTTTCATTATATATATATTAGTCATTTATTTTCTCTGAGAGGTCTTCCTATTGAAGTCTAACTTCCCTTTATGTCAATGTTCTCTTTATACAAAGATGACTTTCTGACTTCAAAATAGGTGGATTCCTTAAATATAGATATTTAATTAATACTTTGATGTTTTTGATATCGAAACCTCTTTTCTTATATGCATCAAACTCTGCTTGAAGCATCATCAAGTCTTCTTGAACTCTATGATAATCTTTATTTAAAATAGAGAACTTTTGTCTCCAAGTATCCACTTCATTCTATAAGTAACTAATTCTTTCCTCTAAGTTTGAAAGATCAATATTATTATGTTATTCCATCTATCTCATTTAAGAATCCATCTCTACTAATTACATTTGTTTTATTCTAAGTTCCTCTAATAATTTCTCCAACTTGAATCTTAATGAACTTTCAGATTCAATTTTGCTTTCGAATTCTTTTTATAAATGTTTTGTCTATAAATTAGTTTGTTCATTCAAATATTTCAACTATTACTCAACACCTTGTAGGTGAGAGATCTAATCCTATTAGAAACGGTTTTTCTTATTTAATTCTTCTTCTAAAGAAAGCTAATATTTCAAATCATTTTTTAGACTATCAATTTACTTAATATTTTCATTTATTTATTATTACAACTAAATTATTTTTGTATCTTAATTCTAACTATCTTGAAGACTACTTTCCTTGAATTTTTAGAAATCTTCATCTAGTAACTATTTCATTTTCTCAAGTCGAGACAATTTTTCATTTTAAGAATTGAATTATTCTTATTATTGACTGTTTTATATTTGTAATCTCTCTAATTCAAAGCAGTTAATTAATATTTATTATAGTAACAATAACTTTTCTTCTTTTAAAGCTTCCTCACTTAAAATATGATTCTCATTTTATTATTATAAGTAACTAATTTACTCTGATGAGACCTATTTAAAATTTAATAAAGATGATTGAAGATCTTATATTTGAAGTAATAAATGATTTTACTCTTTGTTTAATTAACTTATTTAATCATTTAACTAAGACTATTAATTTTCTGCTTCCTGTATTTTTTCATTATTCTATCTTTGCTATTCTTCTGATTAAACCTACTATTCAGTATATTGTTATTTTAATCCGCAGATCAGATTTTATAATGATTTATTAATTTCTATTTAAGATTCAAGTTATCTTTCTAATTATAATAAACTCTCTGACTTTAAATTTAGATCATCTTTCAATTCAGTACTGAGAGCTTCATTCTAGATTAATTTTAAATATTAAGTTTTAATCTACTCATCAAAATTATCTAATTTAGTTTTAGTATTTTATAATTCTTCAGTTATTTAATCTAATTCATTAATTTTATCTTTTAATTAAGAATTCAAGCATATTTACATCTCCTTCAAATCATCAAGTTCTTTCGATTTATCTTCTAATTCTTATTTAGTTTATAATAATTGATTGCCCAAATCTTCCCTTTCTTATTTTGTTAATTCATGTTCAATATCTTTACTTGACAATTAGTTCTAATGATTTTAAGTCTATTGAATTAATTAACTCTGTAGAATTTTGTTAGTTTGATCATTGATGATTGCTTATTATTTTAATTGATAGTTTTATTCTCTGTATTCATTTAATTCTGTTTCAAGTTTTTGAACCTTATTGCTTATATCTTCCCTTTCTTTATATTCCCTCTAAATTTGATCTTACAATAATTATTCATTTTATTGAGATTACGCTAATTTCTATTCTAATAATTCAAGATTCTCTCTGAATGTTTACATTAAGGAGTCCTTTTAAGCGAGCATCTGCTGTGTTTAAGAGTCTTTTTGTGTAATTTCAAATTTAAGCTCATGGATTATGTTATTTGAAAATAGGAGTTCTTGTTCGCAATTATTATATTTCTATTAAAATTCCTAGATTTAATGGTTCCTTTCTTCAATCACATTTTACCCTACTTACAATTGCTTTTCATAATCTTGAACTCTAAATTTCAATTGGGAAAGGCCTTCATTTTTATCTTCAATTACATATTGAAGTCTTTCAATCTCAGAATTCAATAGAGCAATTTTGTTATCAAGTACTTCCTACTATTTTAACTATGAAGATAAGAATCTGATTTAGTCATCTTGATATTAGAACTATGATTTAAAAGTATTAAGCTCTGAATTTAGATAAGAGACTTCTTGCTAGTGATTTTTTTGGGTTTCTTCTAGTAGTTTTCTCTTACTCTCAGTTTCCAAACTTGTGTTAACCCAAACTTATTATTCGTTATCATATTTCTCTACCTACTGATCTAATTCATTTTAAAGTTCATTTACTCTTTAATTTAATTTATTATTTTCTTATGTCAATTAATCAATTAAGGTTTCCTAGCATTAATAGATTGTTTACATGTCCTTAACACTTTTTTTCTGTACACAACTTTACAGTCCTAGTCTCTATCACAGGTCTATATGTAGTAGTGGTGAGAGTGGTTTTGGGCCTTGATTAGTAGGATGTAACCTTCGCTAATCTACCACAAGAATCATGACGCTTGTCTTTGGGTGGGGAATTGACAACTCTAGTTGTTGCAATAGTCTGAGTTTGAAAAAATTTGGGAGACTGTGGTCTCATTATAAGAGAATTCGTTAAATTTATTAATATTTTTAATACAGTTAAATGAATTAAGATTAAATAATTGAATATGCGGCTCATAAGATTTATAATTATCTATAACTTCATAATTGCAATTTAGCCTATCAATTTATTGATTTACACAAATAAAATATATGATAGTGGAGTTTTAAAATAAATTTATAAAGTAATTGTCAAAATTGATACTGGGTGAATTACAATTTAGATACTTTGGGCAATTTTGATAGGAGCACTGAAATGGTGGAAAAGTAAAGTAAAATATCATAAAATATTAGAATAGAAAAATCAAAATGGTGAGTGTTTTTAAAAGTAATTCAGTTGATAATTATTATATATACTTTGGGATTTTTTGATAATATTAGATATACTAAAAATATTGTGAGTATGTTAAATTTGATTTGATACTTATTAGAAGTTTAATATATCATAATAGATTGCTTAGAGTAATTTATAGATTTAGGTTGATTAATATGTTTATATATAATGAAATACTAAAAAATGAGATTCTAATTAAATTAATAATTTTATCGAAAATTCTTAAAGAGAATAATTCTAAAACATATATATTAAGAATTTATCAATAGGATGGATAAACTTAAATGTCTATACATTATATCATACTTAATATTATTTATTATTCATGTTGCCAGGCTAACTAATCAGCATCATATCTTTGGTATTAATTTATCTATAAAAGAATATTAATTTGATTATATATTAATCACAAATTCTATATACATCTAATTTATTTACTTCAACTAAGTTCATAGTCATAAATACCTTGATAGTCCTTCTTATTTTTTCATGAAAAAACAATAAAGTTTAGATTATACACTTATAGAATATATTCAACTAATACGATAAATTTCTAGAGCAATAAATTGGAGATATTTAATTCTTTATACCCACATGTAAATAGAAGTTTTAAAATTTTCAAGACATCATTAAATATAAACAAGCAAATCTATTGAAAATTATAAAAAATCTATTATTTAAATATTTTACATATTCCTGAGAATAGCAGATAAATATATGGATATCCTAAAGCCAGCAATCTACAATCTGATCTAATTTAAACCTGGATAAGATTAGAAATACTCCTTTTTATGGTTTACAATTTGATATTTAAGAAAATTAGCGGTGTTTTTTTTTAAATTTTAAATTTTATTATTGCAATATTTAGAAAGGCACAGAAATATCAGTATATAGATGTGTTAGTTAAGGTTGGAAGGGTTTATGTAAGCACTCAATATGAGATTATTGAATGTTTATTGCAAGGATAGCACTATATAAAAAATTGATTAAGAAATAATCGAGATTTGTTAAATATTTAAAAAAATAGATATTTATATTTGATTGTATGAGCAGAAAAGAATAAGACATCAAAAGATTGATTGCTTCATAAGTAAAAATGTTATTTAGATTTCTCTTTAGTGCCACGTTGGAACAAAACAACTTCATTTTGACATGAAGAGATATGTATCTCATAGAAGTGATAATGGTTCATACATCCTCAATTTAGAGGAAACCTGGTAACACATTAAGTTGGCTGCCAGAGTTATTGCTGCAATTGAATAACCTCAAGATGTTATGGTATGAGAAACATGAATAATTCAGGTTGTTTCATCAAGACCAATTGGTTAAAGAGCAGTCATTAAGTTTGCTCACTACACATTAGCCAGTTCAACAAGATCAGCAAGATGGACACCAGGTACATTGACAAATCAATCCAACAGTGCCAGTGGTAAATTCTAAGAACCATAATTGTTGATTGTCACAGACCCTCATTTGGTAAGAATATTTGAATTAATATATTTTATAGGATAGATAAGCTATTGTTGAAGCCTCATACGTTAACATTCCAGTCATTGCCTTGTGCAACTCTGACACTCCATTATAATATGTTGACATCCCCATCCCAGTTGGAAACAGAGAAACCAAATCCATTTCAATGATCTATTGGTTGTTGGCTAGAGAAGTCAAAATATTAAGAGGAGAATTGAGACAAGGTATCTATTGTTAATATTCAATTATTTTAGATGAAGAATGGGATGTTTTGGTTGATTTGTTCTATCACAAGGAAATTACCAACGATTAATTGGGCATCACAGACAATTAAGTCAAATAAGAAGTTGAAGGTGAAGATCATGAAAATTAAGCTGAAGGCGAAAAGGCAAAATAAGACTGGTGATAAAATATATTAATATTATGTAAAGTACATGTACAAGGAATGCGTTTAAATTTATTAAATTATATTATTATTTCTTAATGAGTAATACTTTTAAGTCTGCAGGCAATACTCTTGCCAAAGGGAATGACTTAGGATAAACTAACCAAAGTTTCGGTGGCTCTCAAAACCCTGCTTCTTTAAAGGGGAAATTGATGAGCTTGGAAGTATTAAAAATATCCATCTTAGGAAACAATCAAAGGGATTCAAGATGAGATGAATTTCCACAAAAAAGAAGTTTAAATACTCAAATCAGAAAAAGATACCTTAGAATCCGTTTTGAGCATGAAAACTCAAGATGTCAAAAAGACTCTTACCAATGAGCTTATGAGAATAGAGGAGGAAATGAAAAGGTATGGACTAATCTATGTAATTAGACACTTTGCACATCAAAAGGCTGAAAATTCAAGATTATAATAATAAATCACAGCATTAAAAGGAGAAAAGACTGCTCTACAATAATAATTGTTAGGATTACAGAGAAGAATAGCTGAGTTGGAATTATAAGTTGGTTAAGAACAAGCCTGAGTAGTAATATAACCCTAAAATTTATAATAATTTAATTTTGTTATCTTATATTCATTAGCCATTAACATTCAAATTCACATTCCTTTCTAATAAGTAAACCCTTCAAATTAAACATTCTATTAAGAATCTGGAGTTTCAATCAAGGGCTATTGTAAGAATGCCGGAGCAAAGTTAGACAAATCTTCTAAATTTTAAATTCGAGGAACTATTGGAGGCTAAAGTTTCCTCTGTTCAACTAATTCCCAATCTATTCCACTAAAGAAATTATGTTTTTTGATTTCTTGAATCCCATTAGAGCCCAATCTGAATCCAGGCTATGTTATAAAATCATATGTACATCTTTCGTTAAGAGCCCCTTTAGTAAAGATTAAGCCTAGAGAGAAAAGGTAGGTTTCATCTCCAAAGGTTTTTCGCATCTATTTTTTAACATTTCTCTTTTATTTTTTGAATAAAATGGAGGAGCACCGCTCAACATTTCGTATATCAAAGCTCCGTAACTGTAGAAATCAACAGCGAAACTATGTCCTTTTTCTAATGAATACTTAAGAAAATTAGATTACAATATAGTATTTCTGGAGCAACATATTCTGGAGTACCACAAAACGAATATGTAATTTCATTTCTCTCATATCCTAATTTAGAAAGTCCAAAATCTGTAAGAACTACATGTCCATCTTTATCCAGGAGGATGTTTTCTGGTTTTAAATCTCTGTAAATAATGTTTTACTGATGCAATATGTCAAGAGCAATCAAAAGTTCAGCTGCATAGAATTAAGTCCATTCCTCACTAAACTTTTATCTCTTTCTGAGATGGAGGAACAACTCTCCGCCTATCATAAAATCCATAACCATGTAGAGTCTCGAAGGACTTTAGAAGGCGAAGTGCAATTTTACAGAAAATGGACTACTAATCAATGACATTATTTTTCTTTCTTATAGTGCTTATTCCTATTGTTTCTTTTTTTGCAACAACTTCTTCCTTAAAATCTTAACTGCATACAATTATTGATCCGCTATTCTTTTGACAAGCAGGACTTTACCAAACGATCCTCTGCCTATAACTTTTAAGAGTTCAAAATCAGAAAGGCTAAGTTTGGTTTTGGGATTTCCGTTTTCTTCTTCAATTGGGATATAGGTGGTTTCTCCAATTTAGTCGTCAACGTCATCCTCATCTAGAAATTCACTTGAAATGTTGGGTATTTTGGAATTGTATTCTGCTGGCTTGTTTTAGCACATACCCATTTTAATAAATATATTTATATTTTATGATGATCTTATTCTTGAAATAACTTCTGATTTCTATTATATGAAATACAAAAATTATGGAGATGATGTAATTAGGTATTATTAATTATTACAATTTTAGGTATTATTATTTAATCTATTGAGAATAGAGTGAAATGCATCTTAAATAATTATATTTCATTCCCCAATTATTATTATTTTATACAATCTAATGTTTTAGGATCCAGAAGAGAAAGATATGATTGGCGATCTTCTTAATGGTATGTCAAAATACTAAAGCACTATTAGATAGTTTTGAAGCAGAAAAAACAAAAAAATCATATTCTAACAATAGACCCCCTGCATTGGAAATTAAATAATACCAAAAGGCCTCGCCTGTTTATCAACCCAAGGTCTATTCACCTTAGGTTTAACATAAAGCAAAGTTGTTAATTTGTTAATTCAAGTTCTTACGATTTAGATTTACGACTAACAAAAATACCTGTTTAGCAAAGTGCTCCCAATTCAGCCTTAAAAGCCAAATCATATGATTGCATGACTTAATTTATTCCAGAAGAAGAAACAAGTCTCGATGGAGATTTAGTAATCAAAAATTCATAATAAAAAAGATATCTAAATGCAAGGATTAAAATGGTGCAAGAAGCATTTAAAAGCAATTCTAAGAAGGATCTGTTGCAATCAAAGATTTGATATTCAGTAGACTAGAAAAGGGCTTCGTGTCCTTGTCAAAGGATGTATTTGGTAATTATGTCATTTAAAATCTTCTCGAAAATGGTATGAATTTTAACTAAAGGTAGGAACTCCATTACAACAATAAAAAATGCTTGTAATTTTATAGCCGCACACTTAACAACTTGCATTTCATCAATACGGATGTAGAGTCTTATAAAAGCTGTTATAAAATTCCCATAAAACTCCAGAGTTTAAAGTTTTATTTGATTCAATAAAGGGGAAAGTCAGAGAATTAGTCATAGATCAGCATGGAAATCACGTAGTGCAAAAGCTAATCTAACTAATGGAAGGTGATGTTAGCCTCTGGGTTTTAGACGGAGTTGAAGGACAAATAAGCAAGTTGGTTACAAATTCTTTTGGATGCAGGATCATTTAAAAAGCTATTTCAATCTCAAACAATCATACCGAAAGTTAGATGATTGTTTTACAAGAAATCATGAAGATATCTCAAGAATTATGCATTTCATAATATGGCAATTATATCATTCAGTAATTATTGAAAGATGGCCCAGAAGTTATCTAAATTGAAATTTAGCAAATTATCATGGATAAAATAGAAGAATATAGCTTGAATAAGTTTGGGAGGTATTTTCATTTTTTAAATTAAGTAATGTTGTTGATTGTGCAATCAAATGTTCAAATAATAAATTCAAATTAAAAATTATGGAGTTATTATTGAGTCAAAAGAATCATCCAGTTTTATTTGTAAGTCTCTCAAAAAATGCATATGGCAATTATGTTGTCTAAAACTTCCTTAAATTTTCTGATAGTGAAATATAAAAAGAGTTTTATCTGAAAATTACAAACAATTAATAACTATTGTAAGAAATTTAATAATCACAATTTGGTATTTAACTAAATTAATTGTAGGTTAATACGTGTATTAGATGTTAACTTAGAAATTAGAACTTGAAGCTTTTAACTTATGATTCCTGTGTATGATTTGTTAATATATATTGTAATTAAAAAATACTTATATTTACTTATTACATATATTGCTTAATAATTCTATTGATTTCTGAATTTTTGTTATATTTTATAATTTTCTAAAGAGTATCCTCACTTTTCATTGTTTTTCAAGAAGAAAACACAAAGAAATAGATTCTAAGATTATACTCATAAATCCATAATTTAAATTATATAATCTTCAGGTTGAAACATAATAAAGAAGTTACTCTATCTTTCTACTTTAGAATAATTTATTTTGATGGAAATAGCTGAGTAGATAAATACGTTAATTGTTTATCTATTTATAATATAAATTCATTTGATGTTGAAGATAAAATTCTGTTACGAATGATAATACAATATCCCATTAAATATTCCAAAGAATTAAGATCCCAAATAAAAATGCACAATGTGTTTACCATGATTGTGGAATGAATATGATAATTAATAAAAATTTACTCAATATATGTTGATAAAAGTGATTTTTTATTAGTTATTATTAATTATATGACTGACATCTTAAAGAATCCTAAGGTGAGATAAATCATTCAAGATGTTGTAGGAGGATGTGCGAATTAGACTGCAACAGTGCTTGAAATGACATTTGTGTAAGTATACACTGCGGATGAAGGTAAGCACAAATTTCATGGATCCAACATTGCAGGAATTCTGTGCTTTCTAATAGACAGAAGAGAAGGAAAAGTAAGATAATAATTTATAGAAGTGCTTTTACTTGAGAGTTTATGATCCTGCAACTCTGTAAGTTCTATTTTCAATGGAACTTTGTTATGGAATCAAGGACTTTTGGTAACCTGTCCATGGAATCGCCAATTTCTATAGCATTCCCATTTCTAAAGGTTTTATTGGCTTCTTGTTTCCAAATGTTGACGAAGCTACAAAGATAACGTAAAAGATTTGTACAAATGGTCCAACGAAACAACAATTAGAAGAAATTAATGTCTAAATTGAAAAAGAGGAAAAGGAGAAAAAGAAACTTGAAAAACTAGAAAAAGAAAAGGGAACAGTCAAAGGTGCATTTAAAGACTTTTTTGGATTGAATAAACAAGTCGAGAAGGTATAAAATTATTAGATATCAAATAGTAAGTATAAGTGAGTGGTCCAACCGGATTCAAAAGGAATTAATTAACATTTAATCTTGACACCGGAGAAATTAACTTAGATGAATTGCCTCCAGAGTTGATCAATGCTTTTAAAAAGGCAGGAATTACTAAAAAGGATTTACAAGATAAAAACCAAGCCAAAGAAATCTTCAAGGCTGTTGCTAATTTCAATGAAAATCCTACTGCTCCTCCCCCCCCTCCTCCACCTCCTCCTTCAAAACAACAATAATAATAGCAAGTATATTTTATTGCTTAATTAAGGTCGTTCCACCACCTCCTCCACCTCCAGCTAAAGGTGGTGCTCCACCTCCACCTCCTCCACCCCCTCCTCCTCCTCCTCCACCTCCTCCCCCTCCCAAAGGTGTTCCACCTCCTCCTAAAGGTCCTCTACCTCCCCCACCTCCTAAGCCACCTACTACTGGATAACCCCAAGTGACTTAGCCTAATACATAACAGTAATAGCAAGCTCCAAAACAACAACCTAAAAGTTAATCCAATAGGAATGATCTATTGGCTGAAATTTAATAAGGTGTGAAGTTAAAACATGTTGAAAAGAATGAGTGTAAAGTCGATATAAAGGAAATGGACAAAAAACAATAAGATGATTTATCAAGTTATTTAGCTTAAATGATGGCTCAAAGAAGAGAACAATTAACTAAAAATAGAAAGGATAGCTCTGATAGTCATAATTCTGGTTGGTCTGATGATTGAGGAGATCATAATAATGATATTATGAAAATTAAATAAAAATATAACCAATTAAAATATTGAAAGCTGAAATCTATCTCATTCTTTATTGAGTTCATCTAAAATTCTTTGACATATTTAATTACAAAAAGCATAATTTTTATGTAGATAATTGATCACTTTTCCTAATTATAACTTTATTTCAATTCCGAAAATTAAATCTTCTATGAATCTCTTTTTTGGAATTACCTATCTTCACTTTCAGTTTGGTTATTCAAAGCAGTTAGTTTATGATTAATTTTTAATTAGAATTTCGATAGCTATGATTAGGTTATTAAAAGAATGACTTTCTATTCGACCTTTGTTTGAATAATAAAGTTTATATTAGACATTTAACAGCAAATTTATCAATGTCCTTTTTATAAACTTTAAATTAATATTTTATTATGTGTCTTTAGAAAGAAGTAACAGTAATCAAAATTATGTTTTATAATAATGATTTTATTAAGTAAAAGTAATAAATATATTTTGGAATATTACTTTAATATAGATTTGTATAAATAGTAATAAAATACAATTATAGTTTCATCTAATCATCTAAGGTAGTAAAACAGTATTGATTGGTTAAGCTTATTCTTTTCTTGGGAAAGCATTCCAAAATCTCAAAGTCTCATCTCCAGCTCCAGTCACTATGGTTTCTCCATCTGGTGACATTGCCAAAAATAGGACTCTAGAAGTATGGCCCATCAAAGTTGTAACCTAGAGTATGAATATTAAATACCTTTTATAAGGCAGGATATTTCCAACATACAATTTAATTCATACTATAACCATGAGTTGATACGAATTCATTTACATTTTTACTAAACATCAAATTGCACACTTAAGAACCAGTGTCGATCCAATCTAATTATTAAGTGGTTAGAGTATTGAAAAATCTAATGGTTCTATCTGCAGTTCCTCCGCCTGAAGATAGTAAACCATGTCTATGGGGTGACCAGGCAATAGCCTTTACAGCAGCCTAATGTTAATTAAATTTGGCTAATGGAATTTATGATCCCATTCTCCAAACAAACAATTTATTATCATTTCCTCCTGAGGCCAATTGATATTCATCAGGTGACCATTTCAATCCACAAACCTCTTATTTATGACCTTCAAATTTTCCAGTCTGTCTTTTTTATCTTGGATCATGTAGAATTATTGATCTATCTTTAGAACCAGAACATAGAGTCTAATTTATGAATCATTATCTTACATTTCCACTCCAAGCCAAAGATCCAACTCTAGCAGAATGTCCTTCCAATATTTACATTCTTTTCATTTTCTCCTAATCATAAATATGCACTTCTCCTGAACCTGTTCCTATGGCCAATTAATTTCCTTAGGGATTCCATATCAATGAACAAACCATGTCATTATTACCGAAATCACAGAACTTAGTTACTCTGTTGTTATAAGCCGACCACAAATATACACATGAGGATAGAGCCACTGATAATACGTTTTAAGAACTCCAATCTATTAGATTTAAATAGAAGTCATCTTATAATTGAGGAGCATCCAACACTTTAAATGGTACTTTGCTAATCTTTCTTTGGCTGAATTGATAATCTTAACTATTTTAGTATTGTTCTCTGTAGTCCATTAGGTTTTAGTAAGTTTCCAAGACAGCTGGATTTATGTCTGACAATATTTTTCGTTTTGAAGGAGTATTGTCAGCAAAGCGCAATAAATTCTTTGATTCCCACTACAGCTATTCAGTTTATAATGGTTGTCCAAGCACATGCATTTTATAGATGTCTTTCAGTGTAACATTTCCTTAGTCTTTGTAATCACTACCTTTTTATGGTTCTTGATTCTCCTCCTCAATCTCTCTATATTAAAATTCCTCGTTTAGAGTCTACTTTTGACCACTTCTCAAAGGAATATACCTGCAGGTTTTTCCTTATTGTATTTATTTCTTAGGTGTACTGTCTTATTCCTATTCAATTTGGTCTATTGATTTAATAATTATACTACCTCCATGATTAGCACTCTGAATGTCCACCTTATGTAGCAATCTAACAAGATCGCTGATGTCACAAGTTTTAGATTTAGAGAGATGTGAATTTTCTTTATTTTATTTTGATGGTGAAATTTGTAATTTATCTTCAAAGCAGGATACTTCTATATCAATATTACGCTATTAGAGCATTTTTACAGTATTCGTTGACATTTTTTATAAAGGGTATTTGCAAACAGATATTAATTTAATTTACGTTAAACTTTATTTTTAATCACACTTAAAAAGGCAAAATAAATATTATTTATAAGTTCTTGTTTAATCAATCAACATATCTAGTATTAATTATTTATCACTAAGAATTGCACTAAAAATTTCCTCAATTTTTATTAATTATAAATCGTTGAATTTATATGAGTCATTTTTATTCTAATATTCCTTCTAACAGACATTAAAATATATATTATCACTCTTCCATTTAATTGTTGTAATTCGTATTTCTCAAAACCCTAGTTAGATAATTAACGAGTTGGAATTTGACAATTGGTAATTATGATTAATATATTCTCGTTTAATTTTGATGAAAATTGCATACTTCCTTTATTTCTCAGCAGAATTAAATCATTTTATAAAGGAGAGTGTAAAGATATTGGTAAATATTTTGTCGGAAGTAAATTATTAAATCTAAAAATTATTAATTTTTACGATTTTACAGGATCTTTGTTCTGTGCAAATCTGCTTGTCACATATCTTGAACCTCCATTTATTAAATCGGTTTTCTTTTATTGATTCAATAATAGAATCCTTTTGTCGATAAATAAAAGGGACTTTATTTGATTTCATAATCTTTATAATGATCCTATTGTAATAACATCTTTAGAAATAAAATTAGTCACCTATATTTAAAAGTTCATTTATCTTTAAGTTCCATCTTAATTAATATTTGAGGTTTCTTAAAAAGGTTAAGTATTATTATAATCCATATTTATTTATAAAATACGGAATAATATTTTAAAAATACTGCTAATTATCATTACCTAATATAAAATTAGAGATTTTATTTATTATAATAGTAAGTTTTAATATTATCTTTTTAATTAAAAATAGATTTTGCATCCTTATTAGAATACGAAACAACTTCATTCACATCTTTCGTTTTACTTATTTTCAATTTAAATCTTATTTGGCCCATTTAATTATAACAATTAAGCCAATTTCAACAAATTTAACTTATTTTTAAATAAAAAAACATTTGAATTTTCTCTTAATATTTAGTAGTAGGACTATAGTTTTAGTAAGCAATACAGATTTGAATGAGCAAATTCCATAATGACAAATTACAGGGTTAATTAATTTGACCTTTAATTAGAAAATATTCGGGGTAGATGAGATATGTATTATAGCATTATATATTTTTTTCTAATAAAAAGTGATAATTAAATTATTATGCATCAGAGGATGAAAAGCGACATCAGATTCGATTAACTTAAGCTTGATTACTTATAAGGAAATAGTTCCAAAATACTAAAATCAGAACAAGACTCAACCTAACCTTCATAAACATTAATTGTTTAAGGAAACTTTCTTGAAAATAAAACAGACAGACAACTATCTCCAATAATAAATAGCTTTAGGCCAAGACACAGGTTAAAGTAATGCCAGTCCCTTGCTTTGGATAATGACCCCGATGTTGAAGAGTTTTCTATTTGGGGTGATTTGGAAGAGTTGCCTGTCGGAAATGATTAAAACAACCATATAATTTCTTTTTTGGAATTATACAAGTATCGATACGAAAAAACAACCAAGAAACCAGTATCTTGTTACAACGTTATTCTGATGACCAAAAAGTAAAATTCATGTTTATAAAGATCAGATTGATAAACAGACATTCAATAGCTAGGTTAAAATACTATGGAATAAACAAAATATAATGGATAGATTTTAGGGACTGGAGTAGATCAGGCAATCTTAATTCTTTGTGATATTTTAATTTGTTTTAGATTTTGCTCTTAAATTTGATAATTAATATAAATTTAATGGGTAACATGTGTGAATATCATGCAAGAAATGTATATAAGAATTGATAATTAAAAGTTAAATAATGAATAAAATCTATAGCCTAAGTTGTTAGCATAACACAGATTCCAAGACATAGGAATTTACTTAGATGCAGGTGACATCAAAAATGAAGAAGTTGATGTGATTGTGGCTTAAACAGACTTAAACTTAAAGGTAATAGTGACACCTAATTTAGCTACCATACTACTTGATAAATAACGTTTCACCTTAAACAAAATAGCAGTTGTTAAAGTACATTTAATAAATTCGGGATAAATAAGCAGTATCTCATGGTGATGTCGTGCATTCTCATGCTGCAGAAGTATCAGAACTAATTATTATAATTAGCTGGAATTTGATTTTGTTTTTTATTGCGTATTGCCAAATGAAGATGATGAACCAATGAAATTAGCTAGAAATCACAATCCCAAAAACTTAAACCTGAAATTACCAAAAAATGCTCATTAAAAATATTAGAAATAATTTATTTATGATTGCATGATGACTTGTCTTAAAGTAGCAGAAGAAATGGAAATTACGTCAATATGTTTTCCTGTAATGAAATCAACCAAGTTCACAATATCTACAATTGCAACTATGCAAATGATTGCTGTTAAGAATTTTTTAGAAGAAAATGTTACAAAAATAAAATTCCTGAGCTAAGTCAGATTTTGTATACAAGATGATAAGGATTAAGAATTATTCAAATGGGCATTTGATAAGGTGTTTATGGACACAGATGATAATAGTGAAGCCAGTGATGAAGATTCACTCAATAATAATAGTGGTAATAGTGGGAGTGGTAGTGCAGGGAATTCTTTAAGTAAAAATGTAATTATACAATTTATAAATGTAAGACTTTGTATGAATTATAACCGACTGTAAAAAAGACATAGCAAAAGAATTTTGAAGAGGATGAGTTTGTTAAGAGTTTCGGAGCTAATTATTATGATAAATTCGAGAGTCCTTAGAGTGTTGGTAGAAAAATATCAATTTGATAATATATTAATACTTTTATTTATAAATTATTGTTATATATGGAAATGAATTTTTATTAGAAAAGTGATATCATAAATTAAGAGAATTTCAAAGATATTGATGTCTCTAATTGGTATGAATTTGTTGGTATTGGAAATCCCTATTATTATAATAGTTATGTTCTTATTAAGTGTTGGAGGAAACTTAATATTGATTAAGATTTTTCAGAAAATTCAAAATTTATTTATCTGGAAAGTAGAGGATACAAAAAATAATCCTTCTAAGATGTTAACTGTAAACTGCTTATTAGTAATCACAATTATATGTAAGAACAAAAATTATCTAAGTTAAGATCTTTTTATGTTATTACTCAATTGCGGGTTTTTTGTTTAGTTAAATTTGGAGTTGGGATTGCGAGACTTAAATATCATCATTAACACTCTCACCTTCATTTTACATCATTATTTAAATTTGTTAAGCATAAACTTTGAACCTTACATATTGTTTTTGCAGTAATTTGTGGCTTAGACTATGGAGAATGAAGTTGAAAATTGAACAGAACTAGTCTCTTTTAGGATTAACTAATATTTTAAAAGTTTTTCTTTCCTTGCTAATCGTATTAATTCCGATTCTTACTCTAGTTTCATTGATCTTAGAATCATATATTAATAACATTAGAGAATATTGTTTGGGTGCTTTAACTATGTTAAGTACTATTTCTTTTGCTGCTATTTGCATTATTCTATATACAAAACTCAAAGATTAATACAGTATTGGCGATCATTACAGAGCTGTATTAATTTAAAGAAATATATTAGAATTTAAAATTCTTATCAATAGCAGTAATAATTTGCTCTCTAATTCGACCATCGTTTAATTTTTTTTTCTCTTAAGAATTCTTTTGGAAATTGAAGCCTGGACTAGAATGCGATGAAGATGATGTAATCATTAGAAAATTACCTGATAAAGGTTTTCCATGGTAAATAATAAATAGATTTCTAAATAGGGCTGCTTTCTAATTAATTTATTCTTGTATCACTGATTTCATCCCTATTTATATATTATCATTGTTGTTTTCTCCTAACATATCAAAGAGAAAGACCTTAGTAGGTGCAAGCAATGATTCCGAATATATTTAAGAATGATTTATTTAACAATTTTATTCGTTAATGTAATATTATCATAAACTTATAAAATTTTAGTAACTTGACTCTTTAATTCACTTATATTTTGTCGATAATTACTTTTATAAATTTGAAAGAGATGAATTTTCTATGTAGAAATGTTGTTGAAATATCCATATATTATTATAGAGTTAGATAATAGTCACCATAATTAATTCATTAGCATCTAGATAGATTATAGGAAAGCTTTAAATTTAATAAAATGACATGTTCTTAGCATACCAAATTTTTTTTAGTGTTAAAGAAAATTGTTCAATACACTTTCTTAATTATTTTGTAAGATTAAATACAAAGCATACGCATTTAGAGCTATTTTAATAAAGTACTGTATATTGATTGAACCATCAAGATAAAGAAGATATTTATATAATTTTTAAATACAACTTTAATTGCTTTATTCTCTAAAACCAGGATAAATTGTTAGGAACTATTTTTGAGTTTATTTAATATCTTTCTTTTCTATCCAGAAATATAGTTTATTCCTTTTAAATCTTCAGGAAGTCTTTTTTAAAATTTTAACATTAATTTTAAAATGAGTTTATACTATAAATAGGATAGATAAAAATTGTAGGAAGACAACATAAGATTTAATATAACATGAACAATTAGATATAAAAATATCATTTTATCATTTCTTGATTATTTAAATGATTTAGTTCTGATTATACTTTATTCTTTAAAATATTATTTTTATTAATTCCATCTAATTACATGCAACATAGAACTGAAGACTATGATTTACTTTACAAGCTAGTTTTAATAGGTACTATTCAATTTTATTCGAAGGGGATTCCGGTGTTGGGAAAACCAACATTCTCAATTAATTTACAAGAGGCGAATTCCTATAAGATTCCAAAACCACAATAGGAGTAAAATATACAGTTTATCATTTAATTTAGGTTGAGTTTGCTTCAAAGAATGTCATGATTGACGATAAAACCATAAAAGCATAAATTTGGGACACAGCTGGCCAAGAGAGATACAGGGCTATAACATCAGCTTATTATCGAGGAGCAGTTGGTGCCATGATTATTTATGATATCACTAAATCATTGACTTTCGAAAATGTTGACAAATGGATGAAAGTAATTATTTTAGCAAAAAATAAGGAATTGAAAGAAAATGCAGACCCATCTTTATAAATTATGATTGTTGGAAATAAAACCGATTAAAAACATATCCGATAGGTTGCTACTGATTGTGCTATTGCTTATGCATAAAGAAATGGAGTGGCATTTATAGAGACAAGTGCAAAAGATGGAACAAATGTAGAAGATGCCTTCAAAAATATTTTACAATGTATTAATTAAATCTAATACTAAAGAAATATATAAATCAGCTAAGGTTGTGAAACCAACTCCATAACCTACTAAGTTTGTTGTTGCAGATACAGATGTGGTGAAACCAGAAAAGTCTTCAGGTTGCTGTTGATTTTGAAAATTATTTGTTATTTGTTATTTACAATCAAAATATCATTTAATGCTATGTTGAAAAGTCACTAGCTACATGATTTCTTTTTAAAACTCACTCGTCAGAATCATTCAGTTTTTATTTATATTCTGCCATTCTGGTTTCAACTCTTGGAGAATTTACATAATAATTGTATTGATCTGATTGTAATTCATAAGAATTTAACTAAATTATTCAAAATATAACCCATTTAACTTCATTTGAAAGGGGTTATAATATTATAGAATTTATAGATTAAGAATTAATATCAATCAAAAAATGCTTTAATAACATAAATATTAGTCCAATAAATATTATATTATAATTAAAGAAACGTGTTGAATTTGATTAATTTCTCCTATTTGTAAATTATACGTTTATATCTTTATTATTAAATTAATAACAAGAGAAAGCTGTCATTTTAGAACAAAAAGTGCTTTAAACATTAAGCAAGTTCCTTTATAATTTTCTCTTCACTCTGATTTCATATGAACTCATCATTCAATATGTAGTTTTAGATATTTAATTTTTTAACACGCTCTTATGAAATAGAATATTTCAAATAAAAATGTCTAACAATATTTGATATATTTATTCCATGTTCTTAAATAATAGGGCAATATTTTCATATATTTGTTCATCATATTATCAAAATAATAAAATCAAATATTCTCACGCCAACCCACCTATGATGCTTAAGACTCTTCATTATTAAATAAATAAATTAATAAAATATTGATATATTAAATTAAATAGAATTATGCATTATGCACTAAGAATATTATACTATCCTTATTATTTTATGTAATAATATATCAAGAAAGTTGATTAACAAAAATTACTTACTTACGTCACCTTTTTCATCAATAACGAAAATATTTCCCCTTGTTAGTATTTGTTAATTATTAAAATAATAATGTACATAATATTTGCAATAATAATGATGCTTTACTATAGAAATTCTATAAAATGCGTTATAATTAGAGTATATTTGGATTGAACAATTTGAAATTAAATAGAATATAAACCGAGAAAGCAATTAACATTGTATGTTATCCAATATTTATTTATGTTATGATAATCAAATCAATTTCTGCTGGCGATGAATTGAGCAGTAGTGGATAACTTCTCACTGATGTGCTCTTAGAGTCTGTCAACAATTTCTTATTAGGCAGTTCTAGTGGATTAGATTAGTTAGGATACCTTTCAGCAGTTTAGGTTTCATAGATATCTGATTAGACTGCATACCAAGCTTATTATCCAGCAAGTCTTTCTTCGCTGTTTTCTAATTCAAGAGTGTGGAATTCGATCCATGATTAAGCATCTTCAATGGTGTCCTTTTATTCTTAGATTTAGACTTCCAATTAAGCTTTTCTTTCAACCAATCTGGTGTGTTCATTGCTCAAATGAACGCTGAATTCAGCCCAGTGTGCAGCTTATCTATCTTCAACGTCCTTGATAATTAGATTAATTAAATACTGTCTTGGTAGCCTTTTCTTAGACTAATTATTATCTGATTTCGCTCAATAATTAAGCAATCTTGGTCAAGGCCTTTTGGTTGACTCCGTGAGTGGCTAATTCGGTAAGAGCAACAACGACTGGCTAAAGAGGGATGATAGAAAGAAAGGATATACTTATAAGAGTTGGCTGTGTGAGGTGTTATCGGTAAGTCTCTTGTGAACTGTTTCATACTTTGATTTGACTTAGACGAATGAAGCACCTAAGCTCAAATGTTGGATGAGTTTGGCAGCATCATCAATAGCATCAATAACATCATCGATGGCAGCAACCTTGGCAACAAAGGTTTCGTGTTATTAGTTTCTTGTGGCTTCTTCTCTAGCATAAGTTTATTCATTTGTTGCAATGTCTGAAATTGTAACTCT